TAATTATTTCGGGAAGTTTCACTTTAAAAATTTGATTTTGCTACTGTAAAAATTTTTAGATTACTACCAGCTTTACTTTAATTACCTAGGTGTGCAAAAAAATTTAATTTGGAAAATTAGATATTTGCATCACTAAATAAAAAACAACCATTAAATTTGGATTACATGCAGTGAAGCTTTTTTACATATGCTTGTGTACCATATACCTCATCTCGACCTCAGCCGTAAAAACTGGTCACTCTATCGACTGCTGCTCTGATTTTTAGTTAAAAAATAAAATTAACCAAATTAAAAATTGAAGCTTTTAACGGTTTCATTCAAATAAAAATGTGAGAATTTTTAAGTTGTTTGAAAGAAAGCTCATCATAAAGCTTTTTCTATGCCAAAAGAATAAAATCTGTCAAAGTAGATAGATATTTAAAAGAAGAATAAAAAAAATATGTTATGATTTTTTTGTTATTTAGGTAGCAAAGTACAATTATGAAAGTTTTCATCAAATGATGAAAGATTGAATGATCAAATCCACATGCCAACATAGTCATAAATAATTATCACAACATATGATGAATAAAATATTGAATACTTTAATGAAGTAAGTTTTTTATGATGTTCATTCAATCATGATTATGAAAAACTAATAATGATATTGATAAAAAATCTAAAGATAAAAAATTGATCTGCCTCTGAATTTCGTATTTCCCATGCATGGTATAACTCAAGATAAAATATTTCATAACTGATTTTAAATTTTTGATATTTACTGAATAAATATTCTCTATTTCAATCTTTACTGAATAATCAGAGNGTCAATGTCTGTCAGTCAGTCAGTCAAATCCCAACTCTGTGGTATAACTCAAGATAAAATATTTCATAACTGATTTTAAATTTTTGATATTTACTGAATAAATATTCTCTATTTCAATGTTTACTGAATAATCAGAGAATTTTTTTCAATTTTCATAAGTCTCTCTGAAATTTCAAAATGTTGTCATTAATTGATCCTAAAAAAAAGACTATAATTTATTAAAATTTTTTCACAAGTACATTTTCCTTTATTAGAGTTTCAATTCCACAGATCGTTAAATTGTTTTTGTAAGACTTCATTAATCCGAAAAAGGTTTACATATTTAATGTTGTGGATACATACACAAATGTCGTTCGTTTTCTTTGTTAACACTTATTAGTTGCATTCTGTATTAAGTCATTCCATTATTCGCAATTCTTTCATGTTAGATTTCAATTAAATATTTTGTTTATTGCACAAAAGTGCAAAAGTTAAGAAAAATTTATTCTGCTCTGTTGAAAATGTTCGATATATTGTTTACTGGTTTGGTTAAAATTTGTAGAATAATGATACAGAATTGTTAACGCCGATGACGTCCTAGATAACTGCCACAAGCTGGGCAATAATGATGAGTGTCCATGCATTCATCAATGCAACATGGAATTAAACAGCATCCTAACCAGCATCCTAAAGCAGCAATGATAAATCCACTGACATAAGCAATTACTCCTGGCGATGTTCTAGTTTTTGTATTGACTTCTGCTCCACATGATGGGCATATCGTATGAGTGGCATGTGGTCCTAGTGGGATGATGGTTGTAACAATATGTTGTGCAGTTAAAATTGGCTGTTGTGGAGTGAGTGGTGCGGCTGGATCAACACCATTGACTGCTTGTGAGTATGGCGGTGGTGCAGATGGTGGTGGAATAAAATTATAGGGTGGTGGCTCTTGCTTGCTCATTTTATTTATCAAGGCTAAAAATTTATTTGCAAATCTACAAGAAGAAATGAAGAAAAAAACATTTTATGAGTCATATCACCTATTAATACTTTCTTAATCAATTATGAAGGCAATCAGCGAGAATTTTTCTTCTTATTATTATTGGTCCATAGAAAATTAAAATATGATTAAACGACCTTGAGTTTTCAACCTAATTTGGTGTTATTTCATAATTTTGTATTTTCAGATGATCTGACAACTGTGTCACTAAACTAAGAGCAACTTGACACTTATTTTAAAAGATATTCAACACAAAGAATATTATGAATAGAAAATAATGGAATTTACCCCGAATAATTAACAAATTACAATATTAAAAAAACTTGTTGAGATTCTGTAGATTTTTTTTTGTTCCAGTTCAGTTTTTGTTTCTTACAGAGATGTAAACCATAAAAATTTTGTTATTTTAATGTTTTGCTATAAAAATCTTAAAATACACAAAAAAATAAATATGTAGGTAACTAATCCTTAATGATTGATTGTCAACAGTAAACACAAAATTCAAATTTAATTATCCTTCAACACTTATAGTTCTTCTCAGTCCTGTATTCAAAATAACATGAAATTATTGACACATTCGAAGAAATGTTTTTGGATTTTTTATGCTTTGTTTCATTTTCCATATTGTTCCGAATCGGATATTTATGTGAAGGTGGATAAATTTCGCAGCTGAGAATAAAAATCTGTTGCACAAAATAGGATTTAAGACGTTTAATTGCAGAACTTTTTTAATAGTTGCAGTGAAATTTTAAAGTCTTCGACTTTAGTCACTTGAATAAATAGATATTTTTTGAAAATTTTCGATTTTACCTTATATTATGGCACAGTCACCAAGAAGTCCTAAATCACCAGGTTCAAAATTCAATTACGGCAATGAAGATCCTTCCTTTTGGGAGAAACTTGGAACATTGGGAAGAAAGAAGAAGATTAAAGAAGGTAAATATAAAATAATTTAGAATTTTGTCCATTTATGGGAATATTTTTACATTTCTGAAATGAGTCAAGGACAAGTGAAGTAAATTTGTTTATTTTTAGTTCAAGAGATTCAAGCTGAGGGGCAATATGCAATTGATTCGCCAGGAAAACCAAGTGCACCGGCAATACCTCCAGAGGATTACAATTTGAACGACAATGAGCAACGTTCTATAATTCAACCACAATGTTTGAATATGCCAGATGTTCGAGATTTGTTCCAAACACTCATTGAGTGGATTAATGACGAATTAGTTGATGAAAGAATAATTGTTTCAAATATCGAACAAGATTTATACGATGGTCAGGTCTTGCATAAGCTTTGGGAGAAATTGACAGGAAATAAGTTAGATGTTCTAGAAGTCACACAATCAGAAGAAGGTCAACGTCAGAAGTTGACAGTTGTGTTGAATGCAGTTAATCATGTATGTTATGCTGCTAACTTAATGTTTTCTGAATTTATTACATTTTTCCTTCATTAGACTCTCGGCTTTCATCACACCTCACCAAAATGGACCGTTGACAGCATCCATTGCAAGAATGTCGTTTCAACTTTACATCTTCTTGTTGCTCTCGTTCGTCATTTCCGAGCTCCAATTCGCTTGCCTGAAAATGTTTCTGTAACAGTTGTCGCGGTAAAGAAAAGTGGCACAAAATTAACTGCAGAGTAAGATGACACATTTAACATTGCTGTCGAGTTTATCTATATCAAATGATTCTTGATTTCAGAAAATACGAAGAACAAATTACTTCAACTTATGACGACGTTGGAATGCGTTGCGAACGTGATGCTTTTGACACTCTTTTCGATCATGCACCTGAAAAACTTCAAGTCGTTAAAAAGTCCCTTGTTACATTTGTTAACAAGCATTTAAATAAATTGAACTTTGAAGTGGTCGATTTGGGAACAGATTTCAAGGATGGAGTTTATTTGTGCCTTTTGATGGGTTTACTTGGTGGATTCTTTACTCCCCTTCATGAATTCCATTTGACACCTAAGGACACTGAACAAATGATTCAAAATGTTGCCTTCTCATTCGATTTGATGCAAGATGTTGGATTACCAAAGCCAAAAGCTCGTCCCGAAGACATTGTCAATATGGACATGAAAAGCACTTTACGATGCTTGTACAATCTTTTTACAAAGTACAGAAACATCGCCTAATTATTGTCACAATCAGCCTACGAAATTTATTCTCAAAGCAGCTGAATAATTATTTTGGTGTTGTTTAAATGTAATTTCCTTTTTTATAACTAAAAACAAAACAAATTCGTTTAACATGTTTTGTATTATTTTCATAGAAGAGAATTAACTTTAACAATGACAGTGTCATCAAATTATTTTTTTTCTTCTTTTAATCTCGACAAGTGTAAGATTATCTAACGTAAATGTTTTCTACTTAGATATTTTTTAAATGTGCCTTAATTTACGCTGCTGATGTTAACGTCTTAACTTGAGAGATGCCATTAATTTGTGAAAACAGAAAAGAAGCAACTAATCAGGCTAACTTCCTAACGTTATTTAAATGATTTTTGTTGAGTAAAAAAAGAGAAGAAGTAAGCAGACATTTAAATAAATATGTGACGAGTATTTTTTGAAATAAATAAAAAGAACAAAATTCTAACAAGGACTCTCATTTGTAGATATTTTCCCCTTCAACGATAATGGAATATATCCATGTGAAACTTTAGATACTTATGAGCGGGACTACGTTGGAGCCTTTTTAAGCGCATGACTTGTGAGAGCTTTTCATTTCTTTTCCTTTGCAGTTTTCTCTTAAAAACATTTTCAGGAAAAATCTGTTTTTTAGTCTTTTCGTCGTGTGAAAAATCACATCAAGGAAAGACGAGAAAAAAAACTATTTTTCCTTAATTTTTATGTAATTGTTTCTTTCGTTGAGTGAATAAAGAGAAAATTCGTCTCTTCGTCAATCAAAGTTTCCTTTTCCGTTTTTAATCCATTTTGAAGTGCTGTGAAGGAGTAAAAGAAAGAAAAAATAAAATTTTGATTTCGTGTCCGAATGGATCGCATTGCCATGGTCAATTAAAATTCAATTGCGTGTTCGTTCGCGAGTGATTCAATAATCAGAAGACATTTCACAACAAAAAGAAAGCTTTCGTGATAAACTGAAAGTATTACATGTAAGTTGAAGTAAACGACAATTTCCTTTTAACCTTTCAACACCCACGCAGGAAATTCATTTCAAATTTAATTACTTGTAATGGAGCATCAACGGAGTTTTTCTCTCCTTCTCGTTTCTTCATCATTCAATTTCCACTCCAGCAATTTTCACTGCCGTTTATCCTTCACGACGAAGGCAAAATATGCGAATAGAAAAAAAATCGATTTTTCCATTTGTGAGATCTCAATTTTATTTGTGTGTGTCTCAATATTAGATGATTCGCATTAAGATTATGCATTTTCCTTTATTGTAGACTCATTGTCTTGCCTTCCACTATTCTAATCGCTCTAATGTAATAACAATCGTTGATAATAATTTCTTTGTAGTTAATCCAAGTTGACATTTTCTTTGACTTTTCGCATTATTGTCGCCTTCCTTTAAACATTCTGAACGATTTTTGATAAGCTGCTTTATTTTCCTAGTGTTTCTAAATGAGAGAAATTAACGAATATACTTCATAATATTTTTTTTAAACAGTTTGACTTTATCAACCATAATTAAATAAACCTGAGCCTACAGGATGCTGATCAGATCACGTCGACCGAAACGAAATCGATATTTACAAATCGCATTGTTTTTCTTCATTATCACATGTTACCATACTTATTCACTCTCCATTGAAAAGCGTGATGTTGATGATGAGCCACTGGAAAATCCTGAGTATGCAACTCCAGGTTTTTCTACAACAACACAAAATCTTGAGGTGATTCATCATACTAGAAAACCCAAATTGATTGAATGATCAACATTTTGATTTTTAGGAAGTAACCGAAACAGCGGAGCCGACAACATCATTGCCTACAACCGAGAAGACGCCTCACGAAAGTCGAACATACAGACCAAGAAGAGAAAAATGTACACCACCAGCCATCGAACAATTTCCACCACCTCTCATGCCTGCAAGCTGGCGAACGGTGCTCTAATATTTCTATTTTGCATTCAACAACTTTCTAAATATATTTTAATTATTTAGCATGGCGGTATTGTTATTCACATTCTCGTAGCGATTTTCACATTTCTTGGACTAGCGATTGTTTGCGACGATTATTTCGTATCAAGTTTAGATAGAATTTGTGAAGAATTGAAGCTTTCGCCTGATGTTGCTGGTGCTACGTGAGTTCACTCAAAACAATGCATTGAAAGTTTCTTTTTCAAAGATTAATAATATTTAAGATTCATGGCAGCTGGTTCATCTGCACCCGAACTTGCAACCGTTATAATTGGAGTATTTTTTGCTAAAGATGATATTGGTGTAAGTGGCGTCATAGGATCTGGTAAGAGTTTGAATTGAGAATTTTGTTTCATAAAATTCATTAATCGATGATTATTTCTAGCTGTATTCAACATCATGTTTGTCATTTCTGTATGTTGTTTATGTTCGGGAACAGTATCGCAACTTAATTGGTGGCCATTGGTGCGCGATTGCACATTTTATTCGTTTTCAATACTCGTTATGCTCGTTGTTATATGGAACGAAAAGATTTACTGGTATGAAGCACTCATCATGATGATTTGTTATGTGTTTTATTGTGTGGCTCTGCATTTCAACACGGCATTGGAAAAATGGGCACAACCTTACATCCTCAAACTTCCAATAAAACTTCCAACTCGGGAAGAACAGTCAGCTTTAGTTACTTTTAAAAATGCTCCTGATTCATCGTACACCCAAGGAACACAAAATATTGACGCAACAAGTCCCCAACAAGAATTGAATGAACCCCAACCAGATACAAGTATTTATGACCCTAACTCAAGTTGGGATCCAAATGCAGCATGGGGCGAAGAGTCAAATGCTGCACCGCCAGCAGCTCAAGCTACAAATTCATGGAACTCTAATTCTTCATATAATGATAGCTGGGGTGACAATAGTGCTGGAGCACAAAACTATGGATACATTCAAAGTGAGAATGATGGATCAGCTGTAGTGGAAGGGAAACCTTCTGCCGTTTCGACAACAACCGCAATACAAAATAATAACGATCAAGATTATTACAAACCTAAAGATCAACGCCCCGATCTTCCCGATCCATTGTTGAAACCAGAAAATGCTGATCTCTTAACAAAAATAAACTGGCATGTTGTTTATCCGATTCATTATATGTGTCGTCTTACAATGGTTGATGTGAAGCAAGACAGATATAAAAATTGGTATCCGTTGACATTTCTCATCTCGATGGTTTGGATTTCGTTCTACTCATATTTTATGGTTTGGATGATCACGATAATTGGATTTTCTCTTGGCATTCCTGACACTGTAATGGGATTAACATTTGTAGCCGCTGGTGTATCAGTTCCTGATGCTCTCAGTTCCATTGCTGTTATAAAAGAAGGATATGGTGACATGGCAGTTAGTAATGCGGTTGGTTCAAATGTTTTCGATATTCTTATCTGTTTGGGATTGCCATGGTGAGTAGAAATTTAATTTCGTTTATTGTTTAGAATTCATTCATCCATCATTTGAACAATTTAGGTTTATACAAACTGCCATCATTCTGCCGAATTCACATGTTAATGTGATTTCAAAAGGTTTGACATATTCGACCTTGTCCCTTATTTCTACAGTCGCTTTTCTTTTATTTTCCATTCACATGAATTCATGGAAATTGGATAAGAAACTGGGTATATATAATGTTTACGGAAAACTTCTTTGAAACATTGAATTATTTTTAAATTTCTATTTTTTCAACAAAAGGAATCGTTTTGATGTTCTGGTATTTGTTCTTCATAACACTGGCATCACTTTACGAGTTAAATGTGTTTGGCAATTTGCATCCGCCAGAATGCTCCAGCGACTATTAAATGCTATTATAAAATAAAGAATCGATATCGTGTGTTATCTGTGAGTATGAAAATGAATTCATCATAAATAATTTGATTTATTTATTTAAACTTTAAACTTCTTATAGGCTTAACAGTAACAAACATAAGAAAATGCCTCAATCCAAAGTAATTTATTCCTCATGTAATCGCAACATGAAACTATAGCTAATCATTGACACGAAACAAACGAATATAAATGCAATATGTGATCCTTAATCCATTAGTTAAATACTTAATCCTTCTGCAAATTAAGCAACTACAAAACCAATTATTGAACAATTTAAAAGAAAACGTAATGTGAAAAGTCATATTTGAGGAAGGAGAAATTTTAAACTTAACGATATCTTAAGGTGACAAAAATGATAAAGAAGAGATTATTTATTAATGACAACAATTACTTATGTGACGACTCGTTGATGACAATATTAGTTTAGTAAAATTTCCCATATTTCTTTCTATAAATCTCTTAAATATATTTCACAAAAATTATAAGAAAATCATGAAAAGAAAATTTTATCTAGTGAAGAATTCTCCAATCTAATGATTGTCTTTAGCACCAATGAAAGATTCATAACGACATCATATATGTATCAAAATTATTGATTAGTACTTATAATTATGTTGAGAGTTATTAGGTTGTCGAAACAAAAACCAAAAATGATCAAACGTTTGGTTTAATTTATTAATAAATAATTTAATTAGAATGAAATTTATGCAAACACCAATATAATTGGTGGAAATCTAGTCAATTTAAAGTATCAAAGTCAATTTTTTATTAACAGTACGCATCATTGTTGAGTATTTGTTTATTTTATCGATTAAATATACATAAATAGTCAAGTGTGAGATGATCATTACAAATAGTAAGTTATATGGAGTCAATTAATTGAAAGAAAAAAGCAAGCACAACACAATCGAATCACAAAAAGTATTTATGTATCAACAAACGCTTCTGTTCATTCTAAATAATGATTATTGTCTATTCATTCTATCCCAAAGTTACCTACTTTCCTTATTCATTAATTGAGAGTTCTTAAAAGAGTTAGCAGTAAATTTTGAAAAAGAAAACAAAAACATATTTTATTCGACGTTCACATGCATTAAAGTAATTCGCTGTAAAATCGATGATAATAAAAATGAAATTCAATTATAAGCATTCATCATAACGAAAGACAACATGTAAAGACAACAAAGAAATTATTACATTAAATGAAGAGTGTAAAGTCAAAGAATAGAACTAACACAACATCCACCCTTTTATTCATCCTGAGAGAAATAATAATACCTACTAATAAAACAAAAAGAAATTAAAGTGTTAATTGTTGAAAAATAAATGAAAAAGAGATAAAAAGTTATAAAAATTAAGCAAAATTATTTTATTAAATTATTCTTTCAGTTGACAAAAAACATCATTCAACAATAGTCGGCTGACATTTTTCCATATGTCGAACGTTTGCTGATTGTTTTTCAAAAGACTTTCCACAATAACTGCAATTAAATCTTCGTGCTTCTGGATGGTTTTCGTCAGTGTGATCGAGAAGTTTTTCACGTGATGAAAATGTTACTGAACATATTTTGCATTGATGACGTTTCTGACCATGTGAAAAGCTGAAGAAATAAATTTGAATTTTCAACTCTTTATCAAATATTTCTGAAACTTACTTCATATGCCATCGGTAACTGCTAAATGAAAAATATCCACGACCACATCCCGGTAATTGGCAAATGTAAGGCTTTTCTTCAGGATTCGTGTGACTAAATTCATGATCTCTAAAGTCTCTAAGATTGTAATAAGATTTAGGACAATAAACACATTGATATGATGTGTGTTTTGTAGCCAAGTGGTGCTCCCTTTTATGTACATTGAAAGATGTAAAATTTTTGAAAAATGCTCCACAAATTTCACAAGTCGCTGAACATTCTTTTGGTGTCGCTCCATGAATTTTCACCATGTGATTTGCCATTGTAATTTTCTGTTGAGATCTAAAGTCACATAAATCACAGCTGTAAGGCTTCTCTTCATCAGGTACCGTACGGTGCTTTTTATTGTGCATAAAAAGTTCAATAGATGAATTAAATTTGATACCACAAATGAGACAAATAAATGAATTGTTATGAATTTTGTCCACATGAGCTTTAAAGTCGATGAAACGTTTAAACTCAGCATTGCATTCTCCACATTTCCTCAACAATTTTTTTCCATTTTCATGAACTTGCTTGTGATGACGAAGTGCTGATAACCGACAACTTAAAACCTGCTCACATATCAAACAGTGAAAATTTGTTCTATCAACAATTCTCATATTGATGTGTTTATTCCATCGATGTATCAACAGTTCAGTTTTTCCATAAACAATATCACCACAAGCTTCACATGCGATTGCTTTTGTTGTTTTTCGTCTGCAAACAACTCTTTTCTTATCATCGTTGTCCAAATGTGGGTGATTTTTCGCGATATGATTGCGTAGAGTTCGAGAGTCGATGAAACTTTCCGAACATTGATCGCAATAAAGTGTTTGCCGCTTCATATTGTGAACGAGTTGAATGTGTCGTTTAACTGATTCAGTTCTTGCGAAAATTCTCGAGCATAAAGAACAGGAAATATTTTCATTTGGAATTGCATAATTACGAGTTATGTAATTTTTTTTATTCAAAGATTTTTCATGATGCTTTTTTAAGTGAAAGTCAATTTCTGATGTTGTGTTGAATGAATGATTGCAATGAAAACATTTGAACTTTTTGATTCCATGTTCTTGAACACAATGAACTTTAAGTTGCTGAAGGCTTGTCAAATTTTTAGTTTGACAAAACTTACAGTCAAACGATGGTGGAAAGACGAGCTTATTATATGTTTCGCCATTAAACATTTTCCTTAAAATATCTTCATCAACATTATCACACTCAAGATTTGCAGAAGTGTCAAGAATTTCATTCTCATCATCGGATATCTGCGGATGTTTATCATTTTTGTGTTTTCTTAATTCTTCAAAGGTCCCAAATAATTGACGACAAGATTCACAAGCAAGCTTTTTAGCGAATCCAGGAATTTTTCTGACTTCTCGTAATTTTCTTCCACTAAAAGTGTTAGAAATTTCATTTGTTTGATTTAAATCCTTAGAAGGCTCTTTTTTGATGTTGCGATTACTGAGAAAACTTCCTGTTTTCGAATTAGAAACAATGTTAATCGGATCATGTTTTATCAAGACGATCTCAAAAACATGTTTGTGATCCGAATTTCCTCTCTTTAATTCTATATTTTTATCTGTTCTCTGAACTCCGCGAACTTTCTCATAATTTAAATCCAATATATGCTCATTGAATTTTTGTTGTGTCTTCTGATGACATTGATTGTTATGATTTTTAAAACTGAGATGACTTTGGAATATTCTCTCACATGATTGACATTTGAAACATTTTCTTTCATCTATGATTTGGTTGTGATACTTGACTAAATGATCATTTAAGTTCTTTCGTTCACGGAAAGTTGCCGGACAAAGATCACATAAAAATTTGTAAAATCCCAAATGAACACCTGATTTATGTCGTTCTAAGGCATGTTTCGAACTGAGAATCTTCTTGCATGCACCACATTTGAATAATTTTGTTTTTCTTTTACTTATTGACTGATGAAAGTGGAGGAGATGATTTCGAAGATTTTTAACACTTTTAAAACGTTGATTGCATTTATCACAAACATATCTGGAGTCAGAATTTGTCTTGTTTTCATCATGGAAACGTGAAAATTGTAATGTAGACTCGCGATTACAAGCATCAGAATTTATTTCAGAATTTTCAACAACAATTTCTTCATCTTCACTCCAAAACTGGGGATCACTATGAGATTTTGGAGTTCTGACAAATGTCTTTAATCTAACATGATGCTTCATGTGCCTGAAATTAAATAAGCAAGAATTGAATTTTAATCTTATTTAGATATTTTAGGATGAATTCGAAGTTTTAATTTACTTTTTTAGTGCTCCAGATTCTTTAAATTTCTTGGGGCATTCCTTGCAATGATAAGGAGTCAGCTTTAAGTGAACAGCTTGAATATGCCTTGCAATGTCACTAAGTTTTCCGAAACATTTTCCATCAAAGTCACAAACAAAGTTTTTGATTTTTAAATGAACTAAATTATGATGGACATTTAAATTTGCAAAATTTTTTCCACATAAGTCACACCACGATGTTTTCAATCTTGGATGATTATCCCTTTTATGCACATTCAATGATGTACTGCTGTTGAAACTTTCATAACAAATGTTACAATCAAAAGATATTCCTAGACTTTTCTCATGACATTTCTGATGCTGACGTAGATCAGCTTTTGTTTTATAAGCATTCAAACATCCTGAAAATTGACATTCGAAAGGTCTTTCATCTGAATGATGAGCAACATGATAGTTATAATTGAATTTGCCTAAAAATAATAAGAAAAATTGGCATTGTGTACAAGTCGTTGTTTTATTTTATATTAAGTACTTTTATATTCTTTTCCACAAATATCACAATGGTAAATCATCGTTTTCAAGTGCTGTGAAACATGAGCAATTGGTTTTTACAAATAACTAATATGAAATTAAACTCTTTTATTTTATATCACAAAAAATGTTTACATTTTATAAGCAAGAAAAGTATTTTTCACTTGAACGTATCTATCCCTGAATTACTAGGCCTTTTGACTCTCGAACGGACAACAGGCTCTGAATCGTACGGCCGAATTTGCAGTGCTTTGTATGGGAGGTAAAATCCGCGCGAACAGCGGTACATCACTAACCTAGCGGGGGCCCAAAACATAAACAAATGTAGTTAACGGACTTACGTTTAGATGTCGCATTATTTTTAATGCTTTTAAATATGAAATGAACGTTAAATACCTAATATAGTGGATAATGCAATTGAACTCTCGATAGTAGATACCGCCAGATTTTGTAGACAGTTATAAATAACTGTGATCTTCAAGTATAAAAACTTGAGTTCAGGCTAAGTGGTGATATCGATTTGAAGAAGATTGAAGAATTTCAGAGAAAGAGTTCGTTCTGAAAATAATTTAGTTTTGGAAAGTAAGTACAATAAAATTTTACCTTAATAGTGAATAAGTCATAAATTATCGTAGTGATATTGCAGATACAATTTTTAGTCAGTGTTATAGAAAATTAAATTAAATTCCGCTACAGGTATTTAATATGTAATGAAGTCGACAATAAAAGCATCGCCTGCAACAACAAAATGTAGCTATCGTTAGTACACAATGGGAAAGTATTTCGTCATTTAAAACAAAGGCTCACGTGAACAGTAATTACAAAGCTTTTATAGAACAAATCCATGTGATAAACATTCCAATCATATCAAAATTTTATTTTTACCGGAAAAAGATAAAATTGCGTTATCTTTCTTTGCCAAATTATTTAAGTTTGCAGTTTATTTATTATTCTTTACTTGTTTGAAAAAGAAACTAACAATCTATATAAGAGATTATCTATGATAATTTTAACAGGAAAATGTTTTTGCATGGAAATTTCTTCATTATGCTTAGCGGTCTTTGCGTGACAAAAGACGATGCGGATGATTGCGTCAAATGAAAGGCTAAACCGCAAAAAGAAACCAAAAGCAACCTAAAACAATTTGACGGACACAACAGGTTTAGGTCGCTATTGTAAAAGAAAAAGAAACCACAATATCTTATAAACCTTCAGAGTAGAACACATTAGAAGGACTTAAAGCATTGCCGGAAACAGGTAATGAATATCTTTCCTTCTAAGTTCTCTCACGAGAGAGTTCGAAGAGAGTTTTCCCTGCGTCGTCACTCTCATGACGTTATAAAAATATCCTTCGTTTCATGAATAAAAAAAATAATACGAAAAGGACATTTCAGTTCTCATTTTGCGTTTGGTACGGTCAGACGCGAAAAGCCTTTTCTCGTGAAAGTTTTATTTATTCTGTTTATGTAAAATGTGAGATTATAGGAAATAAATGCTTGATACAAAAAAAATTCGTGGAAGTTACTTAAGAAAAGAAAAATATAGAAAAATAGTGTTAAATGGTTTTTATCCTCCACATTTATTTATTATATGATGACATTGGTGTTTTCGACGTAAATCCTCATTGTGACAAACATGTCAAAGCTGCTTGTTGTGTAAACTTTGTTATCCATTAAGCTCAATGCAGAAGAGATAAAAATGTTAGAATCGTTGCTCAAATCGTGTGAAAGAAATGATAATCTGAAAGTTTTTCGGTGTTCTTTTCAAATTGATTTTAGAGCCTTAAGTCTTTTGTGAAAGCTGTTTTTAATTGAGAAAGCTTTTCATAAAGATTATGCTAATTAACATGAATCATCGTCTTTTGTGGTTGTCATGTTTTTCTATCATACAAAATTTATCTTTACAAGAACAATTAACGGAGGTTTTCTTTTTCATGGTTTGTTTTGATAATCTATTGCTTTTTTATTCCACAAAACCCTGAAAACTCTTCTTGAAATTACTTCGCAAGTCAATGAAAGCATTTTTCTTTTTGTGAAAGTTTATGGCAAAGCAGGAATATTTATTACTTTTTTTTTTCCTTTTTTACGCTTCTCATCGTCGTCTTTTGAATCATCGCGGAAATAACTTTTTTTTATTTTGGAATTATTTTCCCATTTACAGCTGCTCAAATCATGAGAAAAGTTCCACTTACTGTGCGTTCATATCCATTGTAGCTTTTCATTATTTATTTTTATTTTTTTCGGAAATAAGTCTTTAGGTGATATTTCTTCTCGCCCGAGAAAATTTAGCGTGAATATGAAAAGTCGCTTCAATGCTTATCAAGTCAAAAACGTATTATTGCTTTCCACAAAGCTTTCAATTGAGATACATTCAAAGAAGTTTCTTGGATACTTAAAATAACTTCGTTTTAAATAAGATGCAAAACGTACGGACAATGAAGAAATGTTTTTGTATTTGTTTTCATCGCAATACTAAAATGAGATTAATTCTAATTCTATTTTTCAACTCGTGAAAAATCAACAAATTATTTCTTATTAAGCGAAGAAAATCAAGCATTAAATTTAGGAAAGACACTTAAAAAAATATTCTGTGAAAATTGGATGAGTTTCTAGGAGAAAGTACTTCAAGATTCCGTAAGAATTGTATTTCGCATTCAAAAGTCTCCCGAGAATAAAATTTACGGTTTTGTTTATTCTGAAAATATTTACTTAAGGAACGAAATCTTCTTCACTTCAAGCTTCAGTCAATGTTTATTTGTTCAACCGGGTGCTGTAATTTGATCAAACTGTGAAATTTCCCAGATGTGTCAAAGGGTATTCGGAAAAAAATCATAAATAAATTGTAATTTTTATTTTTTTACTAAACAGTTCACTTTTACGAAATAAAAAATCTCATAAAAGAGAACAAGTTCATGTAACTAAGAAGTCATCAATAAGACTTAAATTAAATCGACTTATTTTTTGATTTCTTTACTTATCCTGAAATATATTCAATTATCTGCTCTACTTTTCTAAAGCAGAAACGTTCACTTTCATTTGCTTACTTTATTTGCTATCAGAATTATCGCTTCATTCGAAAATATTTAAAGGGAAATTTCATAAAAAATTCAAAACTTAAATGTTTTGATGTTTCATGTTAATTCATGATTTTAAAAGTCGAAAAATAAATAAGCGGGAAAAAAATTCTGGTGAAATCAATTGAATATCAAAACGAAGTTAACATAAGAAAAATTTGAGGAAATTTTATTTCACTTGATGATGTCAAAATCTTTTGAAGTTGAAAATTTTTGTTGATATTTATAAAAGAATTTGATTTTATTTAGAATTTAATTCCTTTGAGAGTTTGTTTGGTATTCGAGGCCATCAAATATTTATCTAACGAAAGGAGCAAAACCTAGTCAACTGAAAAATGAAGACAAGGCTGTTAAAAAAAATGATTTAATGTATTTTAATTCATCCCCGCATCTGTCGTTACTCATCATAATGTACGGAAAAAATGTTTAACTTATATACTCGAGCAGAAGGAAGAAAGGAAAAAGGGAAAATTTCTTCATTTCACTTCATTCGACCTTCGCTATTAATTCTCCAATCCCCGGGTAGAGAACTCGATAAAGTTTGTCGTAAATTTGCAAAACACTAAAATACCATCATATGCCGTATATTGATGGTTTCTTAGAAAAAAATAAATCTCCGTTTAATGTTCATCATAAAGTGTCAATGAGAACGCCAAGCTTAAGAACAAAAAAAGAGAGAGAAGAAAAAAAATAAATTCTGCAAGGTTTTACTGATATCTAACAAATTTTTTATTCGTTATTATCATTGAGAGATGGGAAAATTTCTTAATGTAAGATGAAAAACTTTTGGGTTAGGCTCAATTGATGATTAATCTTTTAGATCGGATCGATCGACAAAATATAAAAAAAGGAGAGTTAGAAGAAAAATGCGAGCTGTTCTGTGTTTAAATATTTATAATCTTCAACATAAATATGTACCTAAACAGATATATTACAACTTGTATCTAATTACAGTGCAGCAATGAGCAAACTTCTCCCATCTTAAAATTTTGTGTTCTGTGAGAGAAATTGCGTGCTTTGGTTGAGTCAGTTGTTGCAAAAGGTTAATCTTACGCAATTAAAAGGGAAATAAAAGCAAAAAACAACATTTTGTTTGCTTAAAGAATACTAAAAACTGAAATGAGATAAGTACAAGCAGGGAATGTGAACGGTTAGATGGAAAATTAATGTGGAAATTTTCTCTACATTCGCATTGAATTTGTTGAAAACCTGCTTACCAGAAGGTTCTTATGCTGTTCTTGGGAGCTTCAAATATTTCTGGCATTTACTTTGTTTTTAATTTGAAAGAAGAAGGTACATATTTGCTATGGTAGATATGAATTAGATATTAAAACATTTAATTCATCCGACAGGTAAAACATTACCTGAATTCTTAAGTATTATCATTCAAAAAGAATTCCCTTAATCCTCAGTTTCAGAGCTTTCATTGGATAAAAAGTATTTACTTGAAAATCTGACAAAAATCAAATGGAAATTTATGCAAAACGATTTCGTAACTTTTCAATCATAACTCAGATCTATGGGTTTAAGTAGAGAAATTGTGTGTGCGTTTGTGTTTATGAGTAGATATTCAAGCGAAAGGTTTATTCGTTGTTGAATATTTCAAACCATATCGCAACAAAAAACGGAAGCTGTTGGTTCAGTCGATAATTGATAGCAGAGTGAAAGCAATGAATATGTAATCGCGTTTTTTGCTTTCACCCTTGTTCAATCTTAATCCTTTCTTATTCTGAGAAAAGCTCATAAATCAAAGAATTTTCCGATGGAATTTATTTCAAAATCGACATAAGATAAATAATGTTTTATGTTTTTATAAAGATGAGTAGATTTTCCCTCTGATTTCTCTATTGACTCAGCCATTGTTGGTTTTTTCTAAAGATTGTAACAAGTGCCTGCAGCTTTTGCTTTATAATCTACAAATTTGCTCTAAATTGGCTCATTTATTTTCCTCCATTCACTTTTAATGCTTCTTGCATTGAAGTTTTGAGTACATAAGAGCTTTTTGAGGGTTTTCCTAACATGAAATAAAATTCCATAAAAAAATTCTCATATCTTCAATAAAAAAATAAGAACTTTTTCATAAAAGCTCTGTTTGGGTAATATAATTTATCAAATCTGATTAGATGAATCGTTTTTTCTTCATCTTATGCAATTTTCCTAATTTATTTTTTATCGGAAAATTTTATTTGCCTTTCACTTCCGTAACAGCGCAGCATTTTCTCGCTCGACTTATCACTTTTGTAGGGAATATGAGAAACCGTTTTTTACAACATAATCGAGAGAAAAACAACGACAAGGCAACGATTCATCAGACTGGAAAAAACTCTGAGGATTGAAGCGTAGGATTGAAAGTTACGTAAGCTTAGTAACAAAAAAAACAAAAGGGGCATCATCTCATTGATTATTTGATTACAGATAGCTCTCTCATTTTATCCTCGTTGTTAAGGATATTCTATGTTGATTCATTGTAAAACAAAAAGGTTCCAAACTCTTTTTTCTCTTAACTTCTGCTGATTTAATTACAAATAAAAACGAACAAAGACAACAATTGATGCTTTTGTAGCAAATTCATCAGGAGGAAAATGTGGTTTAGTTTATTACGCACAAATGTAGAACAGTTTCACGTGTTTTCGATCGGGGAAATAAAATTAAAGTTTATAAATTTATGGAGTTTTCAGGTGTTTTACGATAAAAAAAAGTTGTAAAATAAAATGAATTTTAAGCAAACATTTTGTTTTCTCATATCTTACATGAATTTTCCATACATGAAAAAGAAATGATTTCATTAAATATCAACAACATAAATGTACGTACCTTTACATTATGCTGCTCGGTATCTCTTATGAAAAAAAGTATTTTAATGGAACACAAAGTTGCTGACATGATAAAAGCTTGCATTCCAATGTGTGCTACTGTGTCAACCTTAAATTGCTTTGTTACTTTGTACCTAGTTATAAAAAAAAGTTGTAATCCAATTTCAGATGACAATCAGAAAAAACAAGATAATTTTTGGGATTCAAGATGAGAAGTGAATCTTATTAAATTTCATAAAATATCCCTGAAGAAATTTTGAATTAGATTTAAGATGCTACGAAGTTGCATATGCCTGAAGAAGGAACGAAGAGATTCGCAAAATTCTTCAACTTCTTCATGTCGGTCTTCAGAAATTGAAAGAAATGCAGCAGCAATCAGTAACTCTTCAAATGAACGTGAATCACGAAGTTTGATGAAATTTTTAAGTTCATCGATTTGCTTTCGCGTGATTCGATCACCCCGACGAGGATTGTCGATGACAAAGGTAGAACGAGGTGAGATTTATTTGCATTATTCTTGAAATTGCCTATAAAAACGTGTTTGAATATTGTCAAACGATAAAATAAATACATGACATCATAAAGGGAAAACGTTTTCAGAAAAGAAATTGATTTTTTTTGTTGCTGCGCTTGATTGGAAAATTCGCAATTTATTTTTGTATGTACATATGCTAATCCTTTTTTTAATTGTAAAAATATTTAAATCGACATTTTCATCACATTAGGTGTAATGAATGAATTCAATCTGAGTAGGTAATAGAGTATTGAATCGAAATTGGTGAGTGATCGTTTGTAGTTAGTTTGTGGTTAGAAAACACATCCCTGAAGAAAGAAGAACAAGTCCTGATCCATTCAGACTTCTTGTCTGAAAGTAAGTCGTAAACATACTTAAAAGCTTACATCAAACATCGTTCTGATACTTCAAAATACTTCCGGCCTTTCTCAATCACATTTGTGTACAACCGTGCACTTCCTACACTGAAGTTTTAATTATAAGTAATCTTAAATGTAAGCTTCAGTCATTCAAATTCCTCAAGTACTTACAAGTGCAACATGATATCCTTTACATGATATCTAATGACATGAAAAGAATTCGTTTTATGAAAAATATTCCATTAAGCTTCCCCAATGGAATGTAAAATTTAAAACATTTTCGTCTCGTTGTGAAAATATTTTCATTGAATTTGTGAGAAGCTTCTTCTTGAACTGACTGTAAATAAATTTTGAGTGAGTATCGTTGAAAAATTTAGATAATGAAATTATTTTTCAAAATAGATAATTCGATTTGTGTTGTCATATCTAATGAAGAAATTGTGAAAATATATCTAATTTATGAAAATTGACTCGATCGTTATTTGAAGTGAGAGACGTAGAAGCTTTTCAGTTTAATTAAACTTCCTTTTAGCTGCAATGATTGAATTGAAAAATTTCGTTTTTCTCTTGTGATGATTTAAAAGCTTTTTGCTTCAAATGTTTAAAAAGCAGCCTCGCTTGCTTGATTAATTTTATAATTGTCACAACGACCTCACTTCCTATAAAATATGCCAGCACTTTTATGAAGAAATTGATGGCCGATATCACTAATAAAATATCTACAGCATAAAGCGATTACATAAAGTTTAAAGTATTCACCCTCATTAGGTATATGAAAATTTATTCACAATCGAGAAATAATAAATGATGAAAATTCTGTTTTCGAAATCTGAAATAAAAGCTTTCAATCATTTTCGATTATATTTAATGAATAATTGATCTCTGCATTTCATATAAAGAAAATTATCATGTAAAAATTTTATCAAATATGACAATGAATTGATGAAATCATCAATGCTTTATTAATAAATTTTATTGATTGAATCATGATAATAATATTTAAGGGACTTCCGGAAATGATAATACGAATGAATCCCTTGTATGACAGCGTAACATTAGAATACCTGAAGCGTAAACATTGTTTCCGAGCTCTTTGCAGTTCCGAATATTTCGTTGTCAAAACAGTTCTATGCTACAGATTTTTGTGGGAATTATAATCCTTGTCAATGTCAGGGTATGAAAATGTTGAAATAAGTATTTGTCACTTTACATTGTTCTAAATAGATGTAAATTGAGTCATTGTAAAGAGCGCATTGATTATTTATGTGACAAATTGTTATCCCTTTTCCACTTTTATGTTAATTTATTGATTTTTTGATTTCTTACTCAATTCAATAAATAATGAATTGATTTATTCATTACCCAAAATGAAGACCAAAAGAAATCAAATTATCTGCTTTCGTAAAATCTTTTATACGAAATCTCGACAGGAAAATCGTTTAAATCCATTCTTCTCAAGATTTCAGAATTTCTCAAAAAAGAAACGAACATTTCAGGGTGAAACGTGTCAGAATCGTTTTTCATTCTACCCACAAAACCAGATAGAATACAATATGATCCAAATTGAATTTGAACGCAAAGGATTTTGAGGCCATGTTGGTAAGACAAGTTTGAAAAAACGAAGAAAGAAAGAAGAAGAATTCAAGTACTTTCAGTTAAATTAACAAATTGATTTTTTCATAATTCACTTCCCGATTTATTTTCAAACGAATGAATGAAAAGGAAGTTGAGTATCTACTTAAGTTAGTTTGTACATTTTTTCGTCTAACAATATAAAGAAAAAATTCTCCTGATGCTGACACAAAAGAGATGAAAAACTTACTTATCACAATGAGAAAAGATTAATGTTCGATGATTTTCATTTGATCTCATTTATCATGTTTCGGTTCCCTTTTATTTCAATCATGATTCAAATCCAATTGAATGAATGTTTTAAAAGAAATCTTTGAAGTAAATTAAATTCACGAAGTAATTCAACCATTTGAAGATAAAGAGAACAAAATTTCTTGGAAAATCAATTTATGGATTTTTTTTTGTCTTTGACAATGTTTTCAACCCCGACACTGAATAGAAATCAGTCGTGGAATACTTTTGCGTCACTCACAACCATAAGGGTGGTGTGGTTCTTGTTTCAATCATGTTTTCATTTTACTAAAGTAATTTCATTCATCAATATACGTCGATAGAATATTTGCTTTCTCATTCCCACAATAAAGACGAATTGGAATAAATGTGGAAAAAGTCTCTACCTAGACATAACATTAGATAGCAGAATTAAATCCAATTAATTATTTACAAGCATGTTTGTGGGTGCACAACATGTTATAATAGTGTGCGCTGTGTAATGTTATGTAGATACTTAATATCTGACAAGGAAGTCAAACACCTAAAGCAACCATTGGTGACTAGGTAGAAGGTTTCACTACATTTCGCCACGATATTAAATAACGTTTGCCTACGCTACTCACCAAACCTACGCTGATCAGGTTAAAGTTTATTTTTTATTTACTCTTCAGTAAGCTTTCTGACATCCCACAAGTCGCTTCTGCCATTTGAACATTTGTTCCTTTTTTTTCACTTTAAGAGTATTATTGTAGCAAGCTTTTCGACTTTTATCAAAATAATTTCGTTTTCAACTTGTCAACTTTTGACTTTGTCAACTGAAAGAATTATAAGCACATCTATTCAACTGAAGATATACTGAAATAATAAAACAAAAAATAATTATTGTAAGATTTCTTCGCAATAAATGGTTTAGAAATTTAATTTGCCTACGGGCTTATGAAATTGAAAGGCTTCTTAAAATTGGGAAGAAAAGTTTAATAAAAGAAAATACTCTCGTTTTAAATTTGTAATTAAAAAAACGCGACATAAAAAAAGCAAACATGAAAAACTTCTCCATTCCATATTTTTTAAAAACAATCTGTTGAAGTCGTTTGGGAAATACATAGACGGAAGAAACTTTTTATAGCCTATTACTAATGCAAATTAACGTTGAAGTGTGAATATAGAATATGCAAAGATGAAACAAAAATAAAAATTTTCATTATTGAAAAATATCGCTACAAATATTTCCGGTGCGTACTAAAATATTTAAAAGTTTGTGTTTGTTCTGTGGAAGTTTAACATACTAATTCAGTGATGGGACAATCATTGTGTAAAAGAAGAAGAAAACGTTCAAAGTTGGAGACAGGTGCGTTAATGATAAAGAAAGTGCTGTGTGTTTAATTATCAAAAATCTTGCTAGCGACTCTTATTATGTCATAAGCAACAGTAGGCAAAAAACCATGAAATTCAATTAAAACTTCATCAGCACACTCTGTGGTAGTTTCGATAATTAATTACGCAAATTATAACCCACACAACGATACTCATGAGACGCATCAAAAAGTCATTTTCACGAAAGCGTGAATTTTCTGACAGTTTTTACCACGGAAGTCTGAAAACAGCGTGAAGTCTGAAATATTTTTTTGATTGTTGCTTAAGGAAAGACTAACGGAGATGTTTCGACCCTTCTTGTTTTGACGCTTTTATTTTTGGCGAATCCTTTTACAACGTTATAGCTGTGGAGAAGTTTTTCAGTGAAATGAAACAATCAATTAATTAGTTATCTTCATCAATCATCATCAAAACATGTCTTAAATAAATTATCGTTTTGAATTCCTAGGTTTTTATCATAAAATTTTAATCTAAACATACATTGAATCACGAATTACCTAAATAGAAATTGAATTGAAGTTCAATCGATTGAAAGTTAATTGAAACGGAACGTGATAACGAATTTTATTGCTTTTTATATTTCATCCGTTTCCTTTTACTTTCTTTACAGTTATCAAGGCCACACTTTTGATTCAAAGATGGTATCGTCGTTATATGGCAAGAGTCGAAATGAAACGACGTTATACATGGACAATCTTCCAGAACATCGAATATTCAGCAGAACAAGATCAAGTACGATTGTACAATTTTTTCAACGATCTATTAATGCATATGCCCGAAGCTGCCAAACAAATCAAAGAGCAAGATCAGATGTCTACATCTTCAGCTGAATCTTTAGACGATGACTTTCTTGATGAGTCCGATGATTCGCTTGACGAAGGTATTGACGAGCCTAAAGTTTACAAAGGTCCACATCTCAATATTCCATTTGAAAAGCAAGATCTTGACATGCTAATCAATTTGTTTCGTAAGAGAAAATACAAACTTCATGCGAGATATGTCGCAATGATTCTTCGTGAAGGTGCAAAAAAACTGAGGCGTCTTGACAACATCAACAAAGCTTCAACTGAAGTGAAAGGTTCGAAAACTGTGACGGTTGTTGGTGATTTACATGGAAAACTTGACGATTTGCTTGTGATTCTTTACAAGGTTTACTCAAAAAGATTTCAATGAATAATTGAAAGCTCAAATTTTTAACTATATTCAATTTCACAGAACGGTTTGCCATCGCACACAAATTGCTATGTTTTCAACGGCGACTTTGTAGATCGTGGAAAGAAAAGTTTAGAAGTTCTTCTTATCCTTCTTGTTTGCTTTATTATTTTTCCCGGCTGTGTGATGTTGAATCGTGGCAATCATGAAGATGCTGTGATGAATCATCGTTACGGATTTACAAGAGAAGTCCATCAAAAGTATCGACATAATGCTGATAAATTGCTAAAGTTGATTGATCAAGTGTATCGACATTTACCACTTGGTACTCTTATTAACAACAAGATTTTTGTTGTTCATGGTGGAATTTCAGAGTCAACTGACTTGAATCTTATAGCAAGTGTTAGACGATCAAAGGTGAATGCTTTGGAACTTTTTTTAAATGACTAATCAACATTGCTTAATTTTAATTATTTCCCCTTGGCAGTATGTTTCAATTCTTCGACCACCAACGCAACCAAAAGATGACAGTGATTCAAAAATTGAGTGGAAGCAAGTCATTGACATTCTTTGGAGTGATCCAGTTATGACAGATGCAGTTAGTCCAATGCCAAATAAACGTGGAGCTGGGGAATGCTTTGGACCTGAAACCACCAACAAATTCCTACAACGACATAATTTAACCACACTAGTTAGATCGCATGAATGCAAAAGCGAAGGATACGAGATTGTCCACAATGGAAATGTGAGTTGAAATTTCTGAAATTTTCTATTTTCTATTAAAATTATGAACTCAACTTTCAATAGGTGATAACAGTCTTCTCAGCATCAAACTACTACGAGATTGGCAGCAATAAAGGCGCTTATATCAAGTTTGGTGCAAATTCCGATCGATATTTTGTTCAATTCACTGCAGCGGCTTCAAAAACAAGAAAATTAACATTCAGACAGCAAGTCGATAACGTAGAGAAATCTGCGATTCGAGAGTTAAAAGAGAAACTCAGAGAACAAAAGACACAACTTCAAAAAGAATTTAAAGAAAGAGATTCTGACAACACTGGTAAAATTATAAATCTTTAGAAATAAATAACTTAAAATTTATCTTAATTTTTATCAGGTCGCATCTCATTGTGCCAATGGTCAGAAGCAATGGAAGCAGTCACAAATTTCAAACTTCCATGGCGTTTGTTACGTGAAAAACTCGCCACAGTAAATAAGAACAACGAGATTGTTTATTCAACAACCCTCCAAATGATAGAAGAAGATGACATTGTGAGTTGAATGTTTAATTGAAAATGATATTCTTGAATTTATTTTACATATCTATAGAAAATCGTAGCTAACGGAACTGAAAACTTGATCGATACAATGTACACAAATAGAGAAAACTTGGAGGCCATATTTCGTATGATGGACTTGGATTCAAATGGATTAATATCGATAGATGAATTCAAACAAGCTTGCGAATTATTGTCAGGTAAATCTAAATAATTTCATAGACAGGAAAATGCTGTTTCGAATAGATTTCTAATTAACTTGTTATCATCACAAAAGGTTATCTTCCTAACTACAACGTAGATCAAATGTTGGAAAATTGTCGAATGATGGACATGAACAAAGATTCTCATGTTGACTTGAACGAGTTTCTTGAGGCATTCCGACTCTGTCAACAATTTCATGGCAGTAAAGAAATTGAAAAAATCCCATCAAAAGAAGGATCAGCAAGGTGTTTGATAAATAATTCAGAGGATGACAACGAAAAAGTTGAGGTACAAGTTGACGAGTATGAGATAAGCGAGATGAAAGAATGTTTGAATACGGGTGGGCAGTTGAAAAAATCTCCGTCCATTCGTTCTGTCGTATCTGTTGAATCACTGGGCCAAACTGGACAAACTCAAGATCAAAAGCAAGAAGTTGAAACCGATAAAATAGATAACAACGATGACGATGGACTTTTGAAAAATAATTGAACAATCGAGAAGGGAGATTTTGTTCGTGCTCTGCAAAATTGAAAAGAAATCAAATTTCCAGGTGAATAATTAAAAAAAGAAGAAGAAAAAAACAAATCAGATAAATCAAATTTAAATTGCTTTAATTGTGACGCTTTGAAATTTTTGAAGACTTAAAGTTTTATCATAAGAAAAATTTTAACCATCATCGATAACATATTTAAAAATGAAAAGTTTCTTTTTTTATTATTAAGATATTAAACGAAAGAGGAAATGTCAAATAAAAGTTTTATAAAGACCTTAGAAAGAATCAACAGATAAATTTCTTTTAAAATGTTTCTCAACTTAACAGAAGTCAGAAATAGAATTCGATAGCTTTTGCTAGGAAGATGGCAAACATTTTCAACGAGCTTTCGTCTCAATAACATGTAATGAAATGAAATTGAATCGAATCGTCGTCTTATAAAGTTTTACGACTCACGTTAGTGTTCTTTTTAATGGTGGATATGAGAAAGGGAATTTTCCTAAGTAGCTTTTAAAAGCAATTTTACCTAAAAGAAAGCAATATAGAAAAGGGGAAAAGTGTTTTATGTCTCAAGCATCTCTCGATTCACGAAAGAAAATCAATTAATTTGATTTAAAAAAATAATAAATGTGAGTGGGCTGAATTGCTTGTTTAATCTAATACGCGGGGAATCGATGAGAAAATTTGTCGATGAGAAAGAAAACTTTCTTAATTAAGCTTAAAAGCTTTATTTTCGAATAAATGAATTCTCGTTTACTGAGGTGAAAATGGAAACTGAGAAGGTATTTCATTTAGAATCATATCGATACGTCAAATACTAAATAGTAAAAGTCTCTTAAATGTGGTGTTACATGTTACACCCAGTCCAATCCAATGGAATTGCTTTAAATATTAATATCATAAAACTTTATGCAAATGTTGAATTGTGGTTAAATGTTCGATAAATACAAAATGGAAACACAAACATTTTTCTTTTGAAAATCGAACAAAAAATATGCTTCTAATATTCGAGAAAACATTTATCATGTGATGTTCCATGCATTCTGTTATGTTCTAACGTTTTTGCTGTGACGTTAACAAAAAAAAGAAAAAAAAAACTTTGTTGCACTCTTTACAATCATGTCGAGCACTTTTAATAAGAATTTTAACATTTACTCAATTTTTATAATCTGGTCTACCAATTTCTCTCTCGTTCTAAATTACCTCATAAGTATTTATGATATTTATCAAAGTTAAATAAACTTACATATAAAGAATAGTTCATAAATTTTCATGATAATTTGATGTTAAGTTTATTACAAAATTTCCAGCCCAAACAAAGCTCATTAATTAATTTAATAGCATGACGCTAAAATCGCTTTTACATGAAAGATAGAGAGAGAAAACTTGATCAATTAAAAATATTTAAGACTTGAAGAATATTTTTTTGACGAAAATATTTACCTACCTTAGCTATGTTATGGAAAATGAGAAGAAAATGAAATTAAAATAACTTCGCTTAACCAATGTTAACCATAATGGTAAACATTTTTGAAATAGTTCATAATCACCTCTCCTTTCCCATCTCATTTTTAATAAGCGTTCAACCTACCTCTGAAATTTCCAGAACCATAATAAAAATAACATAAAAAATCGATATTTAAATGAGTAGGAAATTTTAAATGAGCGACATAGGAGTAGTAATGAATGGGAGTGTTTTATGGCTGCATAGAGATCAATGGCGGAAAATTTATCAAATCATAAAGGAAACTTTAAAATATCTAAATTAAATTTGTAAAATGAAAATGGAAATATTCATTATTTTGAATGGAAATAATTGGATGGTTTTAAAAGAAAAAAATATGCAACATAAAAGGATATCCAAATGAAAATGTTATGAAAAACCCAAATATCAATGTATCATCAAAGAAAAAAGAAAATTACATAAAAATTAAAAAGAATTTTTAATGTTTCCCCAAAGTCAAAAGATGGACCAAAACTGAATTGTACCGAATCAAGAGAAGAAGAAAAAAAAATAATTAAAGAGAAAAAATCGTTTGTCATTTCCTGAACTTCAAAACAATTTCCTCAGTTTGTTTTTTTTATTCCTTTCCAGTCATTTCCGTGTGGAGCGAAACTATCGAAAAGTTTTGCAAGGCATATATTAGTTAATTGATTTTCACAGTTCGAATGAAATCAGATGAAAATAATTAAACTTCATATCAATCATTCAATCAATCAATCAAGCCACTCACTATTAGCTTTAGTTACAGTGATTTATTTTTTGTGGCACGCAATCACAGAGAAATCTCACATTAAGCAACCTAAATGGAGTTAATCATGCGAATTTTATTGGAAAATTCAGGTCAACATTAAGACTTGAAATTTTTTTCAATTTTATTTTATTGTCACATTTATCAAAATTTATTTATGATTTCATTAATTGCATCTTTTCATTGATATTCATTCGTTTAATTATTGATTGAAGATTATATTTAATCGTACTAAATTCACTCATCCCAACATCAAAGACATTTTTGGTAAGATTACTTAGTGTGACAGGTGGGGTTTTGGTATTTAATAAATATTTCAGGTGATTTAGAAATTGTTTTGTCACAAATTCGATTTAAATTTATATTCTGTGGATTTGAAGAGATATTTATTAAGATTCTGCAACATTGATGGGCAGAGAGTGTAAGCTTTCAAATATTTCTCTTATCAATGCTTTTAATCGTAAACTTGTCTTCTACACGTTTTGAACCAACATCATTTAAAATTCAATTTAAAGAATTATTGTTGATTATTAAATTTGATTTACGTTTCAGTTCACTCTCCTCAATTAAAATTTTACTCGATAGAACATTCCAACAATTTAATTTGTAGAAACATAAATATGTATGTCTCTTAAGTCCCTTTAGAGTTCTCGTTTTATCTCCATGATCTTAATGCATCACAATGACAAGAAAGTTTATAAAACACTTCAGTATATTGTGCTGAAATAAAATTGATTCAGGAGAAAAATGAAAACCTTAACTGCAATCGCAATTAAAGTCGCAAACGTCAAATGGGAATCCATTTGGAAGTTTATAATTTTTATGTCATGACTGTGTTGGTTACTCGACGAATACTTCGAGTCGACTTATTAAATATTATGTGAGACTTTTATGTCAATTTAAATGATTTACCTCAACAATTTAACAAATAAAAATAATATTTCAGTAATTTAAAACTTTTCTCTATGACTGGTTGCTGGAGGCTTACTTTAGATCTTTTTATTGGAAATGAAATAATGAGGATTTTATCTTGGAAAATCTCACTAAGAAATTGTGACTGAAATCAACCGCAATTGTTTGTTAATTATTTTTCCCTTCCGTACAATTATTAACCGTATTTTCTTTTTATTGTATAAATTCTTTTTCAACTTCACAACGTAAAATTTTACGTAAAGTAAATCAATCAAGAGAAATTTTCCGAGAAGTTGTCGCATGTGGAATGTTTTGTTATGTTATTAAGAAGGAAAAAGCTTTAAAATTTCCTGGTGGGAATAAATGTGACAGCGTTATTTTGATTAAAGTTCCATAAAATCTATTCAGAATTTAACTTCTGTTTATTTCTTCCCTTGATACCACACAATTTACAAGCAGTGCTAAGAGAGGAAAATGCTAATCAAACATATTTATGTAGTAAACATGAAGAAAGTTTTATGTTTAATCAAAACTGTAAAACTTGTTTAATATTTGAATTTCAAACCATCATGTAACTTGAAAAAGTTTCGTGAAAACCTTGATATCTTTAACCATTCGCAATTAAACCAGCATCACAATGAAAATTAAACAGCAAAGCATTTTTCAACCTCCACTGTTGAAATCTATGGAAAAGCTTTGTCTAATCGATTACATGCAAATTTTCATGCTATAAAAACAGTTAAGAGATATCTGGAAATATTTCGATTCTTTTCTATTCTGCATATCAACTAAATTTGAGAGCATTCATGAATAAATTTATCCGACATATGTAAGTGGAATTACGAAATGTCGTAGTACAAGGAACATTTTATTGATTCAATGACATTTCAAGATAAATTCAACAAGATAGATAATGTCTTTGAGATGTGATGTCGTTTTATTTCTTTATTTTGATTTTGTTTGAATTATTTTCTAAGCGGACAATAAAGAATCACTGAGACAATGATGGGAAACATGAAATAGAAATTGAACGTGGATATATTATTTAGTGTAAAAGCTTTACAGCTGTCTTGATTCAATCAAATAGAAACTCATTCTCTTGAGAGTTCTTTATGCATTTTCGACACGAAAATCCCATTTTTCACATGATTCAAACTGCTTTACCATGTTGTTTCTGTAGTTGTTTTTTAAACCTTCAGGTTAGTCGTGTTAGAAAAACAACAAAGCTTGTTACAAAGTTTTATACATACTTATTTAACTAGTTAAGGAGATTATTTTCAAGGGTACTTGATAATTCGAGTGATAAGTAGTGAAACCTTGACTCTTTATAAATGTACAATGGGATCCCTAAACTCACCTTAATCTCTGACTTCATTTAGGTATTTGGTAATGGTTTTCTCAAAGTGCACTTGATATGATAATCTAAACATTCTTAACGGATTGATTCTCAACTAATAGGATTCACTAATTGGTACATAATTACCCAATTAGTTTCACATCCAAACAGAAATCTACAATGTTGGTTGAAGAGTTATCAAGGATTCTTGCATGTTTTAATTGTATTTTCAAAGACTCTTCAGCTTATATTGTTAAGAAACGTGAAGGACTAAAACTTTGATAAAACTTTCCACATAAAATGAAGTATTGAAAGAACTTCTGCAAGTGCAGCTTCAACTCACTCTCGTGAAATAAAACTTTTGATATATTTTATTAAGACGAGATTCATGAAAATTTTACATTGCTTTATAATTTTCAAGTTTAATGCACTTAACTCAATTGCAGCAAAGTCATATTTCATTCAAATTTTCGTTAGAATATTCAGCTTATATCAGACGAGAAATTAGTTTTTGAATAAAAGAAAATTTATTAGTCTGAAGCTTTAATTAATATATTTAAATAAATCTTCTTTATCCCTGAGTGTTTAATTTAGTCAAACTTTAAACAATAATGATAAAAGTTATGATAAAATTTTCCTTTATCAAAAGGAAAAGCAAAAAAAGTTTTTCTTTGAATTCAATTACAAATTTCACTTTATGCCTCTTTGTCAACACAAAGTTTTAATTTATTTAACTTTGAGTGAATTTAGAAGATTTTTTATTAAAATTTTATTCCAGCAGGTTGTGGTAAAGAAATCTTTCATGTATTGTGGCGAAACGGTTGAGAAGGTTGATGTGTTCGGGAATCAGAGCTTTGTCTAAGTAACTAATTGAATATTGTGGGATGATGGTGGCTTTTAGGTTGACCCCATTCTTAATAAACTTGATTTGTTCCCATTTTATCACCACCAAAATTATTGTTGACTATCATCCTTTGCTCCAACCAACATAAAGATCTGTGGAGTCTTCAATGGTTTTATTTTTCTGTCACGTAGCAAGAAGGATACAAAGTAAGTGTTGTCATTGTTGGTATCGAATGATTCGTTGCCTTCCATCGGCGCAAGGGGTTTTGAAAACAAACTTTGCTGTCGTAAAAAGGTCGTAAAATTCAGAAAGCTTTCTTACCAAACATTTCAAGTACTTTTGAAGCAACTTCAGAGATATTATCGATAAGAACTTGGATCCCTGGATCATTTTTCTCATCGACAGAATTGTTTTCAGTAAAAACCGAAAATCCGAAGAAATATAAATTTAGTTCTATAGGCTTACACATAACCCTTGATATCATTTAATTAGAGTACCGATAAGATGGGAAAGCGTGCAATTAACAAAAATCCTTTTTCCATCACACCAAAAGAAAAGAAGAAAAGTAATAAGAGGATTACAAACTTCTCCCTCTTTAACAACTTTAAATACTTTGCCCGAGAGCGAGATTTCCCGACATTCGAAACTTCGGGAGCTGAAAGTTAATTAGATGAGAAAATGTTTTCTTTCTTGTCGCTTCGTTTTGGATTTGAATTTGTTTTGGTGCTGGAAGCTAATTAGATAAGAAAAATATTTTCTTTTCTCGCGTAGGCTTAAATTTTAAATAAGTTAACAAGAAATAAATTTGTTATCTACTTAAATCAAACTACGTTGAATATTGAAAGATTTTGAGAAATGAAATGTGAAAATATTTTAAAATGTATAAAAGTTATTCGAGTCAGAACACATTTTTAAGATGGGATTATATGAATATTAATTGAGCAGAGTTTATTTATTTAGCGTTTGATTGCGTTTTATGTTGTCATTTCATTCATTATCATAAACATCTTCATCAATGTACATAATTATAAGAAAAGTACAACGAATTGAAATTAATTTCTATAATTATGCAAACTTTTCTTCTTTACAACTTGTAATGTAGTTAAAAGAAAGATTAGAAGATTTATCTCACTTCTTAGTTCAACCTTGAACAAAACTTTATAAACATCGACAATTTGAATCAAAACGCTTTCTGACAAATCTGACTAAAGAATTAAAATGTATTCAGAATGTGTCTTCAGATTTGCCATTTTTTCAGTGTTATGAAATAAGATACTTTTCAAATGATTAAGTAAATATTTAGTTATTTTATTCCATGAAGCATTTCAAGCTTGCACAATACATATTAAAATTAATGATAAACAAAGGTTAAAAAATTCTTGAAAATTGTGTCAGTCTTTCAAATTTAAATGTTTTCATTTATCTAATATGAATAAATACGATTTGGATCAAATAAAAACAGAACTGATTTGAATTTTTTGTGAAATCAATACGAAAACAATCGTGACAAAGTGATTGAGTCGAGGAGAAAAAAATCTGGTTTATCAAAAAGCTAAAAGATTTTAATTATATTCGTCGTAAGTAATCCGATCAGTAACACTCAACACCAGAAATACTTCCTTGGTCTTCTCCTCTTGGTTCTCTAAGCTCAGTTGGCTCATCAGCTGCGACCTTTATTTGCAATTGATTAAGGGTTCTTATCAAAACCGACAAATTTAAGCACTTCCAATTGTTTCGTGAAATTCCAATTTCTCTTAATTCTGGCAAAACAGTTTTTATCCTCTCAAGTCCCTCAATAGCACTCAACTTATTTCCACTTAAATCGAGTGTTTTCAATTTCTCCAATCCAGTAAACATGTGCAGGTCGACGGTTTCAAGCTCATTATCAGACAGATCCAAAGTCATTAAGTGCTTATTGTTACCGAAAATTCCAAATGGAATTATTTGAATTCCTGAATTCTTCAGATACAAATATTTGAGTTGAGTCATTTTTTCGAAAGAATCTTCATGAAGAATGCCTACAATTGAATGAGACAAGTTGAGATATTGCATCGTGGTCATCGATTTAAGAGATGGAAAAACATGCTCGATTTGTCCATTGTCCGATAAATCGAAATGATACATTTTTGAATCACCATTCACAAAGAAACTTTCAATGTTATTCCTTGGCGCAATCAATCCTTTTAAGTCTTTATGAATGTGGAGCCACTTAAGCTTATTGTTTGTCACTGCCATGTACTCAACCGAGCAATTATCGAATGAGGCTGTTTCAAGAAGATTGTTGTTTAAGTACAGCTCGGTGATTTTCACATCGGGACATGAAAATGATCGAATAAAATTATCTTCCAGACTTAAGTCTTCGAACACAAGATGAGAAACTCCATGGCTTTCCTTAACAAATCTTATTTCATTGGAATTTAAGTTTAATTCGACAGGAAGCTTTTTCGGATGTGCCAGCGGTGCTAAAGTGGCGTAATCAATCTCTTTGATTTTATTGAATGACAAATCAACTTTATACAAATTATCACCACATCCAATAAATGTCATTTCACTGATTTCTGTTATCAAATTTCTCGCTAAATCTAAACTTCGTAGATTTTTCATGTTTAAGAATATTCCATCTTCGAGACTTGTAATTAAATTATTTCTTAATGAAAGCGATGCAAGATTATGCGCATCCATAAAATCATCACGTGTTATAAGCCGCAATTGAACATCGTTTGCAGCAAATGAAGTCAAGTTTGTAAATTCTTTAAAAATCTCAGTAGGAATTTTTAACAATGTTGATGCCTTGAAAACGATTGCACCGATTTCAGAGGGATTCTTAGCGGCAAGACCTGGCTTTGATATTTCTTCAATAAGCACTCTGACTTCAGAAGCTTCTTTAACATTTTCCACATCGCATATGAAATGCGGTCCCAAAGAGAAAGAAGCTCCAGATCGACTGTAACTTGTGCTCTGAGTCACATAACGATTACATTTCAAGCTTTGATTATGTTGCCATGAAAGTTCAAACAACCCAACTAAGTACAACAGCACGATTGCTTTTATAGTCATGATCGAAATTAACACTTTGAATCTTGAAACGAAACTGAGTCGAAGACGTTCCTTTTGCCTTCCTTTTTAATTCTGATTTGTCATCATGTTCTAAAAACAGAACTAGAACTATCTAGAAATACATAAATATTTATGTAGATGTAAAATGGAGGGAGTAAAGAAGGAATTTCTTTGACATTGACAAAGATAATAACAACATACACGACTTAACATAAAGCGTAGCGTGCTGTTGAGTTTACGATAACGTGCTCTGTATTCATAAGGGTCTTATTTCAACGATAAATGCTAGAGAATTTCTAGAAAAAAAAAGTTTTCTCTGGATTCTGGTTTATGATAACTTTCAAAAGTTCTGACACAAGTTGAAACAAGTTTTTAAATAATTCACTCACATATCATGAATTCGTACCAAGCAAACATAAAATGTTTGTCTCCATTTATCCTATAAAGAGAGTTAACGGTTGGGATGTCAATGAACTTAATCTCAGCTAAAAATGTCAGTTAGAAATGTAGGAGAAAAACGTGTAAAATATTGAGGGGAAGTCTTTGTGAATGTGGGTGAGCTTTGAAATACATAAACTGCTAGAACATTTACATAGTTTTTCGGCAATGAAATTTAAATAAAAATTACCCCTTTTTGCTCAAAGAAAACTGATAAAGCTTTCCTAGTTCTCCAACTTTTTAGTTAAATATTTGATTTGATTTTATTTATCTTGCATGAGTTCTGAAATCTTCAACTATTCAAAACTATTCCAATGATTTCGTTGGGAATTCATAAAATTTACCAAACATTTTCATTTATCATGCTTGCGATCGGAATTGTAATAAGAAACTAGAAAAAAGTCATTACAATGGAAGATTTATTTTTACGAGTTCAAGGAATTTGTACTTTGAACTTGGAATAAATTATTTAACGTGAATAACTGCGCAAGAAACAGTTTCAAATTAAGAAATATGTTACAAAATTGCTTGAATGATTGTTGAATTCTAGATAAAAGAAGCCGATGATAAGACGTCTTGCATACCTTTGAGTATTTTAATAAAATAAATCTCAAAATCCCACGGAGATTAATATTTGATTGACTTGCTTATTGAATTTTTATAAAGTTCACTTGTGTAGTTAAAGAGAGAAAATTTATTGTTCATTCACAAATAAGAAAATCTGGAGACTTGTCGAAAAATTTCAGCTTTTATTAAGTAATGCAACAATGAAACTTTGACTTGTTTATCTTTTCTTTTGGCTTCAATCAACAATTACTACGAAGTTTAATATTGTTCGGGAGAGTGCAGAGAAACGAGTTTCTTTTTGAAATATCAAAAGACGATTTTTTTTTGTTATTTTTGGACTGACATTGGTTATGCAAGTAACGTTTGGCTAATCTAACGGGAACTTTAAAGATATGCATTTAGATTTGTTTATTATTTTCCAGTATTTCATTCATGAAGTCAAATGAATCTCTTCTCAAATCAAGATCATGTAGAGAGGAATGCAGAAATAACATGCAGAACAGACAAGTCAACTTTAAGGTGAGATTAATCATAATTAAAGTGATAAATCAAGTAAAATTCAAATTGCTTTTAAAAATCGCATTCAAATATTCGAGTTTCAGAAACAGCACACAGAACCAAGTGAATTATAAAAGTTGGATTAACCTTTTGACTATAAGAAACCGAAAGAATTGAAGCACATTGACAAAATTATTTATTTCATGCACATTTATCAAATTGCATCAATTGCACTACAAATAATCTTTGAGATGTGAAGAAAAAAGTTTGACATGATTGTGGAGAATTTCTCTTGACTTGAATGAAGCATCAATAATCTAAATATTCAGAATAAGAATCGAAATGATTAGCAATAAATAAATCTTGATTGATTACCAATGAATACCAATATGTAGCGTAAATCAAAATAATAATAAATAAACAAATTCTTCTGAATGTCGTTCAAGTTATTCAAAACCTGTGTGTTCCAATAATCTAAACACCAATTTTGGTGATTTCATTCTAAAACGTTTTAAGCTCAAGTCAAGCTGAGAAAGAGAAACAAAAAATAATAATTGATGACGACAGTTTTGTTGTTTAGATTTTGAAAATGCCTCAGTGTTAGGCGCTTGGATGACTTCGTCAACATCTGCTTAGATATTGATAACATTTACAAGTATAAATCTATTAAACCTGTTTGATTGCAACGTAGAAAAATATTAGCGATTTGATGGGAAAAATTGCATTTTGATGTTAATTTCTGCACGAATATTTTTTGACACATTTTAGCCTTTAAATGCCATCGGAAGTTTTTATTTCTTCTACTTAAAAAGATGTTAATAAATTTCTATAGAGATCACTACCGGAACCGTACACTTGAAATGTATTTAAAGATACAAAAGAGAATAATAATTATTTGTGGAATTGACTTCACGAATGGAACAACGAATGTACTTACTTACTTACTCACTTACCTACATCATATATATTGAAACATTGAAATATCATTTGGGTTTCAAAGACGATGTTGTTGAAGAAAAAGCGCCTAAAGGCTCAGCATCTTCATCATTACCATTGAAGTCATCGATTACACAAACAATTGGTCAGCTATGCTTATACATTATGCTCTGTAGAAGTAAACACGAATGCTTGCAATAGAAGAAAAGGCATGAGTCGTTCGCTCACCTCAGAGACATGATTCACCTTGATATTATTTCACTATCATCATTTTCGTGTCTAAATAAGTGATGTCTTGTTATTATATCATAGTATTAAAGCTGTCATCGGCAATCTTCAGCCGGTAGGATTGATTCGAGACTCTGAAGCTACGTTAGTGTTAAATTGCCTGCCGACAATTTTCTTTCTTTACCACACGCAAAGCAGCGCCAAAATGCGAGGGAGAGAAAGAGAAACATTCATAAACCGATTGAATATCTACCATAAGCAGCTGATGGAAGAAAAAAGAAGACGAATCCGAAGAACTTGACTGAAGAAAAATCTATATAAAAGCGAGAGACATTCAATTACGTTTGGTTATTAGTATTTTAAGTTTCGGAGCGACTCATGTGAGTGCTGTGAGAATCGCGCTGTGAACGATAAGAATTTTGATATTTTTTTTCTCTTCGACATCATTTTATTGAAATATTTCAAGCAATTCATTTGATGTAATTAACGAAGTTATTGGCAACAGCAACATAAGATAATAATGACATTTTTTGGGATTACTGTGACATTGGTAAGGAATGCTGCTTATCTAAACAGTTCAGAAAGAAATTATGGAAAAATCAAAGATTATCAACACGAAAGCAGACAAGCGTAAAATAGGCAAAGATAAAAGAAAAGAAGAAAGAAAGTGCCGGAAAAAATGTGTTGACAGAATTAATGGAATGTAATCACGGATTGAGATAAGAATCTCTTCCCAAAAGAATTGATTTTTTTATGATCATAAAATGCTTTCCTTCGTATCTTTGTATCGTCAGAAGAAGAGAGCTTGAGTGAAATTGAACGTGCTTTTGTAAATATCAGAAGAAGCACTTTGACATTCCTTGATATTAAAGACCTTTTTCTATATTCATCGATAGACATGACGGCCAGCATGCACACTTTGTGATGGAGAAAAAAAGTGTTTTCTCGATGATCCTCAAGACAGAAAATATTTTTTTTCCCATGAATTGAATATCTAAACATTTGAAGTGAATACTTGAGATTGTTTCCATAACGAGAAGAAGTAGAAGAAAAAAAATCGCTTCGTTCGTCCCACAAATATGTCAAAGTCATCGAATGAAATTATGATGAGGGATCTTTAATAATAAAAATAAAAAATGTGCGTTTAAGTGATTGTGCAATGATTTATTGATGATGTGCATGCAAAAGTGAACAAAAAGATATTAATTGAAAACTTAGAAATTATTTTATTTAGTGGGAAGCTGCTTTTGGCCTTTTCACATTGAAATGTCAAAAATTGTTTGTTTGTTTGGGTCGACAGGTCGTTATCGTCTGTATAAAGATTTCAATGTTGAACAAACTTTATTATTATGTTTCCAATCGATAATACTAAATCTTCTTACGTCAGTTATTTAATGCACCCAAAACAGTTGCAAAAACCTTGAAGAATGTATCTAGATAAGAATCACTTCAAAAATAGTGAAGATTTTCTAGAACACACAAGATCTTAGCGTAATAAAAATGTTATTTATGGATAGTCTCAAAGTGTTCTCTTGAGAATTATTGTCTGTAAAAAGCGTCACAAAGTTATGAACAATATAAACCTACAAAGTTATTTTACTTCTCCGATAAACGCTACCCATAATATATTTAAAAGAAGAAAAATTCTAAAAATTTATTGAGAGCAGAAAACAGAAAAAACTTGTCCGACTTTTTATAGCAGAAATAGCTTAAGTCGGGGTTTTGAAAAAATGCTTTAGTTTCCTGATATCTCATGAGAATCATATTTATTCAAACCCACATCGTATCTTAAAACAATGTTTTCAATCTTAAAGAAGAAGATGAAAATGCCAGGCAACAAAATGCTTTTATCATAAGCGAGTAACATCATTTGTTACAAGAAACTTCTGTAGCTTAAAGTTATCATTAATAATCAGCTTCGCCAGTAATAAATTTCCATTATTATGTGATGGGTCTCCCTTGACATTGCAGCAATACTTAATATCGTTTATTAAATTTATTAAAGGCGAGAGAAAGTTAAAGTTATTGACGTGAAGACGAGTAGCGTGGGGAAATATTTAGATAAATAAGTTGAAGGCTTAAAATCGTTACAAGTTCCATGACTAGTGACTGGGATAAATGATAATCTTTCTTTTCGAACATAGTTTTGCTAAATGATGAATTTAGTGCCAACATCAACGAACATTGAGTAAGCTGTAGCATCATTTCTATATATTTAGGGCGAAGCTAGTTGAAGCATGACATCGTAAGTTGAGAAAGCTTTATGAAGTATGTTTTGGGGAGTTTTATCCTATAAACTGTTGTAAAAGCGTTAAGAGTGTTTCGTAAACCTCATATATCTGATAATCCATAACAGTTAAGGATATAGAGACAGAAACTTCATGAAAATTAATTATAAACTTTTGCTGTTTCACGGAATCAAGATTTATTTCTACAACTCATTGCTTCTTCTGCTTCCCAATAAATAAAAATTTATCATATGTGTAAATATCTGCATTCAAGTAGTAACGTAACATCATGAATGTTGGATCGTGAGATAGGAATTAAACAATGGGTAGGATAAACAAGCAAAAAAATGTTTTGTTTTTTTCCTTCATCATATCAAAGAGATTCTCCTTGACTTACCACTTTTTAGCATTTTGATATCAAATATGTGAATATTTGTCAAAAGAAATACATTAATTATCTTGTACCGATCAATCAGAAGCTTCTGACTTGACGGTAGGTAGAATTTGTAATAAATCATATGTATGAAGGGATCCTTGGATCTCAAAGCTTTAAAAAGACAAAAGAGACAAAGTTGTGATGGTGAATAAGACGAAGAAAAAATATTATTAACAAAGAAGAATCGTTCAGTGAATAACGTCATAAATGAGACATATCTAGCGTTGATAGATTTATTGTAATTTGATAAGTTTTCTCAATATAATTTTCATACGTTTGGCTTCATTCTATCGATTCTATGTATGCCATTGGTATCAATTTCTTGTCGTCTCTAAACATTCGAATGTGCTTTGTGGGTTTTGTTCGAGATTACAAATATTCTATTTTCATATGAGACTAAACAATTTTTGCTATGAGAATTAGTTTTCTTTGTCATCGAGTAATTGGTTTTGCTCTGACAATATCGATTGATTGAATCAGTGTCTCAGTGTCATAGAACTTAAGAATTGTGTAGCTTGAAGCACAATCATCAAAATTTTAAAAGTCGACTTCAATTAACGTTTGCATTGTAATAGTTTAATGAGTCAAATCAAGCCTCACATTCCACTTTAGATTTTTATTAACTTATGTTCTGCCTTCGAGTTTAACACGCTATGACAATGATTGTTGTTTGACGATTAATTAGCGTTAATTCATTTGAGGATGAGTCTCAAAATCCGGTAACGGCCAATCAAGTAGCATTAAACTACTCAGCAAAAACTCTCTATAGATTTTTATGACGAATTAAAAGCTTCTACGCAAAACTTTCAGAGATTAAGATAAATTACCTAACTTCATTAAATGTCGTTCCCAAGATTTTTATTTACTTTTTAGGGATTTAAATCAACCACACGACCTTTAACTTTTGTCTTCCTCAATTGTAAAGAAGATAATTAATCTGAAAATCACGCTTTCACTTAAATGGAACTGACCTTTTGTCGAATACCTCTTAACTTTCATGCTGAGTGCTGATGCTGAATGTTAAGTACAAAAAAAGAAACCAGAAATTGAATGATGATGCTATCGTGTGTCAAGATTACAGAAGATTATCCAAGCGCCTTTTTTCCAAACATATTAAATTAATTCTTCGATGGATATCTACTTAGCAAAGTTTAAGCAGATTGAAGTTTGAATAAGCTGTGATTAGTTTAAATTCCCAATATATTTCGGTTATTCATCAAACCACAGACAATAATCGAATGACATCAGATTAGCTAGATATAGTTAAGACGTAGTTGAAATTATTCAATTGAAAGCACCACAACAAAGCGTTCTTGTTTTGCCACATTGACATTCACATTCATTTATTTGAGGTGTCTCTACATTTCTGTCAATCACCAACTCAAATTACTTCGTCATCTCTCACAACTCGAGAACAATCAACACTGATTCATTATTTGATTCAACAAGAGCACAAAGTCATTACCATGCTACACACTTTCTTGTTGACATTCGAAGTTGGAAATTATAATAAGAATAGATAATAAAATTAAACAACAAAAATATTGTGAAGATTAATCATAAATAAAAGCAAGCGCGAAAGGTTAAGATGCAAGATTCATTCTTCTTACTTATTTACTTCATTGCAACATGCACGAATCGTTTCGTTTGACCATTTCCCATTTTTGGTGAATTGTGTCAAGATATTTATGTGAGATTGTGCAGTGAAATGTTGAAATAAAATATCGCTTATGTCTGATGGAAATTGAAAGTTCTTTAAATTATTTTTCTTTTTTACCTTTCGTTCCGATGTTGAAACCAAATTCCCAAAATAAATCGATGAAGAGAAGAGCGAAACGAGAAATCGATTCTTCCAAAAAATAAATTTAATTTATGCGAAAATAAAAACTTTTTTTTGTGTTCAAGTTCAAGGCGAAAACGTGAACAAAAAATAAACACATGAGACAGTGACCGATTGAAGAAGCGATGAGTCTACGTACTCTTCGTTAAAAAAGATGATTATTGTTGTTAAACTAGTTTCACAAGCTTTGTCTAACAAAACATAATTCAAAGGAATCATTATTTATTACTCTTATGTCAAAGAAACTCATTGGAAATGAATAAATTTTTCTAAACTGTCCATTAATCATCAAACCAATGAAGATGATGATGTGAGCTTGTTAAATAAGACGTTCGAACGACTATTCACTGTAGACAAGCTTAGAGAATTCCTTCTAATATTGTCTCCATTTCACCAACTAGATCGTTTGAAGAGTGGTTCTTAAAGTTATTGAGAGTATATCGAACTTTTGTTTGAATCCTAACAATAAACGCTTGAAGATATTCCACATTTCTCTTATATCTATTTGTATTGCAAATTTTTGTTTGAAATTGCTAAAGCAAACGTTATATGACTACCAATGCATAGGATAAGCGTTTCAAACAAAGAACAATTGAGAACATCATGGAGAGAAAATAAATACTTCAAAGTCCTGATAATAAACAATGTTAGAATATTGCGCAGTTCTCAAATTTTTATTTGCTTTTCATATTTTGTTCTTCTTGTGTAACTTAAGAGGTTTCCATAACTTTAATGCTTTGAATGCTTTGTACTCTAATTGTAGGATTTTATTGAAGGAAAATTTCTGTTTTGTTAAAATGAAAAGTGTTTAGTAATTGCTTTATTCTACTTCTTATAAAGAAATGAGAAAAAAATTGTTATGATGAAGGACGAGAAGAGCTCTAAATAAATTTAAACTTATGAGAGTGGAAATGAATTCAAGTTCGTATCATTTCGAAACAAAAAAAAAAGTTATTCTTGTTGTTAAAATATTTTCTGTGTGGAAGTTTTATTGACAATAATATCGACCATTTATCACACCTTAAACATCGAAGTCGGATTGTAAATAATGTTTTCGTTTCTTTTTCTTTTTCTTTAGATTGTCTTGCCGCTAATTTCAGCCGCGAGAATTCAACTCATAGATATTACACCGGAGGAAGCCCAAAGACTCATCACGCAACAGGTAAATTTATTGATTGTTTCGAATATATTTTAATGTTTAGCGAAGTAAGAAAATTAATCGATTCAATCAACGCACATAGAGCTTGGACCTGAGATATGCAAAAAAGCTCGATGAAGGTTCGGCGGTCGGACGAAGTTATAATGGAAAAATAATTGATAGCGATGGAGAATTTACAGAAGAAACGTACGAAGCAAACCAATTTCATGGCCAGGATGGATTGGGACGAGCTATTTTTGGATATACCGACAACAATCAAGCACGACTTGAAGCAAGAAATGCTAATGGGGAAGTGCGAGGTAAAAGTAAATTACAAAAGTTAATTGGAGAAATAATGAAAATGCTTCTCCCATATTTCCTTCCAATTTAGGTCAATATCAATATATTGATGCGTGGGGTAATGACATTCAAGTACAATATTGGGTAGACAGTTTGGGCTTTCATCAAACTGATAATCATCCTCAATATGATTTACAACCCGTCACTGAGACACCGGAAGTGAAACAAGCTCGAGAAGAACATGAAAGGTTATGGAAAGCAGCAGCAAGACTTAATGGAATTGATCCGGATGCAAATGGTTTCTACAATTCACATGCTGATAAATTGGATAGCGATGAGAATGGTGAATTGGATGGGCAAGTGTCAAATCAACATCAAAGTTTGGCACGTTATCCAATTCTCCCTTATTCGAAGCATATCGGACCGAACAATGCGAAATTCTTTGGGAAGGTTGATGGAGATTCTGTGATTGTGGAATCATCATCCAACAATAATGAAAATCGTGTGAGATTTGCACGACAACAACAAGATCAAATTGAAGAAGTGACAAGTGAACCGAGAGGTTTCTTTTATAGTTTTGATTATCCTGTGCCATATATCGTTGAAAGAAATTCCAAATTAAGACGTGGAGAACAAGAAGCTCAAGGAAGTGAAAGAATTTCTTCTCTCATTGACTTCCGTGCATTCGAAGATAATAAAATTGAAGCATCAAAGACTGAAGTTCAAGCGGAATTAAGAACGGAACGACCAAATGTGACTCAAAGGATTCAAGAACCTGTTTTGCCACTTGAAGTTCATGATACTCAAACAAGTCCAAAGCAACAAGTTTCAGAAGCATCCGAAAGTATCAAGTTAAATAAAGTGCCATCAATAGAAGAAGTTCGTGGAGAAATTTCAAGCCCCAAACCTGTAGCAAGTCGCAGTCGTGGATCGGTTAAGTTCAGTAGAAAATCTTAATTCAAACATTACATTTTCAAGCTTTTATTTCATTTCCAATAAAAAAGAGTTCAAAACATAAGAAGATTAAATAAATCCAACAAGTTATAAAAAATCTTTTCTTTCATGTGTCGACGTTTATTTAATTTCTTTCGCCGGTGTTTTGAACTTGGCCTTGAACCTAATTCAACTTTGCTCTTCTTCAACCGAACTTGTTGTTCTAGTTCTTCCTGTTGACTTCCGTTGCTGATAAAGTACGTTGACATACTTTCATACATGGAATTCATTCCACTTATCATTGCGGATATTGTATCAGGAACATTAATCTCGATTGGAAAAATGCCGGAAGCTTCCATTATTTGCTTGAAGAAAATTCTTGGCTCATCTTTCACCGTCACATTCTCAAGTTTATTTGGAAGAATTTTAGCGTCTACTTTGCTAACAGTCAACAAAAATATTAACAACACTACTCGCATTTTCACTTCACTTTCTCAACACGTCTTGAATGCAACTGAATATAAAAAAGTGCACTTCATTGGCTTCAATATTTTTATAGCGCATCATCAGAAAGTCAAGCATAATGCCATCTGTGAACAAACAAATTCATCAGAAATGATTTTGATATTTCTCTTAAGTGTTGATGACATCAGATTTTAATAAATTGAGGTGTTTCCAGCTGTCGGCCATCATTTAATTTGTGTCGCTTTCCATTTCGTTCGCTACGGGAATTTTATTTGTTGGTGATGTGTTAAGCGTCGGAAGCTTTCCACAAGTGGATAATATTAAAAACGTCCAAAGCTTCAAGCTTCTGAATAATAAAGATATTTAATTAATATTATTCAATTACGAGTCTATTGCATAAATAATTAATGTAGGTTTATCGCACCTATGAACAGATCGTGCTCAACACGAAACAATTTACCATACTTTTATCTTAATTAACGACAAATGAATGACATTGAATGTTAATTTACCAATTAACAAGGGCATTAAACATTTAAGCACATCAAATGCCAGAACTTTTTCTTTTTGATGGGCGATTTGGGAGGCAACTTTTGCAATTATTTGCTTTGAAAGTCGTTCTTAGTGTGGTAAACAGAATGGACTTTGAAATTGACTTTTTCATGAGTTAATGATATTAACAATCATAAGGTAATATCATTAGGCATAATTTCCAACTTATCTCATTGACAGAACTTCTGTTCACTAGAATAAACTTCAAAGCTTTTTATTTGTTTTCATGTTGTTTGTTTCAGTTAATTTATATTTCGATAACATGATACGATCTAATAATAAACATAGCGTTAAGCACGTATTGTCAACGAAAGTTCTTACAAGAACTTATGGCACTTTTACACCATAAACATTCACAGCCTTCACTTACAAATGAACAAGGAAAGAAAGGGAAACATCTTGAGAATTAAGTAAGTAATGAAAATATGTTTAAGAATGATAAAAATGATTAATCACAACCACATTGTGACAAATGAGAATTTCTTTGCTCGCATAAGTACTCACATGACTTACACCAAGTCTAGCTGTTTCATTTATTTTGTTAATGTTCACTTGGGAATTGTGTTTTGTGACTTTTATCAATTTTTATCTTGGCAATTTGTCGCTACATCAAAAATTCATACGATCTCGTTATGTTTAATGGAAGCCCACAAGCTTGCGTGTCACAAATGTCTGTCATATGTGCCCTTGGGACAAGGAAAATTATGATTTTCAAATCCTTTAATGTGGAAAACCATTTAAACACCCAGTAAAGCAGCTCATGTGTCTGACATTTGCTGAATAAACGAAAATTGTTTTACAAGAATCAGAACATTGCATTTGGGATTTTCATCAATTGCTTACGATGCTTAACTATTCATCAACTTTAAACTTGTCGACATAATAATAAAAGAAAAAGTTTAAAATGTCAGTTTTTATTATAAAATTAGAAGATATAAATTAATTTATCACATATCTATGAATAATTTTTCTCTTTAAATTTACATTACTGTATAAATAGGCTCGGTGTAGATGACTGCTCCATCGTTCACGTTATAAATGTCGGGACTTGAGATTCTTTGTTGTAAGATTGGAGATTTCATGATGGAGTTCGGTCTAAATGAAATGATTTGTAAAAAGTCGTAAAATAATTCAAGCGAAAAATTCATTGGTCGGGAAAATATTTAAAGGGGAAAAAAGGAAAGAAAATCATATTTTAATATATAAAGAACTCACTTTCTGAATAAACAGCAAGCAGTTAAAGTTGAGACAAGTGACGCAACCAGCACAAGAAAAGCCAAGAAAACCAACCAAGTGCCTGATGATGTCATGTTAAGACTTTGATTTTTCACTTCTCTTCCGAATGAACATAAGCCAAGGGAGTCGACAGAATATTCAAGATAAGTTTCTCGAAGTTTATTCTTAATATCTTCACTGTTCATGATTTTTTGCGTGTCGGCCAATGAAAGCAAATTTCCATTTCGGAATGTCATGAAGCATGAACTTGTGGAACTGAAATCAAATATTTGATCAGGTTTACTTAAAACTTGCGCATCAAACATTGAAATCATAATTTCAGTTCCATTCAAATTTTCATGAATTTTGTCAGAGAATTTTGATAGCATTGGCGCCATGTCCATGGGTGGTCGTGAAAAGACAAATTTCATTATCGATTTGTCTCTGACAATGAAAATGTTTACAATTACGTCATTGTAACGTGTGTTTGTCGCTCTAATATGTAACACAAAATGACCATCGACAAAGTCCGACACTGACTTTGCGAGAATTATCTCACCAGTTCTGTTATTAAGCTCAAAGATGTCTGACAAATTTTCCTTAAACTTTTCATCCTTTCTACGATGAAATTGTGACACAAAAGTTGAGTTTAAAACTTGGTAAAAGATTGCTAAACTTCCGGAGTCAGCGTCATGTGCTTTCACTGAATAAATGAGTGTATTGAGCGGAATTGTATTTCGAATTCCAATGGAGTAAGAATCTTTTTCAAATTCTATAAGATGGTCATCGATATCAATCACATAAATAAGAACTTGAATTTCAGAAAAGTCTTCAGAATCGTAAAGTCGGGAATAAGCTTCTTTTTTCCTTTGCCATCTCAACGACTTCTTCATACACTTAACAATCAACAAAAACTTCTCAAACTTCTCTCGATCAATCGGCTTCGTTGTGGTCACAAATGCGGTGTTGTTAGTGACAACAAGCTTGAAGAACTCCAACTCGTTACCATCAATAATCTCATAATCAATAGCAGCATTGTCTTTAATGTCTTTGTCGACAGCGGTCACGTTACCAAGAATAACTCCACTTGACTGTTCTTCAAGTACCATCAGTTCAATTGGCTTCGAACTCACATCGCGCATAAAAAGCGGATCTTCATCGTCAACATCCATCACATTGATTTTTAAAACGCGTGTCGAGGCTTGCGGCGGATCGCCTTGGTCCGACACTTCGACGATTATGTTGTATTTGTCTTTCACTTCGCGATCTAACACACGAGTGGTTGTGATGATTCCAGAGAGTGCTTCAATTTTAAAATATTTTGCATCTTCAATGTCATTTTGAATTCGATACAAAAGCATTCCACTTGGAGTTGTTGGGTCATCAGGATCCTTTGCTTGTATCTGATAAACTCGGCTTCCAATTGGTAAATTTTCAGTAACATTTGCCTCTTCGTCATTTGAAGAAATAAAGTAAGGAATGCCATCGTTACTGAATGTGTCGCCAATGAAAATTTGAAGAATTTGATCGACAAAAAGTGATTGTTGTTTTGGAATTTGATTGCCTTTATCAATCGCGCGAACTTTAATCTCGTAAGGTTCTGATCGACCTCTTCCGGTCAATTGTTTTGCTGTCTTTAATTCACCAGTTTTAGGATTTAATTCAAATAATCCACCAATGTCACCTTCATCAATGATTTCATATTGAACTTCTCCTGCTAATCCATCGTCGGGATCATAAGCTTCAAGGTTGATTACAAGAGTTTCAATTGGTGAACTTTCTGCAACAACAGCTGAGATCATTCCGTCCTTCTGACGATTTAGAAATTTTGGTTGAACATCATTCACATCCAATACTTCAATTGTAACTGTTACTGACGTTTTATGTGCAACTGAAGGTTTACCTAATGAATCTTCAGCAACGACTTGCAATTTCAACAAAGCTTGTTTCTCACGATCCAAAGATTGATTTTTGTCGAGAATAATTTCTCCATTGTCAGTGATTGTAAATAATGAAGCACTTGGACCTTCAAGGGAATATTTTATTTTTGAGAAGCCTAAACTGTTGTCAACTTCATTTCTTATTGCATCTTTATCAAAAGCTTTCACTTTCAGAATTCTTTCAGGATGTTTAATATTTTCTAACACAGCAGCTTTGTAGGATTCTTTATCAAATGCAGGGTTATTGTCATTAATATTCACGATCTCAATCACTAATTGTGCTGATGAAAATGAATCAGAAAAAGGTGAAATTGCTTTGACTTCCACGATAAATATTTCTTTCTCAATATTCTCATAATCGATTCGTTGTTGAATAATAATTTTATCTTCAACAAGTCTAAAATATCCGAAGCCATCAGGTGGCTCAATTTCAAAATCTTTGATTTGTTCTTGAGTTTCGGGATCTTGTGCCTGAAGCTTTATTATCTCCTTACCAATTTCAGTCTCTTCGTTTACTTTTATATGAATTTTCTTCTCAATATTGTTCCAACCATCGTTAAGAAATATTGGACCTGATTCCTTGTAAGACTGAACGTAGAGAATAACTTCACAGATATCAACTTGTTCAATGCCATTCATAGCATTCACATCTTGAGCTTTCACCGTCAATGTAACTGAATATAGTCCACTGTTCTCAAGATTCTTCATTAAAATTATTCCACCAGAATCTTCTTCGATATTAAAGATTGATTTGTAATTGAAGTTCGTTGGATCCAACTTGAAGCCTGCCTTCGTTGTTGCCATAACCGGCTCGATAATTGAATATTTCAATTTCGAATTTAGATCGGAATCGATGGCCGTTACTTTTAATATCCTCAAACCTTTATTTCTTTCCGGCACATAAGCTGTATACGATTGCTTTTCAAACCTTAAAATGTTCATCAATAAAAATTTATTTCTAATAAAAATTCTTTCATTTAAAAATTTACTTTGGCTTTTTGTTGTTGATATCGAGAATTTTAACTTTAATCGTAGCTGTCGATGTCTCACTTGGAACTCCAGAATCGATTGCATGAACAACAATTGCGTAATTATCATTGACATCACGGTCAAGTCTAGCATATTGTGAAATTTTTATGACACCAGAACTGAAGAAAAATTAATTGATTAATTAATTATTCGGCGTTTATAATAAATTCAATACAAACTTTTCATCAATTGAGAACGAATCAGTTCCATCCATAATTCGATATTTCAAGAGCTTGTCATCGCCATCGGGATCTGTTGCTTGAATCATTGTGAGATTTGTTTCAGGTTTTGAATCTTCAGAAATTTCAATGCTATAGACTGGTGGCCCAGGAATGGAACTTCCAACTGCACTTGCAAAATGTCCTTGGAAAATCGGTCGTTGATTTTCTGAGCCCACTCGAATGATAACTTTTGTATAATTCTTCAGTCGGGGATGGCCAAAATCTTCAGCACAAATCATCAACTCATAATTCCCGTCAAAAGTATCACTGGAATGAACGCCCGCGTCTGAAATGAATATCTCACCAGTCACCTCATTGATACTAAAAACGTGACCGGAAATTGAGTTTTCTGATTTGATGTTGTAGGAAATTTGTCCATTTCCTTGAGTTGCTCCATCGACATCATAAGCTTTCACGAAGAACTGTGGCTCAAATGACTTCGAGCCTTCTCTCACGCTTCGATAATATTCATACGTTTCGAATTGCGGGAAGTTATCATTCAAGTCTAAAATATCAATAAAAATATTTGCGTTGCTTTCACGACCACCGCCGTCTTTTGCAATAAGCGATAAACTGTAACTCTTCTGATGCTCGTAATCCAAGGTTTTCTTTACGTAAATTCCACCATTTTCAACATCAGTCCCGAAATTTTCCGCTCCAAATCCTCTGAGATTGTAAGACAGCTTACCGAACTTTCCTACATCTTTGTCTGTTGCATGAATGTCGCCAATGTTCAAACCAATTTCAGAATTCTCTTCAACACTAAGTCGGTAATTTGACTCATCAAAGATTGGAAAGTTGTCATTGACACCATCGAGATGAACTTCAACAAGTGTTGATGAAACTGGCAAATGATTGACAGTTGCTAGAATTTCGAACACAAACATTCTTTTGTCATTACTATCAACGTCGTAATCCAGTCGTTGTGAATCTTTCACTTTAACAATAACCTGTGTTCTTCCTTCCCCAGATTTAGGAAAAATGTTGAAAACTCCATCAGAATTCTTTACATTTGAAATTGTCAAATTGTAGCGACTGTTTACACCAGCATCTAAATCATTGACAATTATTGACAATCTCGGCAGCGCAGTGTCAACCTCAAGATTCTCAGGAATTGTCAAATTAAAACTTGGTTTGTTAAACTCTGCCACATTATCATCGATGTCCTGAATCATCACTGTTATCGCTGATGTCGTTGAATCTCCTAACGTGAGATTCTTCAAAGCTTCTGTTGCTTTAACATGAAACGTGTAGTAACCACCATTTTCAAGAATCTCACGATTTTCTCGATCAATCTTTTTGTCAGTTGTTACCAGTTGCGCTTGACCTTTCCCTGACTTCAACAGCTTAAAATAGCCAAACTTTTCTTTCTCAAGTGTCATTATAATGTCATTTGGGTCACCAAAATCACCATCAGAAACATTTAATGCCAAAACCATGACATTCGGTTCCATATTTTCCTGAAGAACAACAGAATATGGTTCCCCATAAAAGACTGGCGGTTGATCTTGTGCATCAATAACATTAATGTTGACAGTTGCATTTGATGTCAAAGGACTATCACGAGATCCATCTTGAGCTAAGATTGTTAAGACATATGACTTACGACTCTCATAATCCACCGGCTTAATAAGTCGTAATTCAGCCAAGTAATTTCCTTCAGATTTCTTTATAGTTATCACATCAAAATAATCACATGGACTATCAACTTCTTCATTTGTTTCTCTGAAGCATGTCATTGACACTTCAGAGTTTATCCCTTCATCTTTATCGATAACAATAATGGGCGACATATCCAATACTTGACCAATCTTTGATGTTTCAACAATTTTTACACTATACGGACGGCCAAGAAACGTTGGTCGATTATCATTAAAATCTCGAATTGGAATTATTCTACGTAATGAAACGGTGTTTGGTTCTTCTCCATCATCAGCCTCGTCTGAAAATAGAAACATTCTCAACATGAACTTCTAAGTAGCTTACAAAACTTGATTAAACTGTTACCTGTTATTGTAATTATCGTTTCCAATTCGCTTACTTCTTCTCTGTCAAGTTCTTTTATCAGTTTAACGATCCCACTGTCTCGTTCTACGGAAAAATATGGCCCTGAAATACTATACGAAACTTTTCTACCTTCTGGATCAACACCTGAATCAATGAAATGAAATTGCAAAAATTAAATTAAATTGCCTACTTTCAAGTTTATGACAAACAAAAAGCTTCTTAATTGCTTTCAAATTTAAATTTTGATCTCAACGTGAAGCAAACAAAAATAAAAACACGTTCCACAGTTTGTTTTTCTTCTTATTTCATACGCCGAACAAACCAACGGTTCTTTACCAACAACAAAATATAAAAGATCTTGGGCAACCTTCTTCTTTTTATTTCTTTTCTTTTTCTTATTTTCTTGTGCTTTGTTAACTTGTGCTTGGTCCACACTCGCTTTGGATTACTGTGCATAAAGCAAGCAAGAAATTAAAATAATTTATGTGTGATGTTTTTTTCTTTCATCTTCGACGTTACGATGTTAGGTCATAGCTTTAAAGTGGCGTCAATTTGCCGAATTCAATGCCAAAGTATTGCGTTTACCTTTGAGTTTATACACTGATGTGCCGATTTGAAAGTTCTCTGGTATGCTGAATGTTGAAAAATCTCCGGTGCCTGGCACAAAATATGGTGGTCTGTTCAAACTCCCATCAAGACAATAAATTGATTTTAAAGTCAGTAGACTCGTAAACTGGAGCAGTCTAAGTAAGGCACTCATTATTTTGAACTTCTTTTAATGTTTTTTGATTAAATTATGAGTTCCATTATGACTTAAAGCCTACTAAATGACGAATTTATTCAAAAGTTCTTTTTTCTTCTTCTTGCACAAGACTCAAAGAAGTTTAACTTTTGTTCAACAAACACTTTTGCCACCTTGGAGTATGCGAACAAACTGAGCAAAGAAATTGTTGGAAATTGTAAACGAAAAAAGAAATAAAAAGCCACAAGAGAGAATAACATTAAAGTTTCATTATGAGAGTCCCAAGATCCGGTTTTTCTGGTAATTTTTCACGTGGTTGGAGCTATCAGCTGATGGCAATTTGGAGAAGAAGAGAATATCTACATGCACGAGAGACAAACATATATATAATGAAGTAAAGATACAAAATAATCATAAATTGTGTAATGGATGTAAATAAAATTATACTTCATTGTTATTTCATACGGTTTATAAATAAAAAGCACAAGAAATCTCACGTTCTAGAATAAAAGCAAACTATTTAATGTTATGTTGTAAATTCTAGAACTTTCTTTTAAATATTTTCACAACTTAATTAGTTTGTGTTTATTTGAATGTTTACACCAAATAAAACATGAAAAAGTGCTTGTAATGATATCAATAAAAGTGAATCAGCATAATTTTGAAGTGTTACCAAATAAGCTACAAAAATCGTAAATAACTTTTTATCAATTTTTTAATTTTCGTTATCAGCTAATGGTGGGCCATACGGATTAATCTTTCGAATTCTTAAATAGATAGACGCATATGAAAGTCAATTTTTTAAAATTATTTTTTATCATCATTAATCGACACTTTTAGTATCGATAAAAGATTTTAAATTGCATTTCCATACATGAGATGCACTTCACATATTAATTTAATTTTATCTTTATCACTTGAAAATTTTGATATAAAAATCTACGATGAAGTCATTGAAACTTCAGTTTAATTTTTGAACTTGATTACCTATATTCAGCAAACAAATTATAATCGATCGAAAAAATGGAAAATTTGTTCGGATTGAGTTTGTTATCACAATTTCTTGTGACAATATCATTTATGTTAATTGCGTTCATATTTTGGATTTATCGACGTCAAAGTTATTTTGAAAATCATTATATTCCCTATGTGAATTCAATTCCACTTCTGGGATCACTTACAGATTCATTGTTTGGAAAAGTATCGTTCTATGATGATATTTTAGGAGTTTGTAACCAACCAAAAGTCAAAGGTAAACCTTTTTTTGGAATATTTCTATTCCATATGCCTACTGTGATGGTAAATGAGCCTGAAATCATCAAAAGGATATTGGTTAAGGACTTTCAGAGTTTCAGCAATCGATATACAACAACAGACATTCACGATTATCTCGGATATAATCAATTGTTTTCGTTGAAAAATTCTTTGTGGAAGAAAATGCGTGGAAAATTGTCTCCTTTTTCAGCAGTGGAAAGTTAAAGACAATGTTCTATATATTGGATAAAATCAGCGATGATCTTATTAACTTCATTCACATGAAACGTGGCGACAATGAAAAAGTTGAATTAGAACTCAAGGATATGGCAGCTTTGTATTCAACTGATGTGATTGTTAGTTGTGCTTATGGTGTTGACGCAAAGAGCTTGGAAAACCCAAAAGGAGAGTTTCCGACACTGGGTCGGTATATGTTTGAACCGACAATCTGGCGTGGCTTTGAGTTCTTATCTGCATTTATGCTACCACAAGTCACAAAATTCTTTGGATTCAAATTATTTACAGACAAAGGTGGAAAGTTCATAGAAGAAACAATCACACATGTGATGAATGAAAGAGAGAAGAATGGAATTAAAAGAAATGATTTGGTCGATACTTTAATTGAGTTGAAGAATGATGATGATCCATTTGATATCAACATAATTATGGCACAAGCTGCAGTGTTTTTTAGTGCAGGTATTTAATTATTCTTATCTTCAAAATGCTGCTTGGATTAATTATTTTTTTTAAGGATACGAAACATCGAGTATAACTAATTCATTTGCCTTGTATGAGATTGCGAAAAAGGAGGAAATTCAAAATCGTGTCCGAAATGAGATTCGAGACATGCTTTTGAGAAATGATGGTAAAGTTACTTACGATTCATTAATGAATGCAACAGAAATGCCTTATTTGCATCAAATAATTAATGAAACTCTTCGGTTGTACCCAATCATACCAATTCTTGATAGAGTTTGTACAAATCCCGATGGATATTCATTAGAGCCGTATGGAGATTTTAAGATTCCTATTGGAATGCCTGTGTACATTCCAGTCTATGCTCTTCATCTTGATGCAGACAATTTCCCCGAACCAATGAAATTCAACCCCGACAGATTTTCTCCAGATAACATTCACAACATTAAACCTTTTACGTTTTTCCCTTTTGGGACTGGTCCCCGCAATTGTATCGGTGAACGTTTTGGTTTGATGCAAGTGATAACGGGCATCGTAAAAGTTTTGAAAGAGTTTAAATTAGAGCCTTCACCACAAACACCCACAGAGATTGTTATAGAAAAAAGAGCTTTTTTATAAAATCGGACAATCCTTTGTACATGAATTTAATTCATGATCCATTATATTGAAGATATACGCTTGGTGCAAATCACAAGCGAAGGCAAATTTCCTTCATCTTTGGTTTAATTACTAACCATGATCTAAACACTGCTTAGGTTCATGTAGGTATGTTGTCAATTTTTTTTTAATCATGTTTAATTGAATTTAAAGCAATGATGATTTCAACAGACGACCCTAGCGAAGGAAGAAAACAGTCATGCAGATACTCGAAGGATATAGTTTAACAAAACTATTATGGTGGATTTTATAATTTTTTTCAAAATATTAAATAAAATTTGTAGCATGATGAATGATAAGTTTCTATTTAAACTTTATTTTACTTATTTTCTAATGTTTTGAAACCATAAAGTGATGTTATGAAATTCAAGTTGGATCCCAAATATTATCTACCTCTATAACTTAACGTGTACATAATTAACATGTATGAATTCTCTTTTTTTCAGTTTCGGTGTATCTGGATAGCTATAAAATTAAAAAAAAAATTATACCTACATAAATATCTTTATAATATTTTAAAATTTGAAATTTGGCGCCAAATTAATTCATGAATTGACTGAATTGCAAACGAACAGTTACATTTATTGAACACTCTCATTTGAAACGAAATTTTTCTAAAAGTGAACATACTCGACAAAATATCAGAAAATCAATTACTTAACTCAACGTTTTATACTTCATCCACTGCTCAAAGAATAAGTTGATCAATCAGAATAAGTGATTTAAAGTCATAAAAGCTAAAAAAATTAAAAGTTCATTTGAAATTGTCGCGTGATTTTATGAAATTCATTTCTAAAAATCGAACAAAGAAAAAGTTCAAGAAAACGAATTTAGAAAAAGTGCATTTCAGTGAAGTTTAAAGAAATCATTTATAAATATGGAAGAAGATAAAGATCAGCAACAGCTGACCCAACAAGAGGTAAACTTTTGAGAAGAGGCCATAAAAAATCCTTGAAAATCTCACAAAAAAAACCAAATTTTCTTTGTTTTTCTTCGGACAAAAAGAAAAGAGGAAAATCATTGACCTTTTTTCTTTTCACATGAAAATTACGCCGCTTTTCTTACATTTCCGTCAAAACATTTCAAACAGATTCGAATGCGTCGTTTACGAAAGCTTGGTGTTAGTTCCGCAAATGAAAAATCTGATGAGTCAGGTAACCAAAAAACATCAAAGTCTGATGAGGCCAGTAATGATAATAACAACAGCATACCAACAGACACAAACACAACAGCTTTATCTCCACCAATCTCCAATAAGGATGACAACAAAAATGTTATTTTATCAGGTAAATAGAATCATTCAAGTAACCTGCTGCAGATAATTCAAATGACCATCTGGAATTTTTTTATTTTTCAGAGATCTCTCCGTCACTTCCTCAAGAAATTCCATCAATTCAAATTGACGATAAAATGGAAAACAATATGAATATTGGTAATCAGTCGGAAGTAATTTCAAAAATGGAGACTGACGAAAGCGAAACAAAGGCTAAAATTTCAAGTGACGATCAAATGGAAGTGGAAGACAACGAATCGAGTGAAAAACAACCGGAAAACAGCGCAATGAAATGTATTTCAAGAATTCTTGATGTAACATGGAATGAGCAGTGTGATGGATGTTATTTTGTGAAAGACACAATATCAGCAATTCTTGATGGCTCATTATCAACTGACAATCATCCAGAACTTATATCCGAAATCATAAATGAAATGCTTCGACAATATTTGACATCAACTCTCACAAAAGAAGTCGAGGTCAATTCTAATTCCGATCAGATTCTGTCGAGTCGAATGAGAAACGACGACATTGAAATGGATTACGAAGAAACGACTTTTGCCGAATCGTCGAGACCAAAACAAACGAAAACAAGCACTGCCAAGGAAGCTGCTTTGTATTATTTGATTGAATCATTTAACCGATCTTTAAGTGAAACTCAACAAGAGCTGAGTATTGAATGTCGTCAGCAACTTGTTAAATATGCAATTTCTCTTCTCGACCATGCTTGGATTTTCGAAACTTGTCAGAAACAAAGCGAAACACGATCACGGTCTCCATTACTGCAAATCATGTACGACGAAATTGTCGCATATCAAGACTTTGTACGACATTTGATGACTGAACTTTATAATAATCATCCGAAGCGTTTCAATAAAATCTTTGACGTTGTACTTGCAGATATTTATCTTGATATGAGATGCAAACAAATCAAGTCGGTGTACACACTTCCGACACATTCAATCGATCGTCTCAACGAACTTATCACAATGAGTCTCATCAACAATGAAAGTGTGAAGCCAATTTGCAATCTCGTTGTTAGTCATCCAACTTTCATGCCAACACTTTGCACTGACATACCAGGACGTGAAATATCTCACGTATCTTATTTGTCACCTTTCCTTTCGATCTCAATTCTCGTCTATGATCGATTTTATGACGAAGATAACAGCATCGATTCAGTTATTCAAATGGATTTACAAAGCAAATTGGAATATGTCAGAACATTGCTTCATCAACTTTTCTACACTTTCATTCTCAATAAAGACACGCGCGGAACAGTTCTCAAATACATTGCTGAATTGTTGAAACATAACTCAAAGAGAACACAATACAATGCTGACGAGAGAAGTCTCGCACAAGATGGCTTCATGTTGAATCTGATGGCTGTTTTACAACAATTATCTATTAAAGTGAAACTCGATCGTATTGATCCACTTTATCCATTTCATCCTCAATCTCTTGTGAACATTGACGATGATACAAAGCTTCGATTTGAAACAGCAGAATTTACGAAACATGTTGAGAAATTAAAGACAGAAGTTAATTGGGAAGATCCGAAGTTTGTTAGTCATTGTTGGTTCTTTACACTTCAAGGACATCACTTGGGAATTATTCCAGCAATCTCACGTTATCATAAACGACTTCGTGCAATCAAAGAACTTCAAAGAATGGTCGATGAACTTAATGCAACACGATCACGATGGGAAAGTACGCCACTTGCACGTCGCAATAAGCAAGCACGTGATAAATGGGCAAATCGCATTAAAAAGCTAACGAAAGCTAAGAATACGATGGAAATTATAATTCTCGATCCAGGACTAAATAGAAATTGTTTACAATTCTACAGTACGGTTTGTGAATACATTTTACATCAAATGGAAGGACGTAAGAAGATTGAAGGCGTTTTTTACAATAAAATACCACCAAATCAGTTGAAAGCTTCAGACGAGTTTTCAGCTCTTCCTGTTTGGTATATCGAAGACATTGCTGATTATTTACTCTTTTTATTAACGTAAGTGTTTATCTTCTTAACAATTCATAAATTAAACTTTTATTTCATCATTTAGAAATCGTATTGAAGTGATAATTGACTACATGGATCAATCGATTGTAACTTGGTTGTTGTCACTTGTTTGTGCACCACATTTGATTAAGAATCCTTATCTGACTGCCAAATTGGTTGAAGTTCTTTTTGTCATTTCACCAAGCATTCAACAAACGACTATGAAAATTTATAAAATGGTGAGATTTTCTTACTTTTTCCAAAGTCATGAATAATTTAAAAAATAAAATTGATTTCTTTATTGAAGGTCATGAGCCATGAACTCGCTCAATCATCACTCATCCCAGCATTAATGAAGTTTTATGTTGATGTTGAAACAACTGGACAAAGCACAGAATTCTATGACAAATTCACAATTCGTTATCACATCTCGCACATTTTTAAGAGCATGTGGAACAGTCCACTGCATCGTCAAATGATGGTGTCAGAATCAAAGAATGGAATTCAATTTGTAAAGTTTATCAATATGTTGATGAATGACACGACCTTCCTTTTGGATGAATGTCTTGAGAATTTAAAGAAGATTCACGATGTACAAAGTCTTATGATGCAAGAAGATGAGTGGGGAAAGCTTGACGCTGAAGATCAACAAAATAGACAACGTCAATTGGCGCAAGATGAAAGACAATGTCGTTCTTATTTAACTTTGGCGAAGGAGACGGTTGAGATGTTCCATTATCTTACAACTGATATTAAAGAGCCTTTCTTACGTAAGGAGCTTGTTGATCGCCTTAGTTCAATGTTGAACTTCAATCTTCAACAGTTATGTGGGTCAAAGTGCAGTAATTTAAAAGTGAGAAATCCCGCTCGATATGGTTGGGAGCCAAGACGTTTATTAGGACAATTGGTGGACATTTACATCCATCTGAATTGTGATGAATTTGCAGCTGCATTGGCGCGTGATGAAAGATCGTTTGAAAAGCATTTCTTTGAGGAAGCTGCGTCAAAGATTGAGAAAAATGGAATAAGATCTGCGATTGAGATTGAAAAGTTTAGAAGTTTGTTGCAAAAAGCGTCAGAAATTTATACAATGAATCAAAAGAATGATGACGATTATGCTGATGCACCAGCAGAGTTTATGGATCCATTGGTGAGTTCCTTTTATTTTTTTTTTATATTGAATTAAATTTTTAATTCATTAATTTCTTTTCATAGATGGCGACATTAATGACCGATCCAGTAAAATTGCCTTCAGGTCAGGTCATGGATCGTTCAGTGATTGCTCGTCATCTGCTTAACAGTCAGACTGATCCATTTAATCGACAGCCTTTGACTGAAGAACAGTTAATTCCAGGTAAGAATTTTCTCTTTTTTTTTTCAATTAAAACCAAAATATTTACTTTAAATTTTATTCACAGATCCAGAGCTTAAGGAAAGAATTGCAGCTTGGAAGAAAGAAATGAACTCGAAACGCGTTGATTAATTAAATCTAAAATGATGAAAAATGTTTAACGAAGTTTTAAATTTCTTTTCTGCATAGATTGTAAAACAAAACAAAACAAGAAAACATGTCAAACGCCAATTTTTTCAACTTTTTCAGATGAATAAAAAATATTAAATTTAATGTCATACAGAATTTTCTTTTCTTTATTTCATTATCACCATTTGACAAAATTGATAAATAATTAATTCTTTCTTAAGATTAGAACATAATTAAAATAATTCAACAGTAAACTTCTCGTGTTGAGATTAAATTTCAGGTGGCACTCACTGAAGTGTCAAGATCGCTTCCAGGACTTGACAGTTGTTCGGTTGATTGATCAACTGATGAATTTTGAGATTGACTTTGTGAATAATTTGAAGCTACACTTGGTCCTTCTTCATTTGAGCTATCTAAGTTATCACAAACTGAAGCACCATTATCTGGAGTATTATTTTGATCTTGAAGTTTCAACCCAGCGATTCCCCTTATACATAAGTCTTTTAAACTTGAAGTTATTGACTCACGTTTCACTTTTCTGTGACGAGTTGGATCTGAAGTTCTAAATTGGCGCATTGTGTCGAAATCAACTGTGTAAAGAAAACCAACAATTGATATTTGAGTATCCGTTTTAGAAGCATCTTGGAAAGCTTCCTCAATTTCTTGCGACGTTCTATCATCGTATTGCCACCAGCCATTTCCTCTGCCACTAAAATTTCATGAGATTATGAAAATAATTTCAAAAGAAATTTCCATTTTTTAATCACCTGTAGAACCATTTCACTTGAGATTCATTCTCTATTTTTGGTGGTGCAATAGCAAGTTGTTGTTCGAGAACATCAAGAGAGAAATCAACCCGACATAATGCACATTTCTTGTTCGCTGATGAGCTACGGATTCCTTTTATGCAGAGAAAGCAAAATGTGTGTCTGTAAAAACAAAGTAAAGAATAAAAAAAAGAATTCTGAATATTTTATATTTTCTACTTACTTGCATGGTAATGTCACTGGGTAGAGATATTTTTGTAAACAAATTGCACATTCTTCTTCCATTTCTTTTAAGAATTATGCTTGGAATTATTTTCAAAAAATCATTCGCAAAATTATTGAAATTGTCAACAAAGACAATGAATGCGTTTAGCAAATTAATTCTGAAGGATTCGTTCAAAAGTGTTTTTCATTTCACATGCAGTCAGTTATCTTTCCTAAGAAAGGTTTCTCTCACTTGTCAATCTTATAAAATTCAAGATTTCACCTACTTAGGTAAAATATCTCGAAGAAAATCGAAATCATTGATTTTTCTAAATGCCCATGTATTCCATTTCTTATGTTTTAATAATAAATACAATAAAAAGTACCTATAACCTAAAGAAGAATGACGTGCCGGGTAATAAGTCTTATTAAGAAATATAAATTACTGAAATCTACCTGAAAGAGACCTGTCTACATTATTGAAATGTCAAATTGTTTTCTTAATATTTTTTTTATTAAAATTTTCATTTTTCATAATATGTTTCATTTCATCTTTTTCTTTACATTTTGTCAAAAAATAAATTTGCAAATTTTTTTCTTGTTTTTTTTTTCATCATTTTTGTTGCTTTGCTTCTTCTTATTATTGTTTACTTGTAATATAAAATAAAAAACGTTTCGTACTTTGTTGTTTACTAATCATCTTAATATTTTTGTGTATAAAAAAGGATTGTTATTTGTATCTGTTGTTCCATAAAGTAGTAAAAAATTGTAAACTTCTCATCATCATCTTAATTCATTAGAGTGCTTATTGGAATGAAGATTTTTTAACATCATCATGCTATTGATTTTGCGGATCTTCGGGTGCAAAAGAGATTTTTTTACTTTTTCAACTTTACAATAAAAGACGATTTCCGAATTAATACATTCTTTCTTAGGCTAATTAAACCATAACCGCTATAATTTCTTCGTTTTGACCGCTAAAAACTTCGTTTTATGACGTAATAAAAAGTTGAACAATTCTTGTCGAAGGATTCTTTTGTTTGTTTCTTATTTTTTTATAATGTTAGATACCATCAAATTTAAATCTATTTTTGCACCTTATGATTTAATTTTTTTCTCTTCTTTTCTTTAATTAAAAGAAAAAAAGTTCAAATAAAAAGGTTCAACAACATCAAGCCGGTTTGCTAACGGACTGTTTGCTTTCAGGTTTCATCTTGTTGCGATTTCAAAAATTGTTCGCATTATTGGGTTGTTTTTAAAAATTATAATTTAAAAATACATCTTGAGCAATTAAGAAAGAATCATAAAATATAAATTGATACAAATTTAATCGAAATATAATAACAATTTACTTCATCTTATTGTTTTCTATAGTTTCTTCTTTTACATCGTCAAGAATTAAAAACTTATTCAGTCAGCTCAAAAAGATAATTCGGATGATGAAAAATGAGGGGGGAGGAGGCGAATTTAAAATATTCTTTTTTCTTTTTTTCTTCCTTTTCTTGTTTATGTTTAAACTTTTGTCTAAACTATGATGAAGAAGCTTTGAGACGACAAAAAAAAAGAAAATAAAAATAAATCAAAAATGAAAAAAGTTATCGTTATGAATTTGAATTCTCTTAAATTGTTGAAACATTCTCAAGTCCGAAAAAAATTCAACAAAACATCTTAGAATGCAGGATATTGCTCGTTGTTACCATAAGAGCGTGGTCGGTTTTGATTACTGAATGGAGCAGGCGGCGCTTGCTGTTCATTATAATAATTACCATAAGGAGCTGCTCCATTATAAGCTGCACCACCGTTGTAATCTGAACCAGGCTTCGAAATGTTACCAGTTTGTGGTGGGGCTGCATGCATGTTGTGACCGGATTGTGGACGATGTGGATACATTTCGGCAGTTGATGCTGCTGAACCAGTGTTTGGTGCAACATTCGTGATGTTAGGATTCCAAGAGTTCCAATTCGCTCCGTTTGCTCCGTAACTGCCTGCTGTTGCAGCCGAATTGTAACCGTAATCATATCCATAACCCTGAGCTGATTGTTGTGCTTGATGTGGTGGAACGCCGTAATTGTTGTTGCCCCATTGTTGTGGCCAAGCTCCGAATGATGGATTCGATGGAGTTGACGAACCATAATTGTAGCCAGATTGAGAAGTGTTCCACTGCTGGAAGCCGGTGTTGCTCATATTTGGCAAACCAATAGGAAAATTTCCATTTCCCATCATTGGACCACCCCAATGAGAACCACCACCCATCGACTGATTCGGGTCTACCTGCATCATATGATTAGCTGAACCATCGCGTGGTTCTGCTTTCTTAATTTCCACTTGTTTTCCATTTAAGTTGATGAAATGATCTGCAGTTGCTCTATCGACAGCAGCATCAGTATCAAACTGTTTAAAAAGTTAATTTTATGTTAGAAGATAAATTAAAATATTTCAATATCAAATCAGCACTCACCGATAAAAATCCAAATCCACGACTTTTCTTTTTCTCTTGATCATACATAATCACCACTTCCATGACTTGCCCATATCGACCAAAGAATGAACGCAGATCACTCTCTGTAACATTTGCGGGCAAGCCACCGAGAAAAACTTTCGGATAACCAGCATTCGAGCGTTTCGGTTTATGGAGTGAGCGAGGATTACAAGGCCTAAGGTTAAAAGAGAAAGATTTTATGAAATTTTATTCTCATTTTTGATAAGAGAAACAGAAACTTACTTTGGGTCAATCGTTCGCCCATCCAGATTATGAGGACAATTTTCCAAAGCACGTTGAACGTTATCAGGATCGGCAAAAGTTCTAAATAGATTTTTTATTGTTAGAACTTAGATAGAAAAATTATTTATGCACAGCATTATACTCACATAAATCCAAAACCCCTTGATCTTCCCGTCTCATTGTTCTTCATCACCACACAGTCAATCACCTCCCCATAGCGGCTAAAGTATCGCTGCAAACTCTCCGATTGAGTATCCCAACTCAAACCTGCAAGGGAATGAACATTTTTATAACATTTTTAGAGGGAAAACAAAGAAAATTATGAAAATAAACAAAATGAGTTTTCTTTTTCTCTCAATTAATGTAAATTATTTTTGGTTACATCTTCAATTTTTTGTTATTCTTAAATGCTGTCGTACTTTTGCCGAAATATTTGCCGCATAGTTCTTTAGAAAAAATAGTTAGGAAAACTCATTTTGGCCATTACAAAATATCCCGCTAATTCTAAATGCGTGATATAGTACACAAAAATTTCCCCATCCATCATATTCAGCGCACGCCACAATGAGAAGCTAAATAAAATCACTAAAATGAATTAAATTCCGTATCTTACCGCCAACAAATAATTTTCCTTCCTCATTGTCCTTTTGAGAAATCATTTTTTATCAATAAAATCTTAATTATAGCCCTTAAATATAGCTTAAAAAGATATTAAACGTCTTCTAAAACTCAATGTTTTCTGTAAAGTATATTTTGTTGTTGGGTATGTGTGATGTGTAAAAAGCATTTATGGTAGTGTGTGTGATTCTTAGATGCTTTGCATGTAGCGTCTCAAGACGCGCTTTTTTATTTTTATGCGCCCGAAAATATTTTGAACATTTATGAATGATTATTGTAAAGATAAAGTCCTCACATTTTAGTTCATGTCTTATTTGTTTCAACGTAATTCAAAGTTCTACTGCTCCATTTATTTTAATGAAAATTATACGTAAACATAAATTGTTGATCAGGTTGTCAGACGGACATTTTTGATATCAATGTAAAATGTTTGAAAAGCTGATAATGTCTATTCAGTAAATATATTCAGCAGCAGAAATTCAAAATAAATGTCAGTTAAAAATATTCCTTAGGAAGAAACGAAAAATAAAATCTTTGGATGGTAGGTATTAAAATTTTGCTTTATTTTCTGATTAATATGATTCATTCATAAAAATTATATTTGCAACTGATGATCGTGAGTGATCACGAATAATCATAACTAATGTTATGATAAAATATTTGTCATTCTATATAAAAGTTGAAAAATTTTGTAAAAGCGCTCAAAGGGAAAACACTCATTTAAAGCATACCAAATTGCTGGAATCTCTCAATATCTTATAAGCTAAAGTATGTCTACTGTTGCACAATTCTGATTTACCACAAACCAGATGAAGCTCCCCCGGGAGGTGCTCTAACGCGAATAGAGCTTTTCTTTGGTCCCTCATCAAGTTCTTTAGAGATTGAGAAACTTGACGCCTGCTGATCTCTTACCCCATCGGCTCTTGGAGCTCTCGCAGTGTGTGTTGTTATCTGAGTTGATGTTGTGATAGTTGAATCTGCTTTTCCTGGAACGTAATCTCGATCTTCGAATTCTTCTTGGAACTGATCAAGTTGAACGTGTTTATCGAAACCATCAACTAAGTCACTGTCACCATTTTTGCCATTAAAAATAAGAGAACACTGTGTTGGCATTCCTATAAACTGACCATATCCTTCAGCAACTCTGACATTTCCATCTTCAAGACAAATTTTGCCTTTGACAATGACGTATTCTGGTGCACCTGAGATTTTTGTTCCCTCAAAAATGTTGTAATCGTTAGCATGATGATGAGATTTTGCTGAAATAGTTTCATTTGCTTGATGATTCCAAATGACAAGATCAGCATCTGCACCCACTGTAACTGAACCTTTACGAGGGTATAAGTTGAATATTTTAGCGGCATTTGTTGATGTTATTGCAACAAACTTTTGAATGTCAATTAAGTTTGTTACAACACATTTCTCCCAAATGATTTTCATTCGATCTTCAGATCCATTGACTCCACTCGGAATTTGAGTAAAATCATCTTTGTTTGCTTCTTTTTGTGCTCGTGTGAACGTGCAATTTCCTGATGCAATGACTTGTAAATCATCCCTTGAAATAAATTTAAATTTAAAACATATTAAAAAATTGTAAAAAGGAATTGAAATTTGTAATCTTACAATGCTAAATGCTTCAGCAATAATTTGGAATTTTCTGGATCTCTTAATCTTAGTGGAGGCGATGTCTGAGTATAGACAGACGGTGCACAAGGCGCTTTACCACCAATGGAACCAACAAGAGCTTCGCCAAATACTTTGACTCCACGTCTTTTTGCACTTGCAATTTGATCAGCTGCCATTTTTGATGTGACTTTTGTGATGTAAACAGCAGACTCAGTTTGACTTGCAATAACGCATGATCTGTTTACTGCTTCAGCTTCAACTTCTGCTGGCCGTGATAAATCATGACCTTCAGGACCGATCATGCCTTTCGCCATAAATTTCTCAATGTTTTTAGCGATTATGTCTCCATTTTCAGCATGAACTTGTGGCAAAGCTCCCAATTCTTTGCATCTTTCAAAAACTTCATATAATTCAGTATCATTGAGTTGATAAAGATCTTTAAAAGCCATAAATACATTGAATGTATTAATTCCATGTTCTTCGCAAAGTAACTTCATTTCATCGCTAACGGAATTATTCCACCTTTCAATTGAAATGAAATAGAGAATAGAAAAACAATGAAATATGAACGGAAATCAATTTAAATTACTCATAGTGAAGAACTTACCATGTAACTCCACAACGAAGTCCATAATCACAAACCGCTTTTCCATCGGCTTTGCTACGCCATGTGTCATAAGCATCGACCAATGACTCGCCTTTTTGTGGAACAATTAAATCAATGATTGTTGTTGTTCCGCCAGCAACAGATGCTTTTGTTCCTGAATAAAAGTCATCAGCTGGTGATACGCCGTTTGATTCAGCGACAAATTGAGTGTTGGGATCAACACCACCTGGAAGAACATACTTTCCAGCTACATCGATAACACGAACACCTCCAGGAACAACCGAATCAGCAGGGCTACCAATGAACCTTATAACTCCGTCTTCGATATAAATATCCACGTTGGTCTGAATCGAATCGGCATTAACTACGCGAGCTCTTTTGATGTACAATCGGTTCTGCGAACTCTACAAGGGTAAAAAAGTTTTATAATACTTAGAAAGTTAATTCTAATAATCATAAATAAATATTCATAAGACTTTAGAAACGTTGATACTTTTTCGGTAGTCAATGGTTTTGAAAAGAAAAAATAAAATAATATGAAAAAATAATCGATGATATGAAAATAGAATTGAAACTTCCTTTCCGGCTTTATCGACAATAAAAATGCGACTACAATAGACAAAACGGGACAGAATGTTGTAATATACGACATGGGATTGTTTATGCGAATAAATTTGTGATAATTTTTTTAATTCTGACTGAACAAACGACATTTGACTTTGCTTTGGCAGGGGAGGGGAGGGAAAAGAAGAATAACCGAAGTTGCATGCGTGCAACACCCTTTATGGTTGAATAAGTTTTGAAGATGTTTGAGAGATTTTATAATTACTTAAGCATATTAATGGCCGTGGAAAATTCTTTCAATTAATTTTAATTGGAAACTCATAAATTAATTGTAAACTTACATGTACATGAATTGGAATCTTCTTAACTGGTTTCGGGGCGTCTGCCATTTTTTCACTTCCTCAAATCCCGATTGTTTGTGAAATGATGAATTCAAACTCTTTCTACAAATATTATGATCGCAAATGTAATTTGTATGGTCAATTATCCAATTAGCAAGTTGAAAAAGAAATTCCACAGAATTAAAAGCCGAAATTTTTCGTTCAGAAAATTGTTTTCTTCTTATCTACTGAAGAAAAATTTCCGCAGATATATTTTCAGTAAACTGTTTCTAAAAGGATTCGTTTTTCAACTAACTGTGAATCATTCGCTTGTCTCTCATGAGAGAGAGAAACTTAAAAATAATGCGTTTCACTTGATTCACGATTCTGCGCAAAAAGACAGTCGTGCATGAAAAAAAAAGTAAAAACAGAAACAAAAACAAAACATTTTCCCCCTTTTACTCATTCAAAAATGAGTTGAACACATGTTGGGTCGAAAACGCTTCTACATAACACTGTGAACCAAAATAGGCATAAATTTTATAAACTGCATTTATGATGTGATATCACACACGTTTCTTCTCTCTTAGATATTTACTGATTATTTAATTCCCTTCCTCCGTTTGCATGCTACTTGTGTTCACTCCGATATCTAATTCCACGTTGATTGATTCCACATTTGTCGTCGCGTGTTTAAGCGATTTTATTTCATTTCTTTCTTTTTCTTGTCTGAGATGAAAACGAGATAAAAAATGCAATCCAATAAAGTTATGCCACAACGCGCACATTGGAAGATGAAGAAACATAAATTTTGTTTTCGTTTTCGGGTAGATGAATGTGACGAGTTTTTAAAAAGGTTTTTATTTATAGACAACTTCGTTAGGCATTCGCGCCATAGACACTTTTTCTTGGTTCGTACCATGTAATTAGATGAAAATCTTGACTAGATTTGAATAAGAGACTTAAGAAGTTGAAATTTGATTACTTAAAAGGTTCACGTACTTTGCGGAAGCGAAACGGTTGGTTGAAGAAGACAGAGATCACGCTTAATGCTATAGAATGAAGAATAGAAAGAACGAAGGTTTCTTTCAACATAAAAAGAAATCAAAACGGTAATTTGCAATAGAAATTCTAGATTATATCGAAGCATTATGGTCACTGGATATTTTCAAACGCTTCTGTTCAATTTTTGTCCCTCCAAATATTTACGTCTGATTCAACTGAATTTTCTATGTCATGAAGTATAATATTTGTCAATCATCATATATCTAAATATCCAAACTCTCATATCCAAATATTTAGCAAGTCAACAACATTCAAACTAAAGTAACTTCCAAATAAAGTTTTATTTTTATGTTCATTACACACTTTTTTATTTTTGTTTTATCTTTCTTTCAACAACGCGTTCTCTTTTTTAAGTTTTAAAAACCTTTCTTCTCCAACACCGTCGACTCGTAACGAGCTCGATACTGAAACACAACTAGTCACATGAAACACCAAACAGAAACTAATTTGAAGTTGAATGTACACCGCAAAACAGCAACAACGAAACAGCGGAAAGAGATTAATGAGAAATAAGCGCGGACTATGATAGTGAGTGGAAGTAACAACATAATCGTAATTTATATTTTTCTTCTCTCCAGCTTTCAAGCGGAGCTTTTTCTCTGTTTTTAATAAACTGAAGCTTTAAGCTTTACCTTTGCTGAAAATAACAAACGAAATTGGAAACATTTAAAAGACTTTTGATTTTCAAATTTTTCATACTTTTTTTTAGTATATTTTTTTCCAGTTTTACTTCAATGAATTTGTATCAATTAATTACACTTTCAATTTATTTAGGGTTCTATCGACACTTTAAAAGTTAATTTACATTTTTCAATCCATGATAGTTTCAGTTATTTAATCATTAAAATTAAACATGCATGTGGGTGTTCGATAAAAAGTTTTTCCTTTATCATTGTTTGATTTTAAAACAAATTAATTTCTTGATCTGATTTTCCATAATTTTTTTATTCTTACACGACGAATTGAATTTTTTGTGATAGAAATGTTTAATGTTTGAAACTAATTTTTAACTATATAGTCAATAGACGTAGAGTGGACTCCCGAACTAGGTAGAGGAAAATCAATGTCAAAAGAGAATTTTTTTATTATTATTATTAAATTACTTAAGAAAATCGATATCAACTTCAGTTTCATTTAAAAAAATCGTTATCCTTATAAACCAAGAAAACTTTCACATAAATTAATTAACAAAAAAAATTATTTTATACACGAAGAATGTTAAGTTAGAGTCATTTTTAGCATGTTTTTCATTTCTTTCTCCTCGTTATCAATTAATATTATTTTTGTTTTCATTTGAAGAAAGCAAATTGAATTCTTGTTTTTCCTTCGCATAATTTTATTTACAATGGTTTTGGATATCGGTGCATGAGGAAATTTTTCTTACATCTTTAAAATATTTTTCATTCCTCCGTTCATTTCAATTGTTATTAAAAATAATGCATTTACGATGCGGGTTCTTTCAATAGTTAATCTACATACGCTAGTTTTATTCTTCTTCATTTTTTTTTGATATATGTAACAACAAACATTCTAAGGTATACATAATTTTTCTTTACCAATATTTTCTAGGAAATTACTCTTAGAATCTAATATTCATCGGGCGATGCTTACTAGTTTTTATCTGCTTCCTTCCAACTAATGTTTTCTTCTTTTTTATGCTTAAATAATATTAAGATTAAGAAAATTAAAGGAAATTTTCTTAAAAAGTCTTTATTGTTTGATCGGTAATCAATGTAATGTTCAACTCACTTTATCCCCCAGTTGTTGTTTCATAATTTGATTTAATTAACTGTGAGTTCAACATACATTGCTTAGATCACTGAATCAATTATATTTTGTTTTGTTCTTTGTTTATAGTGCATATATTTTCGTTTCATTATCAATGTTTTCTCACCGAAAAAATTAAAAATCAGTCGCATTAAGTAAATCTTATTCACATCTTCCCACAATCGACTACATAAGAAAAAAAATTGATTTCACCAAAGAACCTCTTTCTCATCTTAAGCGTCTTAAGCTGCTACACATCACTCATGTGAATTAATTTATCCAACACTTTGTACTTGAGGCATCAATTGTCCACCATAGCAATTGATGTCATCAACAAAGTAAAAGTAATTAATCATCTACAATCGATGTGATGAGATTCTGGTTAAGTTTATCTACAAAGTATTATTTTTTTCTCTTCTTTAATGACTTAAAAGTTACTTTTCATGTTTTGGATCGTATAAAGTTTACATGCTCATTTTTTTATGTTTTTTTCTGGTTTTTTCTTATAGAAAACTTAATTATCAAATATCCTTTAACCGTTGTTTGATTCAACTATAAGCAGCTTTAAGTAGTCATCTTAAACTTTTATTAACTGAACTTTTGAATTTACATTTCCTTCTTCTTCTCATGTTTAGTACATCGAAACACAATATTTAATTTCTTTTTCTTTTGCTTTTCCGCATTAATTTGGAACAGTTTTGAACTCTCTAAAATGTGTTTTCGCTCTAAAGTCTTCAAATATTCTCATCTGATAATTCTATCGGTTTATTATAAATAAGTTAAACTTTAGTTTTTCTTCATTCACATGTGTATGTGTGTGTTTGTTTTCTTTTGAATATAAACATACAAAAAATTAATGTCTAATCTGTATGTGTGTGATTTTTTTTCGTCTATTCTCTAAAGATGAATAAAAATTTTCTTCCTATGCAATTTTCAAATGTTCATGATCAGATCTTTTATGCTAAATGAAAGACGAGACAGGCAAAGCTTGCTTATTATGTTGTTTTTCTTATCTCTTTCTTCAATTTTCTCTTCTTTTGGATACTTTTAATCATAATTAATGAAATTTAAGAGTAGACAGAGATAAGAAATGTTCAAAGAAACAGAAAAAATATGAGTAAAACTTAAAATCAACAACTCATTGTTTTCCTTTTTTTAAATTTTAAGCTTATTTTCGTCGTCTACGCTTACCAGTCTTTGCCAAAGAACTTTGTGTTGATTTTGGACTAGCTGGCAATGTTAAGCACTAAGATGATGCTGTAACCGTTTGTGGAATCGCAGGTGTTGATGATGGTGCAGTTGCTGTTGTTGTTGCAATATTAGATGCATTTGGAAGTTGCTTATTTATTGTATTTATCTTTGATTTTACCACATCATCATTACTGTTGTTACTGTTATTATTGCTATTGCTGCTGCTGCTGTTTAGAAGCTTTGAAGGTGCGGGAAGAAATGATGAATGCGGCACTGCTGGAGATTTCATTTGTGTTAACTGTTGAGATACCAAATGTTGAGGATTCATTGGTGCATTCATTGGTGGTGGAAGTTTTTGTTCCATTAATGATGCAGAAGTTTGAGATAATAATGATGATTCCATTTTTCCACCATCATGATTAGATTTGACATGTGAATTTTGATTCAATAATTGCTCAAGTTGTTGGACAGTTGTCAAAGGTCCACTGCCTCTTGATGTCTGATAAAGAACACGAGAAATGATGAGAGCAACTTGTTGATCTAAGATATGACTCATAACAAGTCCAAGTAAACGTTGTTCTTGTTGCATAAAAAGTGGACGATTATCAGGATGTTTTGATAAATGAAGAAGAGCCCCAGCCGCTCTACGCAACATGTCAAGACTTGTACCCATTGAGTCAGGATTTTCACGTAGGAAATTGATACCATGTTGATTAGCAACGCCTAATGCTGTTTGTTCTGCTTGTTCGATAAAAGCAACTAAATAAGAGACACACGGACTCTGTTTGGCGACTGTTCTTGCCATTGCGCTGTCAGAACTAGCCAAATAATGCAGTAAATTAACAGAGAATTCTCGAAGCACTTGATCTTCATTCTTACAAAGATGCTTCGTTAACACTGCACACAACTTTTCCAGTCTTGAAAACGGTGGCGTTGCAATAACGAGATCAACATTTGAATCAGTCACGCAAAGCTTACAAAGTGCTTCGAGCGCTAGCCTTTGTGGACTTAAAAGAGAATTATTGGCAAGTGTTGTAAATGGATCTTGACCATGAGCTGATGGACAAACAGCCCAATGAAGGAGACCATCGAGAACAGGGCGTGATACTGGCTCATCATAAATTGATAGATCTAAATATCCCGAAATATTGGCAATGGCAACCAACATATTTTCTCTGATTTGCATCAAGTAATCCCACCACCATTCACTTTCACCTTGAAGACTACTGCATGAATCAGAGAAATCAGCGTCTTCTTCTCGATCGTAATTTCGTTGTTTCTTCGTTCTCACCGGATGTTCATGGTGAAGCAACAACAACTTTCCTAGTACCGAAAGGAATGTCGTTGATTTAGCAAATTCCATTTCATTGCCCGGCACGAAAGTGAGATTTCTGAGGATTGTTGAAAGGCAAATGCATCGACGAGCGAGTGAATCATGACTGTCAGTTATCAAATATAAACTCGCTTCATCTCTCGTATAACATTCATCTTCATAATCATCGATTCGTTTTCGTTTTAAGCTTTTAGCAGGATCACGTAACGTTTCTCTAACATCAAAACTATTCTCAATGACTTCATTTTCTTCCACTTTTGTTGATTCCAATTTGATTTTCTCTTTCTCATTGACGATGCCATTTTCAGGTGTTGGCCCGTTTGTCATTTTTTCTAGATCCATGTCAACTTGACGACAATCCGCATCTGAAGTGTTTGATTCCTTTTTTCTTTCTTCAACATTTGTTGGCGTTGCTGTTGGTGCTACTGATGATGATCGTATTGGCGTATTATATAATTTTCTTGTCATTTCTTCAACTTCACGCTCTTCTTCTGACGATAATCTCATTCGTTTGACGCCACTTGATCTCAATTGTGTTTCAATTGGCTTTCTTCTCACTCTTCCACTTCCACCTTTTTCACTCTTTATGTAATTAGCAAATGGAATGTTTGCATATTCAGCTTTAAAGTTGTTCATGATGTACTCGATGGTATTAGGTTCTTGTCCAACATTAAATGGATCATCTCCAACAGTTGCTTTAAGAAAGCAATCACGATTCGATATCATATCCCATGAACGTTGGTTGTCCATCACAAAAATATCATTACTAGAGTCTTGCAACTTTATTGGAACGCCTTTTCGCGATTGTAATGTGTAGTTGAATGTTGCTTTTAATACCACTAAATGTTCGTTTGGATTTGGTATGTCGGTAACTGCACCCAAATCAACTGAAGATGATAATTCATCTTCACGATTCGCTGGCATAAGAATATCTTTTTCATTACATCTAGTATCACCAGTGTCACTATTATTATTATTACTAATTAAATTGCTACTTAATTTATTATTATTATCACCACCATTTTTGTTACACTCGTCATCATCATCAACATTATCGTCATTATTATCTTCACTTGAATCTTTAATAGCAGCAGCAACTGTTATCTTCTTCTTCGTATCGAACATATCAGCGAGACTTTTCTGAAAGTGCTCTAAGAGGAGATTCAGAAGACCTGGTAAGTGAACAAGACCGAAATAGGCAATTGACGAATCATCAAAAAGTAGAACATTTAAGACATCGAGTGCCCATGTACTTTCAGCAAGAAGACCTGATCTCAGCGACATGAATATCCTCCATGGATCAACAGGTCCAACATCGTGTTTACTCATACGTTTACGTCGATAAAGAACGGGTTGTGTCGCTTCAACAGTATCGGATGGAAAGATGATGTCGCGTTTTTGTGACATCCCCACGGGCCCTCCTTGATATTGCTGTTGTCCTTGAGGATGTTGACCTTGCATATGTTGCGGTCCTTGATGTGAATGCGAATGCATCGATTGTTGCATATGTTGTGGACCGTATTGATTTGGCATTTTATTTATCGGTTGAGGTCCTTGAGGTGGTGGCATTGCGAATGGTTTTCCTCCTCTTTGTGGAGGTCTCATTAGTGGAGATCCGCCTTGTCCTGGCCATGGTTGATTCTAAAATTTGACGTTAATTCATTAATTAAATATGTCCAGAAATTGAAGGTTAGTTTAACTCATAGAGTCTGTAGACTCGCGTAACATTTGCAACAAAATCGTTAACTTAAACTTAAGCTTTAACTTACCGGTCCATATTGCTGACTTACAGGATAACGATTAGCTTCCCATTGATTTGGACCTTGACCTTGTCCTGGTCGAGGTCCTTGTCCCCATTGTGGACTTGCTTGTGGTGGATATTGTGGGCGATATTGTCCACCACTTGCTGCATTTGGTGGCCAACCTCCTATACCAACATTTTAAAATTAAATAAATTATTTACAAAAAGAAATTTCATTGATACTTACCATACATTTGAGGCCTCTGAGATGGACCATAAGGTGGATAAGGTTGTTGATTAGAATCTTTCGTAAAGTCAGGATGTCTTCGAGGTTGTGCATTCTATCCAACAAACAAAAAGAATAAATTTAATTTCATTGCATAAATTGATAAAGTTGAAAGAATTCGAATTGAGAGAAGGAGAAATAAAAAAAACAATTTTCGAGTCACCAAAACCAATTGAAAGATAGACAACAATGACAGCAAAAAAATCCCTGAAACCATTAAAAATTTCCGCACACTTTTCAACAACTTAACAAACATACATTCGATTGATTTTGGTGCCTTGACGTTGCGCCTCCGACCAGTTCACGAGCTAATTCAGACTTCAAGTCGATGGTGCCAGGAGACTAAACTCAAGCAAGTCACAAAATAATATAAGAAAACGACACCAAAATGTGATATTTGTGAATTATTGACATACCTGATCAGGTCGGAAATAGTCTTGTGGAGGTGGAACACCTGACGGAGGATAATTTTGTGGTCCCGAAGAAACTGGAGGCAATCCAGGTTGTGGCTGTGTTGATGGTACATTGCTGTTCACTACAGCAGATGACGGAGGATGTTGCTGTGGACCAGGAGGTGCTGATGAGACTGATGCTCCAGCCGATGGGAATGGTGTTTGACTATGACTGTGAGGTGGAGTGCCAGATGAAACTGGTGGTTGCTGTTGTTGCTGCTGCTGTTGTTGTTGAACGTATGGAGGTCGTGGACCTTGCTGTTGCTGACTTCCTGGCGGTGGGGGATAACCATGTCCAGGATAGCCACGATAAGCGTCATTTGTGGGGGGACCAGAACTTCTAAAATTACTAAAACATTAACGAGAAATGTCATCATCAGAAACATATTTCACAATGTTTCAATAATCAGAGAATTAAAATTTAACTCACGGTTCTCCTTCGGGACCATAAGGCGGATACATTTGTCGATTGTTCGAATATTGGTTTTGCGCTGGTGGATATTGTCCTGCACTGTGTGGTCCATAAGGTTGTTGATCGGGACCTCCAAATGGTGGACCAGTTTGATATTGATTCGGATATGGACCTTTAAATATATCATAATAAATAAGCAAAAATTTAATGAATAAAGTTTTGAACAAATGTTTGTTATCATTCTCATGCTCTCTCTTATCATTGATAAAGATGATATTTGTGTCTGAAACTATTTATTTACAGGAAGAATATTGTAGGGAATAATAAAATTGTGATCGGATTGCAGGAGCTGCCATAATTGCTTTAATTTCACTTTTGTCTTTAACAAGTAGATATTCAACTTAATTTCTTGTAAAATGAAATTTCAAATCGTTTTTATACACTCAATTCAACAAAACTTCAAAAATATTTCTTTCTGTGTTCAACAATCAACAACACAAAAAATAATCAGCGATATCTTTTAATACTAAGGCAGTTTCGCCCTTGTAGCAATTTACTGTTTACAATTGTACTTAACACTAATGAACTTTTTAGCTCACTACGTATGTGTTGAGTATACAATTCGTAAAGGTGAATTTGATTGAAAGTTTTGACAAGTTATGAAAGAAAAAAATAGAAATGTTGAATTTAGTATTTGTTTTGCTCGCTTCGACCAAAATACTCATTTTTTGTAGGCAAATAGACAGCGCTCGCATTCCTTATGTATGAAAGTTTAATATCTTGTGCATTTAACAAATTGATGAACATTAAATTAAACAACAACCACATATATTTATATGTACAATGAAATTATGATTGTTTTAGCATAAAAAGCAGATTCGCTTAAACTTAAATCGAGTATCAAATATATTTTCGTAATCAACATATATTATATGTAAAGGAAAGGTAATGAAAACATATCGAGAACTTAATTAAAAAAATGAATAAAAAGTAGAAAAAATAAACATAAAAAAATGAAACAGTGTAAAATACCTTGAGGTCGAGATACAGGAGGATATTGGGCACCTGTATGTTGTTGATATGGACGTGGTGCGACTGGATCTTCAAAAGGATTACTCACACTAATGTTATCGTTATTAGGTGGCTGGGCATTACCTGAATTGACACATAGATTTTTGTTTCATGATCAAACAAATTTCTTTTCTTAAGTTTTTGAAATTGCGGGGATTGATTTACTTAATTATTTTATCAATTAATCATTTAATTAAGAATTAAAATATAGAAACGAAAAATCAAAGTATACAACATAAATTATGATGTACGTCAAAAGGGATGAATCAAATCGATGATGGATTAGAGCAACAAAAGAAATATTTCTTTGTGAGTTAAAAGCGAAAAGAAAAAAAGGAAAAGAAAAATTCAAATCAAAGTTCTCAGAGCAAAAAATGTTGAATTAATCAAGTATTTAAAGTCACTCTAAGTTGTCCTGTTTATGTAAGTGGATCAGTCAGCATCTCGTTTCTTTTCAAGCATTTGCTGAATGAAATAATATTTACAGTCTTATAAATCTAATGAGTTAAATGAAGCAGATTTGTGTTAGTATTTTTCTTGCTAAACAGAAATAATTTTTTTATATATGTACAAGGCAGGTTTACTGATAACTTTTTGTTAAAATTAATTAATGTATGCTAAGATAGTTAAAAAACAAGGATATTATACTACATGTTTCGAGATTAATAACGAGAGTAAGAAGATGAAGAGAATAAAATTTCTTTTTACCTGCTGCATGTGGAGTTTGTGCATTCGTCTGTGAAGGTGGTCGTGCCATTGGGGCGACATAATCAGGCTGACCTGATGGAGCTTGTGGATATCCAGGTTGTCCTGGATACCCTCCATAGCCATCCATACTTCCACCACCTGATCCTGGAGCAGGAAAAGAATCCTGTGAGTTGCTAGATCCAGGTGAAGGAACCGATGTTGGTTTTGTTGTCTTTTTCTTAGCTCCTGCTTCAACCGATTGAATAATTGGAGCTGGGTCAATACCGCCACGATCGAATTGACATTCATATGGCAGAATACTTTTAATGTAATGCTTTCTCAATGTATAAGCTGCACTACTACTTGCACCAATGCCTAAAAGACCAGCGACATCTTTCCATGTTTTACTTTTGGTAACCTGATGAAGGCAAAACAAACAAGGAAGGGAAGGAAATTTTTTCGTGTTTCGAGGAGATTTTCGTCGATTTAGCTTTAATTGTTCTGACATCTAAAATTTACCTTACAAACCTCCATAAAACCGCCACGTTCCTTAACATGAATGTAAAGTCGATAAAGATCCAATGGTTGCTTGGAAATTGTAGGACATGCCGTCACTGGTTTCCTTATTTCATCCATGTAGCCTAAAAGCTTATCTAAAAACATTCGTCTTTCCGGTTTCTCGTCCATTTCATAAAGTTTGGCTAAGCTATCAGATTTCTAAAATTTGAAAGGTTCCAATCAGTGAACAGCTTCAACATTCAAATATGATGAGACAACTTACTTTTACCTTCGATGATCGATACGAATCTTGTGGTGTCACAGCTGGTGAATGACTATTAAAAACGGGACTTGCTGGTGGTCCAACTCGAGGCCATGGAGGTGATCCCATGTCAAAATCTTCACCACTATGTGGATGACCACTCGCTCCAGGCGATGCTTGATTTGGTGTCATTGGATGATTATACATCATTTCAGATTTACGTGATTTCGGTGTTGATTGTTGCGGATCTTCACCTCCAGAAGCTTTTCATAAAATAAAGGAAAAAAGTTAATTGAACATCAATTAAATTCAATAAATGTTCATCTTACCTATCGATGTATTCGATAAAGTACTTTGTTGACTTGCTTCATCGAGTGGTGTACCGTCAGGTCCAGTGGTAATAAGCGACGTCACTTGATGTGATGTCGGAGGCATTCCATTATCTTGAGTCACCACCATTCCTTCTTGATGATGCATTGTAGGAGGCATTTGCATTCCAGGATTCTCCATATGTGTTGGAGGTGTTCCTGTCGATGCTGGTGGTGGTCCCATTGATGCTGGACCAGATGGTGGTCCCATATGATGAGACGGTGGACCCATAGTTGGATGGATACCAGGCCCATTACCATATCCTTGAGGTGGTGGGGGCGTCGAACCTTGAGAGTAGCCACCCTTATGTTGAAGATGTTGCTTTAAATAATTTAATTGACGTGGTGAACCGCCAGCTTGTTGTGGTTGTTGCTGCTGCTGCTGTTGTTGTTGTTGGCCTTGTTGTGGCGATTGAGGTGGCGGTGGGCCAATATTTTTGCCTTGAATATGATTTGAAATTTGTCCGGGATTATTTTGAGGTGGTGGCGGCCAAACCTGGGGATAGCCTGGATGTGGCGGATATTGTGGATGACCAGTATGAGGGGCACCTGGAGGTCCAACGCCCACATGATTATGCATTGGCCGATACTGTCCGGGACTATTTGGAGGCCCTGGAGGAACCTGTTGACTACCGTAACTCTGATATTGAGCTCTCGGCGAGTAATTTCCTTGTGAATACTGCGATTGTGGAGGATAAGGACCCATTTTGTAGCCACCATGTTGCTGCATATGTGGTTGCCCTGGATAACCCTGCATTGGCGGTTGTCCACCACTCTGTGGCCCGGGACTTGTCATTTGTCCTTCAAGCGGTCCACCTTGGTTTGAACCCTGATTTAATTGTTGTTGTTGAATCGGTACTGTTGGCATTCCTTGCTGTGAATGACTACTTGATGGTCTTGGAGGCATTGGCAGATTTTGTCCTAAAACAATAAAGGAAAACAGAATGAAATGAGAAAGAAGAAATTATTATCGGAAATAAAAATAAACTTTTATTGTTCTATCGTCGCCCCCACTCAATTTCCCTCTCTCTCTCTTTTAGTCTTTTCCATGCTATTAAACGAGCAGTTAAAAATTATTTTGATTAGGGAATTCCATGCTATTACGTCATATTTCGTTTATTATTCAATAGCGTTTTAGCGCGTGGTACTTGAGTAAAAGTCGAGTCGCCGACAAAAAAAAACATGTAAACAAAAATGCCCTCGGCACATTTTTTTTTCGTTCATTCATCAATTAAGAGTTTCTCTTTTTTTTGTAATTTAAAATCAGAGTGAAGGCATTTCACTTGGTTGAGTTTGAAATTGATAAGTTTTCTAATAAAAATAGAAAAAAACCGAATTGTAGATGAAAACAGACGTGTTGTGAATTTCTTTATGTGTACGCTCGTCATGCTTATAACGCTAATAAAGATATTAATCAATAATATAAGTGACTCACATGTTTGACATTTTCCCGCAAATCACAAATATATAAAAGTCTTTTTCGTCAGCGAAAAGTTTATTCAACTTTTGGTTAGAAAATTGCTTTTTTTTCACAATTTTATGGCTTTTTCTTTTATCTTGATCGTTCGTTTTTGTTATTCGTTTCTTTACCCACATCTTTTAAATGATTTCACATGTTTATTTATGTATTTGCAAATATATATGTATTTAGATTTACATGATATCGAGAGTAGAATGACGAGAAAATATAGAATACTGATAATTCCTTCATTCTTTCTTTTTTCTTAAAGTTTTAGGTCAATGTCGAAACATCATCCCTTTTTACTGCTTATTTATGTAAAACTGTCGTTTCAAATAATGCTTCTTAGCTTTAAATGCAGAATATGTTTTGTTATATGAAGATGCGTTCGGACTGTGTTGTATTTAACAATGTGAACAAAAGAAATTCCAAATAAAAATCCTAACTTCTAACTGACACATGACACGAAACGCGGAGATTTATGACAACAGCTAAGAGTGCTGACAGAAAAGCATTCATAGCTCCTAACTAGACTTTCACTAGACATTTTTATGATTACATACATTTTTTTACACCTTCTTATCAACCCGTACCACTTTCAATTTTTTTTTCGTCTTTCGTCTTTCCACAATAAACGGAAAAGAGAATAAGAAGGAAAAGACGTCTTCAAGAAGACTAGGAAATGGTGTGAGGTGGAAAAAAGTAAAAAAAGAAAAACCATCTTCGTATCCTTTACTCCCCCACACCATATAATTTCTCCAAGTCAAAAAAGAAATAAGAAAATTGTCGTGGGTTCTTAATGCAAAACGTGGTAGTAAATAATTTATAATAAAATGTGAACAATGACGATAACTTACCCACAGCTGGAGACATAGATCGTGAACCAGACGAAGAGCTATTTGGTGATGAAATCGGTCTCATTGATTGTTGTTGATTGTTTTGTGGTAATGAGTGTCCTCCAGGTCCAGGCTGTTGCGCAACATTATTTGATGGTTGCTGAATTTGTTGTTGATTGTTCGCTGCCAAATTGGAAGAATTCTCTATGGAACTGTTCTGAGCTGCAGCCGCTGCCTCTTGCTAAAAAGAAAAATGAACGAAAACAAAAGATAATTGTTAATAATATGATTCATGTTTGAAGGAAGAACAATATATAAAAGAGAATTTCACATGACTCATTCATTCATTCGTTCATTCATTCATTTATTTATTTTTATTTCGTTCCGTTCATCTTACGCTATATATGATCAATGATGTAATCGAGGTGCATATAAATATAAAATAGATAGTTTCATTTATTTTCTTTTTCCTTCTTTTGTTGTGAAATGTGCATACATATTATAGATGTAGATATTTCAAAAGAAGAATCAACCTCAGCCAACAAGTGGTTGGGATTTTCAGACAGGTCGTGTCAATGTATATAAAGTAAAAGTATCACGTGAATTCACAATAAACAGAAAAAAAATTAACATGACTGCTTTAAATTTCAAATGCTCAACATTTCGTCGTCGTACATATTTTCGATTTCATTGACACCTTTCACATGTGACTTGAAGTCTCTTTTTTTTTAATAATTCGTGTGAAATGAAAACGAACTAAACATACAAAAATGCACATACAGGTCAAAGAATTAAATTATTTCAACGTGCGAGCTGAAAATTATGCGGAAAAAGTAATAAATAAATAAACAAACTCCTCGTGTTTCTTTTCTGTGTAATTTCAAGAAAAGTTTGAGCGAGCCAGTCTTCATGATTATACGATATTATGGAAGATCAAAGCTTGAATAATTAGTAAGAGAAACAAAAATCATGATTCGCAAATATAAATGAACAAGAATTCAACTCATTTAACATTGAAGAAACATAAAAGCAAACGTTGAAGTGAAAACAACTAAAATTCAAAGTAAAAGGAAGGGAAAAGCAAAGCAGGGGAAGAAATAATGAGAAAAAACACGAAGAATTTTTCAAAACTCAACATCAATGCATGCCATGTCTACGAGAAATTCCAAAATAAAATCCCTAAGCCGTGCGTACAACCCGATATGAACGAGAAAAGAAAAGGGAAACGACAGGGCACATTAATATTTCTTTTTATTTTTTATTGTTGAATCTCTTTTGACTGCTTTTAAGATATTCAAGAGGCAAAAGCAGAAACGAAGCATGAGTAAAAATCCCCTATTTTTGCCAAATTGTGTGTAGATATATAAACTGAGCTCACATCTCAAATATAAAATCCTATCCAGTGCTTCTTTTATAATAAAAGCCTCTTCTTTCTTTCTTTTTTATTTTTTGTTCCTGCAGTTGAATATATCCAGCTGTATACAAGCGAGCAAAGGGCGAACACGAAACGGGCCAAATCTTTTACTTATATACAAAGAGAGGACGGTTCAGTGAAAGAATTAAAAAGAGAGTCAGCAAGTCCGTTTGCTTGTGCTTGTCATAAGATGATAGCATTTTTTTCCCTTATTTTTCTCAGTTCGAATATATTTTTTTTCCTCTTTATTTTGTAGAACATCATTGCCGATGGAAGAAAAAAGCAGGAAAATTATGAAGGAAAGGAAAAAAATAAAAAGCATTCGAATGAGCGAACAATATAATGAAATTACTTTGTTCTGAGAATTTCACTTCAATTTAGTTCCCATTTTTATAGAGAGAGATATACGAAATGATTATATATAATATTTCTTTTTTTATTCCTCCTGAGTTGGGCTTAAAGAGTTGCGCAGTACGTCGAGTAGCAAGAGAAACGAGAAGAGAAGGCAAAAAATGAGAGCTCGTTATTAATTAATGTGAACAGTTGGAAGAATAAATGATGATATAGCAGATAATGCTGACTACAGGCAGAACGAATTTAGCCCATCGCATCCGCAACATCACAACAGGCCCCAAATGAGATTGCTCGTTTAATTTTATATATGTTATATGTATACACATACATTTTTTCTTTTTCCTTCCACTCTCTGCGTCAATGTATCCCAGCGATGTCAGTGCTTATGTGTTGGTTGAAAATGCTGTTTTTCAGATCGAAATATTTGCTATTGTGATTATGTAAATGCTTTTCGCTCGCTCTCTCTCTCTCTCTTTTCCCATAGCGAGGCTATAGAGAATTGTTGGTTCGACAGAGGAAGAAAACAGCAAAATAAAATAAAATAAACTTTCTGCTGTGCTGTTGTTCGATTCTGATATACGGCTAAAGAGAAGAGAGTTTGTCTGTAGTTGAATATATTTATCATTCTAAAATGTTTTTTCTTCTTGCCTTTTCGTTCCGTTTGAAAAGCAAAAAGGGTACCAGAGACGTGATGAGGGTTCGCCGTACGGATTTCTCATGAAAGATGAGGAAAAACAACATTAAAGCGGTATGGCAAGCATTGAGACGAGGGAGAGCGAACCAAAAGACATGAAAGAAGCAACAAAAAAACAGCACTGAAGCACAGAAAAAAGAAGAAAAAACCTCAAATTCATTGCTTGCTGCTATGACGAACGAATAAACGCTAGCAAGCAAGCACGTTGAGTTTATCTTACTACTACCATCAAGGCGCATATAATTTTGTAAACGATGAACAACGTTTCGTTTCTTGCCTAACCTCCGTCGAGTGTTTCATGTAGTAAAAGAGAAACGACAACGACGTTTTCAAGCGAAAGAAATGAAGAAAAATAAAACAAATTTGAACGGAAAGAAGAAAAAAACTGCTTGGTGCTTTCAGTATAAATTTCTAATATTATTGCTGCTGTTATTTTTTCTTTTCTCTCATTCTCTTAAACATCAAGCAATTCCATGGCATTTTCTTCCACTTATGCTTTTCGTTCTTTTCAACCTAAAATGTGTTATTTCCCTTCAGCTTTTGACTGTTCTCAATACGAAACAAAATAAAAAAAAAGAATGAAGGAAAGAAAGAAGAACGAACTTTGTATGGCGAAAGAAAATATATGTTCGTATGAAAGAATAATACAATATAAAGCCCCTCGACGTCGTTCATGCCATCCGTCCTGTTTTCAGTAGAAACTTATCAACAGTACAAGTACAAAAAGCGATCAAAACTCTCTCGTTCTGTGTATAAAGCATGAAAATCGGTCGGTTGGTCGAACCCTGGGTCGGGTGTTTTTTATTTTACTTCTTCTTTCCTCATTTCTAATACTGAAGGCAAGACTGAAGGGGAGCAATCGAACGAAATGAGAGCGGGGCAAAATAGAGATAAATTTTTGTTGGGTAGAATACAATGAGTAAGCTTCTTGCTGTTCATGCTATAAATGTGTGCTGATGTTGTGAAAGCACACAGAAATTTGAAATAATGGTTTGAGGTTTATTTCTTTCTTTCTTTCTTCACGTCCGACCGACCGACGTTTTTCCTTCATTTAGGTTGCCTGTGCGCCTTTCTTTCTCTCCCTCCTCCTCCCTCTTCATTTCTTTCTCTCTCTCTTCGTCATTCTGTCGACTCGATTCTCTCTCAAATGCCTGATTTTTTTTTGTCAGATATTACACATCGCACATACAAAATACAATATATTCATTAAAAAAACAGATAGATGAATGCTTTGCTTGCTTTATGCTTCAGATCAACATTTGAACATCGAAGAAACATTCGCCCCTCCTAAATACGTCTCTGATTGTTTCCTTTGTACGGCACTGCTTAAAGCTGATGTGAGCCACACAGCAAACTCTAATACTCAACTGATGTTGTTATCCGAAACGAACGAACGAACGAATGAACGAAAAATATAAATGTAGAAACATCTAGCTATATGGAATGAACACACAAAAAAATATAAAATTTTCTGTGCTTCGGCTCTCACTCTGGTGTGTTTTATGGGGCACAAGCTGCTTGCTTTTCGTTTACGTACGGCATTTTTCGAAGCATTTTTACTCGATTATTTTCACTGAAGCGCTTGAAAATGTTTCTACATGAAAAACTGAAATTTATATTTTATTTTTCATCATGAAAAATATTGCTGAATGGATTTTTATAAATACGCTTTTTGCTCTCTGCGAGAGCTCTGGCGCTGTTTTTCTTAGATTGTTTTTACCCTACCCCAGTTCACATCAGAGGCTTTTAAAGTTTTATTTTTTGCTTTGCTTTTTCGATATCTAAACTCCTTGAATAAGAGAATGAATTTTTTGTTGTTTTCGAAAGGAAAGAAACATTTGCTGTGCTATCTTTTTTGCGCTCTAATGTGACTCTGGCATTTTTATATGCTTTTGCAGACGAATATCTAAAATTAATGTTTGCTTTCGAAATTTTGAATGTTGAAAGGCAAACGAAACGAAACGATAGTTACGGGAATAATAGACAACTTTACTGGGAGCATGAACTTTATTATTAATTTTTTTTCTTGCTTTTGAGTATCTTGAGATATCTGCGTGGCTGTTAAGTATTAATGATGATGAAGCATGCTAGGAATAATATTGACAAAAATTTAAAAGAAAGTCTCATTTCTTTCTTACTACTTTACTAATGCACTTTATTGTTGATCGAAAAATAAAAGCTTTAAGAATTGTTAAATGCTTTTAATTCCAATTCATTTGAGAACCGTTTTCAATCTTCATTTATTTTTATATGCAGAGCGAAGGCGAAACATTGAAAGGCACGGCTCGCGAATAAAAAAATCGTTTACGTTTCATTTTATCGATGATTTATCGTTTGAGGACGTATTTAAGTTTGTTGATTTGACTGGAATGTTACTTTATTTTATTTGTTGTTTTTTTACTTTTCGCGGGAAAAAGCCGGTAACATTGAATGAGGCATGAAATGACTTAATTGATCTAAATTTATAAAACATCGTAGTTTCTGAATGGAGTTTTCCAATTTAGAAGCATAATGAGTCACTAACGACAAAAACAGAAGGAAGATAAAGTAAGAGCTTGAAAGTTAATTAACTCGTAGTTGGAAGCAGATGAGAAGCTTTTTATGAATTTCTTATTTTAAAATTGTTATTGTCAAAGGAAAATAAAGCAGATAATTTCACTCACATCATTTAAAGCGAGCTTACACAAGACGTGAAGCTTACAGAGAAGTGATTATAAACCGGGACGATGATTTGACTCTTTAATCAAATGCAAACTCACATGTGATTATTATTTTTCAGAAATTGTTATCGAAGGTCAAGAACCCGCTCATTTTTATTAGTCTCTTTTCCCCTCCTCAATCTCCCCCGCCTCCCAGTATTCACCCAGAAAACATTTATTTACTTTGCGTAACGAAAACAGAAGAGGAAGAAGAAATTAGGCAATATCATAAATCAAGCGCCGGTATAAAACGTACACCTCTCAAACGCTCTTCTATTTACCATTCACAACTAGAAATTATTCATGACAAATAATAAAAAGATATGTACGTGTAAGTATATCTCTTGCTCACTTGCCTTCTGCAACATGCCATAAACATTTAGGTATTTATTTTTTTGGCAGCATGAATCGTTTCAATCATCTATTATTGTTTGACACATCTTTCATTCTATTCTATGTACACGACACTTCTCGTCAAAAGAAATAAAACACATCTCATTCAGCAGAGGAACAGGAAGGTCAATGACATAGAAAATATATAATAAGGCACAGAAAAAAAGTTCAGGCAATAATCACAAAACACGTTGCGGCTATTTCTCTTGTTTTCAAACTCGAGAAATTACTAATAAATAACCTTGACATTGTTTAAAAGGCAGAATATTTATTTCCTTTTCTTTGCACTGCTTCATTCTTAAATACTCTCGCACTGCGTCTGGTTGACTACACAGAAGTTTAATTTCGGTAATAAAGTTAAGAATATAAATCATCCCTCAAATTGTATTGGCATTTATTTAAGCATTGTTACAAGGAAAAGGATCGTAAAATGTTCAATCACAATAGAAACACATTGAGTGAGTATTATAATCTTCAGCTTTCATTCAAATTTGTTTTAACTGACACAACTGGTTAAAATGCCTTAAGATATTTGAATCAGGTCTCATTCATACGAGGATTTGTAACCAAATCCAACATCTATGTATGTATCTAAGAGACATGTTAAGATGTAACATTTCACTTATATATTTCATCCAACATGGGAACTTTAATATTCATTCATGAAAAAACTTTGTATACGTAAACATCTCGATTAAAAGTCATTTCATTGAAAGCTTTCAATAATAAATCCTCTTAAATGCAAATTTTTTCAAGAGAAACTTTTATTTCAAAATTGTTCAAAATGTTTGAATCGAATTGAAAAGTTTTTAGAGAAATTAAATTATTAAATGACTTGCAATCTGTCAGGATAAAATTCTTCAAAATTCCTATTATCAACATGAAGTGATTATTTATCGCTTACCTTTTGCTGTTTTTTCGTTTTCTTTTTTGCTGTTGTACTTTTCTTCTTCTGATTCACCTGAAATGATAAGGGAAGAAAATACATAAAAACATTAATAAATCAAAATCACAGAATAAAGTCATTAAAAAGCGAATATTTTTGTACATACATATAATCTTTACATAAAGATTTACGACACAATGGAAACATAACATAAACAAATCAAACAACATTAAAGTCGATTGGGTTTCGATAAAATATCTGAAATGCGAAAGTTCAGATATTTTATCGAAACCCAATCGAGCATGTAAAAAGTTATTAGAAATCAGCTGATCAATCATTAATTCACTGAATACAAAAATATTGCACGAAAAAATACATATAACACAATGTTTCATTTTTATATATTCGTCGAATGGAGTTGCTTTGCTCTAGGGTTTCTTCTTTCAAGCTTTTTTTATTCACTCTTTGAAGTGTTGAGATTTATTGCATCTAATTAGTTTGCTTTTTTGAATAAATTTTCATTGAGAGAAAACTCTTCTCTCTTCTATCTTTCATTTACAATCCGTGAATGAATATCGCATCTTTTTTATCAAAACAATCTCCGGGATGTGAAAACATAAACAAAGCAGAGAATATCATAAAGTTTTCACTGACGAAGGAAAAAGTTGTTACGACACACGTGGTTTCATGAGCTCAGCGTTGCTTCGCTTTTGCCTTTTCGTGCTCAGTATTATTGCTGAATCGATAACACTTTTCAACAACGTCAAACAACAACAGTAAAGCATCAGCTATGCAATTTTCCATTTCATTCAAGTTCTAGGAAAATATGTCTGATGCAAAGATGTGAGAGCTGCTTTGAAAACATTGATTTCACAAATTTCCAGTTTAAAACTATAGAACTTAGTCATCAAGCGCATAAGCAAAACGAGAGTTCGAATAACTTCATCTTCTCAATTTTCAGCATTGATAATACTTCACATGTGCTACATGTTCTTATCACATTTCTCAACTACATTTTCAGCTAGCAACATTGCAAAAAAATAAAGCAGAGAAACTTTTTATTGCTCGTCTGATTTCTTTTATTTTTTTTTTTTCTTCAGAAAGGAAAAATAAAATCACATGCATAAAAATTTATTTGTTTTTGACCTAGACGTGAAATAAATCTCTTTCAATTTAAAGACAGAAAAAAGGACTTGATATTTTTTTTTCAACTATCTCTTCTCTCTGTTCAATACCTTTGCATATTTAATCACTTCCCAATCACCGTTAAAAATCTTATTGATTATATCACTCTACCATTTCGTACATGCTTTCATCCACAGTCTTAACAATTTTGACATCAGAAGTCTTTCTGATTCTTCTCTCGCTTTTGAATTTTTAGTTCTTTATTTTATTTCTTCTTTTCTTATAACTTTTTATTTTATTTTTCAATATGTAACTCCGCTGAATTGAAACTACGAAGCAAAATGAATATTTTTTTGTTCAGAAAATTGACATATAATTTTTAAACCACTACAATTGAGAGAAATAACGAACATTAAACTGTATAGGTGGATAATTCAATTTTCTCTTTTTTTTATATATTTTTCATATAACAACTCGAGCCAGTATAAAATGTATATTTTTTCTTCTTTTTTTTCTCGACTGAAAAATAATACACAAAGGCCGGCATTTCAACCAACACATAGACATAAAACCACTGTACACTGTTAAATATGATGATGAAATGTCGGAAAATAAAAATTATTTTAATGAGCTTTTTAAAACTCTTAAATTGTCCTTAAAACATTGCATAATTTTTGAACGATTTATGTATTTTTTCTTTCATAAGATTATCGTGTGGAAGTAATTAAAAAGTAATCAAACACTCGTCATTTTTGGTCATTGTTAAATTGTCCGATAAAAAAGCTACAAAAATCGTCGACAGTGTAACTTACACTCATTTTTGCGTTTATGTTATGAGCATAAATTAATGCTCGAACAAAAAGTATTATCTATGTAAAAAATATGGATAAAATTGCATAAAACCCACACTAAGGCACAAAGAAATGTATACAAACGAAATTTACTCAACAGAACTAATTAAAAATTGTTATTTGCAACTGTATAACTTTTTTGTTTCCTTAGGTGTTTTGATTGATCTCTTTTCAAAGTTTTATTAAAAAAAAGTGTATAAAACCACTGAATGGTTGAGAGAATTGACTTTTATGTATAATGAGAAAGAAAATACAGATTTGTGAAAATTTCATTAGTAACAACGTTGTGATTTCCTCGAATTATTTTGTATGGTTTCATGTTACAAAATTTTCCACAAGTCACTTCCACACAACAAAAATCTCAATACTTTAAAGTCTTTCTTAATGTTATCAATCAACCCGTCAACATTATAATTTCAGAAGAAATATTGTCAAATTCCATCAAAAATTTAAGAGAGGAAAAAACCAGTGAAATTGTGGAATGAGAAAAGAAAGCGTCAAAACAAGACTCAAACATATAAACCGAGACGCTATGAATAACTACAATAAACATTTATGCTATTTTAGCGCCATCCGGAAGTGAAACAAATTTATTTCTGTAGGTACATAAGCGGAGAGTATATAAAGTGGAAGCGTCTGATATATCGGAATGTTTGTTTTCACATTTTCGTTTTAAAGATCAATGTTCTGTTATATCGCTGTAATGTATTTATCATTTTTTATTTCGTTTATCATCTACTTTAACTTTATTTTTCTACCTGCTAAATATCTCAACAATTATAGAAAAGATTCATTGATGATTCAACTCAGTTATATTTATCATAAAAGGAAAAAAGGGAATTTCTTAATTGTCATAAATATTTTAGCTCGTGTCTTTAGTGCAAGTAAATAAGGTCGATAAATTTGTTTTAGAAAATAGAAATGAAATGTTAAAAGAGAACAAAAAAAAAGTATATAAAACATGAAATGTAAGACACCTGTTGATGTTGTAACATTAAAGCCATGGAAAAAAAAGAAATGATTTTTTCGAAATTCATTATACATATCGTCCCTCTTTAGAAGAATTCCTCTTCATTGCTCGTAAATTACAAAAGTTCAAATCAACAGGTTTACATTCAGTATTATTATTATATTTCATTTCTTACCCCAACTTCATTATCATTTGTGCTTGGTGTTGAGGGTTGACTTGGCCGATTTGGGTACTAAAATTAGAACAAATCAGGGAGAGAAAAGTTTTGTGATGGAATCAGTCTCGAAAATAATTATTATGTGCTTTTAATTATTGTATTCATTGTGCAAAAATGTTGTTTTTGTTGCTTCTCATAAACTAAACGAGTATGTTTATAAATTTCTCGCTAAAAATATCAACCACGACGTTCTTTCAATAGTGACACTTAAACAATGCATGTTCTCGTTCATTCATTCATCGTTTCGATAAGGTTGGTGGATGTAAAACGTGGATAAACTTTTCTTCTTTTTTACACTTCTCTTTAAAGAATATTTTATAAGCATAATAAAAATGGTAAGAGAGGAAAGGATTTTTTCCCAGTATTTCCAACCTTTTTTTTATTTACTTGCTATGGCAATCAGCTGTTTTCTGTATATCATTGCAATGCGAAGAAAATTCCGTAAATAAAAACTCATTCAAAAACATAAAAGGTATTTGAACTTTCAATTTTTTTTCTTCTTCCTTCTTCTTTGAATTGTGTAGCGTATTTCTTACGTAGTTCGAAGCAGCAAGTGCAGAAAAAAACAAAATAAAAGTTATTTCTTACCTGAAGGGGTGATTGAGGTGGCTGCGGGGACGGACTACAAGGTGCACCAGCATGTTGCTGCTGAGGTCCAGGACTTTGAGGAGGAGGTGCATGAGGCGACTGGGATGGGGGAGGTCCCAGATTCGTATGCGGGCCTGGACTAGCTGCTGGCGATGGCCACTGCACATTTAAAAAAAAACGAAATTAGTTACAACATAAAATTTTGTTAAATATTCATCATCGTACTTGAGAGTAAGGTGGCCTGTGATTCTGAGGGCCCATTGATGGCTGGGGTCCCTGATTCGCTGGTGGCGTTGGATATCTTTGAGGGTACTGATACTGTTGGGGTGGCATCGGTGGACCTGGAGGTTGATTTGTTTGCTGTTGATTTGCAACTTGACCTGTATTCGGCGGTGGTCCACTTGGATAAGGTCCAGGACTTTGACCCGACGATGGATATGGTGGTTGTCCTCGAGATGAGTTCGTCTATACAACAGTTAAACATATTGTTAGTTCACATAATACAACAAGCTATTAAAAACAATTCATACAACATTCTTAAAAGATTTTTTAAGCAAAAACATCAAAATCGCCTTTTGCATAAATTTCCTTGAATCGAATCAAAACTAATCGGCTGGTGAAGAAATCGCAACATAAAATCTCCGCTTCAGACATATTAAATTATCAAATGGTTATTCTCTATCGCCGGCGTATGAATTGGAAGGAAACAGAAAAAAACATTCACGAAACTCTCTCATTTCCCTTTCACATCAATGTTGAATCATTTATGATGAAGCACGAAGTCTCATAGAGTAAAAGCACTCATTCCCTAATAATTCTTCGAAGCTAAAGCATTTAAAACTTTTCCTTCGCCACGTTGAAGGATTTCTTTTCTCCACTCTTTTCCCCTTTCTCTCAGTAAAGTTTCGCTTCATAGAGGAAACACCAACGAAACAGAACACTCTGGGTTTTCAACCTTCCAGAGAACAATCTATAGCAATATATTTTTGCTGCCATTCACATTTCAACCCAAGACTCCCCTTCATGCTTCGTACAGCAAGCTACTACCATTAAACCCACACTCAAAGTTCGGTTGTCTCCCCTTGACGCAAACAACCACCGCTTATCATCCCGTTCTTACGAACATTTCGATTTTTCTACCCCTACAATACGTTGTATTATACAACCGCCTTAAACTCATCATACCACCCACTCTAATTTTCCTCTCTCATGTTTGTGTTAGTTAGATGATGGAAAATTTCTCTTTCTCTCTCATTCACTTATCCTCTCGTTGCCTCATTTTATTTTCAAATGTATTTAGCAAAAAAAAGAAAGAAATAAGAAAAAATGAAACCATTTCTCCAAACGAGTGAAATGAAAGCAGGCAACAGCAGCCTCGAAACATTATGATGTGTACATTTAATTAAAATCGCATACAATCATGAAGTCTCATTATCTCTGAAATAAATAAAAAAAACACATACGATATTCCATGCAGCTTTGATGAATTCTGAACAAAAACATTCCACATTTACTCTCAAGTGTGAGTTTTCATGAGGCGCAATCAGCAATCGATTTTCGGCCCCATTCACCCTCTCTCCTCCATTCTCATTTCAACGCGCGGCATGAAGAGAACGAGAGAAAATGTTGGGTGAAAAGCGACAAAGCAACCCCCTTTTAACTTTATTTCTACCCACATTTATACAGCCAGCTAGAGCTGTTTCGAAGCTGTTATGCCAATGGAAAAGTTTCGGGTAAGTTAATAGAGGGCGTGGTTGTTGAATTTTCCATCGAGAAAAGTTTTTTCCTCATGCTTTTAACATTTTATAACGGAGAAAAATGTTTGCTTCTTCGTTTTCCTTCTTTAAATGAAAAATAAGAAACAAAAGAGAAGACAAAGTACTGATATTTCATCCTATCAATCATGTACAAAGAATTTAATTTCTCGCACATGCTAAGTATTTACAATAGAAAAGATTTACAGACAAATGTTCTTATCACTTTCAATGAAGATGTTCGTATAAAATAAATAGCACTTTGATTCTCAAAGTTCATTTATTTTCTTTCTTACAACCTTTGTTTTGGAATGTTTTTTTCACTTAATAAGAATGTAAACTTTGTTTTTTTGAAAGTTTACAGTTCTGTAGACTGTTTCAAATGTGATCATTTTAAATAACTCAAATACTATGACCACTCAAACAGACGTTACAAATTATGTGTGAGAAACATGAGAAGCATTCAACAGAATTCAAAACGAAATATATAACTCTGATTTTTTTTTATTATAAAATTTTACATAAGTCAGAATATGCCGACCACTGATTTTATAGTCAAAAACTATTTAAAAGATTATTGCTCCCTGATCGCAAGAGAGATGCGATATATATTCAAGATGATGTGTAAATAAACAGATGAAAACTAAACCTCGTTCATCGTCCGTTTAAAAATCAATAAATTCGGCTGCTGTCACTTTGCTTATGATGATTTTTTTATGTATTATAATTTTCTCATGCCTTTTACATAACAAGCAAGGCAAGAGATATTTGCCAGGGGAATCCATATATATTTTTTTTCATTGTTGTTTATACAGTTTTGTTAAGCAAGGTCAGGTAGTTATACATTTTTTTAAATTGATATATCAGAAATGTGTAGTGTTTATCCATATGTTCGGCGTCTCTTATGTATAGCCATTCTTTCCGCATCCATGACCAAAAAAAAAGCGTTCAAAGAAGTATTCAAAACGCAGCCTCCCAATGCCATGCAAAGAAGAGTCGTTTGAATCCATCTCTGCTTATGTATTTAAGTACATAAATATTTACCATTTCCACGTGACTACAAAAGGTTTTGCAGAGTTTATTACATTTTTGTTAGCAAAAAAAAAAGGAAGCCGAAAAGAAGACAAGGTGGAATGGGGTGGGAAGGAAAAAGTAAATAAATTCTCCCTGTAAAGGATCCGAGCACGTGGTTAATTTAAAAGACCGAAATGGAGGAGGGGGGAAAAGCTTCATAAAATTCTCCACATCTCATTCTACTGACTCAAAAAAAAAAATCGAACTTGATAAAAGTTATCCGACAGCACAGGAGGGCTTCACTTTGAATTCATGCTAAACATGTGGATGAATTAAACAAGAGAAATGGTTTTGTTCCATCTTTTTATTATTGCTTTTTTCTTGTTCATTTTGATAAATCATACACTGCATACTCCAAATGTATGTATCGCTATGTACACGTCGTCTTATATACCGCTATGAAGTTTTCTTTTTCATTCGCCTTGTACTTGAAATCTTTCTTTTTGTTGCCACATTATGTACATCACAAGTAGTAGCACAAAAAAAAATACAGAAGTTACCGACTTGTTCTCTCCGCAGAGATAAAACTTTTATTTTCGTTTTCGCCAAAGAATTTCTCTTTCTTCCTTCAATCAGTAAGCAAAAAAGCAAAAAAAAACTTGTATCACATCACTAGGAAGTTGTTTTCATTTTTATTCAAGAGCAAAGTCATGAGAGCATTGACTTTAATAAAATATTATTAGGAATGTTTGAAGGTTTAAAAACAAATGTTTAAAAAAAAGATTGAAATATCGTCTATAAAGCGTCTCCAAAATGTTCGGCTTTAAAATCGGTTTATGAAGTTTCTCATAAACTCTGCATTGCGAATGTTGTATGCCACATACATATCAAAAGCATTAGATGATATTTTTGGAATGTTCTCCCCCCTTCTCCATCTGAATTGTGCCGGTTGTGTGTACATCGATATGGCACACAAAACATGCGAAAATGGGGAAAATTTGCTTTTAGAAAGTGAAGGTTTTGTATATACATGGGAAAAACTGTGATGCTTAAAGCTTGAATTGTTTAAAGTATAATGAACCCAAGCAAATACATAAAAAGAACTTTGATATGTTTTTGGGATATTTTCACCTTCACGCTTCTACTCTTCATATGAGATAACTTTAAACTCTCGTTTATGCCTCGAGAAATTTCACGTGATTCATGCGTTTGAAAATGAGAAGTTTCTCTCCGCTATTAAATAATTTACTGACCCTTTATCGCATGAAAATACTTCTTCATATATCGGTTTACGATGTTATTTGATGAATTCGCAGCAGATATTATGTCAATCATTCCACATTTATAGTCAAGATAGTAATCGAAATTGAGTTCTGTAAAAACGTTTGTAAGAGTACTTTGTTGTTTAATTTTATCAGATCGAATTCTAAATATATTCATATGGAATCGTTAATCTAAAAAAAGGCGCCTATATGTATATTTAAACATAACATACATACTGACTGCCTCACATCAAAGAAGAAGAAGAAAATTTGTATGAAGCGTCCCGATAAAATATACTCAAGACGAAAACAGAAACCACCGAAAAGACGAATAAGAAATCATCGCATTACTGACCTGTTTCAACAATAATTGCTTAATTCTTAATTTATATTTATATACATTTTGTGATGGTTTGCCTGTTTGTTGTTGTAGAATGGTTTTGAAATTTATTTTTGGGTTCATTTGTTGTTGCCGTATTGTATTTTGTCCATGCATACTTATTTCCCTTTTTTCTCTCTCTCCGTTTTCTTCCGCATGGGTTAAAACGCACAAAAAAAAACATGAGAAGGAAAGAATTTCCATGTCTTTTATGTTACGCTAAATATCTACGTAAAAGAATTATCAAAAGGGCTTCCCCGAAAAAAATAAATTACGAGAAGAGTGAGGAGACGAAAGGAAAATAAGTTACGCAAATCGAAACTTTCATTCATTGATACGAGGCAGACAGAAAAAATCTCATGCGTCATTCAATACCGATCGTCATAAATTTCAGACCATATACTTGCGATTAGACTTTAAATAAAAAAAAGTTATGTACATAAACGCTTTCATCTATATATATCAACAACTGGTCTGGTTTTTACTATTGAAATTGAAAATTATCATTTGTTTTGTAGTATCAGAAAATATGAGAAGTGTTTTTAAGAATCTTAGCTTACGTCAGCCCTGAGTGGCGGTAAATTTTTTATTATTTTGCCGGTTTCAAGTATCAAAACAAACGAAAAAAAATATAAAGAAATAGAAAGGAAAAACACGATTCGAAATTATTTCGGTTTTATATACACAATTTTAAGTGATGGCGCCTAAATGTCTTTTTATACATCATCAGGCACGAAGGCAATGACATTATAATACGTACGTACATTCAATTCAAACTTTATTACATTTGTTCTGTGAAATTGTAGGCCCTTAAAAACAAACAAGGATTCCCTCACTCATTTATTCATTCAATGAACTTCGTCACATCATTCGTTGCTCAGTCTAGACAACATCGAATTGGCGATTAATGAAATTAGGTACTTACAGGTGGAGGCCCACGATATTGTTGAGGACTATATGGTCTAGGTGGCGGAGCCCAGCTCTGCTGCTGCTGCTGTTGTTGTTGAGACTGTGAAAGAGTTGGCATGGGCGATGACGATCCTGAGCTTGGCGGAATTGGTGGTGGGCCATTTCCACTCACAGGGGGGCCGTAAGGATCATATGGTGTCGGGTTTGGATATCTATGTGGTGTTCCTTGCTGTTGTTGTGGAGCACCTTGCTGTGGCGATGGTTGCGATTGCAAAAGCGAATTAAGTGTTGGAGTTGGGCCTTGTTGAGCACCAGGGGGTGGCTGTTGTTGCTGCTGAGCACCAGTTGATACATTTTGAGTGTTTGGAGACGGCACAGGACCTTGAGGTGGTAATCCATACCTTTGTGGTGGCCTTGCTGGCATCATACCACGATAATGACCGTAAGGATCCATTTGTTGTTGTTGATTTGGATCATGCGGATGCATTGGATGTTGCATGCCGTGTGGAGGCCCATGGGGACCAGGTTGATGAGGATGATATCTTTGTTGATGCATTTGCATGGGTATGTGATGGCCTGGTATGTGTTGTTGTGGAGGGGGAGGGCCATGCATGGGATGCCCATGCATCGGTTGATGACCGTACATTGGATGCTGTTGATGATGATGTGGAGGTTGTTGTTGTGATAAATCATCCTTATCATTAGAGCCAGGATGATGCATATGATGCTGTCCGGGCTGCGACGTTGGAGGTGGTGGCCCTAGATTTGGATCATGATGATATCCAGGACCTGGAATTATTTCATTTGGTGGACCAACCCCACTATTTCCATTACTTGGTGGTGATTTAATCCCTTTACCATGATGATCTGTTGGTGGATTTATTTGACCACCGTTTTGCAACTTTGGACCCGTCTCACTTTGTTGTTGAAAATCATTGCCTTTTAAGTTTTGACTGTTATCGTTTTGCAAATGATCCGCTGTTGTTCCTGAAGGTGCTTGTGATGCCATTATTTTACACGATCAAACCTTAAATCCTTTTAAGAAATATTTTTCTTATTTCAAACTTCAGGATTTAAGATTCCTTTTTATTCTTCACTAACATTAATTTACGTGCCCTGTTTTACTTTATTATTTTTTTCACACATATTTATTTAATAAAGTTGTTTTGATTGAATATTAATGATGAACTTCCAAATGCGCGCAAAAACTTTCATGCGATGATAATCACTGTTGGGAAAAATATTTTTACTTTTTTTTATAACAATTATTATTCCTTTTTTTATTATTAAGAATTATAGAATATTTTTCAATAATCATCTTTAGCATAACATTAAAGGATATGTTTTGATTCTTTCCTTAATTTCTATTTTTCTTTTGATGAAAAGATTGACTTTTTTTTATAACAAGATTTGATAAGCAAATTGAAAGTATAACGATAAATAAACGCCAAGGAGACAAAGAAAGGTCTTTGAGAAAGCTAAATAACTTGAGTTAAGATTGGTGCCTGGTTTAGTCAACGGGCAAACTGGCTTAACCTCAATTCTCTTCTGTAGCGTTTCTTTCTTCATTTTTCTTGTCTTTCTTTTGCTTCTTCTACACTCTCCAACAAACCAACAGCTCTAAAGATTGTTCGTACATATTCCTTATATTTTTTTCGCTTGCTTCTTTTTTTTTTGCTTTACGATGGATACACAGTAAAGAAAAAGAAACACACGAGCGAATAAAGAAGAAGAGCATACAAATTATGGATTCGCAAGCCAATTGCTACCAGAGATTTGCAGCTGGTTGTAATTTCTAATGGATGCTTAAAAAAGGGATCTGTCAGATTTTTTAAAATTCATCCTACAATGTTATTAATAATGATCAGGATGGTTGGCATGAACTTTGTCTCTTTTTTCTTCTCTATAAGCTTTCGAAATTGGCAGCGAAAATGGAAATTAACAGTAGAAAACCAACACCCGACTTTTGGTCGCCTCTGATGTTTTGCATCAAAACACTTTGAATTTGCGCATCAAGGTATTATTTTTTAAGGACCAAATTAATCTGATGTTGTTCACGCTTCTTTTTGGTGAATTTTAGTTAAATTGTGTTGATTTGAAAGCTATTAGAATCAATGGAAAGAAGCATATTTTTCTCTCTGATATTTTCAACAAAATGGAACCCGAGTCGTCAGTGTGTGTAGAACGACTTGTAATTGTGTATACCGATTTCTTGTAAAATACATACGACGGTCTTTTAGAGATGGACGAGACGAAAGTATAATCCATGCCAGTTGATTAAATGAACATCCTTTTAAAAATTAACTTAACTTTCAACTTTTACGAAAAAAAAAGTAATAATTTTTTCTTGTTCGATGATGAAAGCCGAATGTATGCGAGAGTTGCCGTCGTTTAGTCGGAAAGTGGAAAGAAGCAAATGAAAGAATGGCTGGCTTCGTATTTGTGTGAAAAAATATATCCAAATTTTTTTTATTTTATTTTAACTTTTATTCTAGCATTTTCTGCTTTAGATGATTATCAAAAACTATTCTTAATTGCACAAACATTTTTTGTACCATTTATTTATAAGATTTTCCTCTTGGAAGCGTAGAGAAAAATCGGAAATTAAAATCCGAATTAGTTATAATCGCGTCTCACAAGCGCATTTTGTAACTTCACTTTGACTTTATACACTTTCAGTCCGCAATTTAAGGACTTTATACACGAACTTCAGCTTATTCTAGAGCTCTATGTACAATCTAAAATAATTTATTATCTACAGACGTCTTAAAACTTTTTTCATCATCTCCATTTATAAAGACTTCTTCAAAAGTTTTCTTCACTTTCCCGTTCCGATTTTAAAATTCACTATTTTTTCGACAATAAATACAATTACAACGCTAAATTTTATCAACTTTCATTCTTTGGGGAATCTTTTAAAGGTTTTTCGTAAAATTTCTTTTTAATTTAATCTTTTTCACATAGTTTTCATATTTTGTTTAGTCGGAGTTTTTAAACGCGAACTATGTAATAAAAAAGACGCAAACTTATGTCTGAATAGATGCAAAAAAGTACAAGTTCTGCAAATGATGCAAGGGGTAAATAATGAATAACTAAGTTTAAAATTTTTAATACCGTTATTTCTCAATTTTATATTTTTCATGTTTTTTGTCCTAATTAAATTCATACAAGAAAATTTGTTAATTTACAAAGTTTGATTTAATTTATTTGTCTTTTACTGTTTAAGATACCATTTAACATTTGAAAAGTAAATGACTTTAATCTATTTATAATGTTACATGAGAAGTCGCTAAAAACTTACAAAATTAAATACATTTCCGATACATCATCGATGTTGTACATTAAGAGATTCAAATACTTCTTTAGAAATTAAATTATACCTACTCAGTTCATATTCAGCGTGTCAAGATAGAACAAGTAAAAATAATTAACAGCGGCAATGCATCTTAAATGTTTGTAAAATTATCTTATCAGTAGTTATTGTGATATTTGTCAAGTGATTAATAGGATATCAAAAGAGATTGCGAAATTCAATTAAAAATAAATCTATCGATATCTATTTGGTTTATTGAAAGGAGAGAGAATCATTATTGTTTGCAAACGTTCTATTAATTCGACAAAGATTTATGTGGTGACATCTAAGTCCGACGCAATTTTCCGTTATTTCTTTAAGTCAATTAACTTTTATTAAAATGCTAACTCAAACATATTTATTCTAATAAAAAAGTGAGTAAATTAAAAATTGATCATCAGCATCGTAACAAAAGATCGTTTACGATCATCAGAGCGTGAAGTATGGAACAGTATGAGCAGGAAAATGTTGCCAATCCGAAAGAGAAGGCGAATGTATTCTCGGTGCTGACCTTCTGGTATACGATCAAAATGTTTAAAAAAGGCTACAATAAAGTGCTTGAAGTAAATGACCTTTTTGTACCTATGAAGGCTGATGAAAGTAGTGGATTAGGCGATCGTTTAGAAAAGTAAGTTCCAAGAAATTTTTGCAATTCAATGACATTCAACAAAACAAATTATACAATGATAACGACACACGAGTGTGTTTCAACGTTGTGTACTTTCCAACGTGACAAACTTATCTAATAAGTAATTAAAAAGTTCATTCTCATCATGTTTGAGACAAAAGAATCACTGATAACGCAACACATCCTTGATTAATTTAGCAAACAGAACTTGTTAGATTTTATTTCTCTCCATCATTTAATGTCAAATTAATAAGAACATTTTGTTGAATGATTAAGCAAAAATGAATATGAAGGTCATTAAATGATGACGATGAAGCAAATGTTTAATAACGAGAACCGGCTTTTAATACATCACAACACGCACTTAGCACTGTAATAAAATTAGTTGTAAGTAACTAAGATTCTTTTGTTTGAAGTTTAGAATTTACAGATTTTTGATTAGTAATTATGTTTAATTAATAAGTAACGATGACAAGAACAAGTTTGATGTCACGAATGTTTATCTAATAAATTAGTCTTCTTTTTTTTAATTTTATTTTTGAATATTTTTGCAGAAATTGGATGCAACAACAAAATGGAAAGACGAAACCGTCACTATTAAAAGCAATTGTAAAAACATTTTGGCGAGAATATGCATTTCTTGGATTTATGCAATTTTTCAATGACATCGTGTTGAGATTAAGTCAGCCACTGTTTCTTGGATGGCTTCTAAAATACTTCAGCCCAGATTCACAAACAACACGCGATGAAGCATTTATTTATGCGGGCATATTAGTTGCATTAAGTGCTATTAGTGCAATAACAATTAATCAATTTCTTCTCTCCTCGTTTACAAATGGAATGAAAGTGCGACTAGCAACATGTTCATTAATATATAGAAAATCGTTGAAATTGTCGACCACAGCGTTAGGAAATACGAGCGTCGGCAAGGTCGTTAATTTGTTGTCAAATGACGTTTCAAGATTCGATATCGTCAGCGTTTTTCTTCATAGTATGTGGATGGCTCCACTGCTTACAATTATTGTTGGAATTTTACTCTACCGTGAAGCAGGCATCCCAGGTTTGATTGGAATGGTTGTCATTGCCATTGTCACGCCAATTCAATCTTATACTGGAAAACTCTCATCAATCTTTCGATATCAAACCGCATTAAGAACTGACGAACGTGTTAGACTCATGGATGAAATTGTAAATGGAATTCAAGTAATTAAATTGTATGCTTGGGAAAAACCTTTTAAGAAACTCATTCACTATGCACGTGACAAGGAATTGAAAGTAATTAAAAAGTCGTCTTATGTTCGTGCATTGTACATGACATTTATGCTGTTTACAACAAGATCTGCCTTATTTTGTACGATGATGGCAACCGTTCTATTGAAAGATGATTTGACAGCTAGCAGAGTTTTTGTAATGTCTTCTTATTTTGCGATAATTTCAACTGTTATGAGTCAAATGTTTGTACGTGGTATTGCGGAAATTGCTGAAGCTCTTGTTGCAATGAGAAGATTGCAAAATTTCTTAGAATATGATGAAAAGGAAGAAACAAATCTTCCAAAAGAGAAGGAAAAACTGATGAACGAATTTCATATGAACGGAGAAGGAATTGAAAAAGAATTGTTGATAAATTCGCAATCAACTCTCGCACCTGATGTTGCTTTGTCTCTACGTAATGTTAGCTGTCGATGGAAGACTGTTGAAGAAACTTTAAAATTGCCAGAAAAAGATAAAAAGAGAGAAAAATTGAAAAATCTTAAAGAAATTCCAAAAGTTTCTGAAGACGAAAATAAATTTGACGAAGCAAACGAAGATAAATTGACATTAAATAATGTTTCATTGGAAGTAAGGAAAGGAATTCTTGTTGGTATTCTGGGACATGTTGGAAGTGGAAAAAGTAGTTTATTACAGACAATTTTAGGCGAACTGCCAACAGAGGCTGGATCATTGGCTATTAAAGGTAATCTTTCTTTTGCCACACAAGAGCCGTGGGTCTTCTCGGGTTCTGTCCGTCAAAATATTCTCTTTGGACAAGAAATGGATAAAGAACGTTATGAAGATGTCGTTAATGCTTGTGCCTTAAAGAAAGACTTTGAAATGTTTCCGTTTGGTGATCAAACATTAATTGGTGAACGTGGAAGTTCATTGTCTGGTGGTCAAAAGGCGAGGGTCAGTCTCGCTAGAGCTTTATATAGAAAAGCTGATATTTATTTGTTAGACGATCCATTATCAGCTGTTGACGCTCATGTTGGTAAACATTTGTTCGATCAATGTCTAGCAGCTCAAGGATTTTTGGGAAAGGAAAATGCAACAAGAATTTTGGTGACACATCAAGTTCATTTCTTGAAAAATGCTAATTGGGTGGTCATAATGAGTGATGGGAAGATTGAACGACAAGGACGTGCAGAAGACTTAGCAAATGCTGGCATTGACTTTATGAAAATTGCTGAGGAAACTGAAGTTGAAGAAACCAGAAGAAGATCATTGTCACGTGCATCTTCACGATCTTCAGAGTCAGTTAGCAGTTCCACAGCTGTCATGGAAGAAAAACCAGCAGAAAAGGAATTCGACAAACAAAGAAATGTCGAAGAAATGTCAAAAGGAAAAGTCAAAGGAAATGTGATGATAAATTATTTGAAAGCTGGCGGAAATTTTTGTAAAATTGGATTTTCAATGTTTCTATTTGGACTCACTCAAACGATAGCATCAATGTCGGACTTTTGGGTTGGTTATTGGACGAATCAAGAAGAAATGAGAAATGTTATGTTGACGACTACTCGAAAAAATAACGAAACTTTTGATTATGATGATGATAGCTCTTTAAGTATGCCAGGAAATGAAACAATGAATCTCAATAACACCAAAACTGAACCAATTACCACTGAAATTCTTCCACAAGAAACTTTAGTTTATGTTGGAGGATTCTTAATTGGAGCTTTGTTTGTGTTTGCTATCGCTCGATCAATATTTTTCTATACAATTACTGTCGGAGCGTCAAGAAATCTTCATAAAATGGCGTTCAATGGAATAATTTCAACAAAAATGAGATTCTTTGATTTAAATCCCTCTGGAAGAATCTTAAATCGATTCAGCAAAGATTTGGGATCAATTGATGAATGGCTGCCAAAATGTCTTCTTGATGCTGCACAAGTTATCTTAATGGCAATTGGTGCGATTGTCGTTACTGCATTTATAAATCCATTATTTATGATTCCTTTGGGTTTGCTCTTCATTGTTTTTATCTACATTCGTCGATATTATTTAAAGACTTCGAAGAACATTAAACGACTTGAAGGAATAACAAAATCTCCAGCTTTTGTTCATCTTGCTGCAACTATCAATGGATTAGCAACTGTAAGAGCTTTTGGTGCTCAAGAGATTTTGATTAGAGAGTTTGATCAACATCAGGTAAGATAAATTGATTTAATTTATTACAATATTTGTCTGAAATGTTTCTTTTCTCTTATTAAATATTTAGAATCTCCACACTGGAGCTTGGTTTATGTACATTACAGCATCTCAAGCTTTTGGGTTTGCTTTAGACGTTCTCTGTATGATTTTTGTTGTTTGTGTTACATTTAGCTTCCTTCTTTTTGACACTCGTGAGTTTAATGGAGCATCAGTTGGTTTAGCCATATCACAATCTATGGGACTCACTGCAATGCTTCAATGGGGTATTCGACAGAGTGCTGAGGTCATGAATCAAATGATGGGAGTTGAACGAGTACTCGAATATAGAGATCTTGAAAACGAGCAAAGAGAAGTCACAAAAGCTGTTGACAAATCTTGGCCTCAAAAAGGCAAAATTAAGTTTAATAACGTCACATATCGATACTCAAAAGAAATGGAACCTGTGTTGAAAGGTGTCACATTTGAAGTTAATGAATGTGAAAAAATTGGCATTGTTGGTCGTACCGGAGTAAGAAAAAATTCTTTAATAGTTTATTGGAAATTTTGACAGAAATTTTCTTTTTTTGGTAGGCTGGAAAATCATCATTAATCGGTTCACTCTTCCGAATGGCTGAGATCGAAGGGGAAATAATAATTGACAACATTGACACATCAAAGATAGACGTTGAACAATTACGTTCAAAGATTTCGATCATACCACAAGATCCGGTTTTATTTTCGGGAACCATGAGAAAGAATTTAGACCCCTTTGATGAATATTCCGATGATCATCTGTGGGAAGCACTTGAAGAAGTGAAACTCAAAGATATTCCCGCATTGCAAGTGCAAGGTCTTCAAACACTTGTCGCTGCTGGGGGCATTAACTTTTCTGTTGGTCAACGGCAATTAACTTGCCTTGCTCGAAGTTTATTGCGTAACAATCGAATCTTGGTTCTTGACGAAGCAACTGCTAATGTTGATCCTGAAACTGACGCTTTGATTCAGGAAACAATACGTGAGAAGTTTAAGGACTGTACGGTGATGACAATCGCCCATCGACTACACACTGTCATGGATAGTGACAAAATTCTTGTAATGAATTTTGGAAATGTTGAAGAATTTGATACGCCAATAAACTTACTCGAAATTCGAGGCGGAATATTCTCAGAAATGGTGAAGGCAACGGGACTTTCAGAATCAAAAAATTTAACATTATTGGCAAAAAAAAATATTTAGAAAATTAAGTGGAAAAAAGTCGTTTTAGATTAGATTAGAATTGGATGAAATATCCAATCGGTCAAACGCCTTAAGAGCTTTAAATTCTAAACAAATATGAATCAATTAAAATAACTATTTTTGTATTAAATATTACAACGTACATAATTAGTATGTAAAAAAATATTCGGTTATCTTACTTATAGTACAACAAAAATCTTCTGACATTTATCAAAAGATTTCATAATTTTGATTATTTACAAACGGTTATCAATTTGTTTACTCTGAAAATAAATAAAGATGATTATTGTCAAAACTTTCTCATTCTTTTTTGTATTTCTATGAAGAAATTTCGGTCAATTTCCAAAAGAAACGAAAATAGTTTTCAAAATGTTAAATTTACTTTTATTTGTTAAATTTTCTTCACTCAAGATGAGACAAATCGTCAATTTGTGGATTGCTTCCACTTGATGGGTTTGTCACGTAAACAGTTTTTGGTGATGACTGAATAAATATTTTCTGACTTGATTGGATTTTGACAATGTTTGAGGTTGTTGCCGGTGAACTCGGTTTAATGTAAAACTTTTGTTGATTTTGTTGTTGCTGTTGTTGTGGTTGCTGTTGCGTCATTTGACGATGAATCGGTTGCGACGATCTAAAAATAATTTGATACTTTTAAAATTAAAAAGAGAACAAAATAAATTTAAAAAGTTCAACTTACACTCGTGGAGCAACAGAGGGAACCGAAATCGCAGATGTGGTTGATGTTGTAGTTGTTGAGCTTGGAGTTTGTCGAGCTTTAATTACACTTTGGTGTAACGCCGGTCCCAGAAAACCAAAATCACGTTTATAATCTTCAAGAACATCTGGAGTCGACCGCATTGTTTTCAACACGGGAGCACAAACTTTGGACAGACACATACGAATATGACCTGCAGCATTTCTTTCGGTGTTGCTAATGTCGGGTCCTTGCATATTGCAAACTCTTTCCGAAATGAACTTCAATCGGGGAATTATGAAAACTTTAATGACCTCCTGGCCCATCTCCGACAGACCTTCTATTGCACCATACAATGATGACAATGGAACTTTGTCGTTCTGCAAAGCTGTACTAAAAAGTCTCGTAACTCGAGTTTGTAAATTGTTAGTTGATGTGTTGAAATTTTTACAAATTTGGGCCATCAATTTTGCAGCAAAATCACGAAGTGCCCAATGATTGTCAAGTTCTGGTCTTTGACAAAGTTGTTTTGATACGATGCATGTTGAAACAGAAGGAATAAGCTCGTGAAGGTATTTTTCAAGATACAATGCGGGATTATCAAGAAGTGCTCGAACCATTCTCATCAAATAAATCAAAATTGCAAGATTATTTTGTACGACATTTACTTTTACACCTTCAGCGATAAATGTACACATTCTGGGCAACATTTCGTGTATACCTGGATCACTAGCTAAAGACTGTAATGCTTCAGCTCTTCGTCCTTCATCTGCTCCCACACAAGCTTCGGTTATTTCTTTGTAATAAAATTGTTGTTCAACTGATAACTCGTGTGTTGCCAATTGCTTGACATGAACTGTTTCATGAGTTTTTAACTTATGAGCTTTGATTGCTGGCTTGCCACTTGTGTCTTTGAGATCAGTTTTTTCAAGTTTCTTAACAGGATTCACTGAATCTTGTGCTTGAAGTTCTTTTGATAATGGTGGAGGATTTTCCGGGATCGTAGGCTACAAAAATTAATATGAAAACATTAAAAAAATAACTTTTTTTTGAATAATATAGATTTACCTGAATCCCATCCACACAGAGCCAATGAGTTCTTAATGATACTTCAAGAGGAGCTTTAGGAGGAGCTGATATTAAGACGTCGGTCAACTCCAATTCCTTTTCTTCTTGGAAATGTAATTCACGACCGCCACCACTAGCGAATCGAAAAGGAATAAAGTCTTTCGAAACAAATCCATATTGAGGCTCAATGTTACGGATCTTCAAAGACTCATCTACATCCGCTAAACAAAATCGCGTCCTCTTTGCATGGTGCATGAATTTTTGTCCATCTTGAATTATTTGTTTCAACTTGTAAGATATATCATCAGCGAGTTCTTTTGCAGCTAAATCTGATAATGTTGATATTCCTATACTCTCAGCTATAACTTTGATACTTTCTTGAGAAAGCTGCGTCCCATACGATTTTATTTCCAAGTTTTTAATTAAATTCTTGTCTTCTGACATTCTTTTCCAGCAAATTTCAAAATCCTTTTAGACCCTGACAAATATGTTCCACTTTAATGATCAACTAAAAATGAAGTTTTACTATTATCACTATTTTTATCACCTTTTAAATAACATTTACAGTGACTTTCACAGAAATGATAACGTTTTGTGTTCACAGGAGCCCTTTGAAAACTATGGAAAAATTTTGCTTGAATTCAAAAGGGTATGCAAGTACTGCAAACAAAAAAACATTCCTTAACCGCGAGATTTAACACTCTCCACCTGAAACTGCTTCCCAGAGGAAACAGTTTCAGGTGGAGAGTGCATAAATCGACACATTTATATATGTGTGCTGCAAACGTGATGTTCAATCAGTTGAAAGCAAAACTGCAATAGTAAAGAACGTGTAATCAAGGTTTTTAACAGCTATAAAATATAAAACTTATTGAAAAGCCGCATAAAATTCAAAACTGTGCTCTTTTAAGTATGTATAACATTTAATTATAATAGCAATCATTTAGTTTTTGTGCAAATTTTGATAATTTCAAAGTCATTTAACCTTAATTTCATGTTGAATGAAAATTGCTGTAAGTTAAGATATTTTTTTTCAAAGTGAATAAGAAATTTTTTGGCATCATCTAAAAAGAAAGACTTTTCGACTTGTCGCTTACAAAATGAAACCTAAAGTGACGGTCCTCAACTTTGAATAGTTGAAATTGAACTCAACATAGTGTAAAACCTCAGCTGTGACGAAAAAATCGATAAGCATCCAGAATGTTCAGGCGTGAAAACCAATTATGTTACAGAAAAACTGTTCAAAACTGTGCAATTGTATTTTCCTTTCTAATCTTTACAAGAAAAAAAGACACTCATACCTTCTTCATTTTACATGCTTGAGAACGTGATGCGACGAAATCATCTAAAAATAATTAATTAAAAACGAAAGGAGAGACGTTTTAAAATGCCTGATTCTACCGCATTTCTTTTAAGCGCACATAAATTTTGCCACGAAACTCAAATCGATATGTTTGTGCAATTCTGACACGAAGTCAAAAATATACATAACAAAATAAAAACTTCAGAATTTCCAGCTTGACTTCCTGTCCCATGTTCAAGTTTTATACACACATACAGAATTTTCTTCAGTAAGAAAACAGATGATAAAGTCGATTTCAATATTTTCTTGGAATCAATAAGGGAAAAAAATTCCTAGATTAGAAGAAGTGAGAAATTAGCTGTTTGGCCTGTTAAAAATGAAATTTAATACTTTTCTATTCGCTGTGCTGTTTACTTCCTTTCTCTATGGATAAGAGTTCTGTTTTATTTATCTCTTTCCTTAAGAAATTGAACACGAAGGTTTGTTTATTTAGGATTTTTGAAATGTATTTCTTTTTAGGAATTTCCTAACGAAGTGAAATCCCTAAAGTTTTTGCTTTTCATTGACTTTTATACTTAATAATAAGACGGATATTCTTTCTTTCAATTTTCTGCGTTAAAAAATTGCGATGAAATAGACAGTTGCTTAGAAAACAAATAAAGGACATTCTGACCTTGACCGTGCTTTTTATTCAGAGGGGAGAAAGGGAAAACAGCAAAGAAACATTCAGCATTATGTAGGAATTGAAACCGAATTTCTATAATGCAGTTGTTTCTGTTTTTGATTCGTTATTCAGTAAGGAAACTGACATCACAATAGGAAAACGTTTGTGCATATTTTCTGAAAAACAAAAATAAAAAAACATGACGCAGTTTCAATTTTACTTGAGCTTTGCCATAAATTTTAATTGAAAGGATATGGAATGGTTGAGTGGCAGAGTTAATTAAAAAGAATAAAGTGAAGCTTGTAAATATCTGTTGCAATGCTGTCAAGTTTTTTTTCCGGGTTGATAGACGAAAATTGCATATTTTCAATTATTCATTTGAGAATTGAAAACTTTAGTAATGAATTAGTGCCAAAAACCATTAGAATAAAATTGAGTTTTCATATTTCAAAATCGTTTGTCATTCATCTACTTCAACTGAACAAAACTGAACTTGTCTTTTTCTATGTTTTTTCTTTCAAATTAATTGAGCAATTTTTCGAGAATGTTTCTTATTCATCACATTGGATTAAGGAACAGCCATAAATATTTCCTCTGCAAATGATAATTTTTTATAAATACAGAATCTGTTTCTTTCATTAAGCACGCGACAACAAATTATTGATTGACGACTGACTTTTTCGAAATAGAACGGCAGAAACTTCTTTCTTATCTCACTTCGAGCGATCTTTGCCTCGAAATGATATTTTTTCTTACATCAGATGACTTATCACTAACCAAAATTAAAAGACATGTTGTTACAGTTAAAGTCATTTGTTTTACGTCATTCTTTACTTTATAAAAAAGACATTAAATTATTAATCACAAATCCTCACCCGCAAATCGCAAATCTTGACCCACGCGAGAATGAGAGCGTTAAACTTAATATATTCCGTAAATAAATATCTGAAAATCATATTCGTGTGTTATGAATACATCATTCTCATACTTTCTGTTTTGGCCTCGAACGAAAATGAAAGATAAATCCTAGTCTAAGAAAAGCAAGATATTGACAAAAAGAATCAAATTTCTCAAATTTTAATGAGGGAATAGCAAAGGATTTATTACATAGATAAAACTAACTAATATCTAAGCGATACTTTGTAGCTTCGATGTTTATCTCATAATTTCTTTATAAATTTAGCAACCCTCAAAAATTTTAGTTGAAAATATTTGCTTTGACATCATGTCTATTTTGTCTTCTACACTCGATATTTAACAGAAAAAATGAGAAAGAGATTCACGCGATTTTCGCTGAACAAAAATAACTTTTCACTTGGTTTTCTTTTAATTCTTCTACGAATTCATTTAATGATGAGTTTTCATGTTTTCTTCACGTCTATCGCTCAAAAACTTCGAGATTAAAGCGATGAATACAAGCATGATTAGCACGTGAATGGCGAGAGAATTTATGACGTTTTTCTTGAATGAATTTCACAACTGATAGAGAAGCTTTAATCATTCATACGTAACATTCTTATACAATATCAACATCTTTTTCCATTATCACTTTTTGTCTAACTTTATGTACAGACTTATAAATGTATTCTCTTACATCTTAATTACTGCTGATATTTGATAAAACAAGAGCTCTAATTAGTGAATGCAACTTATTTACTTTCATGCTGTTGATACAAACTAAAATTAAACAATTGTTTTTCATTGCTCAATAAAAAAATTTGCATGAGAGCGAATAAATTCACAACCAATCGAAAAAGAGAATGAAGTTTTAAATCGGCACGTAGCAGTGTTACAATTAATTAACGCGTAAGTGTATCGCGTCTATTCGATTCGTTAATTCATTCATTGTATATTTATTTAGCTGATAAGCGAGGAAAAAAAATTCGCAAGACTTTATTAATACATACCTAGATGGTGGCTTGAATTGAAGAATAGCCTACAATTTATTTCTATACTATCAGCGATCATTACTCATGTATTAAAAATTTCACAACTTAACTTTGATAAAAAACTTGCCGTTGACAAATTCTGATGAAAAAAAATTGTTTATTTATGAGTTTGCTATCCAAACCAAATGCTCATGTCATTCCTTTTTTACACAAAAAACTGATAAACTTAATCATGGCGTCTTTTTATGGAAATCGTTGTCGCAATAATTACAATTTGTAGCTCCTGTTATCAAAGCTTAATGGAACTTGGAGGTCAAAATACATAAAGAATAAGTCCTTGAAGTTAAAAATATTTTTTAGACATGACGTGAAAATCTTAAAAGATGAAATGAAGAATAATTTAAGATTTGCATTTAATTCAGGAATGTCGGTTTAAGACATTTTAAAGGCGTTGATTCCCGATTTTGTTTCTACACTCTCAAGGAATAATTAAAAATCACTTTGAAGAGTTCTGAAAAATATTTTATTCAGAAATAATTGATTGCAATTTAAAAAATATTAGTCATTATTTAGTTGATTGAATGAAGCGCACAGAAGTTCAATCAATTTTGAAATCACTTCGCAAGCATGTGAACGTTGGAATTGAGTCTATAATATTTGTCGATTTGATTATTCTCGCGAATTAATAACCGCTTGGCAACAATTTCATTTACGTTTCGTTTTCTTTTTTGGAATTTAACTCTCAATTAAATTCGAAATGAATTTGTTGACTTTTGTAAATTGCCATTGGGAGAAATTTGACGATTCAAGCAGTTCGAGGAAAAATAAATGTAAATTGACTCGTTAAACCGTAAATGTGTTGAAAATGGAAGAAAACAACGAAGAGACGAAACCTGAATCATGGATTAAAGTCCAAAGAATAAAAACCAAAAAAGTCAATGATGAATCATACATTTAACTTACTTATTTTGATCAGCATTACTCTGAAATATTTTCCATGCGTTCTACGAAAACCTTCAAATCAAAATGACGTCATATTCATTATGAACCTCCCGAGTCGTTCAAAAGAAAAAAAAAAAGAGAAGTGAAAGAAAAAAAGTAACCGGCAGAAAATATATGCGGTTGCTTAAAGTGTAAAAAACCGAGGAATTCCAAAGACTTTCAGCTCTTTTTTTTCTTTCTTTCTCATTTGGAAAAGAGATTTTTAAAAATATGAAGTGGATAAGTTCTTTTCGTTGCTATTTTTAGCACTAAATATGAAGGAGAAAGAAAAGAAGAAGTCATGTGGTTAAAAAAAAGCCCACTCGTGATCAGATAGAATTATTTTGCTCGTTAGTAAATTTATTTATTTATTCATAAGAAAAGTTAAAAATATTTCATAAAATGTCGTTTAGTTACCTTTTTTAACCTTGATTAAGCATTGAAAATCTTTTTTATTTTCGATCGATAAACTCAGACTGCGAAAGTGATCTCGTGACAATATTTTGGATTGTTTACTTTTATTTTGTTTATCTTCAAATAAAATCAAAAAGAGCTCTTCAGTAATAAATATGTTTATCCATTATGTATCTTATTAAGCACAACATATCGTTCGTGTCTTGTATCGAAATGAAATTGGTTCAAATGGAAGTAAAAAACCGTACCGGCAATTCTACCACTCGTGTCTAGGTAGTAAAGAAAACTTCTATTTTAAGACAATGACGAGAAAACTCGTTAAAAAATATATTTTTGGCGTAGTTTGGTCGTTAGTAAGTAAGAGCGAACGACGAATGAAAGCAATAACAGCTAAGAAGAAACCACACTCATGACACTATTTATTTTATTGCTTATATCGTTGCAAGAACATTAAAGTTCAAGTAAAAAGAAAATTTCAATTGAAATGTTAAATAATCAAAAATTCGATGCCTTCGATGTGGTTTTAAAGAATATGAAAAGAGTTGGTCAGATCTACTTAAATTACATTTAACTGACGGTCAGTGTAAATTTATTAACGTTACTACACAATCCTGACCTCGTCGTTGTTTTTTTTGCGGCATATCATTGTTGTATTCTTCATAAGTGTTCCATGAAACTTTATTCTGATTACGAAAACAAAAATGTAAAATGAATCTTATTTTGACTTTGTTTCGTGTAAACTAAAAAAAGTGATGCAATGATAAAAATTTTGCTTGCAATTTTTTATTCGCTGAATCATTTCCTTGACTGGATTGCAATGTCATTTTAAGATTTTATGTGAAATTGTTTTAGACATTTTATACTTCAGACTGAAGGGTACTTGAAGCAGAGATTTTTGTTAATTGTTTTATGAAGCCAATTAACTGATAAATTTTTAATCGATTTAAAAGGAAGGCAGCAGCTTTGTTGTTATCAAGTTGAAATATTGCTTGTTATAAATATTGCTTGGGTTATAAAACAATTAGTAAAAGTATGCAAAGATTGATGTTGATCTGATATCCTTAATCAAGCCTTTAACTGACCTCGTAACTTTATTTAAATATTGAGAGCTCTGAGTGCTAAATTAGAAATTAAAAAGCGTTCTTTTTTAAAGGTTTTCTCAAATGACGTCGATCTCAATGTCAATTTTTGTCTGTTTTTGAGCAAAATAACAAAAAAATCTTCGCAATTGCTCAAAGTTATTTTTTTTAACTTTTATTTCCGAGATATTCTTCAGAGTTGGAATCATAACATGAAAAAGAAGAAAATTATTTTAAATCATGTTGCCAAGAAAATTGTTTTCGTCTCTCAGTTCTCATTTTTCATGATGTTTTTCAGAAAAGCGAAAACAGAAAAGATAATTTTAATTTTCAGAAATTTATTAAAGTCACAAGACTTAAACGTGCAGATTCGTTCATAGATTAAAGAGCTAAGCAGTGAAAGGAAAAGCCGCTAGTGTGACAATTTTCAGTGACTTTGAACTATCGCCATTGTAAATTTATTTTTTTTTACTAATTTCACAAGTATAAAGAATATTTTTGAATAGTGAAGCATTTCAAAAGTCACGTCGATTAATTTTTCCTGAATCCTAAAAATGTAAAAACGCATTCAGCAAAAAATTTGATTTATTTATGTGGAAACTAAATATTAACTTATTTATAAATATTATTATTGCTTTTATGTTTATTAGTCTAACGCTTAAAAATTGAGACGAAAATGAGATTTGTGTGAAAGAAGTGCAATTGAAAAAGTGAAAATGATTTAAAAGAAATTTGATAAATTTAAGTTTTAATGTGAAACATTTCTTTTTTCTCATTTACAGACATGAAAAAGTTATTTGAAAGCAACAACCGATTGAGTTATCTCGTACCGCAGGTACGACGTTCAGTACAGGAGCTTTGACGAATTAATATCACGTTGATTAACTCATAAAGCAAAGAAGCAAAAAAAAAAGAAATTGTTAAGAAAAATCTTTTCAAATATAATTCACTCATATACACAAACACACTTATACACACAACAAACACACATTAATCAAAAAGCAACTTAAAGAAGAAAAAAAAAATTACCACCGTAAAACAAAAAGAAGTTTTTGAAGAAAGTTAATTTATCAAATAGAATTGATCAACAAATCTGTTCTTTTATTTTCTAAAATCAAAACTTATTTAATTTTTTTGGAAGAATCGTCATTAAAATAGAAAGCAGTAGGAAATTTCCTTGAACAACTGCAACTCGTGTCGCTCCCACATCGCTCGCTTTCCTACCTCATTAAAACAAATTGAAATTAAATTTTCTTCTCATTTCACTTAATTTTCTTTTTTTTATAATTTTTTTCGGTTTTGTTTCTCTCACGATAAGCAAACGAGAACTGATTAGAATCAGTTTATCGTTGTGATTTTAAATAAAAAGAAGAAAAAACAAAAAGATAAGCGCTTCAAATCTTTCCTTTCATTGGGAAGAGGAATTTAAGAATTTAATCAGCTTATAAAAAAAGCTTCAATTAATTTCCAATAAGCTCATTAATCTCATTTTTTGATTGCATACATTTAAAAACATTTCCTAACAATGTCTGCATATCGACGAAGAGTTTGTGTTCCCGATATTGTCAAATTAAAACGTTGATAGTCGCCATCGACTTGATCTATTATTTAAGTTTTTTTTTATAATTGTATTCATTTTTGATACATTGTAAGTTTTTTTTTTATCTAAGTTACTTAACGTTAATTAAAGTTTTTCTTTTTTATTTAAAAACATTATTCGATTAAGAGTTTTTGCAAAAACATATTTTACATTTACTTCTTTTACATCCTACAAAAAATAATTGAGGGATTAAGAAGATATCTCAATTTCTGCTTCAATCAATTAAAAAAAAGAAAAAAACATAATCAAATAAATATCCTATCAAAGCGCTTTTTGAAGAGAAGAAAATTTTACAACGAGGAGCAAATTGAACATACAAAAAGAAAACATTTGAACGAAAAGCTTTCTTGTGAAGAGAGCAATAAGAAAGAAACCGAAAGTTTTAATATCAGTTTATCGTTGTTATCGCATCTAAATATAATAAGAAACCCAAAAGAAAACTCCTTTGAAAGAAAGCACACACTAAAACACAAGAAAATCCTAAAATAATATCAACGAAAGTAATCAAGAAGAAATCATGGAGCCTTTAACACTCGCATTTTGGCTTGTGGTAATTGGTTTTATCATTGCATTCATCCTTGCCTTTGGCATTGGAGCAAACGATGTCGCCAATTCTTTTGGAACCAGCGTTGGATCTGGCGTGTTGACAATTCGACAAGCTTGTTGGTTGGCAACATTTTGTGAAGTTGCCGGTGCTGTTCTGATTGGTAAGTTCATTAAATCGCACGGCATAAGATTAGTGAAGTAATGAGAAAACTTTCTCAATCATCTTATATAGGCTATAAAGTGTCAGATACGATGAGAAAAGGAATTTTGGATGTAACTGTATATGAAGGTCATGAACAAGAACTCATGATTGGATTATTATCAGCACTTGCAAGTAGTGCACTTTGGCTTTTGGTCGCCACATTCCTTAAGCTTCCTATCTCTGGCACTCACAGCATTGTCGGGTCAACAATTGGCTTTAGTTTAGTTGCACGTGGAACTGAAGGATTAAATTGGAATAAATTGGGTGAGTTTTGGCAATAAATAAAAATATTTTGTGAATTTAATTTAAATATCAATTAATAGGAACAATTGTTGGATCATGGTTCGTCTCGCCAGTTCTTAGTGGAGGAATGAGCGTTGGTCTCTTTATGCTCATCAATCGCTTTATTTTAAAAACGAAAAATCCACTAAAATCTGGTTTATGGTCGTTGCCAATATTTTATGGCGTCACTTTATTCGTCAATCTCTTTAGTATTATTCACGATGGACCGAAATGTAAGCGTCTTTAAACGAATTATTAAAATATTTTCACACCTTCACTCAAATCAAATTATTTTTAATTCAGTGCTTTACATGGATAATATTCCGACATGGGTTGCAATCTTAATCAGCACGGTGGTATCAGTTGTCGTCGCAATTTTGGTTCAAGTGATTGTCGTTCCTTGGCAACGAAAGAAAATTCTTGGCGAATCTATTGGACAAGGACAAAGAGCAAATTTCACTTTTGGTGACTCAGATGGTAAGATAAATTAGAAATACTCTCTTGAGAAGAAGTTTAACAAATATTTTCATTAGATTCGTCAGCAAGCAGCAGTCCGAAAAGAAACAGACGACAGATTTCCCACGTTTATGACGCAAATGTTTTACCAGCGATTAACGAGTCGACAGAACTTCAGTCTCTCAACAATCACCAATCAATTTTAACGACACCCAACCAACAACGTCCTTCAAATGGTGGTGTAACACCTTTCGATTATTATCGTGTCGCACAATGGAATGGTTCCGTCCCAAAATCAGCAATGGAAGGGAATCCTTACAAGTTTGATCCGAAGATGTTGAAGAAAGCAGAAAATTTAATAAACGTAACACATCCCAATAACAACACGATGCTCACAACAAGTCTTGATAACACCGACTTAACTATCACAAGTCTTAATTACATTGACGAGTATCAAAACACAATCAACGGCAGAAATCTTCAAAATCTCTATGTTAGATCTGATTCGGATAAGAAGTGAGTAAAGTTTGAAGAAAATTAAAAATTGGATGAATTTAATATTTTTCAAATGTCCTTATTTACGTCATCAAATGAAAACATTTTTAAGAATTCACATTTAATGCTTTTTTCCCAGAATAATCACGCCACCGCCACAACCACCACCAATACTTGTCTCGTGCACACCCTCACCACCCGATTCGGAGCACAATGAAAGTGGCCTTGGACATGATGCCAAAAATGATTCAGTTAGTGACTTGACATTACCACCCAACATCATTTTAAACGCTGGAACTAATGATTTAATCACTTCAACAATGAATAATAAAATCACGACAACAACAGCAGCAAAGCATTGTCTTGAAAATGTCGAAAGTGGAATAAGTCTTGATGGAATGAATCATGGAAATGGTAGCGCGAATATCTCAGCAAATTCTAGTAAAGTTCCATTGATTAGTCATTCAGGCGGTGGAGCGAGTAATCAAATTGTGGAAGATGAGAATGTTAGCAAATTGTTTTCATTCTTACAAATTCTAACAGCAACATTTGGATCATTTGCTCATGGTGGTAATGATGTTAGGTAAGTTCTTCATAAATTATCGATTTAAGAAATTATAAAATCAAATTTTAAATATTATTAGTAATGCAATTGGACCTCTCATCGCTTTATGGATGATTTATGCCGATGGTTCGGTACTTCAAAAGTCTGAAACGCCTTTATCAATTCTTTTGTTTGGCGGAGTTGGAATTTCTGCTGGTTTATGGCTTTGGGGACGTCGTGTTATTGAAACTGTTGGAACGGATCTGACAAAAATAACTCCATCAACGTAAGTTTCCTTCTGAATGTTTTATTAAATGATTTCCCTGTATGTTTAAATAAACTAATTAATTTTTTGATTCTAGTGGTTTCACAATAGAAATCGGTGCAGCGATGACAGTTTTGTTAGCAAGCAAAATTGGATTGCCGATCTCAACAACACATTGCAAGGTCGGTTCAGTGGTATTTGTTGGATATTCAAACGCAAAACAAGATCCAATTACGGGCGTTAAAGAAAAAGCAGTCGATTGGAAACTGTTTCGATCGATTGTTTACGCATGGCTTGTGACAGTTCCAGTTGCGGCATTCTTATCAGCTGCTTTCATGTTCATTCTGTCACATCTGATACTTTAATCCTTCTAATTGAAGTTGATTGAAAATCATCCAATAAAGGATTTAGATGATGATCCAACTTGAATATATCATGGACTAGAAAGAAAAAAAATATTAAATTAAATGTGATGATCAATTAACAAGCCAAGCGGATACAACAGAATGTACTTCTTTCCTAGATTTACTTAACATTTAAGGCTTTAAAAATCTGTAATTGCTAAGGCAATATTAAAAAAGAATCATGACTGACATATTATTGTCAGTCAAAGCCAAAATCGCAAAAGTAGAATCACTGTTTATGTCTAAAGTTTAACTCCTCTGTTTAATATTTAATTAAAAATGTCGAATATTAAATTTTCGCCAGTCTCTTCAATTCTTCCTTTTTTTTATTAAAATAAACCTAAAAAATTTCAAAACTTTTTTTCCCTATCATTTCCATTATTTCTTTGGTTAAAATTGAATCTTAGTATAAGATAAAAAATATGCTGAAGAAATACCTGATAATGATGATGATAAATAACTTAAATTTAAATCTAAGATTTTAGCATCAAGTTGATGCAAACTTTTCGTATTTTTTTATTTTTCTTCTCTTTTTTGATGGTACGTTTTTTGGAATTGTATTTTCTGTAAGACAAATGTTCTTAAGAGACTTTAAAAAGTCTTCTTTTTTGATCATGAAAACAAACTTAAATGCAGTGATCTCTTGATATAACAAACTATCAATACAACAATTCACTCGACAGTAAGTTGCTTTCTTGCACAACTTGAAAATCTTAAACAAAATTCACTCAATACAAAATTTCATTCGATAAAACAGTTTTTTCCTGTCTCTTCAACTTTTCTCATATCAAGGGTTCACTGTAGTTAGAAATTAACAACATTGCATAATGAAACTAACTTTACTTTTATGGTGATAAGAAAATAAAAGATGAGAGAAGAAAGTTAAATAGAATTGTTAAGATCAGTTAAGACGGACACTTTGATGATTGTGTCACTATTTTGCACGAATTTCAAAACTAATTAAGTTTCTATTTGGAATGTTTACAAAAATTTGATGGGAAAATAATTGAGAAAATAAATTTGTTGTCTCATAAACTGGAAAATATTTAGTAAAAAAAAACTTAAAAAAGGAGATAAAAAAATGTTTTGCAAGACTGTAATTGAACGATGAAAAATAAAAAAAGAAAACCTTCTTTAAGGTTAAGTAAGGAAATTTTCTCATGCATTTTATAACATTTTTAATATTTCAGATTGTTTTCAAGAATTTTTAAAAATTTCTCCCGATTTAATCTAATCTAACTCTTATGTTAATCCAAAACATTAATTTAAAGCAGGATTAGATTAAGTTATGCTGAAAAATTTTCAAAAGAAAAACTCAATTTCATCTTCGATTACAATAAGTAATGTTTATTTGTTTTCAGATATTATCGAAATTATTTCCTCTATAAAAAAATCTATCTTTATTGAATACAAAAATCTATTCTAACACAAACTAAGGTGACGAAAAATGTTTGAACTTCTAATGACTATTAATGATGATGACGATTCATTGATAAAGTATTTCATTAATTTACTGGTCTGATTTATTGTGTCGTAAAGAAAAAAAATCTTTTAAAAATAAATTAACCCAAAACAAACTGTGAAACATTATTTGACGACACTAAACTAGCAAAATGACTGAAATGCTTTCATCTGATTAAGAAATATTATTATGAAACTTATTTTTTTGGACAGTGACGATGATGATGATTTGAAATCCATCGCAAAAAAATATTTTACGAGATTAAAAATGTTTTGTTTTAAAAAATCCTTTCACGTGAGTTTTCGCCATTTGATCGATTATTTTGACGCGGTGGGGAGTTGCCACCTTTCGTTTTTCGCGATCTTTTGTATTTTTCGCTTCCGTGAAAGACGTCACCTGTTAGCAAAAGTGAAAAAATTAAATAATTAGAAATGTGTAATTCATCATAAAGCTGTTAAAAAGCAACTCTCACCTGTTCGAAGAGTTTCAATTAAATCGTCAAACTCTCGAACAGTTTCAGTTTTTTGTTCTTCTTTCGGTTTTAAACCGAGATTCTTTGCCATTGAGTTTAAGAATCCATCTTTTGACTTTCGTTCAATTGTTCGCTTCTTCATCTGTGAATTATTCATTCATTAAATAAATTTGAAACAAATTTCGTTAAAGCTTTTCTCACCTCAGCTTCTTGTTTTAATCTTTTCTCTTCTTCTTCGGCACGCTTTCTGAAGTTGTCATTGTCTTGACGAGCTTCAGTAAAAGCCACCAAGAAAGTGTCAAAAATACCGAAAAATTCTTCAGGCTGAATGACTGAACCATCTTCACCAAATAATCGAACTGCACGATCGAATCTTGTTTTCATATCTTGAAATTTATCTTCAAGTTCAGCGAATCTTATTGACGCTTGTGCATGGAAATCTCTCATGACCGGCAGGAAACGATCACCTTGTACTGATGAACCAGCACTTCGATGAAATTCAATTTCTCTGGCAACTTCGGCCAAGCCTGTTCGCAAATTACCAATGTCCTTATCCATCTCGCCAAGACTGACTTTTGATGCTTCTTTAACATGCGGCATATCTTCTTCCAATCTCAAAATATCCTTGAACTTTGATTCAATGATCTGAACCAAGTAATGAAGTAATGTCGTTCCTTTCGCTTTCGCTGAGCTTGCTTTCGTGTCAGCTAATCGATTCAATGATTGAAGTCGGAAACCAAAAGCATTGCCACGCGCACCGCGATTCATATAGTTGCCCAAAGCCAAAACAAGTTCCAAAAGTTTACGCAATCGTCGACTTCGAGCGACTTCACGCGATGCTTCCATGATGCTGGCAATTCGTGGAAGTAAATCGTTAAGCGTGATACTGAAGCGCTTCTTATAATGTAAGCTTCTTAATCGTTGTTCGTAATGATGAATCCTGTTTTTGAAAATAATTTCAAATAAATAAAATTAATGAATCGAATTGCGTGATTACGAGCAGCATTTGAAACTTTTAGTTTTGTGAAAGTTAATTAATAAACTTACTTAGAAATCTCATACAGGAATCTGTCAGCTCTTGCAAGCGAATCAATATCTTCAGAGTGTTCGTCAAGTAAAACGCGTTCTTCAGCTGATGGTGTAAACTTTAGAAGTTGTTCCACCATATCAATTGGTAACTGATCGCTGCTATCCATCGATAAAATTGCTCTAGGATGACACAAAATAAGAAAAATTAAAAGAGAAAAAATTTTCCTGAAATTCTTACTTGGAAATTTCTTCGTCACTCATCTTCAACTTGCTCAACAAAATTGTGCAATTTTGAGCTCGTCGTCCATCAATAACTGAAAGAACTTTCGTCTTGTGTTTATTTCCCACTAAACGGAGATCTTCAACACTTGAGCCGTCATTCTGCAAATGAATTTATGAAATTTTATAATTCTTCATAAATTTAAAAACTTACAGCAACGCCATTCTTCTGATAAGCTGAGAAAAGCTTGTCAATAGACTCCAAATCCATGCTGTTGTACCATTTCGTTTCATCCAGTTCACTCCAAACAGTTCCTTGAACCTTCATATCGGGTAACTTTGACCAATTAAATGACTTCAGTGGTTGAGCAGACTGTGGAATGTTTTTCTTTGGTCCATCGAGTTTAGGAAGTGGGGGTGGGCCTGGTGGGCCTCCAAGTTTTGAAATTGGTGGAGGTGGTGGGCACACTTAATAATATTAAAATTTTAACAATTTAAATTGGGGAAAGAATTTAAATTTTAAACTTACTTGGAGCCATTGGAGGTGCCATGGGGATTGGAGCTGGTGGTGGCTTTGAACTTTCTGGACTTTTAGTGTTATTGCAATTACCCTGCAAACCAGCAGCTTTCTGATCGTCTGGGAAACTGCCTTCTGACATCAATTTCTCTAATCGACTTCTTTCTTGTTGTTCACTAACAAATTTATGTTGCAAATCTTCAACACGCATCTCAGCATTGATTGCACGTTGAACAGCTTGTGAGTGATTTGTGCTTTCTTTCTCTAAACGATCACGCATTCTTGCAAGATTTGTCTCAAGATCTTCTTTCTCAGCTGTTCTCAAATCCAATTCTTGTTCTTTCTTTGTCAACTTTGCAACGAAATCCAAATTTTCTTTTTCGAGTTCTTCGGCTCGTTTTCGAGCTGCTGTCAATTCTTCTTCACGAACAAGCAGATTGACAATTTTATTGACGTCAATTTCAATCGGTGTAACATCGGGATCGACCAACTTTGGCTTAGCATCTGATGGCATGTGCTTTTCGAAGAAATTTTCGATGTCACTTGATGGTCTTCCAGTTTCACTCTGCTGTAAGACAATTTGCTGAAGAATTCGATCAAAGAGTATCCAATGATGAGTGTTGGAGCCAGTGAAAGGAAGAAGAAGCATGTGTTGAAGCAATGATAGGAAGTGCGGATATGCTGGTGAATAATTTAACTTTCGTTTCAACAAATCAAACATTTCTATGGCACTTTCAGCATCAATTGATTCGTTGCTAAACTTTCTTGAAAGCTCTTTTTCGTCTTCACCTCGCACCATGTCAAAGAAGTCCAAATGACGATCAAGCGTTTCATTTTCATATTTTCGCAATTTTTCAATAATTTTATCAATGCCCAACATGATGAATTCAAAACGAAGATGAAGACGAAACTCCAGTTGATCTTCACCAGCTCCATAGTTGACTAAAGCATTTATCAACGACATGATGGCAAGTTTGAGATTGGTTTCGTTATGATAAGAGCCTGTTGAACGATCCAAATCATTCATGATTGTTTGGAAACGTGAACGTTCCGAAGCAAACTCTTGAAAGTTGATGAAAGCATCGAGAACTTTCTTATGTCCACCTTGCACCAAACAAACAGCGCCGAGAATCTCAAGAGCAGCAATTTTTGTCTTGACATTATCACAAGCGAGCGAACGTGCGATTATGTCGATCGATGTTGGGTGTTGGAGGACGTTTGATCGACCGGTCTGCGAAAACATTTAAATTCCATAATTAAACTTCATTTGATTAGATACAAGAAACGTCTTTTTCGTTCCTAAATATTTATGTAAAGTCAACTCACCGAATTATTCATAAGCGCCTTGATGCAGCCAATTAAGCTCGTGTGTAGCGAACTATTCGCAACAAATACATCCGTTATTGCCTCAAGCATGTTTAGTAAGGCTGGAAGTCCTTGATGTTCGATAAACTTGAGTACAAAGCTATGTGCTGATGTTCTTAGTGCTGTCTTCAATGCATCACAAAGTTGCGTGTGCTGTTCAATTTTCGATTGAAGCTCATTGTGCTTTGGTGAATCATCGCTGGGCAGTTTCAATTGAACTATTATTTCACGAAGTTTCTCCACATAAAACATTGGAGTCTTCTCAACATTTGAATGATTGGAAGATGAATTCCCGTCAACAGAATCGGAAGCTTCGACGGGAACTTTTCGACTGCAATAAATCTGCCATTTTTTCGCACTTGGTAAACTCATCATTTGAATCTTATTAGCTTCGGTCAAATCCAATTCTTCGACAAGTTCTGCGAATTTTTCCTCAAGTTCTTCGGTCGATGGCATTGGCTGTGTTGGTGTGAGATTCTCCAAAGAGAACACACCTTCGATAACACAAATTTCAGGCGGTTCATCGTTCTGTTGAGAAACATAATAAAGTGGTAGACAATCGATTAGAGTGTTTTGAAACTCAAGTGCTTATAAACATGAAACGTGAGAATGACGAGACGGTCGCAACAGGTTGCAGTAAATAAAAAATATAGAAATTAACCGCAACAAGACAAAATCTAGATCAAACATACAACGTCCGTCTTTCATCGTTTCGGACACACCCGCAAACCAAGCATGACCATTAAGAGCTTTGACAGTTCTGTCTTTGATCACAAATCAGATTAGCTATGTACGTTAATTGCTACATAATTATTTTTTCAATGCAAAAATCAGCATGTTGCTTAAATCGTTTCACAATTTGAAACTTACAAAAAGTTTTCTTTGAAACAAAAAGCATTCATTGAAAAAAAAAATTATTTTTGAGATATTCTTGATATGTGAGAAATCAATTTGACTTTGCTTTTGATTTCCATGTTGTTAAACAATGAAGTAATTTGGGTGCAATTGTTGTGATAAGTCACATTGTTCTTCTAATGATCGTTGGAAATTTACTTTGTAATCAAGTAAGAAAAGTTCAAGGTGCGTGGGTGAAACTCCTTCTCATTCTTCTTCAAGTTGATGGATGAAACTTTGTTTTCTTTTATGGCGAAGTTATTGGATCGTAAAATTTATCAATTTATCATTTGCCATATATGATTAATTAGTATCTCTTGTTATGACACAACTCACGCACCAATCCCATGGATCATAATTATTCAATATTTAAGATTTCATCTTGCGCTCACATACCAAACAAAACCATTGCCAATTCGATTCAACTGATAATCATTTGCAAATTTAAAAGTAAACGAAAAGAAGTTTTTTTGTTTTCTTTTTTTTCTTACGGAATTGGAATATTTTGGTAAACAACATCTTGAACAAAAGTTCACAACATTCATAAATCTTGTTATGGAGCCTTCGATCAAGTACACGGTCGCGTTGCGGTAAAAAAAAGAGAAAAACTTTCTCTCTCTTCAATTCCCAATAGCCGAATGTGTTGTGATGTCGTATATTAAGGCATGAAGAAAATAACTAAATATCCATCGAGAAGAAATTCGAAAAAGAATAATTTTTGCACTCGAATCAAGTGCCTGGCGTGCTTACCGCGTATTGCGACTTTCTCCTGCCTGTCCACTTGTATGTCATATAATTTTTCTCTTTCTTCCTCTTTCAATTACAAAAATACAAAGTTTACGAATATTTTTTTTTTCCTTCAACATGGAATTAATTGAAAAATTGGGCATTTCATAATTTATCTACTTTTACGTAAAACAAAAGTAAAATTGTAATTTGATACATTTAACTATCATGCATGACATGATGTCAAGAGATGACGAATGTAAACCATTCATATATTGATTAAATATTTAATGCTTTGCAAGTTTCAATAGCTCGACTTGCTCATGAAAGTGATTAAAATGCTAAATAAGATAATGTTTAAATTTTTATTTACCTGGATACACCCACACCAATTGCGACGACGAAACGGCATTTTTCTGTGATGTCTCTTGAGTTTGGGTGGAATACGAACTAAATTTATTGACGATTGCGATGTCGATTGTTGATCGCAATTTGAGTTGTAATTTCCAGTAATTTCACCTTCCTGTGCTTCGTTTTCCTTACACCAGAGACTCCAAGTTGAGCAGATTTTTGGTAAACTTTGAAGCTTGATGGAGCACGAAGGAAGGTTCTGTAATGATAAAAACAAAATTGAAAAGTTTTGCAACGATTAAAAGGCAAAAACTGATATTTAATTTTCAAGCTAAGTTTTCCCAGTTGAGATTCGCGACTGAAATCAGCAATGAAAATGTCAAGATATGGCATTAACAGAAATTGCATTTGGTGTAAGAAATCTTTGTTCACGGCACCAGAAAAAGTCAAATATCTTGCGCAAAGTTCCATTCTTATGAATTGTTTTTCATCAGCAAACCAGAAACAGTCATTTGATGCGAGACGCAACTTGCGAGAGGTTTCTCAATGTAAATATTCAAATTTTTTAAAAGATTGTTTTGTTTTTCCCTCTCTTCTTCCCCAAAAAAAAAAGCAACAAACGCAACAGTGCATGCTTTTGGTTTCTTTTATAATCTCTGCTAAAGATATTTCAGAGATCCAACTCAATAAAGTTTTCGTTAAGAAGCCGATAATATTTAAAAGGCGATTTCCATTTACGGTTCAACATTCCGATCGCATATTTTACGTAACACTACGAGCGTCAAACAACAACAAAAAAATAAAAGATTTAATAATCGAGCAAATAATGAGTTAAACATTTGTTTTGTGGATCACATGGAGATGGAATGTGGTTCGGTGTCAGTAGTCAAACAGATCAGAGATTAAAAAAAAGGCATAAGCGACTCGTTTCCATTTCTTTAAAATTGTTCAAGCGTGAAATTTGTCGTCGATCGACATTTAAACCATGAGCTTCCTTGATAAATTTTGTCATGAATTGTACGAATAAGAAGTTTGAGATGATCGGAAGTTTTTGAGATTTCATTTCCTAAACAAATTAAAAATGTTTTAAGAAAAAATAAGTTGAGATCGATAAGGAAGATTTCTCGAGGATTTTCTATTTATAATAATAATTCATGAAACATTAACAACTTACAATCCCCGCAATCTAAAACGAATCGCCCCAAACCAAAATAAGGAAACTGAATAAATATTTATCTCTTCGATTCTAAAATTGATTGGGTGGCGCGCCGCTAAACTTTTTTTTTTCACTCAGCACAAAGCAAGGCAAGCGACACACAAACTGCTTCATTTCAAATAAGTATAAACCGGTCGTTAGACCAGGTAACGTCTCACTCTCACTTTTAATTTCGCTTGTTAAACAATCAATGCGATAAATACTTTACAAGTCGTTTACTTGAAGCAGAAGTAATCACATCATTCTGTGAAGGTGTTCGATGAATGTCGCACTTGAAGAAATTTTTCAATGAACTTTACTTTGGATAAAGCAAACGCAAATATTTATGCATGCAAAGGAAGGAGACATAAATGAAGTTGATCGCTTGTCTTGAGACGAGGGTCAAGAGTTAATTGTTGTATGGAATAAAAAATTTCTTTTCTTCCTTTTTTTGTGAATTTTATGTTGATCATTGAGGCGTTTATTGAGACCTTTCAATGCTTTGTGGCTTTTGTTACATCTTTCTGATTGAATAAGTCTCTTCAGAATTCAATTGAATTTCACGCAACGTGATTGTCACAATAAGAGAAGTGATCAATTGTTAATTAGACAATTCAACCAAGAAAGACTTTCTCAATTACGATATTCAATGTGAGTGAGTAACAGTTTATTCCATTAGATAATGCAAATGAATCGAGCTTCTCTTAATTTCACTTTTATTTTTGCGGTGCGTTCGTTAATCGACAATTTCATTGTTTTTTGCGACTTACGCGTCTAACTACATTGAACTGAAAGTGGAAGATCACAATTCATAGTGTAATAATTACATTTAAGTTGAAAGAGAAAAATTGACTTAATCTTCTCCATTCATCAATCAAAGCCACATAAAGACCGCAATTACAGTTCGATTGTTTACCGCCCGTCCGTCTGCTTATTTTTGCAAAAAATGATTTCAATTTAAAAAATTGATTTTTCCGATTTTCTAAAACTTATTTTTATGTGAAAAGTGAAAACGTTTTTTATATGAAATAAATAAAATATTTCAACAGCACCATTAGGTCATGTGCATCATGCAATGGAATTCGTTTCAACTGAAGAACCTTGATTTTTTTATTTCATTCTTATATTCTTTGATCATTCCATTTTTATGTTTTCACATGGGAAGTTTCACTTTTAGTTGAGCTTTGAGCTTAATGCATGTTGGAAATTCTAAAAGGCAATATGACGATGCATAAAGCAGTGGGCTAACAATAAAACTTTAATTTTATGTAAATTCAATAACAAACAGAGACTAATGGCCCAATGCCCTAAATACTCTCACTCGACAAACAATGAAGTGTTATCGGCGGTCGTTGATGGTACGACTTCTCTTGGAAGTCGTCGTTTGAATAAATTTGAATTAATTTCTGTCTCTTTTTTTGTCTTCTTTTTCCCTTCATTTCGTTTTGTGAATTCCAATATTTCTTTTCATGTTTATCATTGCATTTTGGCGATCGACGTTGACATTTACAATTTATTCCAATGGGCTAACCAACCGCTTTGTCATTAAAGTTTTCCCTTTCAATCTCTTTTGATTACTTGAGAAATCAAATCCGTCAATTTATTTTTGGGAATTGGTGAAATTTATGTCTTGTGACATTATTTCTTATTTATAAGGTGAAAAGTTTTTCGTGCTTTGAAATCAAATGTTGTTGAGCTGCTGAGAATGTAATAATGATGAGACTTAAAAATGTAAGGTGACTATTTATGAACATTCATTCGAATGGACTTGAACTTAAGCCATTAAAGAAATGATGAAATTTAAATGTTATGAATTACGAATGATTGTAAAGTTATTTGTATGTGGGATTGCTTGTGTTAAATGTTTATGACAAAAGGGATAAATCTTAAGTCAAGAGCGGCATTTAATCAAGGATCTGTTGAGTTGTTTGTTGCTTGATCTTTATCTGAACTTTCCTTATAAGCTCATTTTTGAAAACGCTTCTTTCAGTTTATTTATTCAAATATCACCACAAATTATCTTATAAATCCTCTAAAATGTTTCAGAAGAATTTTTATAAACTTACAAGGTGGAGTTTATCCATTAAACTGTTGAGATGATGTTTTGTGTTCATCGTGCACATTTTTCGCACTTTTCAACTTTTAAACTCTTGTTTTCTTTAATTAAATTTGATTTTTATTACTTTCTTCTTTATATTCCTATGATGATGTTTATTTCTTTCTTAAATCTATCACGTTCGAAAGTTTTTGACCGGTAGAGATTTTTCGTCATTTATTATCGTCGTCGTTGATGCGGCAGCAGTTCGAAGCGCCAGGAAAAACATTGAATACAACTTTTTCGGAGACTTTCAATTCATTCAAGATTATGCGGGTGAATGAAATATTTCTTCCTTGTCTGAACTTGTTGTTTTGATTAATTCAACATGATTTTATTTATTTATAAATATTCACAAAGTTATTAACTTGAATTACTCGTTCAATTTCAAGTAAAATGCAAGAACAACGTCAATCTATTAATAGATATGAAGCTACTTAATCACTAATTTCACATTTTCTGATTGAGTAGCAACGTGCAAGTCTTTACACTTCAAAAGCTCTCAGATGAGTGAAGCCAAAGACGACGAAAACGTAAAATAAAATGAATAAAAAAAGTGTGAGCGGAGTAAAATCAGGTAAATGACTGCTGCTAGTTGAAAACAAGACTGCCAGCGTTTATTTTTTCTTCTTTTAAAAGAGAGTTTTATTTTATTCAATATTTTTAATAAAATCGAAAATTTTAAGGCCGAGGAAAGGGAAAACATTTTCAGCTTTGAATGCAGTAAGCAATGAAATGAACGCGAAACTCGGGCAATTTTAATGCAAGCTGCAGATTGCAAAGCAAGTTGTTCGCTTTTCAAAATAAAAAATAAAATAAAATCGAAGAGAGATTCAAAAATGGGTTTGGTGTAAGCAACAAGTTTTTTGTTCTCTTTCATGCACTTGCAAGGTTGTAAAGGTCACAAATTAGACGGAATTTCCTCGCTATGAACAAGAGTCGTTCAAATTGCGTGAGACTTTAAAAGAAATTTTCATTATTCCGTTTGTTAATCTTTAATTTGATAAAGATCTCACGATATTCTTTACTAGATGTATGTTTGTACATTATGTTTTGTGTCATCATCACATCACACTTATCATAATCGCTGATCTATGTCATCTCGAGAAGTGAACAATAAAAATGAGTTGGGAGAGTAGAAAAAAAAGTTTCTAAAAGTTATTGACGAACAAAGAGCGGTTTAAACAAAATTAGTATTCAGCGCGAAAAATAAGCTTCATCGTTGATTACTTTCTAACCCATCACTGGAAGAAGCTAATTGCGCGACAAGCGTTACCAACCGTCATCGACAAAATTTGAGGTGAAAGACATGAAATATGAGTAAATATCAGGTGCCGTGATAACCTGCTTATGACTTTGTATGGTTAACCACCAAAATGAATGAAAGCAAAGAAAAGAAACTGTGCTAAGAACGTGCCTAAAATTATTAAAAAGAGTATCATGTTGCGTTGTTGAAATTCCACTCAATTCCTGATCTCGTTTATGTTGGGATTTTCAACTCATTCAGATTATCTTTGTGTTCACTTGCATCATAAAATAACATGAGATGAAGTCAAGAGTTGAACTAATTATCAATGTTCTTCCGATGTTTATTTGATCATGTGGATATTTTTAACACCTTGAATGACTGACGAATGGATGTGCGAAGGCGTTGACAGTAATAAAAAGTTTAATGAATTTCTAAGAAAAGATCAACGACGATAATTCCCAAAATGACAACAAGTCGACATCATCAAGACATGCTCTCGAAATAATAATGAAAGAAAAAAAAACTGTTAGATAGTTTTGATCACATAGTGAAGTCAAATTTTGATGATTGACGTGATGCTTTCCTCCTTTCAAATCCATGATCATATTGATTATCACCAGAAAATTTCGAATTAAATTAATTTGACGAGCGGCTAATATGAAGGTGACGGTTTAATCTTCACAAACTTTTTTCCTCTTTTTATTTCTTCATCATCAAAACCGGCAACAGTCGTAAGTCGTGTAAGTAACATCTCTGCGCTAACAACTCAATTCGACTTTGATCAACTCAACGTGACGATTTTATTAAATATTCTCTTTATTTAAATCGAAATATTTTCTTTGAAATGTATAAGAAGATGCGAGAAGAGACAAGAAAGTTGATCAAACGATAAATCAAATGTAAAAACATTTATTATTTGTCGCCTGTTGCTTTTGAAATATTTTCATCGTGTCATAATTCTGCTTTAAAGTTTCAGTTTAGTTTAAATTAATTTTCAGTTTATGTCTAATTTGGGTTTGGTGTGAACACTAAAATGTTTTACAACTTTGAACATCAAACTTCACTTCAAGATGCTTTCACTCATGTTGAAGTCGAAGAGACTCTAATAAGAAATATTTTTAATCTTTTTCCTTTAATCCAATAAAACATGATTTTTCCTCCTTTCCCTACTTCCTGCTAACGATAAAATCTTCTTCTCTATGATGATATTTAGTTGTACAAACTGAGTTAACGTTTCGTTCGTTGCAAGAAAACAAACAAGAGACGAAGAGGGAGAGACAAAATCATGGTAACTTTGCTTTACTATTAAAAACTTAACAGCTGTTCGCGTGCCACTCATACTACATTTCAAGATGATTTTCATTCATATTTCGTGTGATTTAATAATTTTACATTCATAATTTATTAACAAAGATTTCTCAAACGAAATGAAATGAAAACATTGTTGTCATAAGGAAAAACAAAAGATGAATTGAAGAATCTTCTTTGAAGATCAATTAATGATTCAGTAAACGCAAGTTCAATTGTATTTACACATTTCACAAGACCCAAATTTATCGGAATATTTTGAGATGATATCCAAACAATTAGGCAACGCAAGTGTTTTCTTATTCTTAGATCTTCTATCGTTTGTCGACTTAAATAAACAGATGGAAATTTTCAAGGAAACTTTGGAAAATGAATTATGACTCACCAATGTTTTCCTCTTTTGTAAGATGAATGTCAGATTTTTATCCTTATCATTCGCCCTTTCACTCGATTTTTTCTCGTTCACTCTCCAATTCAAAACAAACGAGACGGCGAAAGGAAAAATCGATATTTTTACAACTTTCGTGTGAAGTAAATTCTGTGTTGGGTATTGGCGAGTTGTCTGGAAATTTCCTTTCTTTTCTTTTTCCGTTCACCATTCGATTTCAAAGTGTTCTTATCACTTAATGGACGGTTGATGTCAAAACTTAATAAGCTTTAGGTATAGCGGCTTCCGTCTAAGATAGTCGAAAATGTCGAGAATGAAGGAAACATTTAGAAAGCCTCTTTAACACGTTAGTTTCCATTTCATTGTATTTTACATCACTAGACACTTAAGGCAAAACAATCATATCAATTTACACTCTTTCAAAACGAATTTATTCCATCACCGTGAAATTTATGGAGTTAAAAATAATTTTTCTTTCTTTTCGAAATTCACGAGGCAGATACAATAAAAAAAAATCCACCCGTCTGTATACCGACTTTTCCTCGACTCTTCACTTCAGAATGAAAAGAACGTCTGGATGGGAATTTTTAGAGTCATTCTGAGATTTCACAGAGCGACGCATGCGTCTCACAATTCTATATTCAAAAATGTGTATGCTCTCAATTCACGAGAGTGTCACGTTGGAAGAAATATTATCGTAAAGTTAAGTGAATAAACTGTTTCAGCTTCACCCTTCTCGACAACGACGACTATGAAATTTAACTTCAAAACAACTCATAACAAAACACATGTCGTTATTTTATTGCGGGACCTCTCCGGATGAATTTAGAATTTTCGAAAAGAAAGAAAGGTATCTGAATGATTGTATCGCTCTCTCATTTTAAGGCCGAAAATGACGTTTATTAACAATAACGAGGGTTGTTTACGTTCTCAATTTTGTTTCGGGTTCTCGTATTAAATTCTACACATTGTAACACTCTTCCGAATGCACATTATTGGCTCTCCCTAAAACCCATCATCAGTTCATGTGCATTGCATTTAAAAATAACATGAATCTTATGAGAAAGTCTCGCACGATCGACGATCTAGTGGCGGATGATATTTCCAAATCACTTTGATGGTGTCATTGGCCTTAAGAAAATAAATAAAAAAATTTCTTCTTTTTCTTTTATCTTCATTCCACCCACTATTCTCATAAATATAAATCAAGCATTTCAATTGATGAAATACAATAAAATGAAATATTTTTAATTAAAAAGTTCCATAAAACAAAATGCAATTGTGTATACATTTTAATGTACATAAATAAATACTCAATAAAGCAGCAACGTATAAATTATTAAATTAATCTGTGAAGAAATTCAAAAAGAGAGAATTCGTTGGAAATAACTGAAATAGTTGTTAGCGATGTTAAAAAGCTTTTTATGAGCTTTGAAAGCACAAATTTGTTGATTTTCATGAGACTCCCCCACCCCATAAAGCACTACAGCAGCAGAGAAACCACTCAAAAAATTTTCAGACTTATGCGAACATTTAAAGCTACGTTTGTGAAACGGAATCAGTTGAAATCAGCCGATCGGTTAAGCGCCACACACAAAACAATGGTCAGTTGAATTTTGTTTTTAGCACGCATCATAAAAAATGTTTTTTATCTGAGATTATAGTACGATAAAATCCCATAAAAGGTGTAAAATTTATTACGAAATTTCATCGAAAATTCCACAAGAAAAAAAACAGCAAAGAGAAGATAAAGTTAAGAAACGGAGAAAGTTGAAAAGTGATTCATTGTTTAGTAATTTTCATGTGTCTGATTTTTAATAAATAAGAAGGTCATTCGCAGTTGCAACAGAGTTTCCGGTTGATGATGATTGAGTCAAGTGCAATAAATGATCCGCATAGTATAACAACTTTAATTAAAAAGTTTATCAACCAAAACACATGCAAGAAAGAAAAAAGTGGTCGATGTGATCGATGCCCATTTCTTGTACTCACCAACACTCATCTGCGTTCTCATGCTCAAGTAAAAGTGAAAGCCTGTGTCGTTGCTTATTACGTGCATAAACACAATCGATGAATGAAAAGAAAAAATCATGGGAATCAAGCGCACACAAGCACATTAAGCGGTGTGGGCAAACATTTGATTAAGCTTATACTTAAAATCACTTCGTTATCCAATTTCGATGATTTTGAAATCAAAATATTTTATTTATTAATCAATTATCAGCATTGTTGAATGCAACAGCTCATCAGGTCAAGGGCCCATAGTCAATTCGACCTACCTAAAAAAATTATAGAAACATTTAAACGACTACAAAATCACCGACCATTAAATGAAACTCGGCAGGTTGACCTTTAAATAAAGTGAAAAAAATTAATTACACATGCTTACATTTGTGATGAATTATGTGGTCGATTTAAACGTCTTAATGTCTGGGCACACCACAACAAATATTATAATTGAATAAACACTGACATCTTAATTCGTTCTTCGAGTGTAGACTTAAGATTTTAACAAGCAGAAGTTGTGCAATTCCGTCAAATTATTCAATTTTTATTTCGCTGTTAGAAAACGTTTCCTAAAAAAAATTTTGATGAGTTTTTGCATGTTCCGAATACGTTTGAAATTATGCAAATTTGGTGAAATCCAAAGGAAACCAAAAACATTCATCTTATCATCATCATTATGTAATTTTATTAGATATAATGATATAATTTGACTTAAAAAGCCTCGTCGGTGAAATCAATGTGGGAATTAAATACAATTTTAACGTGAAGTGCAAAAAACAGAATCAAATGAATTACTTTGCATAATCAAATATCGACTAAACAACAAATAAACAAGCAAAAACTGAACATGTTACTTGACTTTGCAAAAAGTGTAACAATGTGTAACGATCTTGAACATTAGAAACAAAACCTGAATGCATTTTTTATGTCGAAAAGATTGAAAATCAAATTTAATTTCAATTTTTGCATGCTTAAATATTTCTTTTATGAAGTTATATAATTTCAACTTTTCATTTCTCTTTCTTGTTATCTGATATATCACCGTGTGACAACAGCGAAAATCTCACAATAATGCTCTATAACAACTTATTCTTCACTTTTCTGACTCTCATAACTGTCAAGTCATGCTCTGCACTACCGTCACAAAAATTTCCCGTCGCTCTTAATTTACACCAGGAACTGTCACCACAAGACGTAAATAATCTGAGTAAAGATCAGAAACAAAGGGCCGCATTTGACGTACAAACGACAATTGATGAAGTTCAGAAATTATTGGCATTAGACCCTTCATTGCCGAGATTAACAAAGTGAGTAATTTTATTTCATAACATTTCGTGAGATGCTAATTTAATTCCAATGTTTATTTGTTCATTATTACAGAGGTGAAATCAAAGAGCTTTTTGAAAGAGTTGCAAAAGAAGAACTCGAGAAAAGTATTTTGAATGGTGATCATAAGAAGGAAAATTACATGCGATATCTTATGCAAGCATTGCCATATCATTCAGAAGAAATTGAAACACTAGATAAGCTTGCCAAACATGCAGCAACCACAGTAGCACCAAGCACACCACCAGAAGTTCCTGATGGCTTAAAAACTCTTTTGCAACAACACGGATTGATTGATGAAGAAGGAAAACCAGTTGAGTTAGCACCTGTCACACCATTATTTATATCTGTTGAAGATGAGACTGAAGAAGAATCAAAGTCACCTGAAGAACTTCTTAAAGATATCAAGAAAGCTTCATTCGTCAGTCCGAAAGATTATGAAGCTTTCAAACCACTCGATGTTAATAAAAGCAACGTGACTTCCGACATGGAATCGTTTTTCAAACAATTTGGACTTGTTGACAATGAAGAATCAAAGAAGAACAAGAAGAAGCAGCCAACGAAAGCAACTAAAACGAGACAAACTGATCTCAATATTCCATCAATCGATTCATCTTATCTGATTCCTGGATATTCGAGTTTACTCGACAACATCGGCATAAAAACTATCAAGGACAAATCTAATAACAAAAAACCTGACAACATAAAATCTTTGTCGCAAAGATCAAATGTTTACAAGCCAAGCAACAAAAATGTTGCTGCTGCTGATGACGATTACAAGAAACTTGAACAGCTTTTAGAGACTATTAGAGAATTGGAGAAGTTGAATGCGAGTTTGACTGAGAAGGAAGTTGATCGATTAAACTTGCAGAATTATAATTTTAGCGATTCACTTTTAGCTAATGGCCCTGATCCATTACAATATCACGTTCAATACAGTGCTTTGAAGAACGAAGTTAAACGACAAGAACCTAAAGATACTGAACCAACTAAATTAGATTTAAACGGTCCACTTCTTGAGTCATCTTTGGAAGCAACTGATGATGATAACAATGATGATGAAAAGGAAGAAGAAAATGGTAAAGAAGAAGAGAAAGTTCCAGAAAAAGTTTTGGAGAATAAAGAAAAGGAGGAAGATCTTCCACCAGTCACAGAGCCACCGACTGAAGAGAAGAAAAATTCTTTAGAGGATGAGATCGAACCAATTGATGACCCTGAACCGATTCCACCACCACGTCGTTCAGGTTTCTACATGTTATTTGACTGGAATACTTTCCTTGAAGTTGGAGAAGATCCCGAGAAGATTGTCGTTCGATTTGATCCGAAAATTGGCGATCCATCACGCTTTCTTCCCGTAAATGTTCCATAAACATTTTCATCAATCACAAATTCCAAAAACATACAAAAATTGTAAATTATTTTTAAAATATATTTTATTTTTCTCTCACTATCAAATTAACTTTAATTTAGAAGTTGATTGTCTGTAGAAATTTCTATTTTACAAAAGAAAGAAAAAATATTTCTCTTTAGTTAAGTTTAATGTCTTCGTGTTTTTGTTAGTAATTCGAGATTTTTTAAGTTTCACTGCTTCCTTCAATTAAACCAAATCGAAACAGCAATTACGGTTCATTAAATTCGAAGGAAATCGGAGATTTGATCAGAATTATTAGAATTATTTTCAATTCAATGAATTATTGTCTTCTCTTTTCTTTTATTATTAATTATCTCCCAACTGAGCTTTAAGTGTTTTAATTAGATATCTGCAAGTATTTAAATTTCTTAAGTATTCAAGTAATAGTGGATGAATGTTTCACGATATCTATTCAGTTCAAGCATAAAACATCGTCTTTGCATTATTTTATTTACATAAATAAGCTTAAGGCACTTTGCGTTCTTAAGTGGCAAGATAACCCTGAAAGATTCTCGTTTAATTCTTTTTTTTTTCGTTTTTCATTAAACTACCTAAAGCAATGAAATAAATTAAGCTTTAATTGTTGCTTTAAAAGAAAGAAGAAACATTTCGTGATGAATGCTTTTGTTCGTCATTTTTTTAAATAACATTAATTTAACTAAGTTTTATTATAAAAAAACTAATCTATTACTTTCATCTATTTACAGTCTTTAAGTAAATTTTCAGCAGAAAAAAAAGTTTTATTCATTTTCTTCATCATAAAAGAATTCTTTTGATTCTTGTGTTGATTGAAGAGTTCAATTCGAGATGATTCTACATAAATTGATTAAATATCAAGAAGGGGAATGAACTCAACAATCATTTCTTTTCTGCTTAAGGACGGATTATTGCCTTGCGCAATTTCAATAAATTTATTCAAAGTTTTAGAACGAACTTCTTCTTTAAGTCTTTTAAGAGAGCCGATCTTTGTTTTGTGGATTTTGTGACTTTGGCTCTAAGCTTCAAATTATATTTCAGCTTTAAATTAAAATCATTCTTAAACTTACATTCAAGTCAATTAAATATGAATTTTAGAAACTTGTTTCACATCGAAATCTTTTTCTTCTTATTTATTTCAATTAAGAAACTTCATCGAAAGCTTAAATCATTATTAAGTGTCACGCACATTGTTTCAAATCATTTCTTAGTATCACATTTTGGTTTTTTTACTTTAAAAAAAAATCTTTAAATTATTTTTGAAATGACATTGGTCGAGAAACCAGCAAGAAGGATGAAACTTGTTTGCTTGGTTGAGAAGAAGATTTGAAATTCTTCTTATTTGTTTAAGGAACTTTGTTGCAAAACTTCTTCCAACTTTCACACGTCAATACTGTGAACGCTGTTGAGACTTGCCGTTGATTGTTCAATGTCTTGTTTTCGTTTTGATGCTCGAATTGGCATTGGTGATCGTTGATGTCTCCCTGGATTCCTAACAATTCTCGGACTGTTGTTGATTGAACTGTTAGAGCCACGCAATGGTTGTCGCCTTATTGATGCTGTTCGTACAATTGGAATTCCCAAATCGCCTGCGACCGAAAACAAACAAATAAAAAGAATGAGAATTAGAAGACCGCAAAGCTTTTTTTTCCTATTGAAAATTACCATCAATCATCATCTTCGTTGACTCAACCATTCCATTTGGAATCGGAGGCAGTTGATTATGATGATTGTTGCGGATATTTCTTTCCAAAGTCTTTCGGTGTGAGCCGAGTGGCGGCAGTTGTTGGACATTGATTGGTGTTGCTTGATGTGTGGGCGTCACTGGAATACCCAATGTCATGTCATTCTGATTCTGCGGCGATGAAAGACAATTATTATTGTTGAGAGAAGCCAGTTCCAACCGATTCTAAAATACACAGTCAGGATTTCTTTCTTTTCTATTCTTTTTCTTTTTTTTGTTTGCATTTATTGCATCACAATTAAGAATTAATGTGATCAAAAAGGGAAATGAAAAGTGAGAGTGAAAGAGAGCGAGAGATGTGAGAATTTAATCTCAAGCTTAATCTAAAACCAATTTTAATTCCGATTAAGAATTAATCTAACTCCGAAAGGTTTTAAAGTTTTTAAAATAGGTGAGAAGCAGCGATTGGTAATATTGAAGACGAGAAGCATAGAAAAAATTATTGGCATGACTGGCAAATAGCAGGAAATATAATTAAACTTTAATCTTCTTACCTTTTCATCAAGGGGATTTGGTGTGATGTTGATTCTGATGATTCCGTTGAGACGATTACGGTGAATCGGTGGACTTAATCCTCTCCCTCCATTCACAGTTGTATCGTTTTGAATATGATTCGGATTTGATTTGCTTTCTTGCTCTAAACGATATGGAAATTTATTTTATTCTCTTGATCAACAATAACTTTTGTTTTCGTGTTAAGACATGCGTGAAATATTTCTCACCTTCGCGTTGAGCATTGACCATGTCGCGCCTACGCTTTAATGCGATGAAAACCAACAAGAAGATAAGGAATAATAGAGCACATAAGCCAATGGCACCGACAATTAATGGCAAGTATGAAGATTGTCCCTTAGAATCGTCTTGTTCTGGCTTTACAGTTGAATGAGTTGTTGGAGGCGCAGTTGGTTCTGTTCGAAGTAAAAGAAAAATAAAATAAAATCTTAAGTCATCGAACTACATTAAAGCATAAATAAAACTTACTTAAAGTTCTTCCCATGACAATTTCACTGAATTCCGAAGCAGTCAATGATGAGAAACTTTGAATTTTAAATTCGTAATTCATGCCTGGTTCAAGATGTTTGATCAGAATGTGTCGTTTATGTGGACCTTCAGCTGAAACTGTCGCATATTCATCAGCTGATGTTGTGGGACGGTAACTTATGTAAAAGCCACCGAAATTATGTTGATATGGTTCTGGAATAGACCATCGTACAGTCACCTCAGTCTCTGAAACTGGTGAGATTTGAACGTCGTTTGGTATTGGAAGTGCTGCTTTGCTGCTCTGTTTAACACGTTTCAGATGAAACCGGCGGATGGGACTTTGTTTGTTGTCATTATTTGAGTAAACAGCTGAGATTCTAAACTTGTAATGATGGTCAAGTTTAAGTCGATGAATCTCATAAGATCGCAAATGCGGTGGAATGTCTTCGTTCAATGTTATCCAATCTTCATTCGACTTTTGACCTTTGTGACGTTGTTCAGACGGCACCATCATGTACTGAACTTTGAAAAACTGAATGGGAAGAGAACCATCAGTTGATGAAGGAACGACTGACCACTTAACCATCACAGATTCATCGTTCAGTCGAGTGATGTTTGGCTTGGACACACTCGGCATATTTGCTGTGAATAAAAAATATCAAAGAAAGCTTCGTTCGTTAAAATTTCTTGTAAATAATTTTTTTTCGTAATTTTATAAATTTTCTGTTGTCATGAAAAATGAATCTAAAGAATCTAAGAAGAAGAAGCGAGAGAATAAACCGAAGCCAGTTAAAAAGCCGCACTTCAATATCGATGAGAGTTGGAACGTGATCAAGATAGAACATTGCTTCGAGTGTCCAATTTTTGCTGTGAAATCTCAAGAAATTTTCAATATTTTGTGTGAAAACTTTCCAAGAAATAAAATTCGACTTTTATGCAATGAGTCACATATTGATGGATCAAGAATTGAACCAAGATTGGGGGCATTTGAAATAAGTTTTGCAAAGAGTTATAGAGAAACTTTTCATTTAATTTGGAGTGGAATTGAAAAGGGACCGCCGAGAAGGGAAAAATTTCCTAGCAATGTTGATGATCTTGTGCGTCAAATCACAAAAATTCTTGTAAATATTTAAATCATTTTAAAAATATATAAAAACAAGTCAACTTACGTCCTTTGTTCTTTCTTCTCTCATTTGATGATCGATTATTGTTTCGCGATCTTGATTTTTGTGGAATTCCAAGTGGGATTGGTTTGCCTTCGCCATCAATTTGTTTTGGATTTACTTGAAGTAAGGCGCCTTCATTGACTTCACCAACTTCATTGCGTGCAAAGCATTGAACAATTCCTGCATGTTTCTTCTCAACTGAACGGATAATAAGTCGTGAACCTACTGCTGTTATTAAAGGATCGAATCTTGTATTCTCTCCATTAATCATCCAATAAAGTTCTGGTTCGGGTGAGCCGGATGCACGACAATGAAGTTCAAGACGATCGCTTTCATTTGTCAATGATGTTCTTGGTGCTTCGTCAATTTGTGGCATTTGAAGTACATTCAGTCTAATTGTGTGCACCTTAACTGGATTATCGCCGTTGTCAAGACGACAAATGTAAGTTCCTTCATCATCAGGTCGAATGTCAGAAATTTGAAGTCCATAACCGAGAACATTTATTCGATTGCTGTTGAAATCTAAATTTCTGTCTGGACTACTCCAAGTAGCTTTTGGAACTGGATTAGCAATTCCAGGACATTCTAAGAGAACTTTCTCACCAGGTTTTACTGAAAACACTGACGGTGGTTGTAGTAGAAAGCTGTGGAAAAAAATTTCTTACAAGATTTTAAATTAAATTTAGGTTTTAAGATCCTTACGTTGGTGCACTTCTTGGCGTTGATTCAACAGTGATGGAAAATCGTTGAAGCATTTTAATCTCAGATCCTGTTACAGTGTTTGTTGCTGAACAGCTGTAAATTCCTGAATCAGATGTGGTAAGGTTACTTAAGATGTAACCACCAAGTTTACTTTGTGCTTGATCCATTGCTGGTAACAACACGTCATCTCTGAAAATTGAATTGTTGTCATAAAGAAAAAATATGTAAGAAGAAAAGATTTAAAGTTACTTGTAATAGCTCCATACGGGATCAGGTGCAGATACAACGTCACCACATCGAATGATGAGACTGTTCTTTGGTGCAATCTTCCAATGAATCAGAGGCTTGTAAGTTTCTTTACTATCCAAAGATATCGATGCTAATCGAAGTTTTGCAGATGTTGAAGCGTGTGCTGACGCACCAAACCATGCCACACATCGATAATCTCCAACTGTCTTTTGATTCACAAACACATGAAGCTTTGAAAGACGATCTTTTGTGGTCATGTTGTAGCCAGGCTGTGTTTAAAAGTTGTCGAATTAAATTACTTAAGCTTCTTAAAGAAAAATATCTCCTACCATTTTATGAATATTGATCAGAAGATCCCGTTCCTCGGGATTGCTATTTTGCGGTCGAAATCGGAATTCCAACTTCTCTGGCGGTAAATTAAGTTCACATTGAAGTTGAACTTCATCACCTGGTGGAGCGTCTGTTGACTCGGGAGATTTAATCATGAAGGTTCCCAAACCCGACTCATCGTGTCCGAATGCATTATGCAATGAACAAATGGAGATTATCAACAGCAGTAATAACATAAGTCTTTGATTGAAGGAAATTATTTTGTGTAATGCAATATGCATTAAAATTGGCATTTTGATGTGTCTATAAAATAAAGAAATGATTTGAAAAGGAAAAAAAAAGTTAATCGGATTCAAAATTGTTCGATAGAATTTATTTCTTAAATAATTTTTCTTCTTTATCTTTGCCAAGATATTTTTTTTCAAAAAGGTTTCGAGTTGTTTACGCTCTTTTCATCGATGATACTTCAAACTTATCTTGAGTGACATAAATTAATTTTCTTTAGCTTATAACTTTGCCGAAATCGTGTTCTTTAATAAACAATAAAAAGATCAGATAAGATTTTATTTGACAACTGTTTTTATTTCAGCAAAACACAATCACATCAATTTGTATCGATGATTTTCTAATTTAGATATGCGACCTTAAATTACAACATTCCTTTGCGAAAGATAAAACAGAAACATTTAACTGGAAATTGTAACAATGTCTGAAGTCTTCATCGTAAGAATTAAATTGTTGACTCATCCATGTTGAGTCAATATCCTCAAATATTTAATTATTGCAACAACATATGAAGCGAAAACGCGATTACGAGTTCACTAAACTTAAAACCATGCATTACATTGTGTTCGATTCTCATCAAACACACAATTTTCAACATGTTATCGAAACATCGACAGAAACGATGATGATGATGGGGATAAAGCACGAAACTCTTTAGAATGAAATTATTGACGATGATGGCACACCTTTCTTGGCATTCATTTTATTATTATGCTTTTTCTTTACTTTTCAATCGGATGAGGGAAATTGATGCAAGATCACGACGTGAAGCAGTGCATTTTGAACGTCTCAAGAGACTTTGTCTCCGCTCTTTTGTCATTTATGATCATGATTTTTATTAAAAAAATATTTTTGAATGACTTTCGGAAACCAAAAATTGTCTAATCTGATGATTTGAAGTATTCTTTTCATTAATGTTTTCGTGGTTGTCTACAAGAACCGGGGAAGTTTTAATTCTACAACGTTTTGAGGTTTCATGCATTTCTGTCATAATTAAACCCTTTTCCGTTCTCAACATGATCACTTCCTCAATGTATATCAATTTTCACAAATTGTCTTATGACGAAAGGTATCAATTTTCAACTGCACAGCACCGTGGCCAACTCAAAGAAGAATCAACGACCCTAACACATAATTTCATTGTCATTACATTTAATTTATGACAAAAAATCTAAATAGAAATTCTTGCATGATTGTTTTCGAAGAATTTTATTGTTTTAAGCATAACAATTACTTACTTTTAAAGTCTTTTTTTTATTGTCTTGAAAAGAGTTCTAATGTTTGATGCGATGAAATTCACCTGTAATTGAGATAAAGAAAGAAAGAATGTTATTAATCAAATGGGAATTTCAACTATACGAGTTTGTAAGTAGATATTCTATCTTAGATCGTTACAAATTTAACGAGTTTTCATACCATTTTTCATTTTTTACGATTTCTAAAGTGGTTCCTCTAAAGAGAAACAAACATTTGCGAATTTATTTGAATGCACCTGCTTCGATCTTTTCCAACTGATCCCATAAGACATTTCGTGACACAATTTTCACCTCTAGTGAGTTGCTTTTCGAACTAAATCACAACCGCTTTTAAGTAAGCTTTTCTTCTTCTTTCTTGTTATGTTGTTAAAAAAAAGTGAGGGAAATCCACAAATGATTTACGCGTAAAAATGAAAATAAAATAGAAGTGCGAGGTTGGTGGAAGTGGAAGCATACATTTTTTCATTCTTTCACTCATCCACAGTACTTTTTGCCTTTCGACGCGTATAATTATGAGCTTACACGAGTTTTTTTTTTTTTTTGGCACAGACTCAACTGACACTTTTTTGTTTGATGCCGGGCGCGCATTCATATATTTTAAAACAAGCCATATGAACCTCACAATTCACAAAATGAAAAATATATGAGTTGGAAAATTTCCTCGACAGTCTCAACGACTTGCGACAAAAAGAAATGTTCAGGTAGATTGCAAAATAAAAATAAATATTGTAAACTATTTTTCCGTAGGCACATGAATGAATGAATGGAAGAAAGAAAGAAAGTTTTTTTTACTATTCGATGTGTTTTCTCAAATCGGTAAGAAAGCAGAAGAAATAAAAATGAGAAATGTCTTAAGCATGTAAATTTTATTTTTGTAATACTTGTTAAGTGATAAGCTAAGGTTGTTTCAGTCTGAACCTACAACATTAGCAGCAGTGGGATTTGCTATGAATGCTTTTGTGACTCAGGTGGGAGTCACATTATTTTTCTATTAAAGACACCCGTGATAGCCGGAAACAGACGACAAATTTAAGAAAAACGAAATGAAGTTGTACAAACGATCGATAAACATCGTTCGTTGAACAGTGCGTACACACGTCGTTGTCCGTTGACGACTCATTAATAAATCTTGTTTTCCTGTCGCTTTTCTACGCCTCTAAATCGCTAGGGATGTCGTGAAAGTGACGAGATGGCAATTTGAGATCATAAATTCAAAGGGTATAATTGGACGTTCATGAAGATTACGAAGCAATCATCAAATATTTGCGATCGTCTATCGACTATTTAACCGATTGTGATTTATGAGTTTGAGGCGATCAATTTGCTTTAATTTTACGATCAAAGAGCGGGTATTACTTCATAACTCATGAGAGCGCCTAGCGAATCTATATTTGATGTTAATTGATTGTGAAATCACAAGAAAAAAAACAATTTTCGGTTTTCCATCGTTTGCCACAAAATTGGACATTTATTGTGGTGGGAACACGTATCAAGAAGCAGTTTCTTGACTAATAAGTTCAATCATCCCAGCAAGTGTTAAACTGCCTATTCAAGATTTTATATATCTAAGCGCCTTCATGAAGTTGTCGATTGACTAGGAATGTTGTAAATATTTTCTCCAATTCCTAAAATCTACTTTGGCTGTTGTGAAGCTGATGATGAAGAAGTAGACAAACCAAATTCCATCATGGGAAGAAGACAAGCGAAATAAAATAAAAAAATGAAAGACTTGTTCTTTCAAGACTTGATTATGTTTGTTATTAACTCCGTAAAAGAAATATTAAAACCACGGCTCTGTATTGTGACTTGAATACTAAATATTGAATTAACATTTTATTGAAATTCATTTGAATATTTTGATTTTTAGTTGATGTTGTTCTTTTTCTTCACTATTCTCCACTCGTTCGCCTAATCAATTTAACCAGAATTTACTTCAATCGACTCACTTCAACAACGACATAATCAAATTCCAGAAAAATATTTTCTCATGAACTTCTTATTCTTCGTCCTTCTTAATGTTCGTTTTTGTATTTTTTGCTTCGTTCTCGAATTGCTTTTATTTCTTTTTTTTAAGCAAAATATTTTTCGGGGAATGGTAGGTAAATGTCTTTCTCGCACACGGTGGTTGCGGTGGGGATTACGATCAAGAAGAAATCCTGAGTATTCATAATGCATTAGAATTTCAGATCACACAAGGCACTAAAAGGCTTCTCGTTTTAATGATTTTTGTTGCTTTATTTTTCTTGCAGCTTCTTTTAAAAGAAGTAAAGACATTCCTTCTCACTGACCTGGCAATGTTAACACAACTAAACGAACAATAAACTGAAAATATTGGCAAAGTCGATGATTTTCTTTTTTATTTCTTAAACCAAATTATCCCAGCAGGGAAGCATCTAGAATCGTTTATGAGAAATGAATATTCTTCTCAATTAAATCATCGAATACGATTAAATATTGTTGATGATGTGAATGTACAAACCATTCAAGAGGAAATCTTTAAACAAGAATTATGTTAAGAAGCACTTAACTCTTCTCCGGGTCTTCATTAGAAGAAAAAAAAACAACTGACGGCTCATTGAGATTCAATTAATTTTAGAGAATAAAACATTGGAATAAATTCTAACATCTAAAGTCTTAAAAGAACCGGATATTCAACTTAAAGCACTGCTAAAATCTTCACAAAATTTTATTCAAATAGCATTAAAAGAAGTCAAGATTCCCAATTAGTTTGATGATAATTTTTTTGCCGATGACAATTTTGTGAACGATTGAGAATACAAAATGAGTTGGATGAGAATTAAAATGAGGAAAAAAAATATAATAAAAGTCAAAACAATAATAAAATTCTTTGAAGCGCCATGGCGGTATGCTATCAAATAAATAAAGGAACACATTGTGATCGTGATTGAGACGTTCAGTGAGAAAGACGTCAAATAATCAATTAAAGAAAGGCAGGAACCGACAGACAAAAGTGGAAATAAACTTTCGAAATTCCGATGCAATTGAAGCTCAGGATATTCACGATTATCATGTTATTTCCGCTCGTTACAGCGAGAAGAAAGAAGAATTTCCAATTTTGAAAAATCGACGTGATGATTTTCATTCCTTTCAACGTTTGTTCAACTTTTCTTTCTTCTGGAATTTATTTCGACCCGGAAAAGGGCAAAAGAGTAAAACGTAAGCGAGAACTCTCAAAATCAATTGTTGTATGGTTCAACAGTTAGTTTCATTTTTCACCATTTCCCTCCTTCGATCGTCTTATTTCCAACACAATCATTATAAGTTTCTCATTAAACATAAATGGAATCGAACATGAATTGCTTATTGCTTCGGAAACAGGGGTTTCGTAGGTGTCCATTCGTTGTTTGTCTGTTTTTGTGGAAATACAAATCATTACGTAACGCTCAACCTAAGTGATCATTGGGAAGTACATTTTCGTGAATACAAAAGTAGATTTTACTTCAAGCGTGGGTTGAAATTGAAGTTAAATTACTTGACTTTGGAAGTCTCAAATATTTACACCTTGAAAATCATTTTTAATGTAAAAAAAATGTTTTTGCAAATTATTTTTATGCGATAAGAATAAAAAGAAAAGCAAGACATGAAAATAATTCAAAAGACTTTCAACCCTGATATCGGAAGAATTCCAGTTTTTACATCCACATCTTTCTTTCGTAAATGATTTTTTACCTTTCCTTTTATGTTTATCGTCTTTAGTAGTTTTTTTTATTTATTTGGTTCACTTACTTCACTTTTATACACATTCAAAAGCCGATCAATAATACTTACTTAATGTTACACATTCCACTAACTCAAGCGACTTTTTATTCTTATTTTTATTTCCTCAAGAATTTCATCATTGGCTTTCAGCCTCGTTTTCTTGTCTTGTATTTCTTTCGGTGCTTCTTTCACTTCAATCTTCGGTGTGCTGTGTGTGCCACATTATCGTCTTTTGCTCACCAGATTGCTGTTCTGTTTCTGTTCATTTTATTTCGTGTATCGCTTTTTTCTTTTCCTTTAAAAACGGAATGGAACTACCAACTATAAGTCAACGTGTATACACAGCGAAGCATTCTTTCAGGAATCTTTATTACCGTCCGCTTTTTTTTTTCTTTCTTTTCTCTTAACGAAGGAATGTTTTCTCTCGAAATCTAAAGCAATTCTTCTTCTCAGGGGCCTTCTGTGGCAATTTATTTTAATTCCGTTTTCGTATTTCTCTCTTTCTCCCTCTTGCTTTTAAACATTAGAATGATATCTCGACAAGCAATAAAAGAAACGAAACATCATTACATTACAGGTAGTGCCGCTACTTGTTGTACAGTCTATTTTTTGTCTTAGACTTTAACTACGTACATATTTTCACTGAGATTTATCAGTAGCGAAAACAATTTGCAAGTGTATGAATCATAGTCGCGAGTCGCGACGAAACGTTTCCACAAAATAAAAACAGTCAACGACGGCGGGAGAAATGAAAACACGATTATTATGCAAGACATCACATCGCGATTCGCGACTGCTAGATACAACTTATATGACATGAACTGACAATTTTATTTCGTTTGTTTTTTTTCTGCGTTGTTTTTATTCTAAAAGTGCATTTTATTGCCGTGTCGCGAAATCTTTTTTGTCTTATTTTGAGAAAACAACTTTTTGGTTGTTTATTTGATGCTTAAAATTGTCTGCGCGATAATTCTCGTATTTACGACGGTTTTGCTTTTCTTCATCGAATTAAACTTTGTCGCTTTATTCTTGTTAGAGTATCATCTTCGTTTCCCTTCAATTTTCAGATCATTACGCATCACTCGCAGGCAAAAGTTTCTTTCGAAACGCTTTCATGTCAGAGTATCGTAATTATTTCTTTTTTCTTCATCTTTTCGGGCGATTTTTGTTGCCATTAGACAGTTTCTCATATCGTTTCGTGGCGGCGGTAATTGCAAAACTGAATACTATTTTCTGCTCTCCTCATCATCGTCTTTAATTTCATGTTTAGAATGAACCATCAAATATCTCCGAAATAATCTTGAAAGTTTAATGAGGTTTCCCGCTTTTTCACGAAGTATCTTCTCATCACTCGTACAAACTATCTATTAATATCTTAGTTCCCGTACTCATCACTCATTAAGGGGAAGGAATCTCTCATAGTTTTATGCTTCACGCTAACGTGTGATGTCAAAACGCTGATTTCACGGCAACAGCGTGACGTGTTTATTGAAAAACATTTTCAGATGAAAAAAATAAAAGAAATGCAGTTTTACGTAGGTGCTGTGACTCCAATGATTTCTCATCTCTCGTCTCTTCCTAATTTTTCGTTAGTCACATAAAAGAAAAATTTATATGTCAGGGATTAGAAATGAGACGAGGCGATTTCACGACAATATCTTGTACAAACTCAGCGTCGTTAAACACTGTACAAAATTTGTATTGTTACTCAAAATTCCAACAAAACGAATGCTAAAAGGTAGCCATAAAAAGAAAATCCGGTGCCCATAAATCCTGACCCTATTGCTACGCATAAGAATCCCTGCTGAAGCTCTTAATAAAGATGTCTCGGTTTTTTTCAAAAACAGATTTTTTTCCCTTCGTTTTCTCCTCACTTACTTGTATTTAATATTTAGATCATTATAGTGACAGGCAATTTTTGTTGAAAAGAATTCTTCACAAGTTGGTCTAAGCATCCAACTTGCATCATGTGCACACACGCATACACACACATGTATCTGCAACATGATCTTCTCTCGACGGTATAATCCATAATGTGTTTTTACTGCTTTCCTTCTGATCTGGATAGTGTTCACTTTTTTTACGAGAACGTTCTTGGGTTGCTTTTTGTCTTTTATATTTTGGGAAACTTTTTTTTGTTTTTTCCTACCGTCGATAAAGATAAGACTGACGACAACAGAATCTTTAATGGCGCGCATACATTGTTATATGAATGCATATTTTAACATAATGTCATGCTTTGACTAAGCCTACATCCTTTATTTTTTCATTAAACTGCGCTTTCTGCATCATTCTTCGTGCTCAGCCAACTTGGCACTTTGTTTAATCAAGATTCAGGGCTTTAGGCAACAATTTTTGGGTGGGTGAAACTTATTTTAAATATGATTTGTATTCACGTTTGGAGACGCTTTTCATTTACAAAAATTATTTGTTTCTTACTTTTAACATTTGCGAGTGATTTATGTTGTATTCATGATCATTATCGACATTGCGATCCCTGCCACTGCATTCGAAAATTGCTTTTTTTTTCGTGTGTCGTATTCACATAATCAAAATTTACGGTTAAATTAAGAGTGAAAAATATAAAATGAATTTTTGCATCTTACGCTTTGATACAATTTTTTTTTCCTTTCCTTTATTATTTTTATTTATATTGTGCTTCTTCTCGATTGACGTTAATTTTTTTTCTTCTTTTGAAGTAAATTACTTAGTGACCTAAATGCGAGTGATCGTACGCAGTCTAAAGCAAAGCCAATTCAACTGTGAAATAAATCAACGATGTAAACTTAGATAAAAATAAATATTTCAATTTATTGACTTTAATAAAATTTATCAATTTTCATGAAGTAATAAAATTTTTGTAAATAAAACAACATCAATACAGCATGTAAATTGTTATCAAAGAAACGTCAAACAAGTAAAAGGTAGAAAGAATTTAAGTTAAATATCATTTTATCTGATAAGCACAATCAACTATGAAATATTTTCGATTCGAAGGAGGAGCGGATTAATTGACTTTACTTTCATGACAGAAAAATAAAATTCTTTCGAACTCACCCAATTTTTGTTGACTTTTACGAAGTAAAGGAAACAGAATTAAAGTTAAAGTTTTACTCGTCGCGATATTTTTTTCTTTTCTCTTCCTTTGCTCGTTTCTTGTGGTGATGCAATTTGATGCAACTGCCACGGCCAATGCAGTGATTATTGCAATTTAATATTCCCGATATGTTTTGCGTTCTCGTTTCTCTTCAGCTTGTTTCGTTTTTTATGATTTTCTTCAATGAATGTGTTTCAGAACAAGAATCATAATGATTTTTTTCGCTCAAGTATTTTCAATCATTTTTTATGTTGCATGTTTTGTTGCTGTTTCGTTCTTTTTCCTTATATTATAAGAAGGAAGGTAAAGAAAAAGATCTTATTTTCTTCTCTTGTTTTGTATTTTCTTTTAATCACAATTCACGATGAAACACCTACACACCTAATGATGTACCAATACTCAGACTCTTTGAAAGAAACTTCTTCAATTTTTTCATTTTTTACTCTCGAGAATTCACTTTTGGATCGTTTCTTTTACATTCTTCTTATTGATGTGTGTGTATATTGTATAGAAAAATATCTCGGATATTCACTAAATTTCGATAATTCTGATAAGGCTTTTGATTTTAAGCCTTCACAATCTCATTTAATCTATTCGCCACTTCAATATCTGATGATATCTTTCAATGAATTTTAATTATAAGGCCAATTTCAACTTATAGTTATAGTAAATTATTTTTCAAAAACACTTTACGAATAGCAAAAGGAAACACATGTGAAGACGTCGACGTCTTTGACTTAAATGAAAATAAAACAAAACTGATCGCTTTCGTCTCTTTTGTGTTTCATTTTCCATATTGTTCATATCAACAAAAGTTTATTTCATTTTCCAGTTGAATATTTTTAGGAGATTTATTTTTTTGTAGACTTAGGTTTGTATATAAATTAAGGTACAACTGAAATTTACTTATCAATTTTTTTAAGCAGTATAAATCAATAAATCTTAATATCTCATAAACTTAAAGTTCAGATTTGTAATTAATTGCGAACTTTATAACAGACTATAGTTCTAAAATTTAATGCCAAGCTTTGAAACAGCTCAGAACTCTCCAGCACGTCATTTTTCTTCTCATAAAAGGTGACGCAATCTGTAAACAAATCAAATATGAGAAACGAAGAACGAGAGCGAGAATTTTGTTTTTAAAAAGCTGTGACTAAACATTAATCTATAGTACGGGGAAGGATGTAAAAGTATAATGCAATCGTTCGATAAGTGAGTTGATATTTAATCTGTAATAAATAAAGTGATAAATTATATTCATGTAAATAAAAGAGTTAAATTGAAAAAATCAATAATTTTTAATTTTGCTAAGGAATAAGAAAAAAGTTTATCGATTGACGTATTTCAATATAATTTTTGCTTTAAATTTTGATATTTTTGGAAAATATTGATAAGTGATCGATATAAAATGCTCCCAGTTTAGTGAATGAATAATCGAAATTCAATGAGAAAAGTGGACAATATTCTGAAAAGAACTTTTTGTAAGGTTGATGAACCGTGATGTAAAATTATTCAAAGCTTTAATAGGAAATTAATCAATGAATTACCGAAAAGCCTTGAGAAGTATAAAAATGCTGTAGCAGTCTAGCAGTAACCTAGCTGCCTTATATAGTTAACAAACAAAGTTTTGTGGGGCTATTATCTCGCTGCTATATCCATTGTTGTCGATTGACATTGAACTTTCTTCATTCAATGCCGAAAAAGCACTTTTTACGTTTATTTCTGGGGTTTTTTGAAACATCTTTTAAATATTTAGATATTTATATTTGTTGAAATAATTTCATTCTAAATTATGCAAGCTTACGTGAGATTTGAGTTTTCTTTTCTATTTAAATTATCACCTCAGCTGACCCTGCACGAGATTAGAACTTTTGACATCTTATTTCGTTCATTCATTCCAATAAAATAGCAATGACAAAGCTTTTTATTTAGTATTATAAAAGCATGCAATTAAATTTCGTGAAGTATATAATAAAAATCAAATCAGATAATAATTTCTTAATAAGGACCGGCGTGTTTGCATATAAAAATATAAACATTTTTGTACATGTATGTAAAGAATCTCGCGGTATTTTCACACGAGTGCTCTTGACTGATTTGCTCCATTACACAATTCACCAGAATTTAATTTTTCTAGAGTCAATAAAAAAGTTAATCAGTCTTGCTTTTAAATGTCATTCTTCATGAAGTATTTATTTATTCACGCAGTGATATTCAATAATGTGAATATTGTCTACGAAATTATTTATAACGAGAGCAAAAAACGTTTTTAATCAATTCACTGATAAGGATAATGATTTATAATAAGTGACAAAAATATTTATTTGCTATTTATTTCCTGTTTATCTGCACAGTTTACATATAAGCAAAAGAATTTGAGATTTGTATAGCAAATTATACACAAATGCAAGAAACAATAAATAAGAACTTGCCTCAAGTTTGATATTTACAATTCAATTGAAACATCTTATTTAGAACCTGTTTAAATACCATTTTGGTAAATGTTTCAAATAATTTTTAAACTCAAACCGGATTTAAACTTCTCACATTTGTATTTATTAAGCTTATCATCATGAATTGCCTCACGTTTAACTTTTCTTGTTTTCCATTTATTTTTGTTTCCATCTTTTTTTTTATTTCTCACGATTGTAGCAAATGCTTTGAGTGATAATTCTTTAGACATAAATAGACGCTCGGTTATTATGGATCAAGCATCCGAAGCGCAGTTTTTAGCCAGTCATAAAGACTTTTTAACATTAGATAGCACATCGTTAGCAAATAGAAATCAGGAACTTAAATTTGGCAATGGAAGAGGTAAAAAATTAGTTTTCCTGCATGTTTGCTTAACTACCTTCAAATTATTCCACTTATCCAATAAAAATCTACACCATAATGTATTTTATTGTCCCTTAAAATGTTGTCCACTTCCTCCATAATTAAATTGTAGATTCAGCATCATCCTGTAATCGTTACCAACTTAAGCACAATTATTGTAAATTCCTACCGAAGACCCAATCGTTGGATATTGTGGACGAGACCGCAATCGCCAACATTGTCAGCAGTGAAAACTGCTTTGAATCGATTAATGAAGAATTAATGCAAACAGCGTCGTCAACTGATGATAAGTCACCACAGAAATCGATGATGCCAAAAGTTACATCATTGGACAATAGTTCGTCCCGTCCAATCTTTCCAAATCTCACCTACAGTCCTTATGGAAGTCCACGAATATCCAGAAAGCCAGCACGAGAATCTCGAAGAATCTCAATCGATAAAAATGGCAGCTTTTTACAGTTGAATCAGTATAAGTTGATGGATCAAATTGGCGTGGTAAGCTTAAATTAATGAATTGATTAACGTCAAATAAGTTAACCTTGAACAATGACGTTCTTCTTTAGGGAAGTTACGGTTTAGTTAAGCTCGCGTACAATGAAGAAGACTCGCAACATTATGCCATGAAAATTCTATCCAAAAAGAAACTTCTTAGAAAAGCTGGAATAGGATTAAATCGAGGTCATCCGAAGCGTGGTGTAAATGCAACAACGCCATTAGATAGAGTTTATCGAGAAATCGCTGTTCTTAAGAAACTCGATCATCCAAATGTTGTGAAGTTGGTTGAAGTTTTAGGTGAGAATCGTCAAAATAATCTCAAAATGCTAAAATTTGAAAATAAATTATTCATTAGATGATCCAATTGAAGACGCACTTTACATGGTCTTTGAGTTAGTGACGAAGGGTGAAATTCTTGATATTCCTACGACCAATCCATTGACAGAAGAACGAGCGTTGTTTTTCTTTCGGCAAGTTGTATTAGGCGTTGAATATCTTCATTATCAGAAAATAATTCACGGTGATTTGAAGCCCGAAAATCTTTTACTTGCTGAAGATGATGTGATTAAAGTAGCTGATCTTGGCGTTTGCAATGAGTTTCTTGGTGATGATGCATCGATTGATCAGCGAACAGCAACAGGAACGCCAGCATTTCGTGCACCAGAAACACTTTCAGGTCAAAATGTTTATTTTGATGGAAAAAGTGCCGACATTTGGTCACTTGGCATCACACTCTATGCTTTCGTCTTTGGCGACGTTCCTTTCAAGTCTCAGACAATTCCGGTTCTTTATGAGCAAATTAAGAATGAAGACGTTGTCTTTCCTTCTAATATTCCTTTCAATGATGACCTCAAAGATCTGATATTATTAATGTTGAACAAAGATCCAATGAAACGCATTAACATGCAGGAAATTAAGGTGAGCGGAAGAAAAAAGAGAGAAAGAAAAAAGAAATTTCATTTAATAATTTCTTTCATTAGGAACATAAATGGGTGACACAAAATGGAAAGTATTTGATGCCATCTGAAGATGAACATTGTCAACGACTAGTGCAAATTAGTGAAGAAGATATTTCATCTGTCGTTAAGTCAATTCCCAAACTTGACACTTTAATACTCATCAAGAAGATGCTTAAAAATCATTCATTTCAAAATCCATTCCTTTCAGCAATTGGCAACTCAAGTGTCGCCAAAAGCATCGCATCGAGAATCTCAAGATTGGAACGATTCCAAAGTAGTCGTTCCAATTCGGCACCGGGTAATTATCAGAATTCCATGCCAAGTAGCAGTTCTACTGCGCCTACAAGCGATTTAAATGAGCTCGAATCACCTGTTGATTGAATCATCAAATTTCACCAATCTCTCTCTCTATCTCTCTCTCTTTTTTGCCAATACTTTTTATCTATCTAATTATCCCTCTATTTCCTTTTCTATTTTATTATGAACGTAGCTAGCTAGCTAGTATTAAGTCGAAGGAACAAAAATAAAAACTAATGAAAATCCCTTTTAAAAGCATTTGCCATTAATTGTCTTGTCGTCGCATAAAGACTTTCAACATTTCTAGAAATCTCTTAAATATCTAAAAATATATCTCGAAGTATCTCCATTTAATTGTTGTTTTATGTTTGCGCGCGTAAATGAAGGCAAGAGATGAATTTTTAAATGGTAGTTTTATTAGATTCATACGACATCGGATAAGCGATCCAAAGCAAGAATAAAACGTTGACAATGATGACGGTCATGTGTATCTTGCTGATGCTTTAAAGCGTTCCGATGATTTATAAAAATAGAAGAATTAAAATTATAAACATGAAACCAAAAGCTTTAAATACTTATTGAGAAAATTAAATTACTTAAAGGAAAATTACAAATGTGAAATTTTTAAAAATTACTTAAAGAAATTTAACATAAAAATTGAGCTTTTAAAAGTTTTTCTTTTTCGTTTTCAACATTATCATAAAAATTTAATAAATATACAAATATAAAATATATAAAGATCAATTTCATCAAATAATTAGAAATTGAATCCAAAAATATCTCCAAAAGCTTCAACAAGTGTAGAATAGAGAAATAAGAAAAGAATTCTGTAATCATTTACATTCTACATAGATGGGACCATTTAATTTATCTACCTTGACAGTTAGCCTTCCCCGACCTTCCACATGAAAGTTGAACCCGCAAGAAATCCTTGTTACTTAATTCATAGAAACAATTCCTCACATACAACGAACACTACAAGACGACAGCAAAGAAGAAATGGTTTTGTTGAAAACTTTTTTAAGAAAAGCTCGAAAAAATATTTTTTTATCCGATTTTTTCATGTTTCGTTATGTCATTGCAATGGCGCCAAGACATTTTATCAAAAAGCAAGGAGAAAGAAAGAAGAAACGTACGAAAAACCTTTTAAAAGAAATTCAAAAGCTTTAATACCAATTCGTTATTCAATTGTGTAATTAAAAGGATTAAAGATTTTTATAAATAAACTTAAATAATGACATTTTGATCGCGATTACTTAATATATTTAAAGAAATATGTTGATTGCAATAGCAAATTAACCAGAACATGTAGTAAGAAATGCTAAACTGTAAGCAAAGATCTTTTTATAAATTTAAAATTTTAAACAAATATCTCATATATTCCTTATCATCTTCTGCAAGCATTCTTAAGAGATTTTTAAGGCATATCACGTACTTGATACTTAAGAACGTTTAAAATCCTCAAATTTTTAAAGTAAATCATTTTTAAGTCTTGAGTTTGTCTATCTAAAAAAATTATTTTTTGTAAATTCATGACATAAATTAAAGAAAAATATAAAATAAATAAAATTGATGAATAAAGAAAAATCTTTTAAAATCATGTTGAAATGTTTTAATTTCCAGCTACTCTCTTTTGAAGAAGTTCAACGTCACACTTTCGCAAATGAAAACGTGCAAATGTAAAGAATTTTTACATATAAATTACAAAACTTTTTCTAGTGAATCATAAACAACAACCTGAAAAAGAAAACAAACTCAATGAAACGCTTTAAAAAGTAAAGTTAATGTAATCTTTATTACAAATGATCAGTTTTTGTGTAGTTCGTCGAACACATTTCAGCAGCAAAAAATCAGAAGGAAAGTTTTCAAAACAAAACTCAACGAGAACAAAGAAGCATGAATTTTTCCATTATTACTATTAGTTTTCTTTTTTTTTATCTAAAATCTTTTTGTGCATCGAGTATCAAAAGTTTTCATTTCCATCACTCGTCGGTTGAGTTCACAAAACATTTTTCGCTGCTCGCATAATTTCACTGCACATTCTTTTCAATTCAATTGTGATAAAAAAAGGAAAAAAAATTCTTTGAATGAAACAGTGTCAAATTTATTTGACATTTTCATTAATCGAATAAGACCAAAGCTTATAAAATTCCTTAACATATGAACCGAGACTTGGATAAATAAATAAATTGGCAAATTATCGATTACACAAGAAGAAGAACAAGAAGACAATAACCGAATAGAAAAAATATTTAAGCAAGCCAAAAGCTTTGTCGGACGAGAATAAAGAAAGAAAAGAAAAACATTAAAGAACGAGATGACGAAATTCGAATATTGTTGAACTGTTTCATATTTCAACTTGTCGCTTACAAAAAGACGAAAGATACGAAGAATGTTCAAATTGTCTTATATCAGAGAATTTCTTACTTAAAAATTTTCTTGTGTGTGTAGGTGTATGCGTGTGTATGTGTGTGTTTGAATTAATTATCATATCTCTATAAGGACATGAGAACTGTAGCAATAGAAGAATGAAACGAAGTTGGGCTAGAAGAAATTGCATTTCGATAGCCATCCTAAGCCAGGCTTTCGAGGCTGCTCGTTTGCTTTCAGCTGATGACCGCCGCCTTTCGGTGGATTACTTGCTTCCTAGAAGATGAAATCAAGCAAAATTAATTATAATTATAAAGTCATCAATAAAAACTTTGCTTACCATTCGTTTCTCCATTTTACTTTTAATATCTCGTGCGAGTGTGAAGAAGGCCTCTTCAACATTAATGCTGTTTTTTGCTGATGTCTCAAGGAACTTTATGCCATATTCAATAGCCAACTGTTCGCCACGCTCCTTTGTCACCTGACGCTTCTCATTCAACTCACACTTATTGCCTAACAACATTTTCTCAACATCTGTTGATGCATTTTCTTCTATATTTCGAATCCAATTTTTTATGTTTTCAAAAGATTTCTCTTGAGTGATATCATAGACGAGCATTATACCCATCGCTCCACGATAATACGCTGAAGTGATGGTTCTAAAACGTTCTTGACCGGCTTTATTTGTATGGAATTAAAAAGAGAATTTAATGAATAAATGTAAATCTAATTAATTATTGAAAGCTCACCTGTATCCCTATAAAAGAATTGCAATGAAAAAGAGAAAGTTAATAAAAAGCTTGGATATAAATAATAAAAAGTTTTAAGCTCACCATATTTGCAGTTTAATTTTTTTGCCATCTAATTCTATCGTTCGGATTTTGAAGTCAATACCTGCAAAGAGAAAATAGAACTTCATAAACAAAACAGCTCATTAAATCATCTGATCTGCGATTTATCATTCTTCAAGTGCTTCTCGTGGGAGAAGAGAAAGATAGAAAATTGATGGAAAAATGCCAAAAGCTGAAAGAGTTATCAGAAGAGGCTTTTCATAAACGAGAAACGAAAGAAAATCGCTTTTATTGATTTTCTTTTTTTTCCCATTTCGTTTTCAAACAAAAAGCAAAGTTTCATTCATTTTTCATCATTAGTCATTTGGCTTTCTTAACATGCACGAAAATTATTTTGTTTTTGTTGAAATATTCAGATATTTACGAACTGTGCGGAGGGAAGTGGAACATAAATTGGGGAATTACTCATATTTCGAGCATTTATTTCAAGAAGCCGAATCCGAAACAGAGGAAATAAGACTTCCAAACTGGAGATAAGAAATGCTAGAAATAAGTTTGTTGTTGCACTTTGTCCATATCACGTTGAATAAATATGAAGTAATTACTTCTCCATTTGACGATGTCGGCCACAGAGCACTAAATTTAACTCTAATTTTATTCTACATATTTTCATCGCACATTGACAAAGCACAAATGGAGCTTTTAGTTGGGTCACTGAATATTTTAAAAACAATCAGGGATGATTCAGGAGGAAACGATAATTATTGTGACTATTTAAGTTCCCTTGGAACTGATTCAAAAATTATATTCGCTATTTAATTAAATATTTCTTGTTAAAACGTTTTATTATTGAAAATATTCGAAGAACCTTAGAAAGTTTTCCGTCTTTTAAAAATAGTCAGTCGACTATTTTTTAAAACTTAATTAACATTAATTATTATTAAAGTCAATACATTGTAAATAAATACGTCATTCGAAGAGTCACGGAAATAATTTTTAAGCACATTAAAATCAAGTGGTTGCGATACGATGATTCATATGTAAATATTAAATTTATATGTCGTCATTAAAGCAATCCCAAGAGTTATGGATAAGAAATTACTAATAGGTCATTCATTTATTAAACTGATCCACTTCTGATGCTTTGTTACTTGTACGTCCGTTTCATTTCTGTATGATCATTCATTATAGTAATAAAATTTAATTTTATAATCACTAGGAATTCGAATTATTATCATTTTATTAGTTAGCCTCGCTTTGTAAGCGATATTAACTAATCGAACTTTATACGCGATATACAATTGTGACTATTTTCTCTCGTCTCCTCTTTGCTTCAAACAATCGCAAATCTTTGTGTGTTTGTAGCTCTAAACTAAGCGATGACGTTTTATTAATCCCGATTCGAGAATTTTTCTTTCACAAAACACTTTCTAATGGGCCACTATCTTCAACTTACCAATTGTTGAGATGAATGTTGTATTAAAATTGTTTTCTGAAAATCTGAACAAAATGCAAGTCTTTCCGACACCTGTAACAAATCCAGTAAGAGAGAAAGGATTTTAAATGTTGGTCAAAAGATTAAATAAGCAGAGTTTTTGCAATATTTACCACTATCTCCAATGAGTAACAACTTAAAAAGGTAATCATAAGTCTTTGTAGACATGTTGAAATGTACAATGATTGTTTTGAGTCCTGTTTCTTATTAAAAAACTACGAAAGATTAAATTTATATTAAGAATGAAATACAAAGGCTGCTGAATATAGAAAACCTACTGACCCCTTGGAGTTGCTGAATAGTTTAACGGATCTGACACTACATTCCCCTCGACGAATCGGTTGAACATGGTTAGTTCAAACGGTTAAAAGAATAAAAGAAATGAAAATTTTGAGTTCTGTAAAAAATAAAAAGAATATAATGACTATACATTGAAATTAATAGTTAAAAGTGTAAAAACGTAAACAATGGGTGGCAATAGTTCGAAACCATCAATAATATCATATGAAGAAGCTGTCAAAAGAAGTAAATTAAACATCTTTCTTCTAATGTTGTGAATTCTCATCAAAATAGTGGAACGATTCAGAGGAATTTCCCATAAAAATTTCCAACCTCCTGACCCATATCCTTTGTCTAACCTCATGAAATTCTGTTTTCATCGAGAGATCTCGATAATGTTCGCATCTAAATGATTAGATATAATTCTTACTTAGTTCACTAACACAATGAAAAAAAAGAAGAAAAATACGAAGAAATTAATTTCGAAACAAATAAAAAAGTGCGCTGTTAATACTCTAATGCATTTCATTTTAGGTTTAACTTCTCCACAATAAATAAATAATGTAATGTCAACATAAAAAAATATATGTCAATTAAAGCGAAGGTGAAACTTTGCATTTTTTTAATTCTATGATCCCCTCCCTCCCCTTTCTGTAAGCTTTTTTTTTTATAAATCAAACGCAATTCGATCGATGCTTTCCTCTTAACATCAGTTATGATAATGATGATGAAAAATACAGTGAATAAATGAGTTGACATTTCTATTCCTTTCAGTATCGGATGTGGAATGTCGACGAATAAAAGAAGCTTTCAAACGGTCAGCTGGTGCAAATGGAAGTTTGTTAAGCAAGAATGCTTTTGTGCAGGAAGTGTTGTGTGAAGGAACACCATCAAATATTGCTGAATGGTTGTTTCAAGCATGCGGCGGTACAAGCAAAGGTATCAACTTCAAAGACCTAATATCAGCTCTTGTACTTATCACCAGAGGTACTCAAGATGAAAAAATTCGGTAAGAAAGTATTTCCATCTCTTCCTTAAGATAAAATTAAAACAAAAAGCTCTAATCTCATGTTAGCGAAATAAGCATTTCAACGTGCCTCAATATATATAAAGAAAGACTGCTTGATAAGCATGCAATAAATTATTTTTTTAACTTATTATTTTTGTGGAGCTCGTGAAATTAAATAACATTGCTTACTTTTTATCAGAATGAAGTTATATATGCTGTTGACTGCTATCAAATCAAGCAGATATAGTATCAGTTCGTTGATTACAAAGCCGCCAATGATTTCTTAATTTTACAGCATTTGCTAATAATAATTCTTATGTCGTATCGTGAGTCATTTCATTTTTATAAAAGACCAAAGATTATTGCGATCTGAACAATTCGTCGCGTCATGACAAGTAAATTTATTTGTGATAAATGGTGAAGACTCCACTCGTGACATTCGTAGGCATGTAAAGTATTAGAAAAAAAACGAGATTAGAAGGCACTTTGTTTATTGCCACGAGAGAGAGAGAAAAAGAGATAAAAGCGAGACAAAAAGTTATAATCCAATCAAGTGAAGATAAAAGGGAACTCGAGTTTATCGGTGTGGGTTGTTTGTGTTATCATTCAAAATAAAGACGAACGAATATATTTTTGTAAAAATTTTAAAACGTGAAAAATAAAACAAAACTTGACGATCTTGACCCTCAAACGTTGTTATCAACGATTATTATCATGATGAACGATCCAAAACATTTCCAAAGATTCTCAAACTTTTCACTTACGATCGTCTCGTCAGATGTTACACGCTAATCACTTTAAAAAACACAACGAAGGTTGTTGGTTGTGTCGTGTATGTTTATTGTTTACATGACTTACTCCAGGTAACACTTTTCATTCGTTGCCAAGTTCACCGTTCGTGGAAATTAAAATTCTTTCGCTATTCGATCTAAAATGTTTGATCTTCAAAACAAATAAAAAATTTTACTATGTGCGTCATTAGCTAAAAAGCAGGCAGAGTAAATTTGATTGAATTCTTTTTCTTTTTTTTTTCTTTTAAGATTTTTATGGACGCTTTACTCCAATGACTCAAGCACTCTAATCATCAAAAATGATTTTTACAAAGCACTTCAAATCGAAGCAACATACCAGAATAATTCGACATCAATATCATCAGAACCGCATCGCGTTAATCACATCAACAATAACATCAACAACAACAATGTTAGCTACAATTATTTATCACTTTTCGGTAGCTCATCGTCAGTGTCATTTGATCAATTTCGTTCATGGGTTTTGATCCATAAGAGCGCAACAGTATTATCGAAATGGCTTCTTGTTGATTCTTGCGTTAATCTGAGCTCAGATTTAGAGACGCCAACATTCTATCAGAGTCTCGCTGGCGTCACACATCTGGAAGAGAGCGAAATTTGTGACCTTGAGAAAGTATTTTGGTATCTTAAGAGCTGCGCTTTAAGTGGTCAATTGGATATTGAATCTTTAACGCCACTTCTCTCTCCTCCATTGCCACAAGCTGCTCTAATGGGATTTTTTTCAGCATTCGATGAGAATTGTGATGGTCATATTGACTTTAAAGAACTTTGTTGCGGTGTCAGTTGTTCATGTCGTGGTCCCGACGTTGAACGAACAAAATTCTGCTTTAAAATCTTTGACAACGATCGTGATGGAATTTTAAACTCAGGAGAAGTCAATCAAATGATCACAATTATGTTGATAGTGGCCAAAGAATGTTGCATGACAAACTCTTATAAGAACGTCACATTTGATCAAATTATCGATGATCTACGTAAATTTCTAAAGCTAACAAATAGCGATGCAGAATTTTCTATAACACAAGAAGATTTTCTCATGTGGTGCGTGCAAAGTGCTTTGAACATCAGTCAACCTTTCATTGATCTTGTGTTTGAAGTTTGTCACATCGTCTTCGGCCTGCGACCACAATGTAAGCATCTTGAGTTTAAAATTGTCAAAGGATGGCTTGCGAGAGAAACGAGACGTGGTTATGAAGTTGGACAGTTTTGGTATTTAGTATCATCAGAATGGTGGCAGAATTGGCTTGTTTACACACATAACAATAATCATGTCACACCGTGCACTTATTGTAAGTCTCTGACGACGCGTTCTAGTGAGAATGCTGATGAAGCAATTTACGACGAATGTTGTGCGTCTTCAACCGTTGAATCAAATGGAAACATTACTGAAACTGGAGATTCGTCGAGTTTAGGTAGTGGCAGTAGTGGAATATCAATGGGACGTCATTCAAGCATTCCTGGACCAATTGATAATTCAATTCTCCTCGCAGCGAATCCATACAAAACTGTACCAACACTAACTGGTGAGGGTGGAAAATTAAAGCGAGAAATTCCTTTAGTTCAACATCGTGATTTTGAATTAATTCCGGAAGCTTTATGGAAAGCACTTTCCCAATGGTATGGTGGCAATTTAGCTTTACCTCGTCAAGTTGTCAAACCACCAAACACAGAAGAAAAGGAACTTGAACTTTATCCATTAAATCTTAGAGTTTTAAGACATCACCAACAACAACAGCAGCAACAACAACATAATCAAATTTCTTCATCAGCAGCAAGTACTTCATCTTGGAACAGTATTTCAGGTGGTTATGGAGCTTTAGCGAATGCAAGTTACTCATCTACGTCCAACACATCAAATTCATCGTCGTCATTGCAGTCGCCGAAGAAATATCTCGCTTACATCGCTGCTTTTTCACGTTTAGCAACAGTTAAGCAAGTTGCAGAATTTCTTTGTGCACGTTTGAAATTGAAGCAAGACACAATTCGTTTATGGCATATGGGACAGAACGGCGATGCTCCTTACCTTCTAGAAGATGAGTCTTTGACACTTGAAGGATTAAATTTTATTGACAACGATCAACTTTTGTTAGAAATTCGTAATAAAGATTTAACATGGCCAGAGGAACTTCGAGCAATTTCATCTCAGAATCATATAATAACACAAGATCGTCGTGGAACAGTTGCATCAGTGTCTAGTTTACATACATCTGGGGCAACTGGTTTGCACAATCTCGGCAACACTTGCTTCATGAATTCAGCCCTTCAAGTTTTATTCAACACTAAGCCATTGACTGAATATTTTCGTCAGAACATTCATCTGTTTGAGTTAAATACCAACAATAAGATGGGAACAAAAGGCCATTTAGCAATAAGATATGCGGATTTATTGAAGGAAATTCTTTCAGCTCAGACACGATCAATTGCGCCATTAAAGTTTAGATTTTGTGTGAGTAAATTTGCACCGCAATTTTCTGGTGGTGGTCAACATGATTCGCAAGAACTTCTTGATTGGTTACTCGACACTCTACATGAAGATTTAAATCGTGTAAATGAAAAGCCATACATTGAGGTTAAAGACTCCAATGGTCGAAGTGATCAAATTGTAGCTGCTGAGTCGTGGGAAGCTACGTTAAGAAGAAACCGTAGTGTCATCGTTGACTTGTTTTATGGTCAAATGAAGTCTAAAGTTACATGTGAAACATGCGGAATGGAAAGTGTCAGATTCGATCCATTTTCACTTCTCAGTTTACCATTGCCAGTTGAGAACTATACATATTGTGAGGTTCTCGTGACAAAACTTGATGGAAGTTGCCCAGTAAAATATGGAATTCGTCTTAATAGCGATTGCAAATATTGGGATTTAAAGAACCATTTAACACCGATGTGTGGTATTGAACCGAGAAGTATTTTATTATGTCAACTTGAAGGAGCACAAGTCAAATATATTTTAGCGAATGAAATGAAAATTAATTCCAACACTTCACATTTACTTTATGCTTATGAGTTGCCGAAAACTGAACATGATCGATCAAGAACTGGATCAGAAATTGGAAACATTGAAAAAGGACTTAAAGATATTCAAAGGAGTCAAGGTAAGTTTACTTTCAATCACTTTTGATTTCTATCATTGAATCACATTCTGGTCATCTTGAATTCTTTCTTGGCTTTTCCCTCATGTTTTTCTTTCTGAATTTTAAATCTAACAAAGCTTTCATAAAACCAGCAGACCAACAACAATTGACATCATTATCAGTGACACCATCGAGTTCATCAACTGAGGAGATCGGATTGAATCCGAAAAAGACTTCTAAAGATAGCCAAACCGAGAAGGTAAGACGGTGCTTTGGAAATTGCATGCCTTCGAATCTGTTGTGCTTCAAGGTATGGTTGTGATTTTTCTATTATTTTCTCTTTTGTTTTATAATTTGATTAGTTTGCTCGTTGATAAATGTAAATGAAGATTATTTTAGGTATTATGACGTAAGAAAGAACTTTTTTAGTTTTTGTTTTATTATTTTCTGGTCAAATCAAATAGCACGAAGTTGTACAGTTGTAGATATGAAAAAAAAGTTTCCTTTTATTTAAAACTTTTGGTGATGATAAACATTGCATAATTATTCAATTAACAAACGAGTTCTGCCAACTCTTAAACACAATTAGAAGCGATTGTTTTTAATTTAAAGAATTCAATGCACAGTAACAAATATTTTAACATGAAATAAACACAAAGCAAAGATTTTCATTTCATTTATACATTCAGCAAATATTTTCTTAATTTTACTAGTGTATATAAGTTTTGTTTTCAATAAGTAAAAAGTAATTTAAACATATTTACAAGCTGAATACTTTTTTTGTATTCAAATAACTCAAACTCGCTTGAGAGCTTTTAATGAAATTTCTTCAAAAATCTTGAGTGTTCCACCTTAAAATTCCATTCTAGGATACAATTGATATGCTTGGCACAAGTCCAATGGGAACTTTCATGGAGGCAACGGCGGGAACATACAACATGAAGACAATTTCAACAACAAATCTTTTATCAACATCATTAAGTGAACTTCCGGCTAATGGAGCGCCTGTACATAACAATAACAACAATCACATGAATGGAAGAGTAAATAACGGATGCAATAATTGCAATATCAACAACCTTGACTATGATGAAGATGACATTTCGATAACATCGTCGCGTGACCATAGAAGATGCATCAATTATGAAGGCCAATGCGATTATTTAATTGCAGTTCATCGAAAATTCACACGTCAAGATACTTATTTCTTATCACATCATAAAACGAAGCCATCACTTTTCGGTTGTCCACTGTTAATTCCCCTTCATGAAGGTGTTCAAAACAAAGACTTGTATTGCAGTGTTTGGATGCAAGTATCGCGTTTATTAAGTCCACTGCCTCCATCATCAACACAAAATCATGCTGAAGATTGTGACGATAGCTTAGGCTACGATTTTCCGTTTACATTACGAGCTGTTAAAGAGAATGGACAAGTTTGCGCTCTTTGTCCGTGGGCGAGATTTTGTCGTGGATGTCAAATTCCTTGTAATGATGAAATGTTTTTACATGGAATCATCACATCATCGTGTTGTTCATCAAGTAAATTGTTTTAAACATTTTTTTATCGATTTAATAATTTACAATTTATCATTATTTAGATTCGTCGACACCAAATCTATCAGCACGTGAAGTCATCAGTCTTAATACTGTTATAACTTCAAGTTCAGTGTATATAGCAATTGATTGGGGTGAGAACTTTTACAATCGATAAATATTTGTTATTCATAAAATCCAATAATCTTCTTAATTATAGACACGTCAGCACTTCATTTACGATACCAAAGCACGAGGGAAAAAATATTTCAAGAGCATAGCTCACTTGCAGTTATTCGACGTCAACAAACTGAACCTGTTGATTTGGATCATTGTTTAAGAGCTTTTACATCCGAAGAGAAGTTGGAACAAACTTATTATTGTTCACATTGCAAGTCGAAACAACCAGCAACGAAGAAACTTCAATTATGGAAGTTGCCGCCAGTTTTGGTATGAAAATGAATTTCATTTACAATAATTCAGATATAAAGAAAACTTTTTATCGTTTAGATTGTTCATTTGAAACGATTCAACTTTATGAATAACAAATGGGTGAAGTCACAAAAAGTTGTCAACTTTCCATTCGATAATTTCGATCCGACGCCATATTTAGCGAGTGTTCCACAAGAAACAATTTTACGTCATCGTGAACTTCTCGAACAGAAGACTAAGAACATCAGAAATCACGATTGTGATGATGAAATAACTGAGTTTGATCTGGAGAACGACATTCCATTAAATGAGAGTCGTGTTTGTGATATTATTCAGGAGAATGGAGATGTGATCATTGCTGAGAGTAGTGAGCCGACTGATGGAAAATCACCAACCCGAACTCATCCAAATACCAGCAACAATAGTAAGACAAATCGAAGGAAACGTTTAGTGTCGACGAGTCTGACAAAAACTCCAATTGTCGATGGCGACTTAAATGATTTCAACAATCACAGGTTGAAGCTTGGCGCTGATCCACTTGACTTAAAATACAAACTTTATGCTGTTGTTGTGAGTTTAATTTCTTAAATATTTAATTGAATTTGTATGTTTAAATGTTTGTTTCATTCTTTCAGTCACATTCAGGAATGCTCAATGGTGGTCATTACGTCGCTTATGCTTTAAATGCAAACAACAAATCTTGGTATTGCTACAACGATTCATCATGCCGTGAAATTAATCAACAGCCAAACATCGATCCCAGTTCTGCTTATCTTTTATTCTATGAACGTCAGAATTTGGATTATTTACCATATCTGCCAAAAATTGAGAACAAGCAACCGTTGTTGAATGGTAATGAATTGTTGGAAGAAAGTGACAATGAACTTAAGAAAGCTTGCGTCTTGTCGTGAATTTATTTATGCTTCAAATTATTCATTCAGTCAGTTACTCATTCCTACGTTTTCACTTATTGTCATGTGTCAAATTTAAAAAGTTGAATTGAAATAGAAAGAAAGAAAAAAAAATTGATTTCAAACTTGAACTCATAAAGTGATCAGGAAAAATTCACTGCAAAGATTTTTTTTCCATGAAATATGATATTGAAAAAGAAGGAAGAAAGTTTATCGTGTTTGTTAAAATTCCGTTTTTGTTTTCTTATTATTAATATTATTGATGACTTCGGATAGGGGTGACTTGACAACGACAGTAATTTACGGAAAGAAAGTTAAATAACGTCCCTGACTTTGAAGCTTTTCCTATGGAATATTCGTTGAAAGTTTCTTCAATTGATGTGAAACCATTATGATAATTATAAATCGACTTTAAACAATTAAAAAAATGTAAACGAAAATTCGAGGACATTCATTTGTTCTGTTTTGTTTAATCGAAGAAAAATCTTAATAATCGGTGCTTTTAAATTGTTGAAAGTTGCATGGCAAAATATAAACTGATAAAGACAGACAAGAAGAAATATTTGTAGATAGAATAAGGATATCTATGTTTTGTACCACCCCCGCAATTTTTGAATCACTTAAAAATTCTTTTTCACTTTTTCTGTACAGTTTGTGCTAGTCAAGAATCTAAATCAGGAAGTATTTGACTAAAAATGCAAGCTGAAAATCTTCTCACGATTGTCCTTTTATTTGTATTTCCATTCATTGTTTTGTCACAAATTGTGATGCAATATCTACATCAACAACAATGTAAAAAACGAAAATTTAGCAATTGATTATTATCAAACATTCCAATTTTATTTTTCTTCATTGATTGGATCAAAGAAAAAAACTTTCGCTTGCTATTTATAAAAATTAATTAAGAAAACCATAAAGTGATGAAGAAACAAGCAAATAAAATTATGAACAAGATTTAAATTGCTTAATCGAAATGAAATATTTGTTATTTCAACAATCAATATGCTGCTGATAAAAAAAGAAAAACAAATAAAATAAAAATTAAAAATCAATCGACAAATTTCTTTTTAGATATTTCTTAATTAATTTATTGAGTGTTTTGAAGGAACCAATTACGGAAGCTCGCCATTCTCGCATACATGTCAGGATAACCGCTGATGGTCAAAGAGATAAAGAAAAAGATTTATAAAGAAGAAATTAACATAAAACTTTCATTGATTTACCGTCCACATTCAACATTCCATGTGGTCACACCAATCACAAGATTATTCCACACAAGAGCTCCACCATTGTCACCAGCACAAGTTCCTTGCCCAAATTGTGTAAACGTACATAACGTGCTGTCAAATATCAAATCACCTGGTCGATCACTAGCAATGAGTCTTGCGCGACAATCAGCATTTGTTATTGTTTGGAGAGTGACGTATTTAAGGTCATCTGTGAATTCGAAATCATCACCAACCGAACCAACAGCTCCCCATCCACTTGTTTGTGACAACACACCACCACCAATGACTTGTGCTGCCAATGCAATTGCTGCCACTTGATCAGTGAAAATGATTGGAACTGAAGTTTGAATCACTGAAACATCATTCAAGAGAAGTGACGGGATGTAAGCTTCGTGATTGATGATTTGACTGATGCCATAATCAGTTCCGCCAGATGATAAAGAAGTTGAACCAACAACAACTCTTGTCGTTTGAATTTCACGATCAATCGTGCAATCAGCTGATGATCCAATCCATCTTGAATTAATTATGAAACCACCACAAAGATGGTTTCGTGTTGGAACATCACGAATTGAAACTTGATGCCGAAATTGACCGGGAAATGCTGTCGAACCTCCAACGATGCGACCTTGTCTAGTGTTTTGTTCTCTTATTGCTATTAGTTATGTTAAACTTTTAATCACTTTAAAACCCTATTAAATTATTATTTATCCACTTACTCGCACCATAACACAAAGCCACGAACGTAATGAAGATTGCTAAAGATTTGAACATGTTCTCTGAAACTTTCAACTGACAACTGAACTGCTTGAAGCATTTTCATAAAAATATAAATGATTTTAAAATTCCAGAATGTGATATCTAATCAATTGGAATTATTATTATCTTGGGAAACAGAAATGCTTCTGAATCCGTTTGTTGATAAAAGAGTAAATAAATAAAATGCTTAATGACGTCATTCAATTTAAATTCTCGAAACTTTATTTTTTATTTTTTAATAATTTTCTTCAACAAATTTTGAAATTGTAAATTTTTAATTTTAATCGATGCTCAAAGTCAAAATTTTTATAAAGTTGAGCATTTTGTAGAAGTTTTTGACAGTCAACTGTCGAATTTTTACCAGAAAATTTCATTAAAACAACGGCAAGTTCATAAGAAGCGTAAGCTGGAATATAATTAAGATGGACATTGGATGGATTATCATTACATATTTCGATGCATTTCTTGTAAGAATTGATGGAGTTTTCGTAGTCGCCTGTTGCAGCCAAACATGCACCAATTAAGAAATGTGGGAGTCCAATAAATGGCTCTGAATTCTCTTCAATTGACTGCTGACAATCTTTAATTATTGTTTCAATTGTAGATGAACTGCAACTTCCCAAAAGATTCCATAAATACATAATTTCGTAACAAAGAAGCTTCCAGTAAACTTCATCACGTTCATCATCAGGAAAAGCGAAATTGCATCGATTTAAAAGAAATTTTTCGATTATTCCTTCTTTTTGTGATGACGAATTAATGACTTTAAGTAAAATATCTTTACAGATTTTTAATTCTTCATCATGGTCTTTGATCGCTCCACGACATATTGAAGTAAGGTACATGTAGTAACTCTTAGAGAATTTTGACACTCTGAAATGAATTAAATTATGAAATGTTTCATCGTTGGAATTTTCTTTCATACCTTAACTCATTGAAATAATGCATCGCATCATGAAACTTCAATTCGATCAACAAACAGAAGCCAAGTTCATGCATGACAAGCATCTTCAACTCTCTCGGTAGATTTGGAACTCTCAACGATGCATCGTAATGCATGATTGCAAATTTCATTTTCTTTTTCAGACGTTGACGACGTCCCGAGAAAAACAGGAAAAGCGCCGATTGATCAAATCTTTCATTTTCATTAAGAATTTGTGTAGCTTCGTGAATTTCTTCACTCAAATCTGAATTCTCCAAAGAGAAAAATGGAACTACAATCAAGTAGTAATACAACAGACCAATAATCGCCATCAAGCTTCTCGTGTCGCGAGAATTTTTGGCTTCCTTTAAACAGTTCAAGCCCATTTCACGGTCGCCTTGATAGCCAAAGAAATTTATGACCTTCAGTTGTGGCGGAACAAATGAAAAAGCAATTTGCAATAATCCATAACCGAAGTATATTGCACCACGTAAGCGAAGAAGTTCGTTTTTAAATTCAACGAGACCTATATTGTCGCAATCAGAACATTCGCTTGTCAATTTAAAACTCGTCATCTTGTTTGTCGTCAAATGCTTTTTTATTCGCGTCTTCTTGTCAGATGAGAAGAACGTTGAATGAGATTTAGAGATATTGGAAGATGATTGTGGCACGTTATGATTTATTAATGAAGGCACTGTCCAATTAGAACATTCAGATGTGGTTGGACTTGAAAGCTCTTGAGCATTGTTGTTATGGAATATTGAGAAGTCGATTGAACCTGACAAATGAAAGAATTAAAGTGCTTTTCTTCAGATATTTTGATAATTCTTCATTACCCATTTCCATTGGAGATTCATCATTGCAAAGTTCACTACACAACTCGTGAATTTCCTTAAAAATTTGATTGTAGATTTTCCAAGCTCTTCTTAGAATGAAAGCTGCTTTGATGTAACTTGGCATGTCACACGAAATGCCAATCAGAATAGACGAGCATAATAAAGTGTCAGCAAGAATGATTTCCTTCTCTAAATCGTCAAGAATTGATTTTCTGGATGAATAATCGCGTTGCTCGCCAAAAAGCTTCGTACGTATCGATTGAAGCCAACCTTGCTCTTGTGAGCATTTCTTTTCTATATTTCGAAGTAATAACGTCACTTCAGATATCTTATTTCGATCGAATGAAATAAGTGCATTAAAGAAATGAAGTAAAACTGCACCATACTCAACACAAAGCACTTCCTTTCGCTTTTCAAGAAAATCGATGGCGTTCACTGGTTCATTGTTTATCCACATACAAAATCCTTGCTTCACATAATCGCAATCGCTTAATGATTCCACATTCAATTCTTCACAGCTCTCCATTAAGACTTTTTATCAACAACAATTTATAACTAACTAAACCAAAACCATTACCATCACTCAAAGCTAACGAAAGCAGAATGAAAAGTGAATAAATTTTTTCCTCTGCGCGTGTATAAAAAGCTGACATTGAAAATTTCCTTTTTTCTCAGCAATTTATTCATGAATGGTTTTTTTCTTTTTTCTCTCCACACACTGACGAAGCCTTGCAAAAAATAGGAAATTTCGAAACTTTTAACTCTTCGAAGCTTTGAAGTGAAAACAAATTTAGATTTAGACATTTTATGAATTTCTTTGTTAACTTAATTTAATTTGAAAATATTTTTTGGAGAAAATCTAAAGACGTAGATACTTTTTTAAAGTTTGTTAGAAAAGCTTGCAAAGCTTAAAAGCTTTCTGAAAGCTTCGCAAAGGGATGTTTATGTTTTGGAAGTAAAAACTTCACGTGATGTTTTTTTGCGACTTAACATTTGACCATCAGACTTTCTGTCGTTCAATTCAGAGTTGGGCGATTTGGTCGTTTTTTATTGTTTCGGGTGATTTCATCGTCGTGTCATTAGCCATTTGAAATCGATTTGAGTTTTATTACCTTGTTGTTTTACATTCCTTACAATTTGCATTCACAACTTTCTATATTTGGAGGAATTTCTGAACAACTTGTTGACATTGAAAATTCTTCTTCGTCTGAAAAGTTTGAAGTAAATGTTTATTAAAACTTCATGAATTTAGTCGATAAATTTATATTTTAACTTTTATTAATTACGTTATAAATTTGCAACAAATAAAAATAAGCATTTGTTGAGGTTCAATTGAATATTTAGACAATTTACGGATGGGAAAGAGAGAAACAATAAGAAAGTATTTTACAACAGGCAAAGGCATTTCATATTCTGCCTTATGTTATCACGTTCTGTTCTTATGAATAGTCAAGTTACAACATTCATTGGCATCAATATTCATTTCATTAATTATGATAAAGTTTTTTAGAGATTTTCCTTTCGTTCCTTGATAGCTTTAAGAACTTCAAATAAACATTTCAGGTTGTTTGATTTTTCTTAATAATTTTCTAAAAACTCGTAAAACTTCGCATTTAAATAAATTCAAATCCTTCATATTTAAATTCTGTATGAATTCGTTCATCCTCAAGGAGAATATTTCCATTGATATCAAATACAGTGACAAAAGTGCTTGTCGCACCATTAAGTTCTTCTGTCTTTAGAGCTACGATAATACTATCCATGGATCCTGGAAGAAATTTGAAGCTAGAAAAACCTCTCGTTGGTTTCAAAACACCAACTTCAATTGCTTTGACATCTTTGAAAGTTTCATCAGCAATCAACAGTTGATTACATCCTCGTGACTCATCTAAAGTCTCATTGTAACGTTGCATAGAGCAACGTCTTGGTAGAAAGAACCATTTTCTATTATTCTCACTCCAAGCACCTGATTCATGTATGAGGTAACCGGGCCATTCGATCGATAATGCGCTCCTAAGCGCTTTAAAGTTCTCAATCCAATTTAAAGTTTTCACTTCGCCACTTGCACTGACCACTTTCACCATCATTGGATTATAATTTTCAAATACGCCTGCAGCATTTGTCCATTCTTTGCCCATCGATCCGACAAACATTTGATTGTTTTTCACTGTCGCCCATTCAGACTTAAAGCCTTTAGGTGAGATTGTTTCGCCATCCGTAAGAATCACCCAAGGTGAAACAACTTCGTTGTTTATTTCAAATACAATTCCTGTTCGATCATCAAATGTTAAAAGCTTTCCATTAAACGTCACAAGTTCAGAAAGTTCCATGCCACGTCCTTAAATGTTTTTATAAAGATTTGTAATAAATTAGATAAATTTATTAAATTCATAATAGATGAAATTCAGTACCAATTGAATTCAAAACAATAAGAAAAGGAAAAATTACCTTTAAGACTGTAGCCTGATGTGATTTCAGTTGAATCATCAGAATCCCATTTAAACTCGTAAGTTGAATGTGATGGACCAACAGTAAGATGACCACGTTTGATGAAGCTAGAATAGCTGTTTTTGCCCTCTTGGCGTTTTGAATTCGTATCTAAATCAGCGATAATTCCTATTCGCCAGATAGTGTGATGATTATGTGGATTAACGATTGGCCTCGTTAGTGGATATGTGGAATTGTAATTGACTGGATTTGAACAAATCGAAAGTGATGATTCAATATAGGACCCTGCTAATGTCTTTTTCGTAGGAGGCAGACATACATATATAATCAGAATTACAAGAATTATTGCAACAAGGTAAATAAAGTGAAATCTGAATTTCTTTTTCCGTCTAATAAAGCTGGTAGCTGCCGTTTGACGCCAGCGGCTTTGCAGGCCATCACCATTAAGTAATCCACTGAATGATGACGACTTGTGCATCATGTTTGCCACACTTATAATTAACTGCACATTTTGTAAACTTTCTTTAGAATCTACTTGCTTTTCTCTTTCTGATTTGTGGAAATTTTATTTTATTTCACAAATGTGAACTTTAACTTATGATGTTCGATAATGTCGGACTGACTGATGGAACGATGTGAAAACGGAACAAGGTACATCACTGGGGCGAATAAGTTGGAGAGAAAAGAGAGGAGAGAAAAATTTGAAAACTCCAAGCATCGTAAAAAATTGGCCAACAAAAGCATCATTAATTAAAAAAAAGCACTATCTAGGTAGTCAAATTCAGTAGTTTGATGAATTACCAATTGAAAATGTATTTTCATAAAAACCAATGGCACCGATAATTATGGAAACATCTAACACGTGTTAACCTTGTTTATCTTCTTATAAGAATTGTCATAATGAAATCTTTTTAAACTTATCTTGTAACATTTTTATTTATTATTTCTTTTTTATCTAATATTGTACAGTAAATGACATGAAATATCATTTTTAACTTAACTTTTTAGAATAATGTTGCTCCAAAGGGATTCAAAATATTTTGTCATGTCCTTTACTTCAATTCAAATTGAAAGTACTTGTAATTCCATCTTTTAGGAATTCATAAACAAAAAGATCTAAATAATAAAATATCTGTAGTTAAATAATTAATTTATCATGATCATTTTTCATACCTTTATTGTCTCGAAATGCTTTCGTGAGATTCCACAATTTTGGACACACTGCAATCCCGATAATGTCATTAAAATTTATTTCGTAGGAAACATTTGGCTTCAACTGAATGGGATTGTTATTTTGGCAAAGAAATGTTCCAGTTTCTGAATCCAAATCTTTAATGAACCACCGGCCGTCATCAAAATAAATGACGAAATGTTCCATGTCGATGTAAGGTGACCCAAGATAATATTTGGAATCACATTTTGGTGCTTTCATACACATGGTGAAATGGCCTTTTTTGAGAAAAATATGAAGATGAATAATTGAATTATAATTAAAACAAAAAATACTTAACCGTATGCTATCGTTGTTCCTTTTTTATCTTTCACTATGTCAATTTTCTCATGAAATAGTGAACATGGACCTACTCTTTGTAAAAAGAAACGCATTTTATTTATTTAATCAATAATTAAAAGAAATTTGTGTATTTAATGAGCGTCTAAGTATCTATCTAATCTATTCCTCAAGATTTGATAAAAGTTGACTTCAAAATCTAGTACGACAAATAACTTAAAAACTGATAACATCGTTATAAAGTTATTAATTCAAACAAATTTCTTTGATTTATTCATCATTATTTATTCTCATCGTCATTAAACTCATTGTCATTCAAAGGAAAACAAAAGAGAAAAATTGTCGTTTCCATTTTCTCACGAACGAAACATTCAAACCTTTAAATATCTTAGCACTTAAAATGAAGTAATTTTGAACCCTTTTGTATTGAAATAATTTTGATCTTTTGAAGTCTTTTCTTCCATTATTCTCAATGCGATCTTTTAAAAATTCATGATCATTTGTTGGCGAGAAAGTACCTTAAAATAAGAAAGGATAAAGATTTGGAAATCCAGTATTAATGCGAAAATCCAACTTGCGAACCTTCATGAGAATGTTTACTTTACAAATGTTAATCGTCAGCTTTCTCATTTCAAATTTACTTTTATTTTAAATGTTTGCCTTCTTAAAACAGGAAAAAATATCAGAAAAGTTTTAAATTTTAGCATTTACGGATATTTTTTTTAAAAAATTATGTTTTGATAAAATGAAATGTTTGGCAATTTATGAAGCGACTGCCGATTTGTTGCTTTATTTCTTCCTTTCTACGCTATTAAATACTAAAAAAATTCTTTTCGACTATCCCCAAATAATGTAGAAAGAAGCGATAAATTACCCTTGAAACTAGAAGCACGATCACGGAACATGCGACACAAAACAGCAGTAGACAAATTGTGGGTGGAGTGAACATGAAAATAAGGTCATTTATTTCGAAAAATTTAATTAGCTGTCATTTTTATCATCAAACAAACAAACAAAAGCTGAAATTGGTTTTCCACAAATAAACACTTCAAGCTCAGAAATGAAAGAAAATTAAATGAGATTTCTTCTTGTTTGTGAAAATTAGTTTCTTACATTCATTGAAGTTTCTCGTTCGTTCAACATGTGTGAAATTTTATTTTTCTTAAGAATCTGTCATCAAGAGATAAATTTTCGTGGAAAATTCTTTTCATCTTCTTGTAACTTTTGACCTGTGAACATGAAATGTTGTTCATTTTACGGTTTCATGAATTCTCATCTCATCCTCCATGTAGAGAGTGTGAATGTATGGCATGAGCTTCATCTTTTATTAATGACTTACATTAAAGAATAAATAAGATTTTACATTCACTTATTTTATGCTTCTGATATCAAATCAAAAGTTTTGATCTTTTCATAAATGTTAAAAAGATAATTGTAGAAGAATAAATTCTTTAAAAACAAACTTCTCTTTCATACTTTTATAGATTTCCATCCAGAAATAAATTGTTAAACATCTATTGCACGTTTCATTTTAAAAGAAAAGTAAAACCATTACTCTCATGACATGAATTTCAAACATTTCAAGACATTCTCATTTCATATTTGACCAACGAATTTCCGGTTGCATAAAATACTTTAATCTCAAGTCAGCATCAAACGAAAGAGTAATCACAATTTTTTACATTGTCGAAAACATGGCAGAAGATGAGAAAAGAAGAAGAAAAAAAATGGTAGTCGGAAAGAAAAGCGAGGAGAATGAAAAATCCGCAACGTAATGTTAGACATTAAATTTGTATCCACGACGTATAATTTTCGTAATAATATTTTTCTTTATATTCCCATTGCTTCTTGCTTTATGCGCGTTCACCTTACAATTTATTTCTTTCATCTCTGATGGAAGCTTTTTGATATTGGGGATTGTTGGTATGTTTTGTCATAATCTCCTTTCAACTCAATTGAATGACATCAAGTAAAGTTCTTCCTTTTAAAATTGAAACATAAAAAAGTTTAAGAATCGAACATTTCACAATTAAAGTATTCAAGTCGGCAGAAAAAAAAAAGTCATTAACAGGGAATATTTTTCTTCATTCATAATTTCCATTGCAAAAAAATATTCGCCTTCTCGCCGCTACCAATGATGAAGAAAAACAATCTCCTTCATTCCTCCCACTTTATGCTTCTTTGCTTAATTCAATGCTTCTTTATGCTTTCGTAATTCATTCCTTCTCTCTGTTTCAAAGGAAGATTCTTATCAGGCAATCGCGCGTATCTCATTGTTGGACGGTCTTGTTTTCTTTTCCCTCAACTACGTACATACATATTAATATATTTAGTTACTTATAATTTTTGCATGTCTCTTGATCTATAGTTTCGCATTTATTCGCTGACTTCTCATGCTTTTCCTCCGCTTCTTTCGAAGGGATGGTACAAAACTTTCTTATCTTCGATCTTTGTCGTTTCTGTTGTGCTTTCGACTTCGCTGTTCTGCCAACACCAGAATGAATAACAATTTTTTTTCGCTCTCTTCCTTTATGTTGCAAAGTTATGATTTTAATTTTTCTTTCCTTTCATAAAAGGCTTCTTTTGTCGTTTCCTATTAAATTCTTGTTTATCAAACTGTAACTCTATGATACTTTAACGACAATTTTCGCAATGATCTCTTACCTTTATGATGAAAAGGGAATAAAAATGATTCCCGCATGGGGAAGTCATCCCTCCGGAGCAGACACCAAACACGAAGCAACAGTAATGTTGATGATTGTGTCGCTTTTTCCAATATGAGAAAAGTTGTTATTTATTTTTTTATGATAGAGTATCATCCCACGTTTTATTATAATGAGATAATAATTTCTGCTGCTGTTGCTTCGAGATTGAAAGAAGTTTCTCTTTTTTCTACACCTTCAGCTTTTTTCCCATTAACTGTCGTGTCCCCAAGGAATCCAATTCTTAGTATACAGCTTTGGAATTATATTTTTCTTTTGCACAGGATTTTCTGTTGATTAGATTTGTGAAGGTATTGCAGGTGGAAATGAAAAAAGTTTTCATAGAGAATTCTAAACTAAAAGAGCAAAACTTAATCTTTCAAGATAGCATCCGAAAAATCATTGCATGGATGTAGAATTTCTTTCATGCTAAGCAACACATTAAACGTTCTCATTTCATTGCTTGCCTTCTAAATATTTTTGCCTCAATTACCTACATATGTACGTGTTGACACATTAAAAGCAGCAAGTTGAGATGAAAGTACTCTTACCATGTCGTCTTTATTGGTAGAAGGTCCCATTTGAATGCTTCACAATTTTCACATTGCCTGTAATCACATTTTTCTCATGAAATTGCCATCGTGAGATCTCAAAACAGCAATTTCGATTTAATAACAAAAATGTGAATTAAACTTTCCGATGCACATGCTTACCGCAAAATGACGGTAGGAGTGGAGCATAAATAACTTATGCCTTTTATGCTACCGAGCGTAATTTGCTGCTACCGATTCTCGACTTGATTTGAAAAGTTGAAATTAAAGTTTTGTGCAAGAAACAGATAATTCTGTTTTGCAATTGAAGATTAAAGTCACAGCAATTTCATTTCCATTTATGATTGCGTAAATGAATCTGCACTCGATTATCTTTCATATTCCTCCAGTAACATCAAATTATGGCGCTGCAGCTAATCATAATCATTTTTAACGCCAACCCATTTAATTTTTTCTTCCTTTTCTTCTTTTGTTGATGTTCTTAATGTCGTTGTTTTCCTTTGTCTTTGTCTTGCTCTTGTTCAGCACTTAAAAAATATTACTGAAGGAGAAAAATTGAAGAAATTTCATTGCACCAAATGGAATCAATTCTTTCCATGTCATAATTTTCAGTAGTAAGCTGCATTTTATTTTGCGGCTAATAACAGATATTTTTCCTCATGTCTTGTTCATTTGTTTTAAGTTGAAAGATAAGAATAAGAAACATGAAAACATTATTTCGTATCTGCTGCCTATAAAGCCGAACAACAATGAGTCAGTTCATTTTTATTTTTTTCATTCAAAGTTAAATTACCTTAACTCCCTGTTTGATCTCATTTTGTATCTGTTTTTTTTTGTCATGTTCAAAAATACCGACACAACCTGAATAAAAAAAGTTCATTTTTTCCTTTGGAACATGGTAGGTTTTCCCAGGTAATCAAAAAGTGATTAATACATGAAATTTTAAGCTTTGCAGAGAGTTTGGTATAAATTTATTCACTCTATCGATACCTGGGTAAAAGTTCTTCCATTACAAGTCACTTTGAACCTTCTGAAAGTCACGAGAAAACATCTCGTAACTAATACAAAACTGATCAGTCATGTTGGTAGGAAGGCAAGGTTGTTGTTTTTGTTTTGCTTTTTACCTTTTCAACGAATCACCATCAAATTCGATCTTAATTTTTCGGACGCGTAAAAAATTACAATGATAAGATGAATTTACATCTTTTTCCTTCTTCTTAAATATGCCTCTCTTCTCAAATTAGTTTCTCCCAAAAGTTTTTTTTTTGTTTTTTTGCTTTCGTTTCTTTATTTCATTGTTACTTCTTCTTTGGTTCTTCCTTCATCTCAACATTGTTTCTCCGGAGGCTTTACCAAGTGAGTCTCCGGTAAGAAATGGAAATTATGCAAACGTCATTCTCTTGTAATAAATAAAATCCACCGGATTTCTTAAGGCAGATAAAAAGGTAAAAAGTTGTTCATTGTGGTGGTGTCGTGGTAGGGGGAAAAGAGAAAAACTTTTGGGATCAATCGACCGGTGCCAGAGTTCAATTGTATCGACATATTTTCTTTCCTCTGTTCACCCATTTCATGATCTAATCACAAGCCGACTCTGCCTCTGTTCTTTGCTGTTCTGTTGAGGAAAAAAAAATTACTTGCTTTTTTTATTCCTTCGTCTTGTAACTTCCATTTATTCGGCACGTTATCAAAGAAAACCACAAACAGGCAAGACATTGGGTAAGTGAGAGTAAAAAAAGATTTCTGTGGTTCGACATCGCCTGGAAGAAACAAATATTCGCTATTCGACATTACCATGCTAAAGCCAAAGCCAACAACAAATTACAAACTCATTCTTCTTCTTTAAATTCTCGTATTGAAAATTGTTAATAAAGTATATTTAGTTATTTTGGCTGATGGCACAACGTGTTGTTTAACAAAAGGTTTAAAAAAATTAAGAAAGAAAGAAGAACAACGACGAATGGCAATTACGAACCGCACACTTGATTTGTGTGTGGAGCTGCTGCTTCTGATGCTAGTGGAGCAAATGAGATTTTCTGTGCTTTGCTTTTGAAAGCGCTTGAATTATTTGCAGAAGCTGATGGTATGTTGATGATGGATTATTCGGTTCAAGCCGTAAATTGATATAATTTTTTTCCTTGGTTTCTCGCGCTGTTTCGTGTTGAATAACATCATTGCTTTTCATCACACTCAGCGGTTTACAATTTAATATGCCTACATACAGTAGTGAATATTTGTTGAATTATTGATGATATGAAAGTTGTTGTCTGCTTTGATGATTTCTTTTAGCGGTAAATGACATCTGAATCTGCACCCGTGCACACTATGGTTGGTCATAATTGAATTCTTTTGCGGGTTGATTGAAAGATTGATTATTTTGTGATATTTTTTTAAAAGCGGTTACGGAGACTCATCTCAGCTTCTGTTAAATTTTATACCGGATCAGATGCTTAAGCAATATCTTCGTTTATTACGATGATAAAACATTTTTTCTCTTCATCTTTTTGCAGGATCTCAGATTAATTGAATTTTTTTGCCTTATTTTCAATGAAATTTCAACAACATAATGTGAACTTTACCTACCGTTTGGTTGCGGTATGTTAAAGTGAATACTTAAATATTCGGTATGGTTTGAGCTTTTTTTTCCTCTTCACTGTTTCATTTGCGTCATTTCGCATTCCCAAAACGATCGTTTAAAAATCAACATCTGAGTCGAGTATTAATAAAAAAAGATTTTATGGAGCAGTTTGCATGCTTTTGCGTAATATTCATGTGAAGATTTATAGCATTTCAGAGTGTTTACTTTACTTTTCTTCTTCGACACTTTAAAAATGTCTTTACGATGCAACAAAAACATCTTTTGCCTTCTTAAGTATTCATCATTGCAATGATGCTTCAAACACGCATGATCGGGATTTTTCGACACATGCATGTACACAAAGTCATTGCTCACAACATGATTTGATGTGCTATAAAATCTTCAAACAATTTCCCTAACCCGAAACATTCAATGGTCTTCACACTATTTTATTATGTTCGCTCTTTTATGCACCCTGGGAGTGAGTAAAAAGAGTGAATAAATAAAATTATTCATATATGTTGATGTCAACATCTAAACATTATTGCTTTACTAACGATCATGATTCATGAACATAAATAAAAGGATTAAAAAGCTCATTTTTCCATCCTCTCTCTCACACACTTGACGTTATGAAAAGTGTCATGAAGAGTTGATGATGTTGGTTGAAATATTCTCAGATTTATGAAAAATAAATTTAAAACTTGATTGCTGAAATCATGACGTGATAATTTGTATGTTACAACTTGTAACGTCGCTGTAGGAGATTTTTCTTTAATTCAAATCTTTTAAATGAATTTTTAAAGGATATCCTATGTGAATCTTATATTTAATAATGTTTTTATGTTCGTTCATGTCCAAAGGACTTGTTCGTCTGAATACCTCAAAGCGAGTGCTCGTTCTACTGATTTGCGACAGCAATTTAATTTGAAAACATTTGATGGGACAGTTTAATGTCAGAATACAGAAAAGAAGAAATAAAATTAACATTTAAATAATGTGTCGGCATTGGAGAGAACATTGAATGAGAAAATAAGGAAAGAATTCATAAACATATTTGCTTGTGGAGAATTCATAAATGATGTCAATGTTCCTTCTTGACCTAGTCATCTGTTCAGACATTCCATTGCGCATCTAAAGCGACCCTTATCGTCTCTGAAAAAGATTTTTCCACCTCAAAAGTTGGGTTGTGTCATGCATGAAGAGTGAAGTTAAGAGTAAAGGAAGGGAAAATGTCGTTGTTCCGAAGAGGAAATCTATGCGATGCGATGATTTTTTTCTCAACTTTTTCTTTCTTTTTTGAAAAGCCAAGCAAAAAAAACGAAATGAAAATAATTTTCCTATTTCCATTGCTTTCGTAGAAAGAAAGAAAAATGAAAAGCTAGAAAAGTTTTCATGAAAAGAAGGCAAAACGAAAAGAATTTTTGTTTTTCATATCAAAATCACACACCACGAGTGGAAATTTTTATGAGACTTCTTTCAATATAAACTTTGACAGTATAAACCCGGTGTGTTAGCATTATTTTCATTTCTGTTTTCATGTTCAATGCTGTTCTTGTTTACTGATGGTTGCATTTCTCTTTTCATTCATTTTTATGATTCATTTAGATTTTCACGACTTTTCTTTTCATTTCGTTCTTTTCCTTTTTTGTTTTGTGTGATGATGATGATGTTTCTCACACAACAAGCTCTCGATAGCGACTCATAAACACACCTTGTCGAGTTATTTTTCATTGTGTTTTGTCTCGATGTTCTCTAATCGTAACCAACTTCACGTCGTTGCTAAAATCACTGTGATTGGTCAGATTTGTGACTGTATGTTGGTAGCAGTGAGGCGTTGCTATGCAACTAACAACACTCAGAGCATAATAAAACACAGAAATTCTCCATTGCTGTGAGTCGCTCAAATGTTTCTTTCCTCGCATATGTATGTTGAAAAAGAAGGCGAAGTAAAAAAATATTTACACACAGTTCAGTCTTTAACCAGTATTCGTTTGAATTGGACGCGGAGTTCGTGGCATTAAAGAAAAAAATATAAAACGTGAACAAAAACAGAGGAAGTAAAACATTAATTAGTTGAGAATATTTATTTCACTTTGTTTTCATTTTAAAACGGGAATGAAGAATTCACTATTTAGTTAGTCTTTTCAACAAGTGAACTGAAGGACATTGAAACTTTCAAACTAAAAAAGGAAAAAAAGTACATAAATCATGTTGTTGAAGTTTCTACTTCACCGATAACGTGTGAAAAGTGATCGACAAGGTTCATTTCGGCTGCTTATCACTTAAGGCCGATACGTTTTCGAATAAAAGAAAGAAGAAAGAAACGAAAATCAAACAAAAGTTGACTAAGAGTTTGAAACAAAACCGCCTGTGGATTAAATTTTTTTTTGCAAATAAAGGGAAAAAGTTTTCTAACGTCACGTCTGGCGATTATCGATTTTATTTCTTTTCGAGGAAAACATAAATTCATTGATGAAATTTTCTGGTGCTAAGTTCAATTAACTCGAAGGTGGAAAATCGCAACTTCACTTTTTAAGTGGTTGATACAAGAATCTGAAAATATTTAAAGAAAATATTAAACAAAAGCTGAATGAAATCAATTTGAAGTGATTGTCTCCAAACACGAGTTTTGAATAAAATAAAATTTAAAGTGATTGCGAGTTAAAGAAATTAAAATAACCATTAAAAATAAATATTTCACAATCACGCGCGGTAAATTAAGTGAAGTCAAAATTTTAACCGAAAATAGCAAAACGCCCCTCTCGAGGGCTCTAGCATTGGCGTCCTTTTTGGGGACGGATTATCCCCAGGCCCTCGGTGCTCGAACAGCACCGCCAGCAAAGGATCTTATGGCATTTGGCTCCGTGCTGGCACACAATCAACACAACATAGGTAAGTTTATTAATGGATATTGTCGACCGTTTTTCTTACAATATTTTGGCGTCGGCAAAAAGTTACGAAAATAAAATATGTTGAAAAAAGCGTGATAAGTCAATGTGCACCGGTGCTGCAAAATTTATTTATGCCCGTCGGTAAATCGTGCCTTCAACAAGCATATAAAATGCTGCAACTTGATAATGAGTGCCTTAAATTGCTTTAGATTCTAATCTAAAATCATCTCGCGTAAAATTTATGAGATGTGGGCTGAAAGAATAAACAGAAAGTTCAAGACATGCAGCTATTGTTGTTGTCTCGATTTTTGTGCAAAAAGTAAAACACATCCTCAAGACATAAGATAATTGGTATCTTCCTTTAGAGAGAGAAAAAAAATGAGAACTGAAAACTGCACCCGAATAATGATATCGTTTCCATCCATTTACATGTCTAATTCAATAATTCCTTTGTGCCCTGAGAGATTTTTTTGTTGTTACTGTTTGGTTGAAGTTGGAGAGTCAATTAGTAACAAGTGAAGAGATAGGGATGGGTTTATTGATGCTAGAAAATATTTGAATTAAACTTTAATAATTTGCAATTTTATTGTTTTTATTTGATGGAATTGTTGAATAGTTCAAGGAGTGGACAATGATGAAGTTTTCATAACTCATAACTTGTTGGAAAATAAATTAATATCCTTAAATGAAATAGAAACTAGCTCGTAAAGCATAATTTTTTATGATCTTCACATTGATCTACATTAAAATTGATCAACATGAAACTAGTGCACATAATTCAAACAACTTTACAATATTTTTATATTCAGACAACAAATTACTTTCGTTCAAACGCTGTCATACGAGACAGTTCATGTTTTCCAAGCTGCTCCATGCGTTTGATGTTGAGGGAAAATTGCCAACTTCACCTTGCATCATGAATGACAAGACAAGAAGCTAAAGCAGAGCAAGAAATTGTCATTTACTAATATTCATAAATTTACTATAATTGACTTCTTGTGTCTCTGATCTTGTGCCTGTTGTCTGTTATTAAGATTTCATTCTTCTTCATTGATTCTTCATCTACAATGAGATGATTGTTCAGATAATTTATCAAGTGACCAACAAACTCTGTTTTTGATGATCAATCTACAATCAAAAAAGAAAAACAGAAAGAAAGAAAAATAGGCTGAGACGAGCAGTAACATACAACAACAAGCAACATAAAACAAGACACTCGCCTTAGGCACTCTTCAAAAAAAATGTTTTTGTTTTATTTTATCATGTAAACGCGAAGCACCTCTTGCGGTTCTTAAACAACAATAAGTAATGAAAACAAAAAAGAGAGAAATGTTGTACAAACTCCTTCTAAATGGCCTATAACTCGAAGCTCAAGTCGTGGTCAAAAGAAGTCGTCGAGATCCACATGGTATTTCACTTCATCCTCGACAAATGAGATTTCGCATGTGTGATGGGTAAAAGTTATATTTTGATTGATGATAACTATTGACAGATATTTATTGCCTCTCGTTCAACGACGACCTTCCATTTGTTTTCATCTGTTTCGACAGCCAGCTAAGAGTGGATAGTCTTCCCTCTCAATCGCAAAGAAATACTAAGTTCAATGTAACTAACGTTTTAGTGAAACAAATACTAAAGAAAGAAGAAGAAGAAAAATGCAACTTGCGGCTGAGTGTAATTGATTCACATTTAAACTATTTTTAAGGTTCACAAAACTTCTTTCCCTTTTCGTCAATCAATTTTCCACTTCATTTGAACCATATCCACAAATTTCCAAAAAAAAATGTTATCAATAGAAGCAAACAGAAGAATTAGTTGAAGGAGTAATTCAGTAGAAATATAAAATGAAAATCATTCAGATTAATTCTACATTTAAATGAAGAAAATTTTCAACTTACACTCATCCATGATGAGATATTTCAAAGTCCATAAAATCGTTTAAGTTTCCAGCCAGCCACCAAACCCATCATCGTTTTTGTTGAATAAATTTCTCTCCATCCAAAAAACGTTCATGGTGAGTGGAAAAAATTACGTTTTTCTTGCTTACTATGCGAATAAAAAATGAAACCAGACGTGACTAAAATTTAATATTTTGCTCGTCTTCTGATGCGCTCTTCGTCCGGTAATTTATTTTCTGGTGACTCGAAATATGATTTCAATGTTTTTCCTTTATTTCTTTAAGGGAAGAACTTTTACTCGCTTTTTAAAGAGGCGAAATTTAAGGAATGAAGTCAAAATAACTTTCCCACTTGCATTTGTGAATGTTGAATTGGATTTTTGTCGTCTTCATAAAAATAATTACGCAAAGCTTATAACAAAGCTCTTTTAAATGGATCATCTTTGGCTTAATATTCATTGAGAATATTTTACGTGATTCAATGAAGAAATAGAATCAAAAGCAAGAATCAAAATTATTTTTAATCATCATAAAAGTTTAGAATTTTAATGTTTCTTTGGTGAACTTTAAATCAGACCTTAGAGACTTGCAAAACATAATTTTTCTTTTCCATCCATCGCACTCGAAAGAAAAAATCATAATTCAAAGTGTGGAAGAGAAACTTTTTAAATGAAATCTGAATCCTAACAACATTGAAGTTACATGAGAACTACATGAGATTAAGACGAGAAGAATCATTAATAATCGGAGCTGGTGGGGCCCCGAAAAAACAAGAAGAGAACTCAGAAGGAAAAGTATGAAATAATCATTAGTTATAGTGTGTCAACGGGTAATTAATTAATAGTAGGTCTGCTCGGAAATTACAAAAGCGAAATAAAGAAAAGAAACGTGTTGGGAAGAAAACAAATTGGTTTCATTTGTGGCAAGGAGCCGAAAGAAATAATTTCCAGGTCAATTATTGCATCATTAAGCTTTTGAGAATTCAATTTTTTTATGTTGAGTGAAAATATTTTGATGAACGACTTAACCCTTTACTAATTTGATGTGAAATCATGAGTTTTTAGCACTCGATCTTAAAGTGTTAAACAAGAAAATATTTTTCTATCGATTATTACATGGATGATAAATTATTATCGTCTTCGTTCATTCTGAAGCAACGTGGTAGCTTTAATAACAACAAACAAAAGAGAAAAAAAGTTTCTTTCACTGCTTTTAGAGCAGCAACTAAATTATTATTCTTTTATGAAAAGAGAACGGAAATATTAATTTTCTTAAGCAAAAACAGAGAAAAGTTATTTGAATGAAAATTGTTTCCTTTCAAAAGCACTAAAACGAGAAAAACGAATCGTCTCTTAACAGATCAGCGAAAAAGAAAAAGTTTAACGTTTTCATAAACTTGCAGCTGTATTTAGGACTGAAATCTTGTCCTGCCACAACAATAAAAACAAAAATATTTTTCTTGTCGTTGATGATGAAATAAAGAAAAATCATTGACATTCAGTCGAGCGAGCAACGAAAACGAAGAAAAAATATTATGGCAATTAAAACAGTTTTATGAGACATAACCAGGCTGGCAAGCATTAAAATTTAGTGTAAGGCAAGTGTAAAGCTATAAAGATTGCCAGTATTTTGTTAGTTTGTCACGGCTCTCGAATTAATCGACTTTGACTTTCGAACGTTGAAACAATTTTTTTTTCTTCAACTCATTGGACGCTTTTTTCTCACAGAGCACTCGAGACGAATGTTTTGTAAATTTTTTTTTTGGGTTTGAAAATAATTCCGCACTTAAACTTGATCAAAGTCTCGTATGAATTGTAAACAGAGTTCTACGTAAATATTAGAGACATATCTTAAAGTTCAGTAAAATAATTCTGCTGCTTTATACTCGTTAAAAGTCGTTAAGAAAGAACATTAAAAAAATATTAAATCAACCTTCTACTCAAACAATTTCACAGCTTCTATAATTTATGCAAAACTCACATTTATTTTCTTGTCAATCATTATCATAATCACGCTAATGTGATTACACAAATAATTGTTTTGAGCATTTATAGTACATGAAAAAGCTTTCGTTGTTACAACATGCAGAAGTATCACCTCAATTAGCTTTACAACAATATAATCTATGTTGCAGTGAGAAAAGACTTAAGCATTAAACTTCTGTAGCGAACAAAGACGACATGACGAATAATCATTTCAAGATGGATACATATCGTCTACCTAGTAATTACTTTAATTGTGCAATTGAAATTACCTCAGTGGGTCCATTTTTATTCTCGTATCTTTTCCATGTTTGAATAATCATTGCCGATAATTGATATCAATTTGCGGTGTGCATAATCAAAAGAAGCCGATTACGAAAAATATTTCAAAAATATTTTATTTTTGTTTTTCATTCTCAACTCACTCAGCGTTTATGAAATTATACAACGATCGACGGGACCAGATGGGAGTTGAGACGCCTGGTGGTTCTGATTTAGCATCGTTTTCACGTTAATTTGCCGTTTTTTTTGCTGTTTCTTAAAAATTATCGATTTTCATATTTTTTTTCTTTCTTTTCTTCTCATTGCAGGTCGATCAGAGCCGAAAGGGGTCGGTGACCCGTGCGCGGGTTGCAACAAGCCCATTCTAGATAAATTCCTGTTAAATGTACTAGAAAGAGGCTGGCATGCCTCATGTGTTAGATGTTGTGAATGTCTAACACCCTTAACGGAAAAATGCTTTAGTCGTGAGGCGAAGTTGTATTGTAGAAATGATTTTTTTAGGTGAGTTCAAACTTTACACAACAATCCCTAGTGACTGTCGCTTCTTACATTCCACAGCCTAAAACATTAAAGCAACTTTAAACTTTAAGGGTCGTTTGTTTGGAAGAAGCAGCGACAGTTTAAAGATACTTATTACAAGAAATGTCTTTAAGTTTCTGCACCCATTTCAATTGTTGACACAGAAGAATGTGCCTGAACCTTATTTTCTCGTTTTTTTTCTTTCCCCTTCGCCCGACATCGTTCAAAAGAAAAACCTTAAGAAAAAGAAAGCAAAGTTGAGATGAAACTTTTCTTAAGGCAAAGAATTGTTGAGACTTTTGATGGTTTAAATTTAATATTCTTTCGTTACTTCAATTCTTGGTTCATCGAGAATAAAACAGAAAGGAGTAGATCTGATGTGATAAAAGCAGTGTGAGTGACATCTTCGTGCTATATCTGCGCATAGTCACTTCGTCAACCCTTTACATCATTTCATCCATTCTGATGTTTGCTCTCTCTCGTTCTCTTTCACCAATCTTCTCGATTCCGCTTCATCCTTTATTGGATCGTTTCCATCCCATCGTAAACGAATGGGTTGTTCTCGTTTGTGCAATGTTTCGGGAGAATCACTTTAATAAAATTTAATGTGTTTGTGCAAAAAAAATAAAACTGTTTTCATTGCCACTTCATAACATGAAAGAGAAGAAATGAAATGAGAAAACGTTCATGAAATTTGAAGACTTCTTAAAAAATACCTGCCGAGAACTGTTTCGTTGCCATAATTGTTCATCTTCTTTCATAAACGAACTTGACGTCTGTTTTTATTTCTAATCCTTTCTGATCCAAATCTCGGGTCATAAATGTAAATCCAATATTTAAAACATCTTAGAAATTTTCCTTTGCTTCTCCCATCGACAAAAGACAAATATTTTTCGAAAACAATTTCTAATTAACCACACAATGAAGTGCGCATGAGAACAGAGAAGAAAGCATGAAATGATAATGTCTTAAAGCATCCACAGGTTGTTATAATCACTTTATTTTGTTCCCGTCTTTACTTAATCTGCAGAGCTCAGGTTAACGATAAGACTCTTATCCAAGAAGCTAAGTAAGATTCTTTTTCCTTTTCTCCATATCCATTCGAATGATTGAAATGAATGACACACTTTCCTAATTATTCACTTTGTGCACCTTCGGGCACCTTCAGGCACAATTTATGTCTTAACAAACAAGCGAAACTCAAAAATCTTCTTTTTCAATTTCACAATGACTGCTTTTTATTTGAAACGTTCGTTTTGGTTTTAACGATTTCACATTCACTCCCTTCTTTAAATTGAGAATGTTGATTGTGAGAAATGTCTTAATTAACTCAAGACATTGCCCGAGAGACTTTTGAGTGCATTGTCGAGATATTACCTCAAAATGCAATAGATAAAAGAAGAAATAAAAGTTGAATTCAGTGTTACATGAGAACGAAGTTTATCCACGAGCGCCATCGCATTTAGAAGAATTTAATCGTCCATCTGATACCAATTCTGATGAACATAAAAGCAACACTGTTCTATTTGAGTAAGCCGGACTTTAACATCGATTAAAGTTGTTTATTTCTGACACAAATAAAAGTTTATGCAATCAAATTTAATAGCTACAGTCATAAATTTTTACAGATATCAAAAGAAGAACAGAATCTTAATGATTTCAATTCTCTTTCAGACGTTACGGAACAAAATGCAGCGGATGTGGTCAAGGAATAGCACCGTCGGATCTAGTGCGAAAACCTCGAGACAAAGTGTTTCATTTAAATTGTTTTACGTGCTGTATATGTAGGAAACAATTAAGTACTGGTGAACAGTTGTATGTGTTGGACGATAATAAGTTTATTTGTAAAGACGATTATATGTTGGGAAAAGGATCGCATCACCATCATATGACAGGTGAGTTACCGTACAATGCCGACTTGTGATTTATTTAAGACTTTCAGTCTTAGCCTTAAACCTTTCACCCTCACAATTCCTATTTATCATAAAAATCTCTTTTTATCTTATTTTCTCCTTTTTTTTTCTCTATCGAGCATAACAACATAAATGTGAAAATATTTTAAAATTCCACATGCACATTCAGTGAACGAAGACGAAACGAGCAAATAAATTTTATTCTATTATAAAATGATTTTATTTCAACGATAAAAATCCTTCCCTTCTCTCATCGTCTTCATCTTTTTCATCCCCCAATGGTTTTTGGTTATCTCCATAGTCCTTCAATATTTCATCGTATCACGTATTACCGTTCAGTTTCCTTGGCTGGCTTTCGGAAGCCATTGCAAAGTAAAGGAGGAAAGTTGCCCGACTTTACTCTCCGGATAAAGGAAAAATAAACAGAGCAGACATAAAAAAAGAATATTTTTTAACAGCTTTCACGTTCCACCCACAATTCAAATAGGACAAAAATGAAATGACATAAAAATTTTTGAACCATTTTTGACGATCAAAAATATTTCTTTGATCAATAAAATCAAACAGATTTCACAACCAACTTCCAATTATTTGTTATTGTTTTATAACATGAATGTTCAAGGGACGATGGCAGATACTTATTAACAGCTTTTTTGTTCCTTCTCATTCGTTGTTGTACAAACTTGTTGTATAAATGGTTGTGGCTTTTATCATCTGCTGCTATCGATAAGAAACATACATAGACGTGCATTGCAAGCAACTGATTCCAAAGGGAATTAATACAGAGTGAGAGAGAGAAAAAGATGAAAAAGTAAGATAAAAAAAAACCGAATCGTGTGCAAAATGTAAACTCAAGAGCGCACATGTGATGTTGTTTAACATTAGAGCCGCCATGAAAAACTTGTTCTCATGCCTTGTTTAAGTCTCCCCATTTTATCGTCGTTTCAGCCCATGAGAAGAAAGAAAATTATATGCTTAATTCCAGATTAGTTTTTCTTTCGTTTTTCCTTGCCTATTCGGAATAAATATGAAATAACAATTGAAACTGAGTCTCGTAGATAAGTTTCTATGTATGTACATAGGTTGAATGTCGTAGCAAGTTACACGAAAAGAGAATTTTATTCAAGACGTTTTCATTTTGCCATCAGAATCTTCTGCCATCACGTAAAGGGAAACGAACACGTTTGTCGCGCATAAGCCAGCGGCAAAATGGGAGAAAATCTTGCTTTTCCATGCGATGAAAATGGAAAAAAAGAAAGAAAAAATCTCGTTGTTATGGTGGGGAAGAAAAAAGAAAAAGAATGGAAAATTGAATAATTTTTTCGGGGAGAATTCGTTTTTGTTGTCGTTGCGTTGGTAAAAATATATTTTTTTAACAAGGTCGATGTTGCGCATGAGCTATTGATTAACATGATTTCCATCACATCCCGCTTGAAAAACTTTCTTTGCTATTAAAGAAGACAAGTTTAAAGTCCTTTTACTGAAATATTGACTGAAATAAAACTTAAAGTAGAACAACGAGTAGAAAATTTGCTTGCAATGGAATTAAAATTCATCTCATGATTTACCATAAAATTAAAGTTTTCACAGCTTGAAAATTTAAATTTTCCACGATACATTTAAACTTTTTTGTTTTATTAAATTAAAGTTTTCGCGGGAACGCATCAAATGAATTTCTGATGGATTATTTACTTGTGCTATTCATAGGGGGAGAAGAATTGAAATGAACCAAATGCATACTTGAAAATTGAGGGAGAAAAAATATCGACATGAGCTTGAAATCGAAAGGTTGAACGCGAAGCTATTGGGCATACATGCAAATGCAATAAATCAGATTTTTAATTTCCTCCAAAGCCATGCATAGCCGCATATATCGCCGAAATAAAAATAATAAAATGGATTCCCATGGAAGACATAGACATGGACCTGGAAATGAATTTTTATCCCGAATACATTTATGTAAATAAGCATTGATCGAATAATTCCCAAACGATGAAATTTCCCAATGAATCAAAATCATATTTAACTTTAACTTTACTTAATAAAAGATTGTTTTCAAACTGAGAAATGCTGTTTTTCGAACAAAGAAGAAGACAACGACGAAAACTTATATGCGAAGCAGTCAAAGAAACTTATTTCTTGTGATAAATTATTATGCTTTGCACAGCATATTTTTGCTTTCTTTCTCTCAAGAGAAAAAAAAGGGGAAAAAGTTTTATTTTATGCGATTTGAAATATGAATAATTCCTTTCTTACTCCACCAGTCATTTTTATATTTCCATAAAATGCTCAAGCAAAATAAAGTAATTTGTTGAACTTTAGTGCTTCTCGCGAGATATTCTTATTCACTTTTTGAAAATATAAAATAAAAAAAAAAGAAATTGCAAACCATCACACATAAGTTTATTGTTTGCCACATAAATCTTCTTTTCATTTCTACATTGCTCGCTGCAGCAAAAAAAGCAAGCAATAACTTGCACAGATTCCAATGCAATCCAATTCATTCATGAAACGGTATAACATGGGAAACCTTTCAGAGCATTTAAAAAACCTTGTAGACATTTGAATTATATTCCTTTGTTGCACTTGCAGCAATACGTTGACGTTGACTGAAGGCAATTTCATCATGTCATAGATTCGAGTGCTTTTGACATTTACTTTCACATGAAGATTTCTTCAACACTGGGAATCAACAAACAGATGAGAAGACCAATTTCAAGAAACGATCTTGTATTGGATTATGATGTCTGCTGCAATTTTTATTGATCTTTTGAAAAGCAGCTCGACTCGATTTCTTATTCTTCTTCTTTTTGATGTCAACCGACAGGTTGATACCTTCGTTCACCGATGTCTTCGACAAATATTACAACAACATTAACAATAATGCTAATTTATAGCTGTGGCTCTTCGAATTCTTAACTTCCAATAAAATATTTGTCTGAAAGCATCGAGAAGTCTCGAATGTTCTTGTCAAATCATCTTTTAAATTTTAAATTTTTTTTTCTTCAATTCTTTGCTTCCATTCGATTTTACCACTTCATGGTTGATTCTCACGTTTGTTGAATAGTCGAAGCGTTCCAAATAGGATTAATTTAGAGTCGTCTCTTGTTTTGCCTGTGAAATGTGTTGTGTTTATCATTCAAAGCATTTTATTTGCGGATTTTTCTCTGTTGTGTCAATCCAACTCACTGTGATATGATGCAAGATAATCCATAGATGTCACGTGCGGCTTGCTATTACATTTTTTCCTTTCTGCCTTCCTAGTTATGCATGTGTGATGTCATTTGAATCCCGCCTTGCTTAAATTTATCGCTGATGAGATAAGAAGCCTTTTTGCTACATTTTGAACTTCTGAAACAACCGACGTTGAGTCTGCAAGTGATTTTATCTTTTCGTTGACGTAAAATCCCTGAAATTTAACCCTAACATTAAACTGAGACAATCGTTTGGGTGAAATAATCAATGAAATAAACTTTATGTGCTTCAACTTTATCATCTTTTATCGAGAGAAATTTTATTATTCAATTAAACTGAGAATGAACCTTTAGTTGAGATGTAAATAAGAAGTCTTAAAAGTGGAAATCTTATATTCCCTTAAAGCTAAATGACCTTTTCCCTCCCTCTATCAACAATCTGTCGTACATAAGCAGCTAGTGTCAATAACATTTCATGTCCGAGATAAGTGTTTGCTGATAATGCTTTTATTGTTATTTCTTTATTTTCAATTTTTAAGATGAGAGCATCTCATTGACCATTTACAATATCAGTAATGACCTTGAGCCTTTTGGCTTTCTTAAATATATTTCAAAATAAAATAAAAAAAAGAAAAATGAAAAGAAAATAAATAATCATAAAGCGTGAAGTTTCTTTAAAATGAAGTTCGTTCCGTATCGGGAAACTTGAATGGAAGTTTGTGCCTTTGAAATATGCTGTGGTGGTTTCACTTAAGACTTACACATAAAAACTGTGAAAGACAGAAGACTGCGTGAAGTGGCATTCTTGTTTATTAAAGTAACTTTAGGTCGAAGTTTCTTCTGTGTTCATAAAAAGACATTAAAATTCACCAAAATCAAGGATCATTAAAGCGGATGTTCATATCAAACTCACATAACATTCTTTTGAATGCGATTACTTTCCGACACATTACACAAAAAGAGAGAGAAAATTTCTTAAATTTCATAAAATCTTAACTTGGTAAGGCAAAAATCCAATTGTTGAAAATTAAAATCATGTGAAGAACCGGCAACATGCAAGGGAACATAAAATATTTTTTTTGTTGCTTTTTTTTGTGTGTAACAGAGAAAAGTTCTGATTTTGACAGAAAATCGTTATCATGTACGACAACAACATTCTAACATTTTGCATTTTTATTTCCTCCTGGCAATTGGAGCGGAAGTTTCCGACTTAATGATTTTGATGGTTGGCAGGAAAAAGGTTCAAGCTTCCCTCTGTGATTTTACTTTTTTCTCTATTTGTGTTTTGGATCGTAGCATACTTTTGAAAGTTTCTATCGTCTTCTGACATTTTGTCAAACTCAGCACACCTTCCTTCACTGTTTCTGTCGTTTGGTTTCTTGATTTGAGAGCTATTTCAGGAAGATTGGCTTTCGAAATGCCGATGTTTATTGAAAATCAGAAGTTTATGTCGGTAGGGAAAATGAAGCATAATTTTTTATAATAATTTTCTGTTTTATAAAGAATTTCAGATTCTAAAATACTTCATCATTGTTCTTCTCACTTTGGCCGTTGTTTTGATTCCTTTTGTAATGTATTTGAGTTATGAAGATGCTCACATCTCACAAAACAGTACAAAACCACAATTTTGATTTGAAAACATTGATTAAAATATTCTCAATGATTCAGTTGGCTGTGATAAAAAAGATGGAATTTGGTGAACCAAAAAACTTTAAATTTTTAGTAAGAAAGAAATTCAATTTTATTATTTAATTTTCATTTTCATATCTTAAAGTTTTCCAGATCTTTCTTCGTGATTTTCCTTTTCGTTGTGATTTTGTTGCTGATTTATTTTATAATTAAAAGCAGCGAATTTGACGTGTCAAAACAAATTCCTCAAATTCGTCAAAATAACATCAAAATATCTGTGAGGATTTTGTGAAATCTTCTAATGAAGATGTCATGTTTAGGTGACATTCCAAAACGATAATTCACATTTTAATAAGTCAATTTAATGGTAAAATATCAGTGCAGGATATAAGAAAGAGCTCAAAATCAACTTCACAACAAGTCGTGATATTATTACGCAAATATTTATAAATATGACACTTGAGTTTCAAATTTTAATTTGACAATCCTTAGACAACATGTTTCTATCACAATAAAAGCAAAGGTCGTTGAAAAAAATAATAATTCAATTTGTTAAAAAAGCGGAATGATAAAATATGTACATAAAAAAGCAAAAAAAGAATGAGAAAAGAAGCAAAGCAACATATCATTATTTTGTTTTTATTAAACACGCTTAAAAAATACCCAAATGAACACACGAGCATCACTTTTCAAATACTTTCCACTACCATATATCATTTTCACTCACGATAGGTGAACAGACAGCTCGTCTATCGTACCGACTCTAACTGAGAGGGCGTCAAACAACGTTAAATTTGTGCTTTTCCATAAAACGATGAAGAGAGTTTGTCGCTTTGAGAAAATAAATTGATGGCTGGCTTTGACGAAGCAGACAACAGCGAACAAACTTATCATAAATCATTGGCTTCTTTATGAGCCATCATTAGATTATTAATCATGTATGCAAATTAATTGACTTCGATTAAAATGTGAAGTGGATGTTGAGGGAAATCTTAAAGCATTTCAGTTGGAAGAAACATCAACTGTAACACATGTCTGCTTCCTATTCACAACAAAAACAAGAAATTGGTTTCAATTTCTTGCTATATTTAGTCACCAGTGTGGTCGATTTTTAAGTTGTTTACAAAATATTTTTGCCGCTTTGTTTGTCGAAGTTAAGAAAGAGAAAAAAGCCGATGAAAAAGAAACTATGAGAACAGAGAGTGTGAGATGAGCCTTAGATTAGGATAATGCTTGGATTATGTTGCAGGTAAAAAATAAGTTTTCGTCTCATTGTTTAGTTTCCTCGTCCTTTTGAAGATATTTGCGGTAAATTAAGCATGATCGACATTTCACAAACTTTACTTTTAAATTCAAAATGCAAAATTCATTGAAAAATAATAAAGAAAAATATTATCGCAATTTGCCAATCCATTTCTCTTTCTTCTGGAATTTACGAAGTTGAAAAGTCTTTTACCTGCCCGTCTTGAAACGTTGTTTGGCTTTGGCTTTTGAAAATGTCAATTCAAGAATTTCAGCAGTGAAAGCCGCAAGAAATTGGAAAACAAGCAAATTAAATGTGATTGTAGCACTTCATGTTAATGGAAATTTAAACTTGAAACTAGATGAGATTTTTATGAATGTATAGAGAATACGTTGGTTCAAGACATGAAAGAATCATCAAAGTGGCAGTCAATTCACACATTATTTTTATTTTTTGACAACCAAACGAGTCTAATGACTCTTTTTATCATGAAACGTGTAAATTTATAACAATTAAAGTTCTTTTCATATTTCGTTCCAATAAATATAATGTTAATGATGATGATAATTTCCTTTCAAAACCTTTGTTAGCTTTAAAAATAAAATAAAAAAGAGCCTCAACAAAAACAGAATCTAAAAAAAAGAAAAGTTTTGCAAAGTGACGGCTACGGTTTTTAAAAAAATATATCTTGATGGAATCCACAGGTATAGTGACAATAGGGGGTCAAAACCGAGAGTTCTTTCTCTTCTATTTCACAATTATTCATCCATTCGCTTAGGTTCTCTGTTTAAAGCCGGCGCATTAATGAATGCTAAAGGCAAGCAAAAGCAAAGGAGTAATGAATGATAATAAAACATAAGAAAATTATGAAATAAAAAAAATTCTTGTATGGCACATTAAAAACCATAGAGTTTAATGGTGTTTTGAATCGCCTTTTGTGAATGACATATGGCCGTTGGGATAATAAAAGTTTGAGTTGAAATATTAAATGTGGCTGCAGCTTGAGTTAAACATTCGCTGACGGTGGTTCGCAAAACATGAAAACCTCCATTTTAAACATGCAAAAAAAAGTCCATAAAAATCACTTAACATATAACGCTCTGGTTGTTAACACATCACTATCGTGGCGAGTAGACAATCAAGCATCATGGCGAGCAGACATTCAAGCATGAAGCTTAATGACTCAACTGAAGTGTGAAACCATGTTTCTATTTTTGTACCATTTTCAAGTCATCGTGGGTTGTTTCGCTGTTTGAAATAAGCTTGCCATGTAAAAGCCTTAAAGGAATAAACACGGAGCTTAGTAATGTTTCATTGCTTTAATGGAGAAGCTTCTAAAATAATTTGTCTGTTAGTGACGTTAACGTTTTTCTTGATAATTTGAGAAATGATTTTACTTTTCATCGTCGTTGGTGATCGAATGATCAAAAATTAACTTTATAAATATTTAATTCTTGTGATAAAAAAACTTTATTGCATAAATCAAAAAGCCAGCAACTTCCTTGACAACAAATCGTTAATGTTGCTTCTATAAATACCCGCAAATCTTGTTTAGAAAATTTACATTAAGTAGCCGCGTAGATTGTAAATGGCAAGTGCCTTAATAGTGTACAACAAGATAAATTGTGTTGTGTCGTGTTTCGCTTTCACAAAAGAATGCTGAGTTGTAACTATGTACATAAATATTTCAACTTGAAAGAATTGTTCACCGTGATTCAACAACAACGGCGCAAAGACTCTCTTTGTGTATTGATCAAAAAAAAAGAATGAAACTCCAAAATTGTTCTCAACAAAAGCTTACAATTAAACGAACATTAAAAAAATTGTTTAAAAAGAAATAAGATTAATTTTCTCACTATTCAACTTCGAAATTCAAATGCAATGATTCAAACGAGACTAGTGGGTAATCCTCTTGATTAATTGCATTTAAATTCGTGAAACTGTTATGATTATCCAATTTTATTGAAGTTAATTTTCGTTTGAATGGTTTCTCTACCCGCTGTTTATTTACATGTTACAACTTGTTTGCAACACACTCGAAATAGCGAAGGGATGTAAGGGAAAATGTGTGGAAAATTCGCTTTCAGTCCCTTTCTTGTTTCTGGGTCGGTTACGGATTAGAAAAAAGAAAAATCGCGTGGAATTGAAACCGACGTTACACATATGTGCAGTTTGTTGAATGGAAAAACGTTTTGATCGTTAGAATAATGCAAAAAAATGTCGACCAACAGCGAAATTTGGTCTGAGAAGGGATGTTGATAGGATACTTTATTACGAAACCCTCGATCAGCATTCATCCTATGGCACTTGTTGTATCCTTTTGTTTGCTTGTTGTTATTCACTTAAATGATTTCCTCGAGTAGATTTCTCAGTACGCAAACATTCACAGTTTCTTCCTAGTCGCATGACAGTGAGTGAGAAGAAAGAATGAAATGTTTCCAAACATAAAGTATATATCCCAACATGCAATGAATGTTTATTATTCTTTATACATAGATATCGAGTCTGGTGAGCGGAGGGCTGATGTTTGAAACCTTTAAAGTTTTCTAAGCATAATAAACTGCTTTTGAAACATCACCAGCCTCCCCTCCCTTCACTCATAAATTCCTTATCTTGAAGGCGCTCGATCAAATTCATGAAATAACGTTCAAGAGTCTTTTCTTTCGCACTCCCGCCTGAAGAGTCTAAAAACAAGATTAAATGTTTTTTTAAACGTTTTTCGAGAGGGTGATTGTCGAGGCAGGTTGTCGAGTAGTAAGGGAAAGAAGGGTTTTTCCATTTCTTTATCGCTTTTTCCCAACTCTCACAGGCAGGCAGCAGCAGTGCTTGCTTTGTAGTGTTTTGCGTTTGTTTGCTTTTCGTGAATTGTTAGGGTGGAAATAAAAATGAATTTTCTTCTCGTTTGCTTGTCGACAACGAAAATGAAATTATAAGGAAGAAGGAAAAGAAAAATATAAAATTATCGTACGGAGGATGACAAAAACATGAAAACATATTTATTAGGAAACAAAAGGAAAATAAGGAAAACTTCAGTTGATGTGAAGTTGATAGCTATTTTCCTGCATTATTAACCAATTTCTTTGCATTTTCTTTTCATTCTTCCCTCATGTTTAACTTTCATGTCATAAACACGAAACTCTTATTGCATTGTTTTTTTTAAATCGATTTTCAGATTCTTTAATGGGCTCAGATTGCGAAGAAGATGACGAAGATGATGATCCCATAAGACCGCCACTTAATTTAGGACACCTGGGATCAAACGGGCCTGAATCTGTTGGACATTTAGGCGCCTCTGACCTTTCAGTTCAGAGTATGAGCACAGATAGCAAGAATAATGATGATTCAGATCAGGTAAAATATTTCCGGTGCGAAATTGAATTTAATAACTTATTTTAAAATTTGTTTAGGGATCACTTGATGGTGATCCAGATGCGCGAGGCGATTCACAGTCTGAAAATAAAAGTCCCGAAGATGGTGCCGGCTCAAAACGACGGGGACCGAGAACAACAATCAAAGCCAAACAATTAGAAGTATTAAAGACAGCATTTAGTCAAACACCGAAACCAACGCGGCATATTCGAGAGCAATTAGCAAAAGAAACTGGTCTGCCAATGCGAGTGATACAGGTAGGAGTTTAATTTTATTCTTTTACAACGCTTTGTTTCTGTTGAATTGAACCACAAAGTTATTTCGTTAAAGATATGTCATGATCAATCAATGATATCAATCGAGCACGTGTTAAACGATTCAAAATAGAAATTTTAGCTTTCTCGTGATTGTGATCATCGAAGAAATATCGCGGTGCTTTATGAACATATTAAAAGCAATAATATTTATGAAACTTCTGATTTACAATTACGGTGATTTGCCATAACTTGGAAGAGCATAAAAACATGTTCTTTGTATTTATGCTTTCGATGACTGTTGAAGGCTTACGGCTCATGGCCTTTTATGCCGAATACAAAGCGAGTTCAAGACGAAATCTCGAAGTTAAAATCGGTACACCTCATGAAGACGCCCGAACAGTGATCCAAACCCTCCCGAACACAAAATAAAAAACATAAATCATTGTGTTGCTTGAGCGAGTAAGAAAGATTGAGTGAGGGAGAGAGAGAGAGAGGGAATAAGAGAATAAAAATGATTTTTAACAATTTTGTTTTGTTTATAAACACATAAAAAAGTTTAAAAGATTTTACGATTTTTATGACTTCTTGCCTATTCCTTCATCGTTGGAGATTTTAAGATTTTTTCTTTATTTTTGTATGGATCATCATTTTTCATTATACGATATTGTTGCGCGTTCGACCGCGCCAAAAAGATTTCTTCTTGCTTTCATTATTCAAATGGTTTTTCGAAGTCTCACGACGAAAGAGATGCGCATTGATGCTTCCTGGAAAAGAGGCAAATTTAACAAATTTCACAGCGCCGGTTTTCATGGAATGTTGAATTCATTATGCAATTTTATGCTGTGATAATTAGTCAAACTGAGATTGAATTCTTGTGTTGTTGTTATTATTATTATTATTTGGTTTGCATAAACTGAAGTTTGTTTGAAAATTAAAAGATGATCATGTGAAAGCATTAAAAATGAAATCTATCGATAGTCGTGTACGATTTCTCTTCTCTTACATCCAGTATGCGTTTCTTTTAAGTAGTAAAAAGTTTCCTAAACATGAAGTAATAAAATATTGCACATTTTGAAATCATTAAATATTCATAAATGCAAAAATTTAACATTCAATTTTCAACGGCTTATTATGCTTTGTGGCAAGCGAATGAAAATCGGTAGAGAGTCCATTCAAAGAGCGATCACTTTACGATTCGATATATGTGCGAAATTCACATGAAAATGAGAGTCATACGAAACAATGATTCTTCTCATGTATAGCTAATCCTTCACCTTGCCGTCGTTTCATTGTCCCATGTCAAATGCAAAAAGTGCTTGTTTTACTACGTGGAAAATTTTTAAGTGATTGTTTTTAGAACCGCCAAAGGATTTGTCAAAGCATTCAACGACCGTGGTTTTGTTTGACTGATGCGACGTTACATGGAAGAAAAGAAAAATTCTTCACCACGATTCTCTATGCAAATAAAATTTATGCCGCAAATAGAATTTGTCGGTGAGATCTTTGAGTCAAGAGAAATATGACAACAAACGAGCTCAAATCAAATATAAAAAGCCATCGAAAATGATTCTCGTGTGTTCAACGCTCTAGGGGAGATGGAGCAATAGATTTGAAACAGAGAACGATAATTTACATGTCTTTATGGTTCCATAAGCTGTCAATGTGTCGTAATATCATTTCAGTTCTCATCGTCGAGTAGATGTAAAGTTTGTGGCTGCTGTTGTTGAAGGATTTCTAACAAAATGTAACCTTCTTTCAAGTTTCGAATCACGCATCGCACCAACAATAAAACCAAAAACTTCTTTTCGTGGGTGTTTCGTGTTGCTGAGCGTCAATGTCCTAAATAATTTCATAACTTTCTTGTTGTGGTTTTCACATGTGAAAGAAGAAGAAAAAAGGTTTTCGGAAGACATCTGAAGATGAGAGTGACATTTCTTGGAAAAGTTTGAACATATTCAACGAATTATTGCGCAGATCATGTTTCCAACATAGATTTATGTTAATGTCTCAATTTCGGCTTGTGTATATGTCACCTGCTACACCAACCGTATAAGCGAACAAACATTCCCCTTGAATCTCGAATAAGAAAACGAGAAGAAAATCATAAACGCAATAAATCAATTAAGGAATTTTTAATGGTTGATCATAAATTTCAAATCAGATGTGAAAATTTTCGGATTTTTTTAAACTCTTCGTGTTTCTCTTTCTTTTATCTCGATATGCTAAATATTTAGGTGTCACTTGTCTGGTTAGTTATTTGTAATCTAACACAACAATATCTTAATGAAATATGATAGTTTGTCCATCTGGTCGCTTACTTCTGTCATTTCAGTAGCAATCACAGCAGCAGTGAGAACAACTTCGCATGAAATATAATTGAGTTATGGATTTCGTTTCGTTTTATGCTCGATTCGAAACTGAACTGATTATTTGCTGTTCCATTTGAGTAGAGCGTAAAGTTATAGAAAGTCCAGACGTGGTATCGTCTGTTGGGTTGGCAATTGACCTCGGAAGAGAATAATAAGCCAATTCGATGAGAATCACAATATTGCGGTGATTAATGAACTCTCCATTAAGTAAAAAAAATAAGAAAAACAAAAGATCAGAACTTTAACAGCAGACAACAATTTGCTGCGTTCAAGTATGAGGAAAACCATTGTTTAAACACAAAATCAACTCGGCTTCGGGTGATTAAACATAAATTTTACTGGTGCACTGATGCATTTCCATTTGTTCTTTATTATATTTTTTTTCTTGATCATTAACCGCTGTTTGGGGTTTCCATGTTAAGAATTCAGTCATGAAAATGAATGGTGGTGGGCTGTTGTTGTTGACCATTGATGATCTTAAAAACTTGTGCAAAATTTAACGATAAACATTTCCGTTTACGTCGTAATAACGTCTTGACGATTTAAAAGTTATCTCTCCCTTCCGTCTCTGTCGATCATTTTTTGCGCACGATTAAACAGTTCGTGGAAGTGTCCATGGACAGAAGTCAACTTTTTGCTAAAGAAGGAAATTAATTGTATGCCATCACGAGTAATTATTCGAAAGGCAGAGATCGTTTGTAAAAATAAATTATTCGGAAATGTGCACGCTGAGAAGCAAAGCATTTAGATACCTACAACATCGTGTTGAAAGCATAAATATTTTATCATGCATCGATGCTTTTGAGTTGCTTTTAAATCGACATTGAAATGAATATGTCATCATGTGTCTCATTTCTTGAGACGCGATCTGAGAGAAATGTTTGATGAAAAATGCTTAGAAAAGTTGTTTTATTAGTGCTCTAATTAATTTTTATAATCTTATATCTAAGTTAGTTCTAACTTGAGCGAACGAATGCAACATTATGCAGTTTTTCATAACATCTCGTAGACGCCTTATTTGGTGAAGTGGATCATTAAAGATTGAAAGACAGTCTGACGTTCTGTTTCTTGTTGAGACGAAAGATGAAGATTAAAGAATTCCATGTTGAGAGATGAAGAAAAAAAATATTTGACAGGGATTTATGACTTCAATCACTCACTTGCATTCACTTAAGTATTTGCACGGAGTCATCAAACGTTAATTTAGTTAAAGTGAATGAAAGTTATTGAAAGTAGGGAAAATGAAAATTTTTAAGTAAGTAGCGATTTCATTAATGAACTAATTGTCTAAATACTTTCTCGAAGCAAGAAACAATTGTTTGCAATTAAATCTCATTTTGTAGTTCTTTGTTACTCTAATTAAAAAAAATTATGATCGTGTTTTATTAAGAATTCGTGTTGTGTCGACGATAGAGACGAATTGTTGGCTGGCTGGCAAGTAAAAAATAAATAATTTACTGTTCGTTGCACAGCCATTAAAATGGTTGAAAAATATACAAAAAAAAAAGAGAAAAACAGAACTCGACTGCCCGATGTTTCCATAAATATGTAATTGACCATTTATCAATAAAGTATCGAAGGAAAATTATTTAACCAAACTTGCAAAATATTTTTGAACAAATCTCAATTTTTATGACGCTCACAAAGCATTGCATTCACCAGAAATACCTCTACATGAAATAAATTGTTTCATCTCGTACATTTTTTTGTTCATTCGCATAAAAAACTCGCCAATAATTCACTGAGCTATTTGGCCTCTTCTGCCAACCCGTTTGCACAAGGGCCTTCACTAAATCTCACATGAAGTATAAGTCATAAAAAATGCATTTTAACATCCTCGACTTCAGACTTTTTTGAACAGATTTTTGTGTTCTGTGGGGATGAAAAAAAGATGAGAACAATTTACAGTTGGTTGGCTTTTTCAATGCTACAATTTTTTATTTATATTTATAATTCCAAAGAAGGAAACAAACTTTATGAGTTTGTAAAGAAATCAACTTGTGGTGAATAAAGGATTATCAACAATGAAAAGAAGTCATAAAGTAGCCAAAACCTAAAATTATTAACAAATTGATATTATAAAAAAGTTTTGTTTATTTTATTTCTCTCATGTGTAAGCGACAAAATTACTGAAGAAACTTTTGAAATTGGCTTCCGAAATAATTATTTTCATTTTCAAGAAAAAGGTTTTTGTTGATTACAAAAGAAGATGATTTTTACGGTTTCTTATAATTTAAGACGCGATGAAATCGCAATGTAATGAAGCACTTTTAGTAGCAAAAGCGGCCAGTTTTGCGGCTGGCAAAGTTTCACTGCCTAATAATCGATTTATCATGCCAACCAACCGCTAGAGAGACGACAAATGAGAATGAATTCGGAGGCTTTTGAGACAAACGTGAAACCATAACACGTCATGTTGTTGATGAAGAATTTGAATTGTACAGAAGATCGGTGAGATGTAGGAAAGTAGAAACAAAACCATAGAACGTTATTTAAATCGCTTCGGTTGAGTTTTCACACACAGCCATAGGGAGCTCAAGTCGAGCATTATTAATCATATTATTTTCGTACACAATACTGAGCAAGAGACCAACAATTGCACTGGAGGTGGTCGGTCGCACTCGTATCTTATTCGCTCCTTTCACAACAATAATGATGAAGTTCTTTTCTTTCACTTTTCACAATAATTTCTCATGAGAGTAGAAGCATTTTGTGTTTTTTTTTTTGTTTTGTTCTCTAAATGAAAGCATTTGAATTTGGGGGGAGGATGGAAGTGGCAACATTTGAAGCTTATATCACATGAAGTGAACAACAATATCATAAACTACATGAAAACATTTTTCCTTCTCTTCCATTCTACCATATGAGCATGAATAAATATCTAAGATGATCGTCTTTCTTTTCGTTTGCTTTCATATGTATGCACAATGGCTTTGTTGTTGTTAACTTAAATAAATTATGCACCGCTATTGTTTCTACTTTTCTTTTTTTTTCCTTTTCTCAGTTCGCTTCGCAATATGATTGGATAATTTCATGGCGCATTTTTGCTTTGCTCGTTGTTGCCACCATTTCGAGATAAGTGTCCGTAGGCGACTTGTAGCCTGCCTGTTTTGCTTCACCAGCATCGACTGATGTTTGTGGATGTGGACATGCGGTGTGCGTGGTGGCGTCTCTTACAAAAGCTAATTATTAACGAATGACAATGCAAAAAATGTTCCACCTTTTCGAATAATCATGCCACTCCATCTACTCTCGGTCTGTTTAATCTCGAATGATTTTTCATTTCTTTTCTCTTAAAATCATCGCCCATGGTTTCATGAATGTTTGTTGAAATATACTCCAAACAACAATCAGGTCGGTCTCCTTCTGAATAGACCGCAATGGCAGAATTTTTTTTATTTCTTTTGTTGTCGATTGGAAACCAAGAGAAGTCAATTTCTTTTATAATCAAAAATTTATACTATAAGAAAAACATCGATTTAAAGGGCAATAAAGGTTGGCAAAGAAATTGTGTTGAGGTTTCACATGCAGATTTATTCTCCTGACACTTTCCAATTATGATTTTATATGATTTGTGATGAAAACATGAAAGAATTCTACTGCGAAAAAAGATCTTTTTATGAAAGCTTTTTACTTATGAACTTTGTCAACGACAAAAACGAAGTCATGACAACGTAAAGTTACTTAAACAAGTTTCTAAAACATTTAGAAAATCCCTGACGAACTCTTCACATAATTTGTTTCACTTTATTACATTGTGTCGTTCCATCCTAACTTGATGAGTTCTTTTTATTATGTAATTAATATGACACGTGACTACGTCATATTTATTCAACAAACACCAGAAGGAAAGGAAGAGAGAAGAAATGTTAACATGCGGAGACAGCAGAAAAAAAATGTCATCTAAACTTGATAATGTATGATTAGGACGAAGAAAAGTATGGAATTGTGGGTGGCTCTGAAAGTGGATTAAATGTTCGGTAACAAGTTGTGTAACGATTGGATAAAGTTTCATAACATAACTATCATGTATATTTCATTTCACATCTAATCTCAAGGCTTCCGAATGCTGAATTCGATACCGTTCATAGCAACTAGATATTTAGATAAGCCAACAAAGTAATTTAATCCGACAAAAAGTTATGTATGGCGACCGTCGCTATTCAATAAGAAAAGAGAAGAATGAAAGAAACAAAATCAGCCATGAAAAGATCTGAGAAGAACACCGAGGACGCGTCTTCGATTGTTTTGAACGAAAAAATATTCTTTTGATATTCAAATTTTACATCGCTTTTTTAATGTTTCAAATTTGCATTTAAATACTTTTGTTAGTTCTCCCGGCATTAAGTCAACTCTTAAAAGAAAAGAAATTTAAAGGGAAAAGTTATAAAAAAAATGTTTTAATAATTTCGATGATTGAATTTCATATTTTGTATTTTTTTAGATATTTTGCGAGGTAGATTAGTTCCTTTGTTGTGGATGTTTTTATTTAGATAAATAAGTTAAGTTAAGTTAAGACGATGTTTAAGAGATTAGAAGGCGATTCTCTTTGAAGTATATTCATGACTCTTCATAAAATAAAGGATTAAGTACATAAGTGGCGATTCATGAATTTAAAATTCGCTACAAATTCCCTTTAAAATAATTCTGTTCACAGAACAACTTTGCTTAACCGATGATGAATAAAACGCCAGAGAAATGTCGACGGGAGGTCCCCTTTTTTTACGCGCGGCTTTCTACCGATCCCATCATCCAAAAAGATTCTTTTATTTTATTCACGACGAGAAAACTGAAACACATCATCAAAAACAACAGAAAGAAAAATAACGTCAGTTGTCGACACCGCCTCTTCACCCATGGATGGCTTCATGGAGAGTTTTACACTCTGTAACATGATGTTTGCATGTTTTTAACTTCTCGTTTAGTTCTGTGTTTGTTGCCTTTTTATTCTCTCCCTTGAAACAGAATCATCATCATCATCGTAATAATAATTTCTTTCCTTTATATGTTTGCCTGACTGGTCTTTCTTTCTTTTTTTTGATATTTTTTGGTTACAAATTCATTTCATTTCATGCGCAAGCACCATGTCGATATTGGTTGCGTCGAAAGATAATTTCATTAAAGCTAATTTATTTTCTTCCCTCGCGCGATAATTATCATCAATACTCTGAGTTTATATTCACTTCATTCATGTTTAAGAGCTAATGTTGTGAAAAAAGAAATGAGAAGTGCAATAAAAAGTTAATGTCGTGCAAATGTTTTCACCATTTTCAATTGTAGGCGGTGATCATGAATCGTGGCACTCGAGCAATAACACTGTGTGAATCTTTAATTGAGATAAACTTTTATCTTTAATTACAATTTAAATCGTTCGGTCAATGAAGAAACATTTCTGATTATTGAAACGAAATCGATTGGGATGGAAATTGTCGTTGATTTTAAGATTTCATTCAAAATAAAATTTCATTTAACTCAGACGAAGGAAAGGAATGAAAAAATATCTTTTGTTGAAAAGTTGAGAGAATAAATTTATTATTTATTTGCTCGTTAGATGTCATTAGAAATATTCATTAAGATTTTTATGGGAAGATCTTCTGGGGAACCAAGTTTTAATAGACTTAACTTATTTAAGCTTATCACCTGCACAGGTTTGTTTTTATTACTGCCGATGAGTGTGAGCCGAGGATTAGAGAGTCGAGGGAAAATATTTTATTGATTTGACGATCACCAAGCAATCTTCTTCTTCTCCTACAAAAGAACTAAATCGATTCGAAACGCTTTCATTCTGTTCTGGTTCTGGTTGTTTTGGTCTTGCCGATTCTTAAAACGCGGGAATCATAACATTTATGATGAAACTATAAAACAGACTGTTAGGCATAAAATTACACTTACAGAGAAAATATATGACAATAAAAATGTCGAAGCGATATTTCTCTTAATTTACAGTTTTTTTTCTCTCCTTCTCAACATTTAATGCGTTTTCAGTTTCATTTCATTGTTTGGCGCGGAGTTTATTTGTGAAGTAAAAAGAAGTTGCAGTATGTACACCGTTCGAGTGGCTAAATGCAATAAAATGTCACTTTTTATTGACCAAATATAAATAACGATTCAACTCCTTTGTCAGTGAATTCTAAGCTTTCCATTGAAAACTTTATAAGTTACGAAGTTTGAAATGTTCTTGAAAAATGTCGCCAACTTCTCCACCAACTCACATCAAAACTTTATTTCAAAATTCATATTTTTTTTTGTTCATTGTTGTTTGTGAACTTAACATGACATAATAAACTTTAACATAAAATACAACAAATAAATAATATTTCTCGATGATAATAAAGATTTCTGTTTAATGGTGGAGACTTTTAACGATAGCTTTTGGTTGCCTTCCATTGCCGATAAAATATGACTATTTTTATGACTGACATGACAATCTTCTCGTCGTTGAATTGAGGCCCGAAATCTTCGATATTTTTTTTCTTATGAATTCGGAATTGTGAACTTAACTTAATCGTAAATTATTTTGTGTAGAGTTTAATTTAAGATTTTGCATGATTTATTGAAAATGTTTTGTTATTTCTCTTTTTTTATGGGAAAATAAAGAAACTTTAGAGGATAAGAGAGAGTCATAAAGCGAGTCATATCAAAACAAAACACAATGTTACTAAAATAAAAAGTAACAATTTTTTGGGTAAAGAGAAACGAAATGAAACACCAGAATCGTTGACCATAAATCCACTCGATGTTTTCATGTGTACACAACACATATGGGACATGAAAAGTGGTTTATTGGTTTTGGTTTTGCTTGCAGAATAATATGAAGAAAGAAAGAAAGAAAAACAACTTTTTATCATCACAAAAAACCGCAAGAGATTTTTCAATTTGAAGCTGCAACAAAACCTTCCCAGAGAAGCTTAAAGTTCACAACGAAATCCTTAACGATTTGTTGATTGATTCTTAAAAGAAAAAGCATCTTTATGTGATCGCTGGGATTAGCGAATTGTATGCTGAATTATACGTATTCATAATGAAAAACAACTTTGTGGTTCGCTTTTGAACAGTTCAACACGATAAAAACAAAACAAAAAAGTTTGCGAAACATGAAAAGTCTGACAATTGAATAGCGAGGAAAATTGAATTCGCATGAAAATGACACTAAAATATCTTTTTTATTTTTACTTTTCACAGGTCTGGTTTCAAAATAAAAGATCAAAAGAGCGCCGACTGAAGCAACTTACGAGTATGGGACGTGGGCCGTTCTTCGGTGGATCAAGAAAAATGCGCGGGTTTCCTATGAATCTCTCACCTGGTGGACTTGATGAGCCAGGATTTCCCTATTTTGCGAGTGATAAGTTTGATTTCGGGTATGGCGGGCCACCATTTCATCCACACGAGTCTCCATTCTTCCCAGGACATCCAGGAATGCCTTTCAATGCACCAGGTAAGCTTCAAGAGAATTTTTGAAGCAATCAATCGTTCCAACTTTATCTTCTCTCATTAAGGTGGCCCAATGGACCATCCCGGATCAATGCCAGGTATGGTGAATGAGTTCAGCATGACACCTGAAGCTAGTTTCTTAAATCAACCAAATGGTCCACCAATTACTGGTGGAGCTAATCCCTCCGAGCGCAGCGGTTCACCCGAATTCATGTCCAACGCTGGCAACTTCTCCGAATCATCAAACATCAATGAAGGCCTGGTTTGGTAAAATTTAATGACATCACGTCTTCTTCAATTCTACATAGGAATGAATTCGTGAAAGACAAAAAGATTTTTAAATGCTTAAGAGATGCAGTTTGGATGAATGTGTCGAGAGAAATGCAAAAAAATGAAAGATTTTTGTAAGCTTCAAGTCGATGAAATCTCGACTCGTTTATTGAATTATTTATGGCGATATACAAATTTATTTAAGATTTCAAGCTTATATGCGACATTTGTGAAACAATAAAGAAGCAAACACACAAAACAAACATGCAAATTAATTAAATTAATCGCATTAAGTCGCACACAAACTAAAACACAGAAAATTTTCTGATTGTGGCGTTTTATGATTTTCGGCCAAAAAATTATTTTACTTGATTAAGTTTCGTTTTGATGTGGGAAACTTTTTTTCTTTAAGAGAAGTTTGGAAAGTTTCAAGTGGTTGAATAGAGTTGAGAAGTAAGAAAACGTCAACGTATAGCTTTGTGTGACTTATTGTTCAAATAGCTTAATTTGCGTAACGCGATTAATCAATTATTTGAATTTTCTCTACACTTAAATTTCATTTCTATTTCTTTTCTTAATTTTTTGTTTTACTGATAACAAACAGTTGGAAAGCATTATTTTTGAATCGATATCAGAATATTTGTTTTGTTTTGACAGATGAATAATGTTGTAAATAAAATGTATGTAAATGTAGTAAAATGAGTAAGGAAAACTTCATCAGCTTTTTTTTTCTTTTTTCTAAACATTTGAAATGCAAACTAATGCAAAGGGTCAAGACAACGGTAACCAATTTCAATTTAATTAGTTTGAAATTTGAGTAAGAAATAAAAGTTGGATGAAGGACGAAAAAATATCAAAAACTTATGTATAAATTATGAAAGAAAATGTTATGTTTTAAGCTTGTAAATAAATTGATGAGTAATTAAAGTTTAATGATAAAAAGAAGTATCAAATTAGAAATTGTCACAAGAGAACAAATTAACATCACACTTTAGATTTACTTAAGTAGATGATGATGGAAATGAATTATTTGATGATATTCATAGGAAAAATGAAAAGATGAATAAGAAATAAGAAATGTTTCGAGTATGATCCTGGAGAAAATTTCATTTAATGAACTGCTCAATAAAAGGAAAAAGTAAATTATAAAAGAAATAGTTTGTCATTTTTTATCTTCCTACAGTTGGAATCGAACATTTGTTTCTAATGTGTCTTTGGTGAGTTATCATGATTCCTCAGATTGATTTATGAGGTCTCGTAAATATCACCAAATTAAATAAATGTGTGCAATCAGATTATGTTGCAGGTTGCAATTTATTTATTCCTTTCAGCATAAAAATCACATTTAAACGGCACCGACATTTGACGATTTCATGTATCATCTTCCCACTCAATTCTGCTTTCATTTTTTCAGTGCTTGATTCATTTTTAATATTTATTTGATTGTATGATGAAATTGACTTCAATTTGAAATCCGCCCTCAGCTTCTCCCTTCACTCTCTTTGCGCACCACACATATGGCGACATTTTCGCCCTTTTTTCATCCTTTACATGATTTGATGTTATTGTTGTTGTCCCAATTGGCTTTTCTAAATGTTTTCATGTCATTACAAACAAATAATGATATTTTAGTCGATCCGGTGTGGTGAAATAAAAATTGTAACAAATTTTTGTGTGATTTTATGTTTCGTTCTGGGCGAACACTCGATCATCCTACGCAACGCGTCAAAATTACAGCATTTAAGAAAAAAAGGACAAAAACGAGTCAAACAAACAACATAAAAGAAGTATAACAAATTTTATTGTTATTAAGTTGACTAATTGAGAAACGATGACTTGAGAGAATAAAAAAGAAACGTTACCGGCTAATGCGAATCCAATGGTTATCGATTTTGCACATGTCGCAATTTTTCCTCCTCTCAATTGCCGTTTGGAGAGAAGAAAAGAAAGAAAAATAGTTTTCTTATCGCAAGATTAGATTTGTTATGCATTTCGCCTTTTTGTGGCACTTCACCGCTATATCAAGTAAATATATGTTTAGAAATATTGTTTATGCAAGCTTGCTTTTAATTCAATTGATATTTTGCCGATAAAATTCTCAGGGCTTTCCTCAACTCGACTTTGAATAAAGAAATTTTTTTATACTTATCGAAAGCATTCATTCATTGCACAACTGGGAATAGTTTGATTTATAGAGAACATGAATGGCTTTCTACAGCTATTTTATTTTTATATTTTACATTATCCACTCTTTTAAAAACAATTCAAGCTGCTTTTTTTTGTTCCTAATCACAATCACAGTCTACTAAATTTCATCGGCAAAGGCGTGTTTTTCATTTCGCTTCCAAGTTCAATTCATTGGATCAGTTTCGTGACGATACAATAAATCATTTTGCCCAGTCTACAACATAACTGAACTCACAATATCAAATATTTCAGAATGATTTTCAATATTATTTATTTCAGTCGCTTCAACTTTGTGCCGATTTTAATTAATTTTTTTTCAACCGACTATTGTGTCGTGTTTGATATTTACAGGAGAAATCCAATATTTATTTTGACGGTGAAAATTCATTATAGAATTCAGTTGCAATATTAATTTTTGTTTGTCCAACATTGAGAAGATATGTACGTGATGTTGACCAATCTTACGTTCTGTCAATTCAAAAAACTTTGTTTGAGATTTCATTGTTTCGCTTCCCTTGATTCCAATTATTCAATTATCAACAAAATTATTCCTATCGGCATCAAATTATAGTGTAATAGCTAATTGGTGCTAGCACTCATCATTGCTGAGTGTAATCAAAACACTCACAACCCAACACGAATACTCAATTTTCTTAACTCCTTCCGAAGGGCACTTAAAGTTTTGTTTAACCTTTTCAAAGTGAAGTTTCGTGATGTTGTATGTTTGTACATTAACTTTAATTACGTTCAGGATGTTTCAATTGTCATCAAAAATTATGATAATGATTAAATATTTAGTCGCTGAAATAATGACCAAGTTAAATAAGCGAGCAGCCGTAAGTTGTAAACAAAATATTTATTTCCTTTCATAATTCTTTTCTTCCTAAATCCTTGATGTGCTTGTCTTATCAAAAGAATGTTTCTTTTTAATTGAATAGCAGATAATTGAATTCACGCACGCACATGATACATGAATGAATGGATATTTGTACGTGTAAAGTTGCCAACATTTTCCAACATAATACCCCGTCGATAGACTTATAATCACCTCATAAAAATTTCAAGATACACAAAATGAGCAAATCAATAATTAAACTGATGTGAAGTCACTTCATTTTCTCGTTCCTTTATGCACTCGAATGTTGAAGTAATGAAGTTTCAATCAGTTTTGTGGTTTTTTATTTCATTTTCAAACACAAGTAAAAAGATATTTGCGTGATATTTGTTAATATAAATATTTACGGAAGGAAACCACGAATAAACCAGTTTAAGTAAAATTATAACAATCTTAAAACATTTTCCATACTTATTTTATCAAAAATATCACGATTGAAGCTAAAGAAAGTTGAATAGTCGTGAGACGACTCACTTTAAGTCATGCTTCGTTGTCATTAAAATTGAAAGTCAGTTAATAAGAAAGAAAATATTTGATTTGTTATCTCTGTTGGTGCTACCTGAATCATAAATTGTCGGCACAAGACACAAGACACAGGAAAAGAATAAAAATATCTACATAAGTATAAAAAACTTTAAAAGCTATCAACCACGAAATGGAATTGGAGAAACAGGTGTAGTTCACCGGTCTTTTATATTTATTTCATTTCATACTGTTCATTGCATGCAACGTCTGATCCCGTCAGAAAGAAATTCCTCAAACAAATGTTGCTTAATATCATTCTACTCTACTTCATTCTCCGACCAATCACCTTGTTAAATTAAAGAAACTCCACCAATATGTCTACTCGATGGGAGCCGGGTGACGGGAGTTTAAATAAACTTTTCATTTTCTTTTATTGTTGCGAAAAAAACATTAAACTCAATAGGATTGATAGATCACGTGCGAGTAAAATATGCATCATGCATTACGTGGTTAACACTTTTACGATTAAAAGTTATGGCACATTTTATTGTGAAATTAGAACAGAAGTAGAAAAGTGACAAGAAATATGTTTGAGAACAAAAGAACATTAAAATTCTTATTAAGATTGTGGGTGGGAAGTGAAATGACGTTACATGTTAAGCTCATGAACCCCATTCCAATTCTTTTAGATGTCTGACATTTTTAAGCTTTATTCGACATCGAATCCCAAAGCATAAAAAGAAGTTAAATATATCAATATTATGCGTATATGTCTATGAACCTAATACTGACGTTCTTTATCATGAAAACATGAAACAACCGTAACGTCTGACAGACTGAATAAAAAGATATTTCAAATAGACAGTAAAACCCTCGTCTCTATCATGAAAAATTCTAAAATTGAGTGGAAGGTGAACATCAAAGTTCACACACCAACAGTTTTCATAAGACAATTGCGTGTGTTATTTAGTGAGTTTTTTTAATTCAACTGCAAAACAAAGAATTGATAAAACGCACATTTTGCTTGTGGGCTTTTAAGCGGCATGTCATGACGTTGTTCGTGTGTCAAACTATTGGAGTGGATACAAATTGTTACGTTAAAGTTATTAAAATTATGATTAAGTCGTTGTTTTGTTTTATGAAAGAGAAGAGTTATGTTGATACATAAGTAGCATGAATTTTAAATTTTAAACTCGTTTTGCTTGCAACATAGAAAAAGTTATCAAAAGCGAAATACTCAGAAAATTTAATAAATTATAAAGAAAACCTCGTTTTCATCTCGAAATGGAATAAAAAAAGTCAATTTGAAAAGTTTCTTGTCCCAACTTATTTTCGCTTCTGTCTCAAGGAAAAATGTTCAAGTTTATCGTGAGGAGAGTTATGGAATCATCAGAAAGGTGAAGGAAAAATGCTGGGAAATATAATGATAACTGAAAAATTGAATTGCGAGAAAATAAAACTTTGTGATCTTCTTTGAAACGGATCATAATTTTGTTTCATTTCACTTGGAAACTGGCAAAGAAAAAAAAACTTTTTTCATTTCAAATTTTTTATTTTTCCCTTGTCATCTTCTTGAGGGCAAACAGAACAGAAAGAAAATGTTTTTCGCTTAAAAGTTAAGCATTGATGTTAAGTTTCATTCCGGGGTTGACACAAAACGAAAAGAAAGAAAAAATGTTGTTCAAATGTAATTTGCCATCCATCTCGTGAGATAAAAAATGAGATGGTTAAAGAATCATTTCTTTGGGGCACATGACGTATCTTCATTTTTTATTACAAACTTTTTTTAACGATACTTTCCGAACAATCTTCGTTTTGAGCTGAGACCCTTCAATGAGGGCTTCTGAAAAAGTTGAAAAGAAAAATTGTGATGTAATTTATTTTCATTTTTCACCTAATGAAACTTTCATTCGAGAACAAGACAAGGAAATAAATCAATCAACATCAACAATTTCTCTCTTCGTTCCTTTCCATTCTTCATTGTAATGTTCTTTGTCGAGTTTCATGGTCAGCAATTATCATTAAACATAGGTTTTTATTGTTCTCTCTCTGTATGCTTACTTCAACTCTGTTCACACCATTTCAGAAGTCCGCAAAATGATAATAAAGAAATTCGATTTTCCTTACACCTGGTTTAATGGTCAGAATAAGTTTGAAATTCGTTAAGCCCGACTCTTGAGTATGATGGAGCGCAACGAGATGAGTGATTACATTTCGACACGTGATACTGATCAGTGTTTATGCTTATAAATATGTGCAAGTTAATTGAAACCAGGAAAAATGTTTTTGAAACCAAACTAAAATCAAACGAATATTTTTCAGATAAAATTGCTTTGATAAAAAATATTTTTCATGTGGGACTAAAAACTTTTCAAAACAATTTCCTTTGAAAAAATAATTTTGCAAACTTTTGGCCAATTCTTACCATAAAAAGGCATTGGATTGGAGATAAGTTATTTAAAAAAATAAAGCAACAAATCATTACAATTGCATCCATAAAGAGTTTGTAGATGATAAATGGTAACTCTACCAAAATCGTAACCCATCTAGCTCAAGTCATCAACAAGATGAAACATTGGGACTGAAACAACAACTTGTTGTGATTGATTACCATCAAAACAAGAACAGCAGATGAGAGGAAAAAAAAAGAATTTATTAACGTCGAGCGGAGACGAAGTCATTACTCAACTTTACGATTTGTCATGTGAGATTTTCATGGAACGTTGAATATTAACTGAGTTCCTTTTTTTCTTTCTTAAAAGGTAAGCTTCGTTGACTTAATTAGACATCGAATAAGCAAAGTAAGCCTGAGAATAATTTTCCATCTCCGATCTTTACAAATCAAATTCACCCGCTAATTTTTCCGCAATTTCTGGCTTATAATCGAATAACAATTCTTAAATGCATTGCTGTGGAAGAATTGACGACTGCAAGCCCCTCAAGGCCTAAAATTCCCTTTTTTTCCTCTTTTTCTTCACCCCGGGTAGATTCATTGTTATTTTATTATTATTTGCAAGCGATGCTCTTCAACGAAACAGAAAAATTAGGGTGAGCATGTGGCATTTAATTTATTTCAAATAAAACGAAACATGTAACTATTAGAAGTCCTTCCTTTCTCTCCAGTATCGTTGCTGAAAAACACCTCTTAGCATGCCCAACCCTCGGCTCTTGTCTTCCCTCATGCAGAAATTTTTATGACTTCAGCATGATGATCGTGTTATCGTGTAAGGTACAATTGCAATGAAATCCCTGCACTTCTCTCGTTTTGTTTGCGAAGCACATGGGGAAGAATTTCTTAAGAATGAGAAGCGATAGGGATGAAAATTCTTCATGAATATGGAAAATGCGACAGTAATAAAGAAAACTCGATTACTTTTGCTCGACATAAACGAAAAATTATTTTATGATTTCAATGAGAAAGCGGGGGTGGAATTTTGAAGATATTTCTTATCTTTAAATATTCTTCGAATGCACCAAAAATGTTCCATTTTAAAGTTCATTTACGAAACTGTTTCTGACGTGTGAAGCAATCATGTGATGAAACTTTCATTCATTGTGATATATTTTCGCCCTGACACCTTCAAAACTTTTCCTTTTACTCTTTCTATCGCCCTTCTAGCCTTTTGTTTCACGTCTGTATCACTTACAGATGTTTAATTTTTCAAATGAAACTTCAACACAATGTGAAATTTTCTACAATGTTTGTTGTTATTGTTATTGAAGTAAATATTTGTCGATCCACTTGTGAAGTTTTCCCATAAGCATACACAATAGATTGATGGTGAAAACACAGGAATGTTGATCGAACGAAGTATATAAATGATAAAATTATTTGTTAGGCTATCTCGAACTGAACAAACGTCAAATTATTGTTTTTCCATGCAATTGATCGTTTAAGGGCATTTTCATTAAACAAAAACATTTCTCTTTGTTGATCCAATGCGTTGATCCCAATATTTTATATTTTTCTGTTGTTGTTTCAAACTTTGAATATGATTTTTTACGATTCAACACTTCTTGCGGCCAAATTAAATTAAAGCTGAGTTCATGCTTCTATTTCACGTCGATTGTTTTTCAAGATGATTCGATCCGAAAGCAAAGGAAGTTTGCATGAAAAATGATTTTTTCCGAAAACTTTATCAAAGAAAGATTTTTAAGGGTTAGCGTTGAAAACAGTTTAAAAATAATTACTTTATCTGAGGTTCTTTTAAAGTCCCGCAGGGCATTTTTTGAAAAGGAATACAAATAAATCTTTTCGTCAGATAGACTCGAGGGATGATTTGTTCCAACAACTTCGATGAGCGGCACATCTGTTATTATATTTTTATGTTTACAACTTTTTATGAAAACTGTGAATAATTTTAACTTCTTAGTTTTGTAACATTTGTGTCGTAAGTTGTGAGGTCAACAAATATTATAACCACAGATGGTCTTTGAAATCAATCTTCGCTCAATAAATATCTTTAAACGACATTAGATATTTAGAAATTATCAAAACAAATTTTCTTGAAAGCTTCTTTCGTTTTAAAAGAAAAATATTTGAACTGCAATGAGACTGTATCAACATGAAAAAAGAATTATGTTGACTTACATAAATGTTTGGAAAACAACAAGCCCTGAAGAGTTTGAAAAGCATTTCGAGTTGTATTTGCTTTAATAATTAAGTACTATTTGATTTTTCACCCACTTGAATCCTCTCGTTTTCATCGAGAACACTTTCAAGCTACCCTCATTACGAATTCAAAGTTTACCAAACGAATTACATTTACAATTTGAATTATTTTCATATCATTTTGATTTTAGTTTTCAGATTTTATGTTTGATAAGAGCACATCATTCAAATTCTCATCTCTTGACACAATCGACACTTCTTCCATTCTGTCATTCTCTCTCGCCATCAGATTGTGATAGATCAATCAAAACAATACATGAACGACGACACATCGTCACAACTCACAAGAAGGGTGAATGGGAATCAAATTATAGAGCGGGCGAAGTATTTTGGGATTCACTCTATTTCATCCCTGGTAATTCCACTCGAGAAGAATTGCAGCAAGTCTCTATTGCGATGATAAAATTGATCCAGGAAAAGAACGGATTTTCTGTTGTGATACGGATCAGTAATCTGAGCTTCAGATTAGCATTTTTTGCTTTTTACGCTCTTCCTGAATGAATTTTTCTTTTGCTTTCTAACCCCGAAAATGGTCACATGCATTGAAGACTTGCGATAACTTCACGAATGAAAGACAGTTTGAGGACTTTTGTGTTTCTATAATTCGATGTTTTATTATTGCTGAACGAAATTAAATGTTGAGATAAGCAATGAACAGTCGAAGCACTTTTTTTTCTTCTCCTTCGTTTTCATTCCCTTTTAAAAGTTTTGATCAATGTAGCATGTAAAGCATGAGATTAGATTTATGTAAAGAGATTTTAACTTGATATTTTTCTTGCTATATGTACGCTTTGGTTTTCCCTTTCCTCCGGTCTTAACCAGCATCTCAAACAAGTCGAGTGGAAAAGCAAAATAAGAAAGAAAGAATGAAAAAAAGCGACGATATCGACATTGCGAATAGAGTAGGAAAAGTACAAGAGAGATGGTAGCATAATCATAAAAATGAATAATGTTATTAAAGAATTCAATTTCGTTTTTCGTTGCTGAATTAATGAAAAATAAAGAAACAGCAACGGCAAAAGCAACAACAAAGGAGAACAAAGATGAAGACGATGAGAAGGGAAAGGAAAAATTATTGTCTTTTAAGAATGGAAGACTAAGAAGATTATTTTCTTGACTAAATTTTTGAATCTCAGCATCAAAAGAAAAGTAACATTGGATATAAATCGAGATAGATACTAAAGGATCAGAACTTTGTCTAAGGTTTCAATGGTGCTTTCAAGAAAATTCGTTTAAGCTTGAACGAAGGATGATAACAGAAAAGCTGATTCATTTCTCGCTTCTCATTTCAATTCATTTCCAAGACGTTGCTCAATGTTTGACGAAGAGATGTCGTCGTATTTTCAAATTCATTCGATCTCGACACACTTTCTGAGATAATTGAATTTTAATTCTAAAGAAATTTAAATCTTTCACTAAATGATACTTGAGTATGTTGACACTTTTTTTTTCTTTTTAATTTTAATTTCATAAAAGAAAAGTGTCAGCAACTCCACACTTGTTAACATAACATGCTCAACAATGAAGCAATTTGATATAAAAGGCAATGTCATGGTGTCACACAGCCGTCATGTATGCTACACAACGGGACACCTCAGAAATCTTCACTCACTCATACACACATCAGGATGTCTCTTGCAACTCATTCTCTTATAATAAAAATCAAAAGGATCAAGGAAATGGCAGCAGACAAAATTGTGAATGAAGAGAAGTCATGTCAAGAACTCTACATGAGGTCTGTGAGCCTCTTTCAACTTGTTACTATTTCTTTTTCAGCTTGTTGATATATAAATTATAATAATTTTTATGACAAGTCTCTGGAGCTTGTTTGCATCTGTTACATTTATGATTATGTACACGCAAATTATCAATTGTTTGACAAACTTTAAGAAGGGTCGGTGATGTCGTCATCATCATCCTTTTTAAAATCTTTACAATCTCGTAATAGTTACAAGTTTGAGTAATGATGACAGTCAAAAGGTCCCTGAAGATTTTCCATCTCATATCTCGCATGTCCTTGTTTTGATTACTTATGATTTTTTCATTTTTCCTGATTAACGTTTGCTTCGTAAATATTCTCTCATTAAACTGATCATAAAAGTTGATGCATCACCACATTCAAGGGCTGTTCTTACAATCTACTCATCATTTATTTAATCATAGAATATTTACCAACATGAGAAGAACTAAATAATTCATAATTCATTAATCATACCAAATACCGAAACTTTCATCATAAACATGAGCTGCTTTTACATAGAAAATGTTATTAAGAATGAAGTCTTCTTGTTAAGTATTATTAAGGAAAGTCGTAAACAAAATTGTCAAGCTGGAAATGTTATTAATTAGTTTTTTTCTATCCATTCTTACTGTTCGGTGGTCGAAAGATGTTTAATATCGATATTGAAACTATGATGAAAGCTTTTCATACATTTTTTATGTCTAAATGGCACCAGGAGAAAATTAAAAAATTATTCAACTCACCAGAAATCAGTCCGGAAAAGTGAAAAGTCAGTAAAAGTCCTCGTTAATGAAGTAATTTAAATGCATAATACGAGCGGAAAAATTGTGCGAATTTATGTTTTTTTATGCTGTCGTTATCCCTTTTTCCATTGTCGAAATTTAACGTTAAACATTCATATCAATTCGTTTAATGTGTTCAGCGTTTTACTGTTTTGACAGCTAACTGTTATTGACCAGTGAATAAATAAACACAAACTGAACTTTTCCCCAGTTCTTTCGTTAACAAATAATTTTCCAGGAAAATTTTTCACTACGCTTTTTACAGAATAATTTGCATTGACGAGTGAATGTGATTATAAATAAAATGCAATGGTGAACATTTCGCAATATATTGCGAGATTAAAAAGAAGTGCGAAATGAGAACTTTTGCCATGATTGGATTTCTTGTTTGTTGAAATTAAATTGGATGTTGCTTCCTTCTCATATTGCATGAATAAAACCTTAAGCGATTTATGAATCATTCATCAGTTAAAGACAATTCTCGATACTAAATCTCTATTTTCAAAATGTTTACAAACATTGTCGATGAAACCATTAAAACAAATTTATTGAGATATTGCAAGTTTATCGACAATACTTCTACGATGAATAAACGAGAGTCGAAAGAAATATTTTTGTCTCCTGATTGTAATGAATCTGACATTAAAATGAAAACTGACGGAAACGCAAATACTTTTGTTTCTTATCACAACTTATGTCCAACAAATTCTTCTTTATCAGCAACGTGTAGAGTGGAAATCAAAGTCATTGTGCACAATAAATTCTCATGAATCTTCTGTCATAATCTTCACTTTTTACGTAATGTTTTCTCTGCATCATACAGTAAGCTGATAAAAAAGTCTTTCAACTGACACGTGGCATTGAGGAAAAGCTGGAAAATTTTGACACGTGGCGTGGTGCGTGTTGGAAGTTACAGTAGTGAAAAATGTACAATCAAATCAAATGATTGGGTTTGCGATGTTAATGAGGGTAATTTTGTTAGTTGCGGAACTGCTTGGTGTCAGTAACAAAATAATTAAGTAACAGATTTCTGTTGTCATTTGGAAACTACTCCCATTAATCGCATTGATAAAAACGACTCAGCAGATTTCTGTAAAATGTAAATTTGAGATTGATGCAAGGAATGTTTGTCGATGAGTTCGTTTAACAACTGAATTTTGTAGGGTTGAAACTATTGCTTGTTACCAGGGCGGTTAAAATTATGATTGATTAAATACGAAGCACTTAATCGACATAAATCGGAGTGTTTTGATTGCATAATTAGTTATAAAGTTTCTTCTTTTATTTCAAGAATTCATTCACATCCCTTCTTTATTAATAAATTTATGCAAAACAGAAATATTTATAATTCATCCAATTCGCTTCATGCGTAGAGAAAAAGAAGAAAATAAATAAGAAAAAAAATTGATTGCCAAGGTTTAGCCCACTTCCTTTTCAAATGGAATCATATTTTAACATTTAAATTATTTTTAAGAATATTTCATGTTGGAGATGTTTGTGGAAATTTAGAATTTAAAGTGAATGAATAAATTTTAAAAGATTCACTGAAATTACTTTTCTTAATTCACTAAACATTTTAAACTCTTACAAATTGTTTCAATTCTGTAGTTAAAGTTGAGAGCATCGCTTCGCCTTGACATCTGTTGTTAACGTTAAGTCATTGTGGACGTTTAGAAAAACCAATAAAATAGACAACACAAAACATAATTTTTAATTTCCAAACTAAATTCTGTTCTTCGTTCGTTCGAAGATTGAAAGGATGTGAATGATTGCGAGGGATGATCACAATACATTTAATTATTGCTTATTTTTCACGGTTCGTCTCTTTCAACAATTTTGTGCTATTATCTGTAAATTTAAGGAAATATTTCCGTGAAATTTCTTCCCAGCTTTCTAAGAACGACTTTTAATAATGTTTGAAGTGCCAATTTATTGAGTTCTTGTCTATCAAAAATCAAAAATTTGT